TTTTTTTTAAACAACTAAACTAACTGGAGTATCCTTTATCATTCTTATGCTTATAGTGTCCTGCGATCTGGGCTATGCTCTGTACACCCAATACTTCGATGGCGGTGCCTTCGTCAAGGGTCCCCAGGTGTCGTATATTGCCCATCTGACGGGTGCTCTGGCCGGACTCACGATTGGATTTCTGGTGCTAAAGAACTTCGGGCACCGGGAGTACGAGCAGCTCATCTGGTGGCTGGCTTTGGGAGTCTACTGCGCCTTCACCGTCTTCGCCATTGTGTTCAATCTGATCAACACGGTGACCGCCCAGTTGATGGAGGAGCAGGGCGAGGTGATAACCCAGCATCTGCTGCACGATCTAGGCGTGTCCTAAGTATCCTTGGGATCTTCGCCAGGTTCGTTCAGCTTCAGCTACAGGAGAGATCGAGAGACATAGAGTTTGTGGAAAAGAAAAGTTCATTCAACGATTTAGTTCAAAACTAAATTCGAAATTCGTTTGGCTTTTGCTTTTCGGTTAGCATTACCGTTATCGTTATCGTTATTGTTACCGTTTTTCAGTTCGAAAAAAGCAGCAACACACAAAATACTGAGAAAAACTTAAAAAAGAAAACAGAAAAAGAACAAGAACAAGAACCGAAGCGCCGAAACGTGTAAACAAATGTTGTGATAGAACCAAAGACTGAATTTATTTCGCGTGTAAAAAACCAAGTAAAACTCAAGAGAGTCGAGGGGGCGAGGAAGAGGAAAATTCCAGAACAGATCGCCCCTCGCTATGATTTAAATTAACCGATTATCCATCGCCCGTGTCTGTTTGTTTCTTCTTAAATTATGTATTTATTTATTGGCCGCAATTAACTCTGAATGAATCTGCTGAATCGAAGAGGGACGTATCAACATTTTGTTTGTATAAACTCAGCATAATAATAATAAGCATAATAGTATCTGCCCTCGGACTATGTACGCGTAGCTCTTAGGCACAACTAACCTAGGCCCCTAACAAATTGTTTGCAAATTGTAAATACTATTAAGTCGCACCACCACACTAGTCAGAAAAAAAACAAAAACCAAGCAAAACCGCAGCAAAGAACCATTCAATTCACAACAATTAAGCAAATCGAATTAAATTAAACGAAAGTCACTTAAATCGAGCAAATATTTATGGTAATCCCTGTAAACACACACACTCGAAAGTATTACTAATTATATTTATTTATTGTAGGGCAGCGCGCGAGAGGGTTTATTAATTTTTGTCAAGCGAAACCAACTATTTATTTATTTATTTATTTAATAATTTAGTGAAATTCACAAAAAAAGAGAAGCACGAAAAAACAGCAACCACAAACTAATTCATTTGTAAAACTAAAAATAAATCCCCATGAATGAAAAACACACACGAAAAGCCAAAGAATGAATAAAAATCAAAAACAATTCAAGAAATACAAGAAATACATTAAACACAAAACCCAACAGCCTTTTCATTTCCCTCGTTTCTCTTTCAGTTTCCGTTTCAATTTTAAAGGCCAGAGAGATTACCAAGAGATACTTGACATATTGACTTGCAAATATATATAGATATATATAGATAGCCATGTATATCCATATGCAAATAGTGAAATATTCAAACTAAATCGCAATCGCAGAATGAAAATAGCTAATCTGGCATAAAAGCCATCTAAGCGTAAGCCAAAATAGAATCCTTGTGGGCCAAGCAACAAGCAACCAAAGCCCAAGATGATAGCATATTCGATTCTCAATATTATGAAGCCACAGACATGCCACGCCCCCACTCACCCCCCAAAATAGGAAACGGAAACGTTCATCACACACACACACACACAGGCAAGAAATAGCAAAGAAATTATAGATAAATAAATAAACAGAGAACAAAAAAATGAAAACAAAAATAAATGTCTAAATTATAAATGAATTTCTCTTGTTTTCTTCATAAATAACTAAAGGGCAGGCAACTCCCAACTCCCCTCAATCAATATTTGCTCCACATAAATATATGTGTGAGAGCTGGCTTGAGTTAACAGGGAAAGAACTGCAACTAAAACTTGAGGAAATTCTCTTAATTAATACCCACTCTCCCCAAGTACTCCACTCGAGGAGTAGGGTGGTCTCTTTCGACCCCCAAATCGATATTTGCTGTATATATACAATATTAGTTTGAGCCCGGCATCGAAAATACCGGCATGAAATATTGAGAAGGCGGAGCAGAAGAAGAATTTCGTAATAATTCATATTGTCATTGCCGCTTCATCAATGTCCAGCAATAATCCTGCCGGATTAGCAGGACTAATAAAGTCTATGAATTTTGAAATAAGCATTCCGCATGACGGACTTTTCGGCGCATCTAAAATCATTGGTTACTTTTTGATTAATTATACGACTTCAAAGTACCCTGTATCACATTAGTCAAAGGAAAGTAGAAGGAATTCAACAGTTTTCCACGCTTGTACATTGCAGCAACAACAACAAGTGAAACTTAAAAAATAAAAACCAAATGTACAAGATCTAATTTATTTATTCAATCAAGTTTTTAATCAAATTTCGTACAGATTTTCCTTTCTCTGAGTAAACTCCCTCGAGTAAACTTTTCAACTTAAAATTCCAGGGTATAATGACAATTTTCTGTTGTCTTGAAATCCAAATTATTAAGGGGGGATATACATGTAAACCAAAATTTTTTTGGCAAATTTTTTTTTTTATTTAAAAAATAGTTTATTATTTAAAGAATATAGTGTGTAAGTTTCATTATCGAATTCCAACTCTAAGTGCCTTAAATCAAGTATGCACGCAAGGTTCACAAGTGTTAACGTGGGCGCATCAAAAACTTTAAACGTCTTTTTCTCAACTTCTAATTTTTGCATTTCTACCTATGCTATGGACACGATTCACAAAAAACTATGTAACATATCGGAGTGAATCAAAAATTATTATGATCAGCATGAAATTATCTTCTATTTGAACCTACATGGTTGTTATAAAACTGAGTATTACTATTTTTTAAGAGGGTGGGAAGTGAAAACTGATCACCTGAAAATGGCATTTTTTCCTTCAAATCAAAATTAATTTTTTTTGTCTCGATTTCTTTTTGGTTTTTTAGGTTCAAATAGAAGATAAAGGTGTAATGAATACAAAAAAATTTAGTTTACGGATTTCGGACAGGAATTACGAGCTCTATCGTGTCCATAGCACGGCAACTCGAAGCTCGAGGCGCTACGGCATATGTTCCATAAGTCCGCCTTTTTATAAAATATTATTTATAACTAATTTTTTTTATCATCTCTGATTCTACTTTTAACTATATCCAAAGTTTCACGACGATTGCTTGACTATTTCTTATAAAAAAAAATTCACGAAAAATGGCCAAATTTTGACCGCTTACATGTATATCCCCCCTTAATGATGCCTAGTCGGGGAAGCGTGACTAAATCAAAAATGCCTGATTACTTCGGCAAATAAATGATGCCAAGCAAATATAAATTATTTTAGCAGTTTTGTTTATCTTCAAGCATTAAAATTGTCAAGAGAGGTCTGTCCCTAATCCCCACAAATAACAGAAATAAGGTAACCGAATAATTTAATAGCATCGAGTGTGTCCTTATTGGGTCCCCCCAAAATCGCAATTAATTATTGTGCATAATCGAGGGAGCGGATGAGCAGTATAGCAGCCCAATCAAAGATGCCTGATTGCACCTGCCAATTAATTTCAAGTTAAGTTATACAATTATCCGGGGACAAGGAAGTGCCAGATATCCAGATAAGGTCTCTAACTTCGGGGGTGGAGTGCAGGCAGGCACGCTTCCAGACCAAATTCCAAGCGCAGTGCAATTCGGTCTAGGTAGGTTGTGGTGGAGCAAGATTTATGGGAGACAGGAGCGTGGACATCAAATTGAAATTCAGGCACAATGTCAACAGCAATCGGGGACGAGGTCAGAGACAGGCTCAGACGGATCTGGATCCACCGATGCTGCTGCTGCTGCTGGCTGACTCTCTCAAGCCGAAAAATCCACATAAATAACGCGAGCATCGCTCCAACTGCCCCCCCTCTGTTGCCTCAGTCAGCTTGTTTCTGCGAATGGCAGGTGCAACTCAATCAGCGCTTCGCTCCACACGCTCCACCTGCTGCTGCTGTTACTCCCGTTCGCAATGTTGCCACAACGTTGCATGTCATCTGTTCGGGGTCTCCTGGAATAGCCACCTGCCCAAAAGTTGACTTTGAACGTTTTTGTTTACATTTGGCGGAAAGGTGAAGTGTGTATGGAATGAAGCCTCGGATTCAAAGTCCAGAACTCAACTAACTGAGGAAGCTGGTAGCAAGTTTCGAGTGGGTATCACACAGATCAACGATCTGCAACACAGAAAGACCTCCGACGAGAACTGGCAAGAGGGTTCAATGTTTCATAAGACAACTCTGAAGAAGGCAAGCGATGACCCAAAGGAGCTACGGGCTCCAAAAAGGTTTGTTTACTTTAAATAGCTATTTATTTTTTCATGGCAAAAGGGAGTTATGCTTAGAAAATATGGTTTATTGATATTCAATAAAATTTGAATTAATATGAATGATCTTAGGGTTCAGGGATACGTTAACCCCTTTGGAAAAATATTTTTTAAACTCAGATTTATAGGAATTGAAAGTTCAAAAGTCGGTTCGATTATGAGGCCCACCAGGAACCCCATTTTACTATCAATAAATCCCAATTAAAACAAGCCGACCTTCAAGAACTTTGCCCTACTCTCAATCAGTTTAAACGAATCTAAACAGAATGCCGCATGCAGGACCACCTATCAAAGCATAACCTTTATCGAGGCGACGAGTGAGTGCACCTTAATGTGTCGAGACTTTGACCCTGAGAAGCCATTATCCCTTTTGCGGCTCAATTAGGCGACGAGCAGAGTTCCATCTACCTGATACCAAGGAGTCCTGCCGGACGTCCAGGCTACCCAAGTAGCTACATGCTGGGGCGCTAATTTTAAAAGAGAGGAGAACAGTGAGGGATCGTCAAATGCATTCATTAACACTCAAAACAAAAACAAAAACAAACTAGTTCACTATACTAATCCTCACTGTTTCGCAAGTTTAGGGACCCATGGAGCACCAGCTTCAGACGAAAGGCATCCGTGCCGTTCATATAATAATTCATCATTCGTCGTTCACGGACAAAGCCAAGACTCTCGTAGAGAGCCAGTGCCGCCTTGTTAGTTATCTCCGTTTCCAGGGCAACAATGGCTGCATCCTTCACGGCCATCATCTCGATGGCCATTGTGGCGAGAGCCTTTCCGATTCCCCGCTTCCTGTACGCCACATCCACCGCCAGCATGGCAATGTAGCCCTGCTTAACCCCTGGCAACAGCATCTCTAGCTTGCACACAATCACGCCCACATAGCGATCCTTTACCAAAGCGAAAACACAGAGATCTGGCCAGTTGTAGACAAAGTAGCGATACGTGTAAATGGTATAGGGTTCGGAGAGCTCCTTCTCGATGAGGCTTTTGATAATCTTCAGCTGGGACTCCTCCTTGAAGACACAAAAGGTGTACGGCGGGTCGGAGGTGGTACAGGGAGTAGCTGCAATTTTTGGAGCCAACTCACTGGAGGAAGGGATATCCTGCTTAGCAGAGACATCTTTCAGCTTGTCTTTGTCACTCATTGCGGAGGCAGTTGTGTTTTATATTTAAAAAAAAAAAAGAAAAAGAAAGCTACAGGCAGGGAAAGGGTAACTAAAATCATTACAGTAACACAAATTGTCACTTTTAAAGACTCTGAGGAAATTATTTTAACAAAGAAACCAAGGATTCCCTGAGTTCTGGATTTTTTTGTTTTCATTATTTAATGTGAAAGTTCAGAACTAAGAGCAAACCCCCTGGAAAAAAAGAGTGAAAATGTCGTGAAAATTCCTACAGCGACCTTGGAGACAAGGCACTCTGACACTCGGCACTCGGCACAAATCCCAGCAGGTGACAGTCGTCGTGGCAGGCTCTAAATAGCATTACCCGTGGTCCCAGCTCCCAGTCGGGACAATTAAGCGGCACGCCTGAGACAGAATTGGGGGAAAAAGCTGGAGGAACTCCCACTCCTGGCTGAGCATGTGAAAATTATGAAAATGTCTGCCACGACTTTGACAGTTTCGCCTCCACCTCTGTCTACCTGTGCGCGAATCCTTTGTTGTCTATGCCAGGACGAGGAATTGCCGGCGAGCACGCACAGGTGTCCCGCCACCAGGCGGGTGCTTCCTGGGACCTTCCAGCTGGGGTGGTGGTGACAGCTCTAAGCCAGGACTCCACCCTTGGCTTTGCATATATGAAAACTAATTTCGTGTATTACGTTCGTGTGTTGATTGTGTTTTCCCCCCTCGTTTCTCCGGACATACACCGGATGAGGAAGTGCTTGCCGCCCCGAATGAAGCCGCAATGACCTCATGTGACCAATGGTTAATGGAGGGAATGCAACAGAAGCAATTAACCTAAAAGGCCCATAAAGGACAGCCCAGCTTTTTTGGGGTCGCCTCCTTTTTGGGGTAACTCAATACGGACAGGCCTAAGGCAAGTTCTAGTTGTAAATCTGATTAGCTTGTTCGCTCACTTACCCGCACTTTGATTGGAGGCCGTTCCCTTGTTTGACCCAAGTTCCTGGGCTTTTTCGTTTCGTTTCACTTTCACTTTATTATAATTAGTTCCGAGAGTTAATTGATTCACTAAATCGGCGGATTAATATTGATTTTGTTTAGATTGTAAACCGGTTTTAGAGCATTTAACTTTATCTTTAGTTTTACACAACTTGCTGTGGTTTTTGTCGTCATTTTGAAATTCCCTGCATTATTAACAGGCTTCTTTATGCAGTTGCATTCTTTAAATTCCAAAAGCTGAATCTTTAGATTCCTTTTTCTGCAACTGCTTGTGCTATTATCCCCGCCACTTGACTCCTTTTTATAATTACTCCTGGTGGCACGACGGAAAACGTTTCCCGTTTTCATTCCCGCTGCACTCTGCGGTCGCATTTCTAAGCTTTTTCAAATACTCGAGTCGACTGTGGCAGAAATTAATTACACCCAGGACATAAGGACACTTGGCGCAGGACAGGGAGTTCGCTGAGGGTTTAATGAAGCGGCCTTAAGTGGCGGTTAGTCTGACACACAAAAAAAAGGGGCGGCCAGGCCAACAAATTTCCATATTGCCGTTTGCCGCCTGCCGGCGACCGGCGTCGAGTGAGATAAATGGATGGAGGACAAGTCCTGGGGCAGTTCTGTTAGTGCCTTTGCCTTGGCTACGCTCCACCTGAAGTGGCCCTCTTTTGTCCAGTATATTAAAAAGAGTTAAGAGCCGTTGTCGGGGGGCATGCGCTCCTCTTGGTTGCTGTTTCGGTCTCTGTTTCGGTCTCTGTTCGGGCTGCCAATATTTCAGTTGGCCTTATGACAGCTACAAGTGCGCCCCTTGATAAGCATTCCGATCGGAGGCCGCTGTCCACAGTCCCGTGTCCCTGTTGCGGATAAAAGCGACGACAACTGGACGATGTGCGATTTGCGCTGAGCGAGAGATGTGTTAGGTTCCCGTCTTTCCAAGACAAGAGCACGGGCGCAGGTTGACTTCTCGCGTGGGACGCCACCATCCTCCGCCCCACATGGTCGCGTGCTCCATTGTCTTTATGTGTGTGTTTCCCTGGAACTCCCCGATTCCGATTCCGCATGAATATGTCAATGTAATGATCTCCTCTGCCGTCTGGTTCTGTCTGTGGAATTACATAAATATTAACTTGTACTTTTTATAAACATGTTTTGGCGTACCAGAAAAAGATACTGAAGTTTGCAGTTGCCTTTTGAGTGGGGGGATCTTTGCTCTTGGAGAATGTTGCATTCCAGGCGAATCGAAGGCTTCGATTGATATGATTTATACACTTGCGACGACTTGCACTGGATTCCAGAGGAATAGACCGAAAGCAGTGCCAGATGGCTAGTCTATTGGCTGAAACAAGGCATGAAGACTTGATTATGAGGAGGCTGTAGGCGTTAGGTATAGACTGCAATCCAATTTAAAAGAAATACAACTTATTTTTAAGAAAAAGTACCCAAAAAAAAAAATAAATTAAATTAAATTAATAAGATAATCATTATTTTCTTTTCCATGATTAATTATGATTATCTATTTTTCATAATTTCGTACCTTTGCATATTTCTAGCCACTCTTTTTCTTGCTCCCGTAACTCCTGCAAGTCACTGGCCATAAATATGTAGACATTTCCCTCCAGCTGGCATCAAATTAGCAAAATCCAACATTAATCAGCGTCAATGGCGGGGGAGGGGAAGTAGCTTCTGTCCAACGGATCACCCAAAAAGGACGCAGTTGCGTTCCTGTCACAATTTTTGCATTTGTTGATTTCCAGGTTTTTTTTTATTTCTTTTTTCACATCATTTCGGCGCCCATGATGAATCCTGCGCTTACCCACACAAATACACTTACAGTTGAGCCATGCATGTATGAGTGTAACGATGTGACAAGACTGACGAATGACTTGACGGTGGAAATGTGCTCAAACAAACATAAATTCCGTGTCCGCCGGGATTGGTATTTGTTGACTGCACCACTGCCAAGCATGTCCCGATGTTTTCCCAATGTCCTGGCCAAAAACACGCAACGCAAAGCCACGACGCCGAATAAGAAAACCCCGCAAGCCTCACACACACGCACACAAGCGAAGTAGGGATTGTCGCAGGTGCGCGTGTCGAGCGAAATTGTAGTTTTTTGCTCCCGGATTGTGTCATAACTCATGGAAATGATAAGGATGGATGGCCGTGCCTTATGTTTCAGCACGCGAATCGGTTAAAGCACATTACTTTCGTTGTCAATCCAATTTATAGCGATTTTAGCACCGAACTTTTACACACGCGACGCGCAAGATCCTTTCGCAAAATGGCGATCGGATTGATCGATAACAGTGTATACACACCATGTTTGGAAATACTTAAATGAAGTTGACAGCCCCCCTTGAAATTCAAACACAACTCTTCAGCAATTTATTCGGTTTGTCTTTATTGTTGTTTATTTACAAGTTAAAAAGCAAACTGTGTAAATACGAAATGTGTAAATTTATGCTTTATTTCTACTGGTGCTTAATTGATCCCCTGAAGCTGGCAGTGCTCGATTATGCTCGGCTATATCAATAAAATTTATCGATTGCATTTAAATATTATTTATTAGTTGTAGAGGTAGTTATCTCAAATTGTTGTAAGGCCTGTGAATTTCGAATAAATATTGCCAATATTGGTTTCCATGTAGCCCTTTAAGCACATATGTACGCATTTTATTTATATTTTTTTACACTTTCTTGTGGAGTTTTCTTTCTTATCTCCTAAAAATAAAGTCTTCTGATTCTGCAGTTATATATGTATATATATATATATATATCTTTAAATATCGAATTCCTTGAGCATTATTTTACACACCTATCAGTTCGATTTGTTGTAAATATTCAATATAGTTTGCACTTAACTATTAATGAAAACAAAATTAACGCCGATAATACAAGTAAGCATACATCTAAAGAGGCTGCGCGGATTTATCCGATTCTACAGATACACCGTAATTATAACAAAACAATAAACGGGTAAACTAAATCGACGCCCGAAAACAATAAAAACTTCAACGGAACGCAATGAACAAAAATTTAAGCGAAATTATCTTATTTTTCTAATCTTGAGAATCCTTCTGGGATCTCCTACACCTGAAAGTCGTTGAAATACGTCTCTGTAACGCGTATTTTCTCCACTCGAACGTTAAACATGGCGAATCCATTCATTATATTGAAGGCAATGGCAAAGACAACCAGAGCCGAGTACGTTCCCAGGGCGATCCACCAGAGCAACTGCTCGTGCAGCTTCTGCTCGAAGCTCTTGAGTACCAGGAGGCCTATGGTCAAGCCGGCTATGGCTCCTGCCAAATGGGCCACAAACGAAACAGCGACCACCGTTTCAGTCTGATCTATGGACTGGAATTCGCTCGATGAGCCCAGCTGAAGCTCCTCGCCAGCATAGCGGGCATAGATGGCAAAGCCAAAATCAAAGGAAACTGCAAGAATAAAGTGGGTTAAAAACTTAAAGTTATAAATTTGAATTTAAGTAAAAATTCACTCACCGAAAACCAGAATGTGAAGCAATCGGATCACTCCATAGCGCATCTGGTGATAGTTGAGCAGAACATTTGCCAGATGGGCGGCTAGCAGTGCGTACACTCCACCACTGGCGCCCACGAGGAACACCTCCGGATCAAAGATGCTGGTGCCCAAGCTTCCCGCCAGCACGCCCGAGAAGTAGATGCAGGCGATCCTCGTGGAACCGTGTACCATCTCCAGGGGCAGACCGAAAACCAGCTGCACGGCCACATTGAATCCGAGATGCAGCCATCCTGCATGGAGCACCATGTAGAAGAGGAAGCGCCAGATCTCGTGCCGCTTGTCTGGACGGTAGATGAACATGGAGTCCGAGGGAATGGGTCCCCGCGCCGCTGCCTCACCCGTGACCAACGAATGATACACAAAGAAGCCCAGCTGCGTGGAAATTAAGCATTAATCTAAGTGATTATTTAGGCAACCTCAAGAGTTTACCTCCACTACGGTGACCAGGATAATGAAGAATGGAGGCGGACAGCAGGTGTAGCGATCGGCATAGTACTTGCGATCCCGCTCCTCGGGCAGGATCTCCATGGCAACGGCGTGCACCATTTTCCGGAAGAGTGGCGGTTCGTTAAGCACAAGCTGGAAGTCGTTCTCAGAGCAAACCTCACGATCTCGATGGTGTACGGCGCATTTGAAGCTTCGTGTACGCTTGCCGCTCATCTGGAAAAGAAAAGAAGAAGAAGATCCTAGAAGAAGATCCTAGTAGGCTTCGGTAGCAAATTCTCGATCATGTCAAGTGGGAACCCAGGAAAACCTCAGTCTCACTTTAACCTCATCTGAATACGAACCCGAGAGCTCCTCTCCATTTTCAAAAATATTTCATAGATTATTTATACAATTGTTTTTCAATTTTACCCAAAAGAATAAAAAAAATGTCAAAGGCCTCTCACAAAGCCATGGAGGAGGTGGTGGCCCGCAACACGGACAATACCAATCGGATTATGGAGCAGGCCCAGGGCTATGTGGTGTCCGAGAATTCAACGGACAGCCTGCTCCACACTTCTTTTGATCTGACCACTGCCCAGGGTGTGATTAAGCACCTCAACTCCAGCTTCCTGAGGCTGGCCCAGAGTTGTGTTCGTGACCTGGATCCCGCCGATCACCTGTGCTTTATACGGATCAAGACCCGCAAACATGAGTTTCTCGTTAGTCCCGAGGAGGAGTTCACCGTGACCGTCCAGTTTTGACACCTGCGTCTAGTGGCGGGTTAATATTGATGGAGGCTGCTGTTGCTGTGGTTGGGGGGGAAGGAGGAGGAGGAAATGGGAGTTGACACACACACACACATACATGCTGCGAGGGTTGCTGCTATCCAGTCTTGCTGTTGCTGCTGGCGTCGAGATCGGGAAAATCTCAAAAAGCCCAAAAACTAAACGAGCCATAAAATTATGGGCAAAATCTTTATGCGTGTGACTGGCGAAACTAAATTATGTTTATTATGTAATTAAGATGTTTGCAGAGATGCCAGCACAACAAAAACATTAGTAAAGCAGACTAAAAACAGACAAAAATCGCAAAGAGCGGAAAATGTGTATTGTGTTTAATTAAGAGCGGGGGGAAGGGGGAGCGGACGGAGGCGGCCTACACGCAATTAAAATTCACGATTACGATTGCGAAAGAAAACGGCCACAAATTAAGCTTGACACGACCCCAGCAGGCACAAAATAGTTACTTCCGCCAGTCCGGGTTAATCAGCGTTAGTCGGTCGTTTTAATGCCGGCAATTATCAAATTTTATTTAATTGATAAAAAATGTTCCTCTGGAAGCCCCTATTGCCATCTTGCTCCCACGCGCTGCCATCGATCTCTCGAATAACTGTAAACTCTCACTTCAACTTTTATATGCAATTTTACGACAGAAATTTAGTTAATTACCGACTTACGCGGCGAAAACGCTCTATTTTAAAGGTTCCTTATTAATTCGCCATTTTAAATTAATCACAATTAACACTGAACATTGAGGACAACGATTGATTTTAACCGTCAGCGCGTGCCAAAGTTTCTTTTCGCGCTCTGCGCTTTTCCCTTTGCTTCCACTTTTGGGGCTAACCACTTGCTAGGCTGAAAATATAGTGTTGCAGAACGCCGCTTGGTAGCAGTTCCGAATTTTTCTTCCGTGGCGATCACAACAAATAATCGGATTTACTTCCGATTAGGGCCAATTTCTCGGTATTAAATTGTTACAATTCGCAACAAAGAGCGAGAGAAATCTGTGTTGTCAACAATGAGAACACGAACACCCACACGCATTGTGGCCGGGTGACAAATCGGCTTTTCGGCAAGATCAAGCGATCACAACAAAGTGCCAACAGGGCCAATATAGGGGGAAAATTGTATTCCCAACAAATAATTGCTTATCGTTTGTTGTTTGGCCAGTGGACGATGCTGCCCAGTGAAGGCAGCCGCTGCGGCTGATAATGTCATTATCCTGGTCCGCCGGCACCACAGGATGCCACCAGGTAGGCGACGAACGGGCAGGACAACTCTCCTCCTGACATACGCAACAGCAGAGGTCAGGTTGGTAGTTATTCTAAGATATAAATTATGAGTAAAATTAATAATATTAATTTTTCAGGTTTTCTGTTTAAATTAAAAATTAAAAATATACACATGTATGCATGCATTTTCTTCTTCCTAAATGATGTCCCTATATTTCTGACCTCTGCTGTCGCCGCTCCATTCACTTCATTCACCTTTTCTGCTGGCCGACAAATTGTCGCAAAACATTTAACGCTCAGGATTGGGTCAGCCAGCATCAGAGGAGGAGGGGAAGGGACAGCAGGACGACTTTGTTGGCGGCACTCTCCAAGAGCAGCATACAAAAAATTCCTTTGAATTACGTCACACAGCCGTGTGTGTGTTTCCATGGCGGCCTATGGCTATGCGCAAAAAAGGACATCTCCTCCGGCGGTGTGGCTCCGGTGGCAGGATAACGGAACTGACCAGCCGCCACCCAGTTCGGCTCGGTTGGGAGGTGTGGCTGCATTGTGTGTGCGCTTCTCTATTATGCATTGCGTACAGCCTCTGCCCGGCGTGTTGACATTTTTATTCCAAACAGTTGAGCAATATTTATAGACTAACCGCCCAACGAGGAGGCGGAGGAGGAGGGAGTGCTGGTCCATGGTGCATGGCCAATGGCTTTATTTCGTGGCTGTAAAGCATCCTCGTGCCTTGCAGCTTATTAAATGTGCTATTTGATTAACATTGTTTCTACGCCTCCACAGCAAATGAAAGGACCAGGGCGAGTCCTTGGAACATGGAAAAATATCAGGAAAATTACAGAGAAGAAGCAAGCATTTCCAAGCTAATTAATTTGAATAGAGGTATTTAATATTCATTTTATTGCCAGGAAACCACTGCAAAAACAAATCTTTCACAAAAAATATTGAACATACTGGCTAGTAATGTTTAAATATCTTCTGTTATCATTCATTCCTTATATAAAGACGAAAAATTAGCTCTAACTACTAGACAATTAAGCACATTTATCTATACAAATAGTTTTAATTACCAAAAGTAGTTGCAGACCTTTCCCATATCGAACAACATTTGCTAAGGCCAACAACACTGTCACTCTAACATTACTCAATTAACCGAAAATGTACAATTTACCTTTGCCACTCAATTGCTTTTGTTTTTCTTTGGCAGCTTATTAAATGTCATATTTTGCGGGCCCAGAGGCGAGGAGGAGGCCAAGGCGCTGGCAAAGTCTGGATTTGTTGATGTTTGCTTGTGGAGAAACACCTTGGAGCCGGCCCATCTAAGGCACTGGATCCTCTAATTGAATGACAATATTATGCCAAGGCCTAATTCAATTTGCATTGCTTGGGAAGAGCTGCAGGTGGTGGAGCTGCTGCCAGAGACGGTACATTGATGTAATCTTAAACAAACACGGCAATTACAGCAAAACGGATGCACTTGTCTGGCCCGAAAATGACTTGGCCTCCGTGTAATTAGCCCCAGGGGATGAAAGAAAGGATGCGGGATGGTGGCGGCATGGGTTTTGTTTTGCCTTTGTCGGCCTCCTCTTCGGGGGTCCCGGGCTAATTATCACATTTTTACTCATTAAATTCACATTTGCCTGTTGCCTTTTTTGCAGGACCTGCGTCGATTCGGTTGCCTAATTACGGGGTAATCAGGCTTTCAGCCGCCTCGGCTACCGTTGACCCGGGCGAATGATGATTGATTAGGACCAAGTAGGTATAAAGCGAAGTAAATCTAAGATTCCTTTGCTCACATCTTATCACATCTGCATTCCAGGTGACTTGGCTGATGCGCGTGCCAAAACAAAAGGAGGCAAGGCGAGGAAAGTGCAAACAGCAGCTGAAATGGATATGGAAAGCAGGCAGAACAACGACGTTGCGCGCAAAGGGAAAAAGCAAATCGAAAACTGATTTGGAGCGGAAGTTCGTTTGCACCTTTCTGCAGTTTCCTGTATTTGCCGTCGCCGTCGCTGTCAGAACAATAAACACACATATGGCGAGGGCCCAGCCACAATCGCAATCAGAACTGCTGCCGAGTGAGTGTTCTATAAAGTACCTTGACTTGTCTTGGCCTTTGACGCCGTCTTTTGTACCAAGGGAATTCAGTCAGCTTCAGTCAGTCGGCCCGCCCGTTGGCTTTTGTGTTTGACTTGCGAATCAAAAGCTATATGGGCACAGATTAGGGATATGCGTATGCACCGAGGGAAATAAGTGCAAGTAGAAGTTTGAAAGTCGGTTTTAAACTTAAGAGTTCAGTTTAAGAGGTTCTATAACTTAGTTAAGTTCATTTGTTAATTTAATTTTGAGAAAACTTCCATTTTAACGACAATTTTCTAAATATTTTTAATAAATAAGTTACCTGTACGAGTTTTATTGTTAAAAAAGAAAACTTTGAATAGTTTTCTGTGTAAAAAACCTAGTTCTTCCCTGTGTATGCAAAAGCAACCAGGAACAAGGAGCAAGGATATGCCGGCAGCTGCTCCTTCCTTGTGTACGCCTGCTATTTGATTTGCGATTCAAGCCAAGGCGGAAATGGAATGACACGCGAGGCACTCCACTCGGCAGTCGGAGACTCACTTTGTTTGAGGATTTCGGCAAAAATTGTGCCTCCATTTTGCCTGTCGACAAAAAAACAAGCCATTGAGGAGCCCGCGGACCAACTTCCACTTGAGCCGCACGCATTGTTTGCTCTCCTTGAGCAGCCAAAGAATGGGCGTGCTGGAGGGAAATCGGATATAGGATCGCAGCGCAGCGCAGCGAGTTTTCCAACCCACTGAGCAGCCGCAATCCGGAATCAGCTGCCGGCGAGGGCTAGAGGCTAGATTGAGGAGGTGCCAACCTGGGCCACGCGTGTCCCTCTGTACGCAGTGATCAAAATTGGACACTGGGCCATCTCATTAGCGCGCAGAGGGTCGCAGGTTAATGATGCGCACCCCCGTGCCTGCGCTTCCGCCTCCGCTGGCAATTATGCGACGCACTTGAGCTTGAAGAGCTGCTGCTGCTGCTACCAAGGAGGAGGAGGAGAAGTTCGAGCAGGAGCCAAGTAGAAGCAGTAGCAGTTGACAGTTGTGGAGATTCATTGACCCCGGGGCAGTGGCTAGGGCTCGGGTTTTATGGTGTCGTCGTAAATGTCAGGTGTGTGTGCAGTGTGAGCACCCCATTTAAATTTATTTAACGTAATTAGTTCTCTATGTAAAGTGTAATTCAAATGCCAAACTACAAGTGTTAAGGGGGAAGTAAGTGCTTCTACCGGATTACGCTGCACTTCTTCCGCCAGCCACGAACCCAAAATTCGATTTCCACGTTTTCAGATAAATTTTGTGGGGCGGATTATGGGACATATGTACATATATATATATATATATATAAATGTACACCTGCAGGTGGAAAAACATGCAAAAATGATCATTGCGAGATATGTGAACGGGACATGACGCCGCAGGATGCCAAACAGAGGATGCGCTCCCTCCATTCCCGCCTCGTTTTTATCGGGGAATTCCGTGACGATGGCAAAAATATTGCAACGCAGCCGAAAGGGAGGGAATAGGGAATGGGAACAGGCCTTGGTCCTGCTCTATTTCGTGTGCACATCGTTATCCTTGCCCCCGGATGCACAACAATCAAAATAAACGGCTGCCAAATTGACCATTGACCAAACATCGTCAGCAAGCGAAAACGAGGAGGTGGAGCAGGAGAATGTGGTGAGGCGGAGGAGGAGCTGGGACACACCAACACCATTGAGCTGGAGTGAGGCACAGCCACATCATCTTCGACACTATCACGTAAATTTCGAATGGAGGCGAGACATCAAGGACGACATAAACATGAAATGCTTTTGTTTTTTGAATTCGAACCAAGGAAAATCTATTAGAGAGGAAAACCTTTAGAATATTTCGATCAATAAAAGAGTTCAAGGTACAAAAACGAATGTAATCAAAAGCCAAGACAATATAGATGGGTTATCATTTGGAAATTCAAATGTATGGACACATCTTGATCATTTATATTCCTATAATATAATAGACTATAATTGATACTCTATAAAGCCAAACTGGTCGCCTCATAATTAACCAGAAATGTTCGCTCATCTCGATGTCTTTTGTCCCCACTCGATTTACGCGATATTATTGCAAAATAATGAAATCGCCAAGAGATTCCAATTCAATCTACGCGCCGCGTAGGCCATTTATGGATTGGCATTGATTTAATACCGCGGCGCAGCGATCGCCTCCAGGTTTTGGTCTGCCAGGCGTCCCTCGAGTCCGAGGCGCAAGGCATTTTGCACCTACTTCAGGGCCCAAGCCGAAGTTGCCGCTCCAAAGTCCGAATCTGATCTGATTCCCGCCGCCTATCAGAGCTGAAGATCAGCGGCGGCAGACGCCACCGCGGTGGCGTAAAGAGCAGGGACCAAGAGACGAGAGGAGGGCATTGCTACAGTTTAGGAAAAATCGTAGTCTTTTCTTTAGAGTATAAACTTTTTGAAAAGTTTAGTAAAAATGGTAAAAATTGTACCTATATGTTAAACTTTTGTTTAAAAAAATTAACCCAATTTTATACAATATTCTATATTTATTTTTCTTAAAAAAAACTTGCTTAAAAGACAACAAATTTAGTTTTCTAACTTGGAAATATCCTTGCGAATTAATAATTTTCTACAAATATACAGAAAATATGATCTTTCTTTTTGTTTTGTGTGCATGAATTTGGTAAGAATTCTGATGGGTTTTAATGCAAGGATTTTTTTCTGAATGCACCTCTCCAATGTTTATTCAATAAACTCGATCTTAGATGCCGTAGCTGAAGGAGGAGCAGGAGGCATACCCACAGCCAGAGCAGCAGCTGGCCCATTCAAGACAAGCCGCTGGAATTTCTTGGTGCGTGCTCGGCACAGGCACTGGCACTGGCACAGGTTCAGCTGGTTGCCTTGGTTCCTGGTCTCGCAACCTGGAGCTTCGGCGTCTGCCAGCTGCGTCTCCTGATTATGATAATGGCAGCCGGACTGGATACCACCACACCAGCTCCTCTCGGCTTTGGCCAGTTGTGCGCAATTGCTTTCGAATGATCGAATGCCTGGCAGCTCCGTTGACTTTCTGATTAATGCAAGAATGCTCCTTGGCGGCGTTCCACCTTTTTGCGACGATCCCACCACCACCATCACCACCGACTGCAATTAAAAGTGGCTACCCTCGTAGGCAGGGTAATTGAAGATATAGAGAAAACTCAGGACTCTGCAGCCTAAAAGTTTATTACTTTTAAATACTAATTCTGTTAAGATATGAAACAGAATACAAAAAAAAAAACGAAACAAAAAAGTGACTTTAGGATGATGCCACCCACCTACAAGATAATATATATTTTCTACTATAGCAAAAGAGTATTTCCAGTTCGTTTTTTGGTTGGAGACCCGCACAGATTGATTCTTGACCGGCTGCCGTCGCCTGCTGTGCCCGAACTCGAACCTGAATCTGAGCCTGAGCCTGGCCAAGATCGCCAGCAAACGACAGTCGCCAGCGAGCCTCGTGCCTGCAGTTGTCATAACGTTCAACACATAGCGCCTTTGCGGCCCCTCCCCTCTTTGGCGTCGTCTTGGTCTTGGCCAGGTCCTCCCCGGGCTCTGTGCGCTGCCATAAAAGGATTTGTCACGTGCGAGCTTTTGCTGGCAAGAGGCAACAATCATTGGCAGCTGGCAGAGGATTCGAGCAGCTCCATGGTGGTGGCTCTGCATTATGCATGGCACATGGCCAGCTCCGACATCGTTCGCAGCATTCCGCAGCAACAACAGCCGATCCCTTCGTGGTCCTGGTCCCGACCAGCAGATCATTGAAATTTATAATTAAGTGGAAATATGTTGTCTACGACAACAAGGCAACAAGGATCCCAGATTGCTGCCGGAGATATGAATTCCGCGCGAAAGTGAGGAGGGGTAACGGAGTGGAGAAGTAACAAATGCATTAGCAGGCCAAACAAGGACCAAATAATGTCCTGGGGCAATCCATTGTGCAAAGAATGGGCTCGGCCTCATACACAATTACCGTTAGGCACACACATACACCCACACAAAGGACTACAAATAGAGGAAGGACCTGGCTAATTCATGACTTTAAGGACACTTTGGCAAACAATCGAACGACCGACCAAAGCGAAGGCGTAGGAATATTCACTCTCCAATTGATTATGCATGAGTGTCGGCCTGTCTTGGTCGTGTGTGCGTGCCAATCAACTGGGGAGAATCAATCAAAATGCAATAGGATTGCCAATCAAAGGAAAAGCCGAGGAAAAAAGGGCTTTATTTTCCTCCAAGGAAGTGACTTCTGTCCAGGAGCAGCTGCAGCGCCGCTTAAACCCAAGGTGGCCAGGGATTCACCCAGGACACTCTTTTCGGACCACATCAGGGCAAATAGCCAAAGCTCCAGGTAACCAGGACAAACAATCAAATGTCCGGCGAAGCGAAGCGTTTCGGAATGGCCTTAAGGAGCAGTAGTTGTCGTACACAGAGAAAAAACTAATACCCAATTGGGATTAATCTTTAAATAAGTCGAATTAAATCTTTTACTTTTGGTTTATAAAGATTTCTTATCGATTTCCTTATAGATTTTGAAGATGTTTATATTTTTACAGGATAAAAACCATATTCTGGACTTTCTGGTTAAGAAATCAATTGATATTATGAATCCTTTGATATATAAGGTGATATCAAAGGATTCATAAAATCAATTAAATTCTTAACCAAAAAGTGTTCATTCATTCATTTCATTTTATATAGACACAACGACTTCTAATGTATTTATTGTTATTATATCCTTTTCTATATAAAAAAAATTACCTAATACTCATTTCTCATTTAAAAATTAAACAGATTTTCTCTCTGTGCAGAGCTGTAAGCGTAGCATTTATTTGCCGAGCGCACTTTTTGCATTTGCCAAACATGGTAGACGAACGGCCAGGACGAACGAGGAGAAGCCTTGTCCTGCGAGTGTTTGAACACGAGCCTACCTACACACACACTCTGGTCGTGGTCGTGGCCGGGGACCGAGTACTTTGCACCTGTGTTTGCACTTAAATCGAGTTTGCTGTTGATGAGCAGCAGCCCGAGACAAACCTACCTACATATGTACAGTCGGACGGGCTACCCGGTTAACTTGGCCAGTTGGCCAGTGTAATTGCGGCGCCCCCACCACCATCACCACTCACCACATTCACAAAGTCCTGGAACGTCACGTAGCCGGGTCCTGTGGGCAGTTGCGCCTTCTTGGCCCGCTCCAGCAGCAGCTCTCGCTTGTTCATAGGCACTTGGGATAGAAATTCTGGCGATCTTAGGGCCAAAACGAATTCTTCGAAGGATATTTCCCCGAAACCTTCCGGATCGAACTGAAATTTGAGGGAAATTCTTAGAGATTCTGGGGATCCAAGGATAAGCAGGTTAACTCACCATATCAAAAAGTAGTTTCCATTTCTTGAGGTGCAAAGGAAGCAGAAAGAGTTGAAAATTTAGTAGGGAATATATTTAAACTTCAAGAGGATTTCTTTTGAGATCAACCTTATATAAAAAATTAGATTTTTGAGTAATTTGTACTCACATCTCTCAGTAACTCCCTGCGAAGCTCAACTTCATCAAAATCCGAGTTGAGGGAGGTGTGTTCCGTGTCATAGCCGGCATCATTGGTGCATTGCTAGAAGAGGAATTCAAATTTAAAATGTAAATGTATCAATATTTCATCAACTAAGCAACTCACGTAACGCATTTGGGTGTGCGAAATGGAGCCAATGGACGCCAAAGATCCGGCTATGGTGGATATGTGTTCGATGTCGGCCAGCGTTTCCTGCTGGCTACTACCGCCGGCATTCTGCTGGCTCGTTGGGAACTCTAGTGCCCGCGAGCTTCCACGCTCGGAGCCGGGCCACATCCTGATGATTCCGGCTATCCTCCAGGTTTGGTTTGTGGGATCCAAGCTACTCTGGCAGTGATGGTAGCAATAAGAACTCCTTTTCTCTATTTCCTTTCTGGAATTAATAGAATTTACTTTGTAATTTTAGTTTTTTAATTTAATATATTAGTTTTAATTTAAATTGATAATATTTTGCCTTTGCAATGCCCCAATTGGAGCCATTGTGCAGAGCTTTCGAAAGAGAGCTTTTCCAAAAGCTCTTCTGGCTTCTATTGAGGCAAACATTGGAAGATGTTCCCGTTGCTACCGACTTGGTCGAGTGCGTTGAGATGCCGCTCCTCTTCCAATTTTGTTGTCCGCGGTTCAATTCCCGCGCGAGACGGAAGACTTTTATTTATATTTCTAGTCTTGTTTGTGGCCTGTGGAAATTAGTTGTTGCAATTTGTCGTGTTTGAGATTGCCGCACTGCTCCGCGGGCCCAGAAAATATTCCGGATAATCATAGGCTAAAGCCGGTAATCAATACCTTAGTCTATTTCATGCCCGGCATACAGATTTCCCTTTTTTTTTCCATGTTTTTCCTGCCTTTTGTTTTGATTGCCAAGGCAACGGCGCTGCCCTTCCATCCTTCCCAACTTCCCTTTGGTCCTTGATAAGAAGGTTATTGATCCAGGCTAGTTTCCTTGTTGACGTTATTCCGCAGGGGGATGAGGGGTTAAAAGAACTGCGCAGAATCCGGAGTCTGGCAAACAATTGTTTTGCATTTTGTTTACGCCTCGTCAATTGCCGGAAATATTTGTTTTCGATTTTGTTGAATTAAACTTGGCAATTGGCATTCATTGAATGAATGAAATTCGCTTTCTTTTCTTTCCTTCCAGCCAGAGAAAAAAAAATTGCTTGCTTTGTGATTTTTTCTTTGTTGTCTTTGCCGCCGCCTTAGTTATATTCTTCTACTAGAGGTTCTTGTATATTTCAGACATTTACCTTTTGGTTTTCACCCACAAATAATGAATATTTATTTATAAATTGCACATTTACGTCCAGGCAACACAACAAACAAGCAAACTTTCCACCGGCAAAGTGACAACTGACAGGCAGGCAGAGAGAGAGCTAAGCCAAGAGAGTGTGTGTGAAAGCGAGCAAGGGGTTGCCAGGCTCCGCTGTTGGGGGGAGGGAGACTACCCACACATGCGCCGTTATTGGAAGGCATTTCCAACCCGTTGGCATTTGCTCTTTCTCGTTCACCCCCGCGCAACCTCACGAACTTCGACTACCGCAATTTCGAACGGTTACATAGATGCAGCTTTATTGAAATTTACACGTACCACATACATATGAAGACGAAGGAAGAAGAGAATGCTCTCTCCGTGCCCCACTCAACACTCTGCTACAGGGTTTCCGATTTCACATTGATGATATTTTTTTAATACAAGATTTTGTTAAAAGTTACTGAATACAAACCAAAAGTGATAGCAAAACATATAGGATTTCAACTGGAAATTTTAGAATACATTTAAAATTTAAGGAAATTATTAAGACTTTTGATTACCTAAATAGGTATCAAATAAAAATAAATTGTAATGAAAAAAAGATGCAAGATTTTTTAGATTAAAGGTTACGTTAAAATCTTTAAATATATATTATTATATTATATATTATTCAAAAATCAAGCAACAGAGGGAAGAGTGGTCTCAGAGAGATGTAGCAGGTGATGTTGTTGGTTAATTTAAGGTGGTAAGGTGTGATAAGGATTATTGTGTAAGACACAGGCGTGATGTCGCTTATGAATCAAATTAAATTTATATATATATATGTACGTAATGTAAGGTAACTAATGGATAACATAGTGTTATAAATATTATTACTGCCAAGCGGAGAACGCAATTATTTACAGTTGCTTACGGTTACGGTCTAGTCTAGAGTTCTAGTTCTAGGTCCTAGTTTATAGAGCTAGATTTATATAGAACGATTCTCCTCCTTGGAGCGAAGGTGGATGATGCGAACGAAGGCAAAAATAGGTAGAATGAACACAAATCTAGGAACAGATCGAACAATTAAATTCATTTACACTCATCTATATATGTATATATATGTCGTATATCTAGAGAATAAACACTCGATCCGCGGGTCGAATTTAATTCTTAGGGATTCTTCTTTAATCTCCAGCTGCCTTGCTAGCCTATCTTCTAATATTTCCGCTGCTTTCTCCTCTCATTCTGGTTCCGGTTTTTAACAATATTTACACTTCTGGCGATCTTATCAGAGCGCTGGCTTACAACAAGGTAAGGTTACATCATATACATGTATAATCTAGCATTTATATATATATAATCGAATATTTTTTCGTTTGCTTGGGGTTTCTCGTGAACATAAAAGTCGCGAAAGAGTCGTTCCAACGATATATAACACTGTAATTTGCCTTTTAAAACGGAAAACAGAGGAAGCAAACGAAAAAAACAAAAAAAAAAAAAACATTACAACAAACTCTGAAGTCTACAGCTAAGTTATCCTACATCCAATCCGTGTGCTTAGCCCTCGACCATGCGCTCCGTTCCAGCGTCACACTGCTCAATGACCAGGCGGGCGATGCGCTTGATCTCGCTGTAGGGCGTCTCGTGCTCGATGAGCTCATTCAGGATCTGGATGCCATTCTCCTGCTCTACCAGTTGACAATATTTCTCGGGGTAAACCTAGGGAGAGAATAGTTAAGAAGGGTTCTATGAATCCTCACCGTGTGTAACTCACCTGCGTCAGATTGGCCAGAGCCCAAACAGCCCAGTGCTGGCATTGGGGCGTCTCATAGCATCGCACCAGGCTAAGGATCGGCTCAAAGCTCCGATAGTTGATGTTGCGTTCGCTCTTGATGTTCCAGCGCTGAATGGCGGCCACCATACGCTCCAGAACATGCTCCCGACTGGGCGTCTTGATGGTCCAGGCCTCGGCACCGTCAGAGGCGATGTGTGCCAGCACTCCAGCCGCATTGTAGCTGACCTGGAAGCGCAGGTTAGCATGGTTAGCACTGCCCATCTCCATCTCCCTCTCCCGCACTCTCGCCAGCAAACTCGCACTAGCATCAGATCCACCCACCTCGATGCCGTCACTTAGGGAGTCCAGCAGGCGGGCGAACACCTCGATGAACTCCTGGGTCATCAGCTTGGGCCGGAGCCACTTCACCTCGGCCACGTTGCCCAGCAAGCCCATCATGTTGCGCAGCAGCTCGTCACGATCCGGGAAGGTCTGCGGTTTAGCGTAGATAAAGGGGAGATTATGACAAGGACTCGAATTAGATTATCAAAACTCACATGTAAACACTTGAGGAAATACTCCATGCCTCGACCATCAAGGAATCTCTTACAATTAATAGCAGTCTCATCAGTTACATTCCACATGGTGGACCAGGCCACCTCCATTACATCGTCGAAGACAGAGCGCGTCAGGCGATCCTTGATCAGGGTCAGCATGGTCTGTTGGATAATGCAATTTAATATATATTCTGTTTTGGACTCCCAATCGAGGCTCAACTCACACTGACTACACCCAACTCGCCCAGGAAGAGCTTTTGGCGTCCGTCCACCTGGCATGCCAGTGTGTTTAGAAGATAGATGGCAATGCGCTGAACGAATCCCTCCTGTTCCGTCTTGGAGACGCCGTGCAGCAGGATCTTGATGAGACGCTCGTACTCGAACAGCTGGAAAAATATAGATTTAAGTAATCTTTGCAGCTTTTATGGTAGTTTTTAGACTCGGCAACTTACCACATCGGCGGGCATGTGGAACTGGGTGAGTGTGAGGTAACCATTCCGTAACATGGTGTCGTCCGTGAGATGCATTTCCATGCCGTTGAGCAGTGTGCGAATGATGTGGTTCCGCAGCAGAGTTCCAAACTTTGAGCGATCTCTGCCCTTGACAATGTAGAATAATGTGGCACTAGAAGTGGATTTTGGGGCATAGTTGTAGATAGATAGTAATAGATCATCTGGGAATTCCCAAAAGTATTCCGTTTTCTCCACTCACCTGCCGGAGATTTGCATGTGCTTAAATTTAAGATGCCGATCCATGGCGGACAGCACTACATCCAGCGCTGTGTGTATGTCCTTGCAGTTCTCGAAGCGAAACAGATGGTACAGATCGTTGAGTACCTAAAAACGATACGTTAGATAAGATCCAAATCTAGACAGGACCCCGCGCACTCACCCTTGTCAAAAGCACCGGTCTGTCGTGATAATACCGCGCTGCCGTGAGGATCTGCTGCTCGTTGGCATCTCCGGCTACCTCCAAAGCCGGAATATCGTGTCTTTTGCAAGCCCAATGGGCGGTATGATAGAGTCCCAGAAACTGCAGTGGACGCTGAGTGCGCGATGCCAAGCCAGGGATATCAGTAAGGGCAAAGTTTTGCTCCATCTTAGTGCTGCTGGACGACTGTATGGCGGTACTGGCGGCACTTGTCGACTCCTTGGTGGCCACGCCATTGCCAGCCAAATTCGTACCCGAGATGTCCAGGTGAGTCAGGTGTCTCAGGTTGTCCATCAGCATCTCCAGCGTTTGGTCGGGTAGGTCATATGTGCCCTGGCCACTGCCGGAACTGGAAATGGATATGTCAAGTGTGCACAAGCGCCGCAGGCAGCAGATGGCGTGCAGCTGGTTGGCAATGGGCCACACATTGAAGAGGATGAGCGTGTGCAAGTTGGGCAGCGAGCCCAAAGCCTCCAAACTGAAGTTGGCCAGCACGCAGGAGGTGAGGTCCAAGTGCCCAAGATCGTGCAAATGGGCGAACTGCAGGCGATGATGCATTACCACGCCGTTGAGAACCAAACGCCGCAAATGCGGGCATGTCAGCTGAAAGTCAACCGGCTCCTTCTCGTTGGGCTCCGCATACTGCAGCAGATGGGAGCTGATTCCGAGCTCCAAGGAGCGCAAGCTGTCGCCGTAGTGGGCCAGCAGGTGGTGAGATCGCACGGTGATCGTATCGCAGTACCACATGGACAGCGCGAATAGCTTGTGGCGCATCAAGGTCTCCAAACCTGGAAAGATGTAAAGATGCCAGAATTACCCCTTATGTCCCATTGACAATTCAAAGAAAACCATAAAGAAAATCGTCTCACCAATGCTGCTCAGCGTGCTGTTGCGCAGATTGACAATCTTGAGCGAGGTACGCTGCGTGTCCTCAAAAAGACAGATGACGCTGTCGTCCAGCGGTCGGTTAAAACGCTGGTAGTTCTCCAAGAAACCGTCACAGATCTCGTTGGGCAGGACAATGCCCGAGTTGAGGCAACGCTGGCCATCGGGACGGAGTCCGCTGATGATGTCCAGGTTGTTGCATAGCTTCTGGTAGGCAATCTCCTTAAGGGTCAGCGGTTCCTCGTCCAGAGACCCGTCCTCCATCAGCCGCACCTTGCAGCTCATCTTCGGGCCACAAATTTTGTGCTCAATGATGGTGTCTGTAAATATAGGGAGTCAAAAGGAGAAGTGAATCTATTTATTGACAAGTCAGCTTTATCCTCTTTACTTTGTGATTTTGCTTTGTTTTGACATACTTTTCGTTTCTGTACTTATTGAGCTAATATTACTATTAATATTTTGTTGTTCCAAGATTTTGTCTAATCAAAATTATAGTCCATATTATGAACATAATTTACTCATAAAAAACCAAGTTATGGTAGTTTTTATTATATTATATGACATCATTTTGTTGGATTTTGGTTTTAATGATTGATAATTGGGCGTAAATTAATAAGTATTTAATTGAAAGCGGTTTTTTTTTACAGAAACTGAGACGTTCTAATTTAATTAGATGATAGCAGAGTAGGAAATGTCAAGTATTTATCACCTTTTACTACTCGTTCCAAAAGAAAACTTGTAATCTTTGTAAGCCAGACACTTTAGGAGTTAAACTGTCACTTTTAGACAATAAGAAACATTTACATTTAATGGTTTACCCCTGAAAAGAGCTAAGAATGGATACATAAACACCTAAAGATGTATTAAATTATTTTAATATTTTAGCTTGAGTGTAAAAATCCATATTTATATAAGTAAATTGCACATTTTTAGGTTCACTAATTACTTAAATAATGAGAAAGGAAGTATTTGTAATAATTAGAGGACAGAGACTTATTAAGAGTTGGTGACGACAAGTGGCGAAGTAGATAAAACTGGCAGTTATGCCCTAACCGGGCATTAAGAAAGGAAATCAAGTTCTCCCTACAGACAGCTAGCTCAACAGTAACTCTTAAAATTGTAGCTTATAAGTAAGTTCTCTTTGAAGAAAGGTATGTTCCGAGCAATGTTAACACATTAATCTTTTAATTTGTACCGTTTACTCCAAAACTTTATTTACATTCAAGTTTTAAGGAGTGCAAGTCACTTTAAGAGCGAAAAGTGGCTTGACCTCTAATTGAAATCAGCTCTACACGCCTTTTCGAACGCAAATTTCGCTGGATGACTGGTCAATCTTGGCCAGACTTCGTCTACCCACCACACTGGGCACGTGTCGTTGGGCTTAATCTGATTCATGTTCTTGAGGTCTGATAGCCAAACCTTATATAATGGCATCCGAGATAGGGACTCTGGATTATACGGACGGAAGGGCCCCAACACAGAACCAAAACAAAACCGAAGAAGAAGTCCAAGTCGTGTGTATGTACATACGAATACGGAATGTGCTGGCTAATAGTTATTCAAGTTCCGCGGATCACACAGACACAACGGAGAATGCCAACAAACAAACAAGCTTCTGTGTGAGGCTGTGTGTGTGGGTGCGTCGCAGTTATTGAAAAAAGCGAAGAAAAAACACAATAAAAAGCGAAAAGCGTCACCATGTCTGTAGCTTATCAAGGAGAATGAATGAATATCGAGACAGCCTGAACAAATCGAAACGAGCCGAGGCGAACAAACATAACTCCGAACAGCTGTCCGAGTATTTTTATCAATCCCATCCCGCGATCTCCACGCGTTCTGTACCTTTTATTGCTTAACGTTGCCCCAAACGGCCGTAGCAGCCTCCAAAAAAATGTCCCTTGCTGCTTTGTGCGTTTGCTTTGCTGTGTGTTTGCTGTCTTTGCTTTTGCTTTTGCACTTGCCACTGCGCTGCTGCTGCTGTCTTTTTTCTGTGTCTTTGCCTGCCAGCAACGAGCTGCGGCAAACTGCACTGTGCGCGGCGTGTTTTCCCGTGTTGATGCGCGCCCACAAATACAATTTGTCGCGTTTTTTTCGCGGAGGAAATCACTTCATTATTATTTTGATTTCTATTTTCTTTGTACGAGTTAGAGCTGCGAAGACTTCGATTGTTTTCAGAGATGCCTATCGGCGATGTCTTTATCATCGACTTGTCCTCCTACGGCTGGTCACACTTGTATCGCTCAAGAAGGACTCGTTGCGTTGCCACACTTTTCGAGGAAAATCGTTGGTTTTATTAATGTTTCTCAAATTTCCATAATTTTATGGGGCATAAGAACTTTTAAATTGTTCATGTGAGCAAGTTAGGAGGCAAAGCAGTGTGTCCTTGAACTGGAAATACAAAAAAATCGATAGTAGATAGTGTTGGTTAGCGCCGAAAAACAGTTTTATCTGCGGGGGAAATTTAAAAAAACATTGTCATTTAATTTTAAGAAATATTGAACAAAACATAAACAGGTCAAAGCATGAAGATTTAGATTTAAGCAATAAAAGTTGATTAAATGTGAAATAAAGGTGGAAGTAATTTAATTTCGTTTAAATGCGAAATTATTTGTCTTATCTGAATCTGGTTAAAATAAAAAACTATAATAAACCAATAAAACTACCCAAAAATATATAAATAAATATGTATACCAATAATTAAAATGTAAACTTAAAAGAACATTTCAATAAAAAACAAAATTGAATTTCAAACAATTGTGAAATAATAAAATATTAAAAAATTGGACTTCATTCCCTTTCACCCCCTATCAATACAGCTGAAATTCTTAATCGGGAAACTATTATTTATTGTGTAATTTAAGCGCTGAAATTAATCAAAGGTAAAATATACAGTTAGCTTTCCATTGCTTGGGGCCTTGTTTTTTCTTAGTGTATTATTATTTCCGTGTTGTCTCAGGGGATGAAGTAATACAAAATCAAAACACTGGAAGAATCCCCCGCCTTACGGGCCCAGGGATCTCCACACTCACTTTAAATCTAAATCACTGCGTTGCAGAGTAATCATCATCAATCATCTCAGCGTAATCATAATCTTTATCGTAGTCTGGCTGCCAACGTTCGTCTCTCGCTTGCGGACTGGCGTTAATAAATAAAAGTGCATCGATTTCTCATCGCTTTAGGTGCTATGTAAAAAAGAACAGAACTCGGGTCGGGACTTCTTTCTCATTCTCATCCTCCTCCTTCCATCTAGCCGGACAGATCGCCCTGATCGAAGATGCCCTGGTCGTAGAGCTCGGCCACCACCCTTCGGCCGCCAAAGAACCGGCCGTGGAGCGCCTCCTTGCCGCGCAGGGCCTCCGCGCCGGCCGAGAACTCGACGAATATCTTTACAATGATCTCCGCCTCGTCGTCGTCCTCGTTCTCCGTTTGCTTCTCATTGAAGATGATCACCCGGCTGACGGTGCCGAATTTGCTGCACTCCTCCTGGATCTCCTCCTGCAGGGTCTCGTCCACGTCCTCGGGACCCACCATGTTCCGCAGGATGATCACCCTCGAGTCTTGGGGCCGCATCAGACGCTGCATCACCAGCTGGCGGGCACTCTGACCCTTGATGGACATGGTCTCCTGCTGCTGCAGTGTCTGCACATCGCCCTCGTCCATCAGCTTCTTCTGCAGCTCCTCCTGCTGCTTCTCGTGCGCCTTCTTGATGTTCTCCGAGAGACTGGCCGCTGTCACGGCGGCATTGTTGGCAGCTGCCGAGAGAGCTGCGGCCGTGGCCCCATTGCTGACCTCCGCCGTGGCGGCCAAAGCGGCCACTGATGTGGGCAGAATGCCGACTGCTCCAACCCCGCCGCCAGCCACTGCAGTCATGGGCAGCGTGGGTGTGGCAAGCAGAGCGGGTGGCGGGAGAGTGGGTGCCACCGCCTGGAGAGGCTGCAGGCCGGCGGGCACTCCCAGCAAGCTGGGTGCCACGGCGGAGGGTGCCTGGAAAATGCCCGGCGGCAGGAGGGCCGCCGCTGGAGCTGCCTGAACGGCCAGCGCGGGATGCAGGGCAGCCGCTGATGTGGCAGCCGAAACTACTGGCATAGCACCCACCTTGGTGACCACCGCTCCGGCTGCCAGGGCGGGTGTGTTCTGCGACAGACCCAGCACCGCATTGCTGGCCACCGCATCCAAGGCCTGGATCTTGGCTGTGGCCGCTGCAGCAGCCACCGCAGCGGCTGTGGGCATTGTGGAGTTTGTTGTGGGACAGGCCAGGGCGTTTGGCGGCGTAATGGAGCGACCAACTCTGCAAGATTTCAGTTGGAAATTTAGCAAATCCTCCCCTAGGGTTACAAGCAAACTCACCGCAATAGCTGTCCGCCCAAATCAAAGAGATTCATGCTGGCTATGGCCTCGTCCATGGCCTGCTTGTTGGCATACTCGATGAAGCCGTAGCCCTTGTGCGTGTGCAGGGATGTGCCCTGGGCCAGTTTGCAGTATAGGATCGGCCCGAAGGCCTCAAAGACGCTCTTGATGTCCTCCTCGGACAGATCCGGATGTATGGACGCCACGTAGATGCGGTTAAAGCTCTTGGCCTCCTCCTGTACCTCGTCAATGACCTGCTGAGCCTGTGGCATGTTGCTGGGTCGTCCCACCTTGATGTTCCTGCCGCCCATCAAGGCTCCGTTCATCTGCTCCAGCGCCAACTGAGCGCCCTCGGGTATTTCGTACTCCACGAAGGCAAAGCCCTTGTGCTTTTGGGTGATGGGATCCCACGACATATTGATGGACTTGATGGGTCCAAACGGGGTGAAGGCCACCCGGATGGTGTCCTCTTTGAGCTCAAAGGAAATACTGCCCACGTAGACTCTGGAATGGCGAATAAGAAGAGATGTTATTAGAAAGGTTTACTCTTTTTTTGATCATTTACTTGGAAAAGCGGAAAGTGGGAGTCAGATCTTATCAGCTAAGAGCGCACAGTGACTGGGAACCTCTACGCCTGTCTCCAGTAACGCGGAGCTACAGTCGCGGGACCCAATCTTCGCCAGACATTTCATGAGTTTTACATCAGAATCTCCCGTGTTTTAAGCCCCAAAAGACCCCCGAAACAGTCTCTCTCACCTGCACATTAAAGCGAGTGCCTGCTGGCGCTGCACCTGGGTGCGCTGGGTGGCCAGCTGCTGCTGCTGGTGGGCCAGGGTCTGCTTCATCAGCACCATCTTGATGCTCTGCTCCATGGCATACTTCTTGGCCTTGCTGACCAGGTCGTGCTGCTCCGATGAGAGCTTGGGCAGAGCGCCGCCGAGGAGGCCCAGCAGGGCGGAGCGTGTGCCTGGCCCGAACTTGACATCGCCCGTCTGCTTCAGGTCGTACAGGGGCTGCGAAAGGTAGGGAATTTTCGAATCCGTGGACTTGCCTAGAATTGGGAAGAGGGATTAGTGCATCTCATACTGAGGAAGGGGGGCGGAGTAGTTCGCTTGAGTTCATCAGCTCTATGCAATTGGTTTCTGTTTTTGGGGAATTTTTCGGGTTTGACTTTGCTTTCTTTTTCAATTTAAAATTTTTTTTTTGGATTTTTCGATTATCTTGGTTCCAAAAACTGTGGACAAATGTGAGTCCGAGAAAGGGTTTTGAAATCTTAATCGCCTAAAAGACAAAAACTGCCTGCTGCCTGCAAGAAAGATGAAGACAAAAAAGAACAAAAATAAGAAAACAAATTTTTAATCAATATTGAGAGAGTCGAGGCGGGGGGTGTAGGCTCCATTTTTCGGATCGGATCAATAACTGTCATCGACTTTGCCCCGATATACATTAAGCAGCTAGACATTACATTTGTTGGACGAGGAGGGTCAGATAGTTGCTACGATTCTACCGTCTAGGCAGGAGGTCTTAGGTCTTGGGTTTTTGTCAGTGTTTTTGGCTTTTTATAAAGAGAGGCTGGAAAATGCAAGAATAAAAAGAGAAAGCTCCCGTCAAATTAAAACATATACGCTTATCAATAGGCAATTGGTGGAAGACATAGTGTGTATGTGTAGATGTGATGCAGTGTAGATATAATACGTAAATAGGACGAAATAGGACATCCACCGACACATCCGATTGTTGGTCGTCGGCTCTGTTATCTCGGGTATTATCGAACTGGGCACACAGCACGATGGGGAGTCCGCCGCCTGTGCGTGTGCTCAGCTCTGGCAAAAAGTGTGTATAGTTTTCATTAAAAAATTAGAAATTATAAGCGACCTTAGGTGCGGTTTTCGTATTCGTATTCGGTTTTCAGTTTTCGATTCGATTTCCATGAGTTGGGGGCGTGGTAATTGACTTGAAGAAGGGTCACACACATTTTACATTGCTCAGAGTGATAAAAAAGAGAAAAATAAAAAAAAGAAAACAAGACGCTGAAACGATAATAAGAGCAACAATATGTTTAAATTGGTTAGGTTCTCCTCCGCCCTACCTATGCACATAAATTATGTTCTGTTCTGTTCTGATCTGATCTTTTCGCTACTCTCTTGGTTATGTATTGGGCTTGGCACCCCAGCTGGACTTCAACCGAAGAAGAAATCAGTGCAATTTTTAGTGCGGATCTTGGGGATCGTTGAGATCGTGCTGCGGATTGATGAAGTGATTACCCCTTTGTGGACTTTATGACTTTTATGGCGACATCGGACCCTTTGGTTTATCGGAACAACTAACTGACTAAGCTAGGCTAGGCTATGACAAAACACATAAATTCATTGGTACTTAATGTAAATGCGCGCAACCACACTGGACAGGACCGGAATCAGAATCTGGAGCCCGGATCAGTCCCCAACAGCAGCTAGCTGGCGGCACACGAACGACGACGTGATGGCGAGGTGGTTAGAAGCGGATTAATGTCGATGTTCTTGGTTGGTTGGGCTGTTTTGTTGGTAGTTGGTAGTAGTAGTAGTAGTAGAGTAGTAGTGGAGTTATCTAATTGGGCATCATCTCTCTCTCGATCTCAATAACCGACCTCGACATCGAGCTCGAATTTGAGTCTTGACAAAACTTAGTCTTAGGCGGAACAAACTTAAAAGGAGAAAAAATGCTTACGATAACTAAAAAAGAGAGATATAGAAGAAAGAGAAAGAGAGAGATAATAGTTATATATGCATTTTAGATTAGTTTATGGCGATCGATTCGTTGACATTTACGCGTCTCATTTGCATATATTTATCGTTTGTTTCTTGTTTCTTATCGACTGGGGTATCGCGCCTTTTTCGATTTCGGCGATAGACTGACTCTCAACTCGATAGCGATATCGATTCGTTTCGATTTGTTTGACTCTCACCTCACCTCACACCTCACACAGTCTGAGTTATAGAGTTCATCGTGCGTTTATGAAGTCTGCAATTACTTAAGCAGAACAAAAAGAAAAACCGATTATTTAGTGGCGTCAGGTGCTGCCCTTAAGATGCAACGGAGTAGAGTAGAGTAGTAGTAGTAGAGTACAAGTAGGATCAAAAATATATGGTGTGCTTATGTTTAATGCTTAGAGAGAAACAAACAAAAATGCAATACAATATTTAGCCGGCTCCTTACGGCTCCTCGGGGACTTGATGTTGTTGATTGTTGATTGACCTATTAACCACACACTGAACATGTTTTTGGGACCGCCTCCTCGGTTATCATTCCATCATACTTAGTTATTTATAGACGAACAGATGGGAAACTTACCAGAGTCGGAGCGCGATCTCTTGGTGGCCGGCATGTCGCTGATCTCGCGCTGATCATCCGAACGCGGCGATCTTGATGCTCTGTCGTTGCTGCCCTGTGGAATGAGAGAAAAACAAGGGGTTAGTTCATAATTTTTAATACTTTTCTGGGCCTTAAAATTTATGTGTGCCATGGGAAATCAAATAAAATGATTTGTTTTTAAATTTCTCAAGCATGTCTCGCTATTCTCATTTTCTGAATGTATATATGCACATTTTTTTTATTGCTTTAAATTTGTATTTTACGGATAAATGATCAAAAGTGTATGGCAGATGGCGAAAAGTTTGGATATCTTCTCGAGGAAAAACTATTAATTATACTACTACAAAAGGTTATTATTTATGATCGTCAAAGGCTTGCTGTTCCAATGCAATTACTTTTTTCTACTGCCGTCATCGGTGATAAAAACAACGCCAGACAACTTTGAATGAGGTTTATATTAGATAATGTAAAGCCATCACCATATGGTTACATCCATCTATCTAAAAACTGCCCCGAAGCCTCACCAGTCCCCTCTCCCATTCACAGATAAACCTTCAGCGGCAGAGGAGCGAGCGCGTGGTGGTGTCAACTGCGGGATAGATACACACACTCCCCTAGGTCGCCTGCAACAGAGACGTCGGCGCTCCAAGCGGCGGCAAGGTCACAACGGGGTGCTCCCAGCACCGCCGCCCGCACCCGCTCCTCGCCTCTTCGCGCACTTTTCCCCCTGCAGCTGCCGACGCCGCTGCCGCACATTACAACAACGTCACACAGAGGCATCGAAAAAATGCGCAAATTTCACACGCTTTGCGGGACACGCTATGCCGAAAAAGGCTGCCAAACACACGCCGCCGCCGTAATTGCATGTCCATTTGCTAATACTAACCATGATCGCTGTTTTCCGGGTATTTTATTGGCAATTTGCTATCCGCAACACTGTTTATTTGTTAATTATTTCTTTTGCAAAAACTTGTCAAGATGGATATTCGACTAGAGGTGGTAGAAAAGAAGAAAATCGAATGTTATCAACATTTCCCACCTCTTAAAAATTTTCCCCTAAAAAATCCACACACCTGATACGAGAACCACATCGAATGTCATCAAGGGAAAATACTATCGATATTTTGAATACTTTAAAATATACCAAATAATATTATTTCGATAGGTATTTCATTGACATCCGGTCACACTGCCACTTAAGAAGTTTTTAAAATCTCGCAACTCGTCTATATATTTTTCTCGAATTATAAATCTTAAACTATATATACCTATTTAAAATGACAAGTGAAAAAAATCAAAAAATCCAAGACTAAACCAAAAATCGGCCAATTAAATATATACTTGTATGTCGAATGACGACAGCAGTGTGTGCCTGTATTGTAATCTGATTCCGCAGTAAAAGGTATACGTGTGATTCCCCCCGGATACTGGGTGGAATGCAAGTAAGCTTGTCATCTTTTAAAATTTACAACTGCATGTAGTTTTTCTTTATTCAACCCTTTTCTTAAGGACTACGACTAAAATTAAACTATGCTTTAATATTTACAACTCTCGATCATTCAGGGAGAGTTTTCTTTTGCCGCTCTTGTGTTTTTTGTTAGGGGTCTTTTTCTCTGACGTTTCTTAGGTGCGGAAAATGGGATAAGGGCAAGAGACCGCGAATTGATATATATTTTAGGGGAGGTGACGTTATCAATTGCTTGTGAGAGGAGCAGGAGCGTGCATCTAACCAATTACAGCAGCTTAGAGGGCTTCTCATCATCAATCACAATCACAATGGTCTATGTTTTGCTTACGATCTACAGGTTCTTGTATCCCGTGCGTATTCCATGTTCTTTAAAGCTAGGTGTCAGTCGCGCGACTTGCTTCATTTCCTTTTCAAATAGCTACATTTTTCAATTTAAAAAAAATCTAAAAAATTTTAAAAAATATATAAAATGTTGAGCTTTGAGCTAAAAAACAAATCCCAATCCTGGGATGATGCAAATAAATTAACGAGAGACCGAAGCACGTTACGCTCCCAGGATTCACTAAGTACACATGTGTAGGTTGCTTCGGTTGCTTAAGTAAATGGTTTTGGCGAGTGTTAAGTGTGTTCCAGGCAGGCTCTAGTTGGTTACTGGTCACCGGTGGCCTGGGCGAGCACCTTGGCGGCTAAACGGGGTCGAGGGCCGGGCGGGCAGCAGCTTGTCTCAAGCTCGAATACCAATCCGCACTCGACGACGACGACTATCACAAGGTTCAGTTTGTTTTGTTGTTTGGTTTGGGGCAGCAGCAGCAGCGTGCCTTAGTACAGGTCATCCTCCATGTTGTGGATGAGTATCTTCTTGTCCTCCTTGCAGCTGGACTTGGCCAGGGTCTGCTCCACCAGCTTGGGATCAAAGCAGGGCTATCACATTATAAAGATGTGGTTATTTATTTATATTATTTAAAATTATACACCCAAAATCCTTACCGTTTCGCAGATGTTCATATTGCAGCAGTTCTCTATCGTGATCTCGCACTGCTCGGTGGCCAGTGGGCGGTTGGTCAGCGGCGTATCTCCGGCGGAGTTCGTCCTGGCCTGCTTGCGCACCACAAAAGTCTTCCTGATGCGCGGCCTCTTCGGCTTGTACAGGCGGCGAACGCCGTGCACGATGATGGCCACTAGGAGCAGGCTGAGCACGATGCCCACGACCAGGATGATGATCACACTGCTAGTCCAAACGTTTGGCGTGAGGCACACATCCAGGTGCTGGTACTGGGGAATGGCGATATTGGTGCTGTTCTCCTGGGCCAGTTCCTCGCAACTGAGAGTCATAATTAGTTTAATATCTTAAAAATTAAAGCTTACACAAAGAACTCACATGCTGTGGCAGCCAAAGGGCACATAGATCACCGGCTCGTGCTTCAGCAGGCGGCAGAAAAGGGAGCAGATCTCCGTGGAGTTCTGCTCGCAGCGGGCTCCTCCGAACCTCGGTGGGCACTCGCAGCTGGGCTCCTGCTCCTCGTTCTCGCCGACCAGCCGACAGTGGCCCCCGTTGAGGCACAATCCGGAACACTTGCTAATCTCGCAGCGCTCGCCGCTGAATCCCGGTTGGCAGTAGCACTTAGGGTAGGCCTGTTCGGACATCTGGCAGGTGCCGTGGACACAGTAGTTGTGGCATTCGCGAATCTCGCACCGGGATCCCTTGAAGCCGGGCGGGCAGATGCAGAGGTCGCTGTTCGGGATGTAGCTGCCCCCGTTCATGCAGTGGTCTCGCTCCAACTGGGCAATCTTCTCGTCCAGCAGGCTACTGCTTTGCTTCCTGCTCTTCTCGTCCAAGCGCTGCTTCACCTTGCGCACTATGCTGGCACAGTGGGCGTCCTTCTGGAGTCTCTGGTAGAAACCAGTGCGGGCCACGATTCCCCTGGCCTCCTCACTGAGATTGGCCACGCGCACCAGCGGGCACTCCTCCGGCACGGGCTCTGGATCGCTATCAGGCTTGGATTCACTGGGGTCCGTGGTGTCCTCCATCTCCACTGGCCTGGCAGTCGTGGTGACCTTGACCGGCGGCACCTTTGGGTGACTCCACACCGCCTTTGTGGTGCGGTCCGTCCAGTAGATGGCATCGTTGGTCACGGCCAGGTTTAGGGGTTCGTGGTGCTTGTCCTTCAGCACCACCTGGCGATCGGAACCGTCCATCCTCGAGCTCTCCACCGCAAAGAAGACGCCCTTGAGGTCGTCAATCCAAAATAGGCGATCGGAAAGCTGGTCGACTACAATACCCTTGGGCATGTCGATGTTGGTGCTGATGATCACAGTCCTGTTGCTGCCATCCAGATCGATCCTTTCCACGGATGGATGCGTGATGTTCGAGTTGGTCCAGTAGAGCTTCCGGCGGCACACGTCCACGGCCACGCCATCAGGTCGTCCTCCCTCCTGGCTGAGATCCACTAGAACCTTGGGCGTCTCACCCACTTCACTGTCGATGGAAGCGAAGAAGATCTTCCTCTGTTGCGTGTCCGACCAGAAGAGGTTCCTATTCAGCGGATCGTAGGCCAATCCTCCCACAGACTCGTTGCCCGTCCTCTTAATTGCCTGCTCAGCCACATGAGTGGCGGCTAAGGCATCTCTTCTCAGGGAGAATATGCTGCCGTTCTTGTGTTTGAGGTCATTAAAGTAGATCAGCTCCTCCGTCTCGTCAAAGGTCAGGGCGGACAGCTCGTCGAACTCGTGGGCAGCCGTGGCTATCGTCTGCCAGGAACTGTCCATAAACTGGATCTTGGTTCTCAGCGTTACGGCGTATTCTGTAAGTAAGGGGATTTAAAATGGGAATTTGAAGGTAATACTACAAAAAAATCAAACAAATAATATCAAAACAATATCAATAAATCACAGAAAGCCTGGTTTGGTTTGTATTGTCCGATGTTTTTGTGTTTGCAAAAGATTGGGTGGCGTTAACTGAAGAAACAGGAAACTAGTTTTTCCCACAAGGGCTTACAATCCCACCAATCATTAACCTGACAGCTACGTGATATAGCAAGACCGAGTTCAGTGACTCATTTACCATGGGTACATTTAAATATACCAATATGAAAAAGGCTAAATTAAGGCTATATTCACACATTTGCAAGGGATATAGTTTCTAAGAGGCTGCTAAAATTGGCAAACGTGACCGATCGTTGGCCGCATCACTTTACTATTTATATCGATAAGAGTGGAAATCGTCTAAGACCCGCACTTTATTTACGGAAATTAAGCTCAATCAAAGGCAAAGACCCTCCTCTGACACTGATATGTCAAGCCCCTCCCGTCGGTCGTCATTAAACTTGCCAAAAGAGTCGCCAATTTCCAATCAAGCCACCGCCATTTGTGGAAATTGCGACTCGCATTGAATTTTGCAACCAATATTCAGCAATAAATTCCCGCCCGAACTGCGTTTTATTTTTATTAATTGATTATTTAATGCGGTGCCTCGTCTACAAGGAAAATATATTGATAGTTAGTTCGAAATCATCGAAAAGCATTTAAATGTGTCTAAGGTCTAGACCCAATGATAAGGCCTTGTAAATTTGTCACCTTTTGACAAGAACTGAAGACGTCAACCAGGAAAAAGCCCGAGGGAAATCCCTTTCTACGTAATGTCAATTAGTTTTGACCTGCGAAACTAGTTTTTCTTTAATCAGAAATCTATATTCAGGGTTATTTTCCTATCTGATTTTATTTCAAGGGAAAAGTATTATATTTTATGGATCCTTTCAGAGGGTTTTCAAATTGTTTTTGTAGTGACGTCAAAAGTTATAAATATATATTGAAAAACATAAACTCTTATTAAAAGAATGCTTATCCTCTAATCAATGATAGACCTTGAAATTTGTACACAAACATGGCGGGGCCCCAAGTTCGGTGTGCAAAAAATATGATAAGAAGCAAATGCTGATTCCGAATCCAATTCTGGATTAACCTCCTCCCCATTCCCAAAACGAGATCGAACAACCTGTTACCAGCGCTCTGCTGCTGCTGCTGTTCCTGCTGGGGGCGTGTCATTTATTTAATTAGGAAGGCTGGCCAGTTAATGGCGATGATTAAGCAGCTGCGACACCTGTTGCTGCTCGTGTGTTTACATACAAACACGTTGAGCAAACAAAATCCTGACTCGTGCTTTTCACACGGAAAAGGAAATGGCAATGAAGAACGTGCAGCGCAGTGCAGCAGCTGACGGAACAGAAAACTGAAAGACAGCAGTTCCGGAATATGGTATCAAGGCTTCACTTTCACAGAACCCAGCTTTAACCCCATAACCAATCGAGCAGATCGATTATCCCTCTTATTTTTGCGACCTGGTCAATAGCCCAAGTTTTTTTCGGTCGTTTTTGTAGGTCACCAAAAGACCACCACAACTGGTATCCAATAGATACAAGATACAGAAACAAGCGAACTTGTTTAACTCCACTCTAAAGACACAACGACGTTAAGCCCAGTTGCGAAGTTTCAATTACGATTTGGTTAGACTTCCATATCTCCAACCGATTTTTGGTTGTGAAATGAATATATATTTTAGAGAGGAGTTATGGGTATACTGACAGGTGTATTGCTGAAAAGATTTAGTTTTTATTACAATGGGAAAGGACAGAGAGTATAATACCCCGCAGGGTATGATAAATTGTATTTTAAGAGGCTCTTAACTCTTTACTACACAAGCTAGTTAATTTAGGTAACTTAAGTTAAATCTAATGAGGAACACTATTCGTGTTATTCAGTTGTTTATGACTACACCCTTTAAAACAAGTTTAATATTAGGGGGGTCCTGGCCTCATGATCTCTTTTCGACTTACATACTTTAAAGTAATATTATTAACTCCACTTTATAGTTATTGGTAGACCTCGCAGCTATTGGTTATTCATGATTCATGCATATGTATCTGTGTGCTGGCCAATTATTGATGGTAAACAAAAAAAAAAAAAAAAAAAAAAAAAAAGAGCTGCAAAAACAACGCGTGGCTTAGTTAAGCGGTATTTACCACGCGAACGACGAACCTTTCCACCGCCTCGACAGCTGACCTCCACGATTCTGGTTTGAGGTCAACGTTTTTATCGATGCAGAAAATGCTAAATTGTTGATTTGTGGTACTAATAGTGAGAATTGAGTTATTAAAACTAAATCGATCTTTCATTCAGTTAATTAACTTTTCTTTAAGTATTTAAGATTTATTTCAGATGTAAGAGGCAAGTTCTATTTGGAGTTAAAAAACAGTAAGAAGTTTAAATTAACGTATTCTGTGAATAAAGTGTAGTTACTGTGAATAAAATAATTTTGTAATTAAAATAATTCCTTGAGGGAATATAAAAGTCATGAGAAGTAACAAAGTGAATTATTGAATTATTGTTGTTAAAGTGAATTCCCCAATATAAAGCCACGATAAATCCCATAAGATTTTACAGTCTGGATCTTTCCTTCCGCCAATACCATAACCAAAGTGATTGAAAGTTATTGTGGGGGCCACTTAAGGGGCCTGATAAGCCGCCTGGTCAGAAATTATTACGGCTTGTCCAATACAAGTCGTGAAATTTGCGCTATCTCCGCCGGAACGCCAGCAGTTCGATATGGATTTTCGCACGGGCTCTTTCCAATGCGTCACGGATCGAACCTTTTCACCGCGATATTCAGCCCATTAGCATTATCTGATAAAGCGGGGCGGGCAGGTGCTAATGGAATGCCTGGGAAATGCTCCCAAGCCGCACGTGGGCTATACGCTATATGTTCAGATCAGGTTTCCCTGCCATTCTGGGTTAATTCACGAAAGGCAATTTCTGCCTCGGAGCGATTAGAAGGGAACGTAATGGATCGACTGAAAATGAGAGTCACAAATTCCAAGACCCAGGGAAGAAAACTGCTGGTAAGCACTTCTCGCGAATGGAAAGAGGATACCACCAATGGCACCGATGAAACATTAGAAATCGCTAACGACACAATCTCCGAATCTAAACAAAACCGGCAAAGCGATGTTGTGGCATACGTGACAAACTAAGTGAGCCACATGGCGGTCCCAGTGGTGGCAATGTTGAGTACAGTGCACCCTAACTGACCGGAATCCCATGTGGCCATCGTACTTGAGCTATTTCAACATAATTTTAATTTGGAAATTTTACGATTTCAATTTTAAATATTTTTACTACCCATTAAAGCAAGACGTTATTCCAGTTTTGGAAGTTGGAGCCGGGGGGCCACGTTAAACCCAAAAGAGCAAGAGAGAGGGAGCGCTTGAGAGAGCGTGCAGTTAACCCCTCAAAGAGAAAGCCGGAGACAACAACAAATCGGCAATTAATAGTGAGTTTCAGGCACTGCGGATAGATTCGCGGCTTGAATTCGATGTTATTAGTTATCAGGCGACGTGTGCATTGTTGCCACTGATAAGCAGATAAAAGAATCGCTGTTTGGAGCGAGGCAGCCCCGATAGTCAGCTGATAGCTGTGATAGGTGATAGCACGCACACACCGCCGCGCGGTGGAATATGCTTCGGTTAATGTCAAGCGATTACATAAGAGTCATTGCATTGTTTATGTCGAATTGATTTTCAAATTGTTGTCCACCCAACGAAAAATGAAGGTTAAGCGCCAGGGTTGTCAGAGGCGCGGGAGCATCCGTAACTGTTTCGTTCCCCCCACTGGAAGGGATGGAAGTCCCTGTCCCCCGTCTTACCCCACTCCAGAGGCGTTCCGTGGCAGGGGACCAGCAGGCAGGCGGCGGCGGCGACCATTAAGGCTGGCAACACCAGCATCCTGGGACACCGGATCATACTTTGGTTATTGAAAGGAAGGCTAGCTAGGAGCTATATGCACCCTCCTCGATTGCACAACCGCGAGGCTTTATGGTTATGTTGTGGGAGTTTCGCGGCCAGGCTGCCGTTTCTCGACCGCAAACAGGAAGCGAAGGGACTGAGGGAAGGAAGCGGAGAAACAGCGCGCTGTTCTTACGGACTTTCGGAAGGGTTTAAAAGAGCGCGCGCCACGGAACCGGGAACCACCGTTCGACCCGACAATTTATCAATAAGTGGGTTTAAAAAATTACTCGGTTTAACGCAGCACTCCGAGGCAGTCCTGCCAACTCTTCGGGTCACAAATCGACATCGAAATATCGATAGCAAATGAGAAACCAGTTGGCAGTCCTAACTAGAAATCAAAAACCTGAGGGCAGCCAGGGATGAGCTTAGTCCTTGTTCAAGGGCTCAATTCTGAAAATAATTTAAATATATTTGAAATTGATCTGTTTAATATCTTAAATAAGGTATTTATATTTATTTAAAACGAAACAAAATAGTCCCTACATGTTAGGTTGTCAACAACTGAAGCCATGACCTAAAACTCTTGATTCCATACAGTATTTCACCAAGTTTTTTGGCTTCAGGGAAATTAATAAAACTTTCCCGATCACAAGTAACGGCTGAAAAATACAGGTAAATACCTTCGCTTAATATCGATGTTTGAAAACATCGATGCATCGATATTTCTCCACTTCTATAAACAATCTGCCGGTAGAGTTTTATTTTTAATTTAATTTGTTTTGTTCGCGATGTACAAGCATGCACTAAAAGGAGGAATTCGCACGGCCAAGCAGGCTTGGAAGCTAAAAAACGGTGATTACACAATGGTTTAACTTAGGCATTGGCATTTATCGGGTTGCGTGGGCGACCCAACAGCTGACTGCCGTCGGCCGTTCCACTCCCAGCGTTCCGCGCGACAGTACGAAGCGTGTTGTTGGCCCATATTGTTACTTTTTCACCGCGAGATTCAGGCTTCGGTTGATAATTGCGTTTCCCCACTTGCAGAACTCGGCAAGCTCAACTTGGAACTAGCCAAGGCCAATTCGGACTTTGAGCAGCACCTGTGCGAAGGTGAGAGAGTCCCCGCCGCTCCTCGTCCTGCCCCGTGCTTCTTCTTCTTGTGTAGCTAATCAAATAACAAAACGCTTATCAGTTGCAATTCACGCTTGGAGATCCGTCGCTAACCGAACTGTGCTAACTCCCTGCTCTCGCCCGTTGTTGTTCCCTCTTTTTCAGCTGCCAGAATTACCCAGAGCTGTGCTCCCCCCGCCAACAACAGACCTTTGTTGCTACTAAAAACCCAGGGCGATAACAGCAAGAGCTCCTCCCACAACTCCTCCTCCACCGCTGCCTGCAGTATCGTTGCCAACCACTATCGGACGGCAGTTAACCCCCGGAGTGTGCTAGATAAGACAGTAAAGCCTGTATTCCGAGCAGAAAGCTGCCACCTCAACGCCCTCATCCCGTCGAAGCAATTCGTCAAGGTACAGAAGCAGTTCTACCGCGACTTCTCGTCCGTGTCACTGGGCTCCAGTCTCAAGAATAGCGACGCCCCCTTGCTAGGCGACTTGTGCAGCCAGTACCGTGCCATCCTAGCCCATACCTCGGCGGACGTGGTGCCAGGCGAAGATCGACATCGAGCGCAGTGTAATTACCAGCAGAAGCGGCGGTCGCATCAGCACAACCACAGCCGGGAGGAGCAACTGGAGCAGGAAAAGATGGCCCAGAAGGCACAGTTCGAGCGACTGCCCACGAATGTGGTGCCCAGGCACTACGAGCTGTTACTGCAGCCTGATCTCGAGGAGTTCACTTTCACGGGCAAGACCGTGGTGCAAGTCCAGGTAAGTTTTGGTAGGCGAGTAAAACGATTTTGATGGGTGATACTTAGTATCCCAAGGATTAATAACCAAAAGCATTCAACAAGTGTATCTGCAAAGTTGGACTGTATCTCCTCCTCGCATCCATCTCTTTCCATTTCTCTTCGCTCCGCGGGCACTTTCACTTTCGCCCCGCATTGTCGTCGTTGTGCGAACTTTTTCCTCTGACGTTTGCAAAAACAAAACATATTTCTTTGACTTTGGACATTCTCCTTGTTAACATTTCTCTTTATGCTGCGAATTTGCATGCACGCCGCAACGCCCGGCGCAGATGGATGGATATGAGATATGGATGCGGGTGCGGAGTACATGGAGGTACGCCCACTAGGAAGTACCATGCACAATTGCCGCTTTGTCGGCGGCGCACAAGGAACCTTGATGATGACTGGCGATTTGTCGATGGCTTTCGTGTGTCTGCTTTCGCACTTGCGGGTACCGCGCATTTAATTTATTATTATTATATTCGAGGCAATGGCAATCTCTTTTTTTTATTTTCTGTGGCCACATACCGCTCATAACGGTGCATTTTGTTTACGTTTTCTGTGCGTCAAACAGAGAAAACGCTTGGCTTTGCGCGAGTCGCTTTGAGGATACCCTGCAATCTGATGGAGCCAAATTAGAGCGGAATAGAAACAATAACAATTAAAACAATTATCTAGGATCTAATTACTTTTAATGTTTGTTATTTTAGCTATTGTTTAAAGCAGTAACTATTCAGAAAAAGAATAATAATAATAGTTAAAGTTCGTAAAATGAAATGCAATAATATATGTATAATCCAGAGGCACTGCATTCATGGCTTAACCCAATAATATTATTTATTTTTTGGCAGGGTTTTTGTATTTTAATGAAGCTTTTAAGATATTTCTCATATTAATGTCACAGACTTGAATAATTAATTTTATAAAAGCCTTTTCTTGCCCACTGAGCTAGAGTTCTCTTTAAATGTCAGGATTATGTATGTAGATAATGAAATATTTATCGATTCAGCAAAAGTCTTGGCTTATCTGGAGGATGCATACCGTTGGGCAGGGTATGGAATTCGCCAAAAGAAAGAAAACTGGTTTTTGAGCGCTTTAATTGCTTTGATGGCCTGTGGCCTAAGCCGGAAACTGACAACAAAGCCAAAGCCAAGAAAGCCGCATTTCTACGACCTTGAAGTAACTGCTTTGCTGATACTCCATCACCTTCTCCTCCTCCTCCTGCGGGGAGCTCCGCTAACTGTTTCTGCTTTCTGCTATCTGGTTTCGGGTTTCGTGTTTCGGATTTCGGGGCTCTTACCTAACGGTTACTGACGCTGACCCCTGATTGATGATGATGATCCCTGATTTTGCAGGTCAAGGAGCCCACCAGCCAGATCACACTGAACGCCCTGGACATCACCATCGATTCGGTGGAACTGGACTACGAGTGCACCAAATTAAAGCCGGAGAAGATCGTTTATTCAGTGGAAAATGAAACGGCAACGTTGGAGTTCGGCAAGGAGATCCCAAATGACACAGCAGGCGTCCTGCGCATGTCCTTTACGGGCGAGCTGAACGATAAGATGAAGGGTTTCTATCGCAGCAAGTACTTTGGACCCAACGGCGAGGAGCGCTATGCGGGCGTCACCCAGTTCGAGGCAACGGATGCCCGGCGCTGCTTCCCCTGCTGGGATGAGCCGGCCATTAAGGCCACTTTTGACATCACCCTGGTGGTGCCCAAGGATCGGGTGGCGCTGTCCAATATGCCCGTCATGAAGGAAGATGCCCTGCCGGATGGACTGCGACGTGTACGTTTCGACCGCACGCCCATCATGTCCACCTATCTGGTGGCCGTCGTGGTCGGCGAGTACGACTATGTGGAGGGCAAGTCCGATGACGGCGTCATTGTCAGGGTTTTCACGCCCGTGGGCAAGCGCGAGCAGGGCACCTTTGCCCTGGAGGTGGCCACCAAGGTTCTGCCCTACTACAAGGACTACTTCAACATTGCCTATCCGCTGCCCAAGATGGATCTCATTGCCATCTCAGACTTCTCCGCCGGCGCCATGGAGAACTGGGGCCTGGTTACCTACCGCGAGACCTTTGTGCTGGTGGATCCGAAGAACACGTCGCTGATGCGCAAGCAATCGATTGCCCTGACAGTGGGCCACGAGATAGCCCATCAATGGTTCGGTGAGTATTACTCTCTCTTTTGTTTTTGTATATCTGGGGGAAATGGATCTTCAAGATCTCCAAAGGTGCCACTGATTCGCTGATGTATTCAGTTGGCTTTCTGACGTAAAAAGCACCTGAATTCCTCGCATTTGGTTTGCAGATTCCCTGGGAATTGGCATATATTTTCTGGTTTTTGGTGTCAATGTCTTGACTTTGATGGGTTTTATTTTATATTCATCTCTTTTGGGGTATTTCCCCCAAGGAATAAGACCTTATTCAAAGAATTTTTGAGAGACTAGAGAGAAAATATTGAAAACTCCATAAATGCATCTGCCTTTTCAGGCAATCTCGTCACCATGGAATGGTGGACCCATCTCTGGCTCAACGAGGGCTATGCCTCGTTCGTGGAGTTCCTGTGCGTGCACCATCTCTTCCCGGAATACGATATCTGGACGCAGTTCGTCACTGATATGTATACGCGCGCCCTCGAGCTGGACTCCTTGAAGAACTCGCATCCCATCGAGGTGCCCGTGGGCCATCCGTCCGAGATTGATGAGATCTTTGACGAGATTAGCTACAACAAGGGCGCCTCGGTCATTCGCATGCTACACGACTACATCGGCGAGGATGACTTCAGGAAGGGAATGAATCTCTATTTGACGCGTCATCAGTATGGCAACACCTGTACAGAGGACCTGTGGACTGCTCTGCAGGAGGCCAGCTCCAAGAAAGTGGCCGATGTGATGTCGTCGTGGACCCAGCACAAGGGCTTCCCGGTGGTCAGTGTGGAGCAGGAGCAGCAGGGCCCCAAAAAGCGTGTGCTGCGCCTGAAGCAGTGCAAGTTCACGGCGGACGGTTCCGAGGCCGAGGAGGATTGCTTGTGGACGGTGCCCATTTCGGTGTCCACCTCGAAGAATCCCACGGGCATTGCGAAGACCTTCCTGCTGGACAAACCCTCAATGGAGGTGGTTCTGGAGAATGTGGAGGAGAACGATTGGATCAAGATCAATCCGGGGACCGTGGGCTACTATCGCACCCGCTACTCGTCCGATATGCTGGAGCAGTTGATGCCTGCGGTGGCCAGGATGGAGCTGCCGCCGCTGGATCGCCTGGGCCTAATTGACGACATGTTCGCCATGGTGCAGGCCGGCCACGCGAGCACCGCCGACGTCTTGGCTCTGGTCGATGCGTACAGGAACGAGACCAACTACACCGTGTGGACGGCGATCACCAACTCGCTGACCAATCTGCACATTCTCATCTCGCACACGGACCTCATGGACCACTTTCATCGCTTCGGCCGGAACCTGTACGAGCCGGTGGCCCAACGCCTGGGCTGGGAACCGCGCGACGGCGAGAACCACTTGGACACACTGCTCCGCAGTCTGGTGCTCACGCGTCTCGTCTCGTTCCGCAGCGACGAGGTCATCGATTCGGCCCGCGCTCGCTTCCGCAGCCATGTGACTGGCACGAATCCACTGCCCGCCGATCTGCGCACAACCTGCTACAAGGCCGTGCTGCAGGATGGCGACGAGAAGGTCTTCGAGGAGATGCTCAACCTGTACAGGAACACCGATCTGCATGAGGAGCAGGATCGCATCTCGCGTGCCCTGGGCTGCTGCAGCGACGTCAAGCTGCTGCGACGCGTCATTGACTTTGCCATGTCGGTGGGTATATGGAAGAGATTCGAGGTGAGTCTGGGTTTTTAATTATTGTTCCATTTTCCAGGGCGAAGTAAGGGCCCAGGACTCGGTCTTTGTGATCGTTGCCGTGGCCATTAATCCCAAGGGTCGCGACATGGCCTGGGAATTCTTTAAGGAGAACAACAAGCAGCTGCTGGAGCGTTACCAGGTGGGTGCTTTGCTATTCCAGACTCTCTGATTCACTTTAATCCCTCGCTTGATTCTTTCCAGGGCGGCTTCCTTCTTTCCCGTCTTATCAAGTATCTCATCGAGAACTTTGCCACCGAGGAGCGGGCCAGAGAGGTAGAGGAGTTCTTCAAAGCAAACCATATACCCGGCTGCGAACGAACCGTCTCCCAGGCCGTGGAGACGATCCGCCTGAACGCCGCATGGCTGAAGCGAGATAAGTTGGCGCTTTCCGCCTTCCTGGAGCAGAACTAAGAGCCATTACGTCCGTCAGCATACCAAAGCATTTAACAAGAGCAAACAGCTAGCAGAGCACCAGCCACCAGTAGTAACCAGTAAACCGTAACCAGGCCATCAATGTCACCGTCATTACACACGACCAAAGCACAGTCACAAATTAAGTAAAATGCATGCAAAGAAGAGCCCAGTAGGTTTAGATTTAGCCAAGGAATCACCTCCGACGACGACGACGACAACTGGGATTGACCCCTGAAAGGACGCCTCAGCTTATCGATTGTATATTCCCGCATTCTAAAAATTATGTACGTGTTGAGTTTATTTTATGGTAAATAAATGAAATTTCCTAGTAAGAAACGAAGGATATTTGAAAGTATTTGCATTTATTTACAATTAAAAGGAATCCAACGAATCTACTTGATCTTGATGTCCTCCGTGTTATTGTTGTTGTTGTTGTTGAACTCAAATTTCTGGGCTTTGCGCCTTAGCTCCTGAGACTGCGTCCAAAAGGCAGACAGCCGCTGGTCACTGTTCGAACAAAACTCTCGGAAATCCTTAAGCAGCTTGAGCTGAAACAGTTCACCATCCGCCGAGTTGTTAATGGTCTGGGCCTTCCACTTCTTGTTGGGTATCATGTGGTTCCAGGCCCACAAAAAGCCCACCTTCTTGGGCACATTTGTGTTGTTGGTGTGGCCATAGACGCAGCGAGTGACATTGGCCGCCTCCAGCCGGATGGGTGATTCGACTTGGTAGTTGTTGGAGGCGCAGCTGGAGAAGAAACAATGGTAGAGAACACGGAACTGGGAAATATGCAGAGGAAAGGATGCAGAGATCTTACCGTATCAAGGCGAACATGTTGCCTGTGCAGTGGACATACTGATACTCCTTGGGAAGCTAAGGAAAGGAAAAACCCACAAAATAAATAGAAATAGCTCTCGAGCTAGAGAGAAGATTCACTCACGTCCTTGCCAATGCTGAATTTCTTCTCCAAAACACAGGGCAGAAATCCAAACTTGGTCAGGATGGCCTCCTGCAGGAACAGCATACGATCCGCTCGGCTTTCCTCGGGAAACTCTGCGAAAATAACCAAGAACATCGAGAAGCTAAAAATATACAAACAGATATTTGGAAATACCTTCAAACAAGGCCGCTCCATTGGGCAGGAAAGTGGTGCACAGGGGTATGAAAATGGGGCCCCTCAGGGGATCCGATTTCTTGGTGAATGGCTCCGCCATGGGATCCGCAGGCACGGAGACCAGAAAGTTGAATTGGTTAGCCTTGCGCATCCAGCCACCGATCTGAGAGAGGAGTAACAAACATTCGAGTAAAAGTGACTATGGATCGTTAGTTAGCTCTTCCGCTTACCAAATCCGCCACTATGGGACCCGATGAGGTCACCCACTCCACCACAATCTCAAACGCAAACCCGGGCTGCAGCACAGTGTGATGCTTCACATGACCCCACTCCATGCGGTCGCTCTTCTGGTTGACATCGATCTCCAGATGAGACTGACGATAAACGCGCTCTAAAAAGGGGATTATTATTATAATAAAATCAGCAAAACAGAAGCTCAATATCATTTATTACTGCAGCTTTCTGTCCAAGACTGCGGAGCCGGCTTGTCCCTCAGGAAATTGGGCACTGGTGTGGCCACCACTTCATCATGCCAGAGGAAGCTGCAGCCTTGGAACTCGATCTCGAGCCACTCGTTGACAAAGGCGCTGTAGTCACCCAGAGGCGGAGCGTAATCTAAATGTTAAAGCAATCCATGAATTCACCCTTAAATGGTAGTCGGGGTAAAGGAACTACCTTTGGCATTCTTGTCCTGCTGCACCACATAGTAAAAGACAAAGCCTGGCACCACGGCCCGCTTCCAGTCGCCCGAGGCGTGGCAGATCATGCGTTCCCTTGAAAAAATTCATAGTAAATGTATATTAATTATATAAATTATATTAACTTACTTGCGCATGGCCTCCAGCAACTCAAGCGGATGCCGTCCATTGTTCAGGCGGGTCTTCAGCCACATCAGGGCGTCGTACGAGAGGAATGTGCAGGAGGGCAGCGACTGTGTTTGGGCAAAGTAGCCCACTCCTGTCACTGGATGCTTCATGGCCTCAAAGATCTCCACCAGCGTCGCATTCGGACTGAACTTGATGTCAACGGGAAAGCTAAAAAGCGAGGTTAACTCCATGAAAGGGAAGAATATAAGATCCTGGCTCACCCATCGTCTTGGTCATCTCTGGCAGCTATTCCAGCTGCCGCCACTGCATCCGTGGCTGGAAAAATACGCGAGATGCGGCCGTTCTCCAGCTTGGGGCGTACATTAATGCTGTCGGGGGGGTGGGAGTAAAAGTATTAGATAGATCGCTTGATGTGACCACATTCAGCGGGGTCCTCATCCATGGTGGGTTCGTTCGGTGTGTGTGTGTCTGGGGTAAGGGATATTCAGCAGGCCAATCTCAATTGTGTATGTGTGTTAGGGATTTCGGGTATGAGTGTTCGGTTGGGATTAGTCGGGAATCATGATAGATAAACGGAGGGAGCCAGGTGGCACAAACCTTTGCTGCGGTGAGTTTATTGGGTTATGATGCTTTTCAGTGAGTCTAGGTGTGTCATGCTGCTGAAAGCCAAATACCAAATTAAATTATATCAAAAAATACGTAACAAAACCGAGGAAAATGAAACAGCAAACCAATCAACAAACCAACATCTGTAAAACAGGATGCACAAGGAAACAACAGGACTACGAGTACAAATATACGAAGGGTATAATAACCAACAAGCCGGCAACAAAATATACAATTAGCCTAGCCAAGAGTCCTCCTGGCAGCAAAAACCAGCCAGGAGCCAGCAGCCAACCAAATCCCCAGCGAATCGTGCAGTTTATACCAGGGACCGTAAACTTTGCGAGGACTTTCTATAATACCAATTTGTTGTTGAGATTTCTGGCTTAAAGAAATGTTTTACGATTTAAATAAGAGCTTATCATTAATATAAGTTAAAGATAAAGCGTTCATTTCAGAGAATAAACCTGTAGATAAATTAGTGTTCATTTCCAGACTTAATTTAAGTAAAGGAATAACAGAAATAAATATAGATTTAACTAGCAAAATAATATTAATAATAAAACCAAGCCATTAAAGTTAAATCTAAACTAAAAATCAACTGTTAACTCAATAATCGTTACGGTTCCTGGTTTATACAAATGCAGTACTATGTGTGTGTGTGTGTTGGGTGTGTGTGCGTTTTTGTGGGTGTTGTTGTGTACAAGAAATAGAGAGAGGGTATAGAGGGTCCTTAGATCTACATATGTTGGAATCGATATAAAAACCTGGGCTTTTCCGGCAGCCGATTGCTGCCCACTCGCTCCCGAAACGGAGAGTTCGTGAGTCCCTGAGGAGTTGGTTGCGGATTCGGATTTGGGTTCAGGTCGAAAGTGGGTAGCAGGAAGACAGAGATACAAAAATATTAGACGTTCTGCTCTGGATCGATTCGACGATATATTTAACTCAAACGTGCGCAAGGTTGAAAGTTAATTTAAAATCGAAATTATACAAAAATGTGCGCATTAAACGGAACAAAAGAATTGGCTTTAACGTTAGGTCTTGAGAGAAAAAGTAGAGTAGATAACCTGGTTAGGCTGAGGCCTGGATATAATGCTGGTGCTGTGTCGTCGCTTGGTTATGCTGTGGGCGATGGGGCTGTCCTGCAAAAGGAGGCGAGATACTCGATACATCACAGGGGCAGGCAAGGCGGTGGGCACTAAAAGCGGGCTTAGGGGTTGCGGGTTAATTCGGTCTCAAACTACTAGTTACCATTGTTCTTTGAATAATTTAAATCAAGAGATTTTATAAGCATATTTCTGAAATCTGGTCTATCTATAAAATTTCTATGCTTATTTTAAGGGTCTAAACTTTCTCATATTTTTAAAAGATTCCCTTTTCTAAAGGATTTCATTGGCAGCGATTAAACAATTATATAGTTCAAGCTTCAGTTGTATTTCTTTCTAGAAGAAGACTTGAACTTTTTTAAAAAATAAAAGCACCTGTTTCATAAATTAATATTATTATAAATTCGAGAAAATTTTAAAATTTCTAAACCGCTAAATCTTTAGTCACACTCGTCTTTAAAGCCAACTATTTCTTTTCTTGGCTAAATCAAATCATCTTTTAGTTAAAAAGAATTCTTTGAAATTCTAGAAAAAGCCCCCTCTAGGTTGATCTACAGCCAAAGTCGCTTGCAGGACGATTAGTCAATTAGGAGAGAGAACGCAGCAGTTACAGAATCAACGCAACGGTTTACGAATGCACAAAAGCCAAGGCAAGGAGGACTCGCTTCAATCTTACTCTCGCCTTGCGCGCAAACTGGCGCTTCAGTTTGCTGACAGCCTCGATCAGGCGGACAAAGTCTTCCACTTGCTCCCGCGTATTGTCCGCCGCCGTCAGGTCCGGGAAGACATCGCAGTGCTGGCAGCTGGCTATCTTGCTCACAATGGTCTCCTTGGGCAGCAGGTACATGCGATAGCGCCAGTACTTCAGGCTCTACAATACGCAAAGGTTACTCAAAATGCCCGTATAAGCCGCCGAGTTTGCCTACCTCCATTAGGGGATAATCCACATCGCCACGCGTGCAGATATACAGATCCATGTGATTCCAGTTAAAGTTTTCCAGTTTCTCGGTGGTGAAGTTCACGCCGGAGATCTCGTAGGTCTCGTGCTGCGGGGCATGGAAGCGGTACCGGTAGTCCACATTTATCGGAGGATACGGATGTCTGAAAAGCGATTATTTTCCTTCCTCAAAGGACTTCTAAAATGGCACTCACCTTGGCCTGTAGCCGGTGACCGTGATCACCGAACCGCTCAGCGAGATCTTGTGAAAGATGCGACCAATGGAGAGCAGGTACTCCTTCTTGGACTCACAGGGCGGCTTCAGTGGCAGCACAGCGGATCCCGAGGAGCAGCCGCCGAGCACCGACAGCGGTTTCTCGTCAACCACAATTAGCTGAAAGCCCTGGGCGAGGCGCTGCGACACGATCTCCTTACACACCTCCTCCGTGGACAGGGGCTTCCGGTAGACGGCTCTGCTCTGCGCATACTCGTGGTTTACATCGTCCGGCAGGAGCGTGTAGTCGGAGATTACGTAGTCGTTGTTCAGCGACCGCTTGTCGGGAAAGTAGTCCGTGGTGATGGGCAGGCAGGCGGGAATGGTAAGCGACTTCCAGTCGACGCCTGCAAACGGAGCCACCAGGAGATTAGCAAGGGTAATGCTCGGCGGGATCGCGAGGATCAGAGCAAAGAGAAAGCCAACGCCGGTGGTACAGGTGTGTATAAATCAAAATCGTTCAAGCTCAGAAAGACTACTAAGGAAATCATAACCAAGGGGGAGCAGACGGACTCCGGTCCGTGAACGAGAGCTGTCACCAACGGATAGGGTTAGCGTGTGTGTGGGAGGAGGGGGCGTGCGCAAAATACGGAACAGAGGTGGCGTGTGGGCGAAGCATGCTAGCTTAGCGCTACGGAACTACACAACGGCAACATGCTGCACATGCTCTAGTGGGCGACATGCTCCATAACCATCTCCATGAGTACCACCACCCCCGATGGATGGGTGTGTGTGAGTGGTCTATGCAAGTGTGGTGCTTGGTTTCAGGTGGCTACAACTACGGATTATTCTACAATTAATTGCTATAATTAATGGGTAAACTACATGCATTGGGTGTTGTGGCTGGGTGCAGGCAGGGTTTCTTCAGGAGATTAAGCGGGTGTGGTGAGTGATTGGCAAGCCAGGGTAATCTACAGACCGGGACGAGGGCCATCCCATAAGCAAATACGGCAATGCTACTAGAATACCTGCAATTTTCCAATGATTTCATCTTAATGACAAACGGGAACGGGAATTAGTGTAATTTCCTATCTCAAAATTTCCTTCATTTCTCAGAAAAACTTCCAAAATGTGGCTACAAGGACTCGCCTGCTAATGCTAATCAAGATTTATAGGGTTGCAAATGACTCCTGTAGTGACTAAAATCATAAATTCTACGAGAAGATCGGAAATATTTGATTTCTTTAAATAGATATTAATCCATATTTTTTAGGAGAATTTTTTTGATAAATCAAAGTTTAAGAAAATCATAACTAAGTCAAAAAATCTGACGCTGATCAAGAATATTTATGGTTTAAAGGGTGGGAAATGACTCGGTTAGTGCATAACAAACTTCTGATGAAATTGGAATACCCTGCGAGGGAATAAAAAAAAGGAATTTCAGTAACTGAGAGTTTTAATACCCTGCAGCAACTGCGCATTCTTAAGATCGCAAAAAAGTTTAATTTTATGAGTGAAAGAAAAAGAGTTCCCAAATACCATAACATGACTTGTTTGTTTACTAAATAACTTCTCCTAAACCCCCATTTCTATTCTGGGTAAAAGCAATAACTAAGCACAGCGGCAGCCACACTACGTCTACATCCGCCCAAAGCTAGCTACTGATATTAAAAGATACAAATAGTTCAAGCCTTCTAATCGTGTTTGGTGTGTGGTGGTGGCGTGTGTGTGGTTTTTGTGTGTGCTTCGGATGCATTGCTAATGCTTTTTGTACAGAGTGTGTCTAGAGAGTGGTGGAATTTGTATTTTTTGTCCAAACCTATGATGATCTTTCCTCTTCCGCCGCCGCAACCGACACCCGCCTCCGGGTCGGCGGGCGGATCCAGGCCACCCAGAAGGTGATGATGGTGCTCGCCCTCGACGATCGGCCTCAGATGCTGGACTAAACGATCGATGGGATTCGATGATGGTTGAATGATGGTTGCAAATTTCGGTTCGTTCGGTTAGGTGGTCCGATTGGGTTCATTCGTTCGTGGATTGTGGGTGTTGTGGGGGGAATAATAATGTGAATCATACGAAAGTTAGATTAGACTTGATATTCGATTCAGTTGCGACGTGGGTGGGTGGGTTTCTTGGTTTCTAGTTAGGGATGAGCTACTTCGGATGCATTAATATTAATCCCCTAATCCCCGGGGCTGCGGGCGGGCGGTTAGTGTGGCGGTTAGGTGGCCTTTGTCTGCACCAAAAGCTCTGGCGGATCTCCACCACGAAGGCAATGCCGCTGCCCAGCAGTCCGCACAGAAACAGACTGAAGGCAGGCGCCAGCATGTTGAGGGCCAACGGACGGAGCCTCAACTTCTCCTCCATCTCCGCCAGCGTGGAGAAATCCTTAAGGTAGCCCATGCGATGGGCCCGCCGGTAGCAGGTCTCCATCCAGCGATCTGCCAGTCCGCCCTGCTGCACGTGCAGCAGGAAGCGATGCAGGGCGTCCTTGAAGTGCGAGTCCACCCGCAGCTGGTACTGAAAGGGATACGTGCCGTGGCACAGCCGCGAAAAGAAGAAGCGTTTCTTGCGCAGAAAGCGCTGCTGCAGGTTGAAGAACTCCCAGCGTATCCGGCTAATCGGATATATGTACTTCATATCCAGCGAGATTCGCTTTGCGTCAAAGTGCTCCAGATCCGTGAAGGTGAACTTGGCGGCGAACTGCTCACCATGTCCCAGGGAGCCCACGATGGCGTCCGCATCGGAAGGCAGCACCAGGATGCGGTAGGGCAGCCGGAACAGCTCCTCCAGGCTCCCGGCATTCGGACGGGTAAGAGTTACGGCCAGAAAGGAGGTGAGCTTGGTGCTGTACGACTGGCACAGGATGAATATCCCGAAGACGATAATCAGGCCGCAAAAAGCGCGTCCCGGCTTGCGCTTCCGGTATCCAGCCTTCCCTGCTCCCGGTACTCCGAGTATCTTCCAGAGGTGCGAGTCCGGCATCACGCGACGCACAAAGAGGAAGTGCACCAGCAGCAGGGTGAGCAGCAGGCACAGCCAGAGCGTCAAGGTGAAGGGCAGGAAGACATACAGGCTGCGCGAAATGTCGTTGTCCAGGGGGATCATGAAACAGCGCGGCGCCACCTGGGCGGGATACGAATAGTCCACCTGGCTGTTCGGATGCAGAGTGTCGTACAGGTGCGGGCTCATCTCCACCGTCCCCTGGACAATAAGTTGCGTGAGCGTGGCCATGTTCAACAACTGGGAACCGTTCACCACGAGAGGGAATAGCTCCAGCGACACATTTAGGTGCGCCATCAGATGGTTGACCAAGATCCCTCCCACTCCGTCCAGCTGCCAAGCGTCCGACTGGTGGCGATCCCTGTACCAAAACGTGTTCGGCACATCCTGCTGCACGGGCAGGCGCAGCCGATAGCCCCTGAAGTCCCGTCGATTGGGCAGGGGAAAAAGATGATGAGGATCATATGTGGACAGCCTACGCATGCGAATCACCCGAATGGAGGGATATGGGTCCATTTGGTAAAACTTTCGCTTGGCCACCACCACCAGGGCAGAGCGGAACTGCAGCTTCCAAAGCAGTTCGAAAAAGTGCGCCACTCGCGATGGCGACTCCCGGCTCTTAAGCATGAACAGGGTCTTGGAGTAGCGCCTGCCTCGAGCTCGGCGCGCCTGCAACTCAATTACCGCATCCTTGGTATCCCTCGCAAAGACCACGTACAGCGATTCCTCATCCTGCAGCCGGCTAAACCGCAAAGGGGTCGCCGCCTCATCCGTAGCCGTCATCTGCGGCAGCAGGTAGAAGTGGTTGCTGCTGTTGTCTCGTAGCTGGCGATGCAGTTCATCAAGATAGCTGGAAGTGACCGACTCCAGGCTGTTCACAATGGAGATGGCATGCAGGCGGTGCACTCGCCCGATCCTGTCCAAAAAATTAGCCAGGTGCGAGGGCTGCACAAAGTTTTCGCTGGCGAAGGAGCTTCGCTCTCCCCAAAGGAGCAGAAGTAGAAGTAACCGAAGGAACATTTTCAGGTGGACAAGCAGAATCAGACTGACTGTGACGATGGTGCCTTGTCAGGGGCATCGCCGCGATAGCATCTTTAAAACACTAAACCCCCTACTTTAAGCGCGACACTTACCCGTAGTAATTGCTGGCGTCCACTCCTGCTCCCCGGTGGCTCCCCAGAGATACGACTTGGCCTGGGTGGCCGTCAGGTTGGGCACGTTGGCGGGAAGGGCGTTAATCAGCGAGTTTTGTCGCCGCTTAAAGACTATTCAGGGAAACGGAAACGGGAAGAGGAGGCAGGATGAGTACTCCCGTCTGGATTGGCTCTCATAATAACTCACTGTCGATTTTCTCGTCGCCCATCACAAAGCTGTGCGTAGAGGCGGACTTGCTTAGTAGCGAGTGAGTGGACACCCGGTCGTATTGCTCCGCGCTCTCGCATCCATAATCCTCCTGCTCGTTGTTGTTGTTGCCGCCAGTCTGGCCGTTGTTGTAAATCTGCTGCAGCGGCCTCGGCTGACCCGTTGCTGGCGTTATCTTCGCTGGCACAGCCTGGTAATGATGCTGCTGAATGAGCACGCCCGTTGGGCCCTTGGGAAAGATGTGCGTCCAACGGCGGCGATTTGAGGTCAACTTGATGGTCACTTGCGAGGGATCAAAGGGATTGATTAGGGCGCGACCGGGACGCACTATGGGTGCAATGCTGACGATCGTCCTCCGTGAGTTCTTCTCCGAGGCCAGTGACTCCGAGAGATTGGTCGTGTCCGGCTGCTGCTGGGAGTGGATAAGGTTCGACTAGGAGGAAGCTTGAAACAAGAAGGACTTACCAAGGCCGCCAGCATGGCAGAGGTGCCGTGATGAATATCCGGATCGGACATCTTTCGCCGCATGGCCGGTATCTGGGTGGGCGTGAGATTCTCCCAGTCGTTGTTCCGGTAGGCGTAGGTCTCCAGACTAGGCACCGACGTCTTCTTAGCCCGCACCACGCGCTGCAGAGAGCTGGGAAAGCGAGAGAGAGTTCTTGTTAGGTCAAGAAGGAAGGAAACATCTCGAGTCCCATGCCCACCAAGTGCTTTGAGCTGGCAAGGGTTGAAAGATCTGCTCGTCGTACGCATCGTAGTCGAAGAGCGAGTTGTGCTTGTACTCTGACTGATTGCAGCTGAGGAAGTGTCGCTCGTTCTCCTCGCCCTCATCCCCCACACCCTCGCCGACTCCGGCGTCGTGCAGCGTCTGCTGGGAGCCAAACAGCGGCAGCTTGATCCGCGGTATGAAGCTGGAGTAGGCGATCTTCTTGTTCGTGGAGTAGAAGCTCAGGTTTATCCAGTGCGGCAGGGAGTAGTCATCCGCTGAGGTCAGAGTAGTGTCCTTGTTGTGGAACTTGAGCAGCGGGACCGCGTGCAGGGGCTGCTCCCCCACACAGACCAAATCACTGCCCACGCCATTGTCGATGATCCGCTGCTTGGTGATGTTGGTAAGCTCCCGGTCCACGGAGAAGACGCCCACGCCCGGAGTGATCACCACCGAGAGCTGTCCGGTGCGATCGAACGTCCTGTCCAAGTAATGCTTCTCGAAGGTGTTGAGGGAGATATTCAGGACCTCCAGGAAGTTGCCCTGAGTGGCCGAGGAATTGGTGGCAGGCGGTATCTTCATGTGCTCCCGCTCATGATACCGCAGCACGGTGGCCTGGTAGGAGGTAAAGAGCTTGCGCAGCTGGCCCAGCACCGTGCACCAGTCGTCGCAGCGTTCGTTCTGGATGGCCACGCGGTAGAAGTCCTCGTAGAAGCGACCCTTGTAGTCCAGCTGCAGGCAGTCGCGCATGTGCTCGGGGAACTCGTCCAGGCTCTTCGCCGCGTAGAAGGTGCGCGAGAAGAGCACAATGGTCACCTCGTGGTTGCAGCTCAGCTTGCGCCACTTTTGGAAGAGCTCTGTGAGGAAGCCATTCACGGCCTTCTCAAAGTACAGATCGCCATGGATGTCAAAGTCCCACATTTCGGAGGACATCTGCAGGAACAGGTACACCATCGATGTGCTACTGCGAAACACGATCTTGGTATCCTCCGTAATGACGCCGCTGGCCACGCGATCGCCCTGTGACCACATCTCATACACCTGGCACCGGATCTGCATGTCGTTGTAGTCGATTTTCTTGTTCACATACACGCAGGTGTCCGTCTGAAGGGAAATTGTGGATAAAGACTGATATCCCTGCTTCGCCCTTCTTATTCCCTTACCAAATAGGTCTTTAGTCGCCACATCTCAGAGCGGCCCATATACTGGTCCTTGAAGGTTATCTCTATGGAGTCCAGGGCCACGTCTGCCGGATCCACTATGCGCATCACCACATTGGTGTAGGGGCGCATCTTGAAGGCGGTGGCGATGCCCGACTCAATGCTGATTACATCCCGGCCGCAGCTGTTGTTGAACTCCGTGATCTGGAGCAGCAGGTGTGTGCCGTTCTCCTCGTCCGGGGCGTAAATTTCCACCACATCGCCCACATTGGCGTTGGGATGGTCCTTCGGGTTCATCAGCAGGTCCGCATCTGTCTCAGGAAAAGACCCATAAGGTTAAATCCCTATGTTTGCGCAATTTCCAGCATGCAACGCGTACAATATTTACCGTAGGATTTGTTGCAGCCACGCGTGTGCGTGTGAAGCTTGTAAAGCTTCATAATTATGTATTTAGTTGCTCAACCAACTTGCAATTATTTAACAATTGCGAAACATTTGCCTTTTTTCGCGTTGTATTTGTGCAAGAATTCTATTTTTCGCGTTTTGTTTTGATACGATTTCCTTATCTGCAGTGTGACTGCACTCCAGGCGGTGGATAATACCAAAATATAAAAATACCTATGGAAAAAATACCAGCACATTTTATATTTGAAAAATATTTTTTTATTAAATTTTTATAGTTTGTGTAATTTTAATAATTAATTTAATAATTTTCATTATAATTACTTTGCTGTTCCGATTTAATTTTATTAACAATTTATAGTTAATCATGGATAGTACCGAAAATAAAAAATAGAACATATACTTAATTTTTGGAAAAGATTTAATTATTTAATTTTAATTGTTTGCATAATTTTTAATATTTTAAGTAATAATTGTATTAACAAAGACCTGGTTGTCCCGATTTAATCTTATTTACACTAACGGGTACCTATTAAGCTGTCCCTTGCTGTGATGTTTACATATGTACGTCAAACACACATTACATACATACATACATATGTGTGCATGTATTTCTTAGCATGGCGCTAATTAATCAGTTTTTTTGTATATACTTTTTTAATGCAAACTGTAAATACTTTTATAAACAAAAAAAAATTAACATACAAGTATACCATTTTTTTTAGCTCTATTAATCGCACCGCCGCTGTATCCATTAATTTACATCTTTCTGGCCATGAAGCTAATCTAAGCAATTAGAGAGAGCGACGTCCACTTGGGCCTCTATACATTTGTTTTATTGAATTTATCTCTAAATGATTACAGTTTCATTGTGTTTGTTCAATGAATAATTTTATTGGGTCGCAAATATCAGTGAGTACATTTCGACAAAAATCGTTTTAAGACAGTGTTTCGCCTGGCTAAGTGGCTAGCTAATCCTCCTCGCATCAGTTCTCAGTCAGATAGCTGCACCTGGGTCCCACCTACGGATCCGGCTCGTATTTCGCATCGGGCATCGGCTTCGCCATCGGGGTTTCGTTTCGCAATAGGTTATTATTTATTATGTTTTGTTTTGTTTTTGGGCTTCGATTAGAACGCCACACTGACGACAGAGATCGCCGGCGCTGATAATTCGCATTTTTCTACTTATAGCGAGGGGGTTATGTGTACACAATGCTCGCCAGGATGCGTCGAATGGCTCGTCGTTCGTCGTCGGTATATATGTAACTAACAATTCAAAGTCGTCAATCTCAACATGCAGCTTAAACGGTAGACAGAACCACGGAACAGGCTCCTAAAGCTAACTAAACACGTACGGACTACAAGTAAACGTTAATCACTAGGGTGAGGATGGATGGCAGGGGACACCAACACTCTCACATCGCCACGGTGGCCAGGACGACTGTGATGTCGTCCGGCTTGCCGCCCCGCGCCTGTATGTTGTTCCGCCGGGCGCTGAGGGCGAACGGCGAGAGGAATTCGCTGTTCAGGGAGAGGGTGCGCGCCATCAGCGCCAGGCTGTTGGCCGTCATCTGCAGCTTGACGGGATCCTGCTCGCCCTCCACCTCGCTAAGCACCTGCAGCATCAGATCCTCGGGCACGTTGTCGAACACGCCGTCTGTGGCGATAAGAATGACGTCGCCATTCCGCACCGGAAAGCTCATGGTATCTGCGGACTCGGGACTGTCGCTGAGCACATTCGGCCCGTGTCCCGGCGGCGGCAGCGATAGCTGGAAGGGTGTGTTGAAATAGTGTTGCTGCTCCTCCGACTTGTGCACCACCTGGCCCTGTCGCACAACAATGAAGCCGCTGTCGCCTATGTTGGCCGTGTGCACCGTGCTCGTCTCTCGGTTCAGGATCAGAACGCAGGCAGTGCTGCTGCCCAGGATCGGTTTCTTCTGCTCCATCAGCTCACAGTAGCTGTAGGCCAGCAGGTTGACGGGCCGCTGGGGGTTGAAGTGGCTGCACTGCACTAGCCGTTCGCAGGTGCGCATTAGGAACGAGGAGAACTCTCCGGGGTCAATGCCATAGCTCCGCCAGCCGCCCACGCCGTCGGCCACGCCCATTACGTCCGCCTGCTCCGTGGAGGCCTTGAACCACGAGTCCTCGCCGTACTTGCCCGGCTTGTACTTGTGCCGCAGGTTGTCCTTGGCGAATCCGCAGACCACCGACACGAATCGGGGTCGCTGGCTGCCCGCTGCTGCTTCGCCAGCGGAGCCCGATGCGGACTTAACGGCCCCCTTGGTGGCCGCAGCGCCTCCACCGCCCGTCGCCGTCTCCAGGAGCGTGGAGAAGCTGCTGCGCAGGGCGCGCGAGATCATGCGCGAGGTCCAGTTGAGCGACGAGTGCATCGCCCCAGAACTCGTGGTCGCGTGCTCTCTCTAGACAATCAAGTGGACTCAGTCAATCCCATCCAGGTGTCGCCGCGCCTGGCTTTCGAGTCGTATGGCGTTGGGGTGCGCGGTCCCGTGACTCCTGCACTTGCAATTTTCAGGCCAAATCTCCTGTTTCGACGGAGGCGATAATTTACGTTCCAATTTAATAAATGTTATGTGATACACTTTTTCACGTCAGGTCGCGACAGGGATGCAAAAACATCAATAACACTATCGATACTAGAACAGGCTGGCTCAAGTGAACTAGTTCCCCACGTTTTAAGTATATTTTGCGAGTGATTTCGGTATTATTTATAGATTTTATTTATAGATAATTTACTTATAACATGAATTTGAAGGTCGATCAAACAGATTATTTTACTTAATCTAGGGGGTGAGTGATTTTTACTTTTCTATTTTCAAATATGTGAAGTCGACGTTTATCTTGTATTTGCATATACAGGGTGCCACAGGAATAGCTGAAATTTAAAATCTGATTAATGTTGTGGCAAAAAATAAATGTATTTGGGAAAAATGTATAAAGAACTAATTACATTTTAAACTGCTTTTAATTTTTATATTACTTATAAATATTTTTAATATATATTTATGAAATATAGACACACTTTTTGGCGTGATTCGCCAAGCATTGCCTGGTCACACTGGTGCCAAAAGTAGTTTGTTTTCGCCAAAAAAAAGTCTGCACGCACTAGTTTGCCCAGCTGTGGTGTTTTGTTTTTGTTATTGCTCCACTCCAAACAAAGACGCGCTGCTGCCAGTTTTTAACCCAGTTTCGAGCTCCGCAGCTCGGCAATGAAAGCAGCTCCGCCGAGACCAACAACAAGCGCGTCGCACTAGTGTGGAGAAAGGAGCGCGCAGCGGGTGTGTGTGTGTGATTTTGTTGTTGTTGCGCTTGGTGGTGGACGGAAGCAACGACATTGGCATAGAAAATTTTGCATACTCTCTCTCTCTCCCACACCTCTCACGTAGAAAGTAAAAATAAAAGCTAAAAATAATTTGTTTCCTATACGCTTCGAAAACAACAACAAACATATACTTGCAGACGGAAATTGATCGGTTGTGTAAATTGGAAAGTGCACAAAAATCGCGAGCGCATAACGGTACGTGTGTATACACACTCAGCAGCGCACGCAGACACGCACACATGACACACATGGAGGCAGCACTTGGTTAATGCGTCCCGCTTGGAGCAAAGAAAACAAAGACAGAGCCAAGGAGCAGGAGCGATGACCGCACGGGAGAATGTCGTCGCCAGCCGCCTGTCCAAGCTGATGCTTAGCAATGGACAAAGCGGGAGCAGCACTGGCAGCGAGGTGCAGTCGCCCATCTCTCCGGGAGAACAGTCGCTGGCCCAGTCGGAGCTGAATCAGCTAAAGCGGGACGCGGATCCTCAGTTCTCCCGCTTTGCCGACTACTTTGTGATATGTGGCCTGGACCTGGACACGGGCCTTGAGCCGGATCGCTTTGCAGGTGAGTTGAATCTAACTACGGCTGCCGAGGGTTTCTGAGAGATCCTTGAGATCCTTGTTCTTTCAGGCGACAACTTGCACTGTTCGCCTCTGGATAGAGCTTATAAGAGCAAGCCCCTGGCCCATTATCCCGAGAATGTGCCCTGGAACCCCTTCGATGCGCACGGTATTTGCATGGTGAGTCTGAATTGTGATCTACGTTGATTTAGGGTGGATCGTGGAGTGCTCAAGGGAAAGGCGGCCATCGCCTCAACTGTGAAAATGTTCCAATATCTTTTGGATACACTTCGAGTCTTCACATGTATTGTTTTTATTATTATTATCACACGTTTTTGAATTGATAAAGCCGCTGGGAAACCTGTTTTCAGTGATTCATAGTGTATATATTAAAATGGGTACTAAAAACTATCAAAAAAAATTTAATTTCGACTGTAAAATGTTGAGTTTATTAGCTGATAACTTCTGAAATATTTAGAACCTCTAGACCGACTCACCCTAATCCCGTATTCATATTTAATTGAGCTCAATTGGCTGCCCTTTTGGTTGAAATTCATGCCTGGCTGGCCGGCTGCTTCATTGATACGAGTGGCGAGCGGAGGAGCGGTAACTGATTCAATTGATGCCACGACGACGGCCGCGTCAGCCAAACGCTAACGCTAAGCCGCCTTATCACCAGCACATCTGCTATTGGTAGTGCTCGTGTCCGCTGCTCGACGCTCGTTTGAATGAATGGGCTTCATTTATGCCTGCCAAAGATCGAGATTGCTCGTAGCGTCTGTCTGATCTACCGACCATCGTTTATCTTTCCACAGCTCTCCCTGCCGCAGGGCCTTCGCTTCCGCACCCAGAAACACAACATCGAGCCGAAATTCCACTCGTTCGCCACCACGCGGGAGGATGGAAAACGTTGCTATGGCTTTAGCCTGGTGTTCTACGAGGAGATCCGCAACAGGAACATTTGTGGGGCCATTCACACGCTGCAGAGCATGTTCATCACGGAGCTGTCCAACGGCCAGCAGACACACTCGCTCAGCCGGGTGAAGCAGGATGGCCCGGTCAGTCGCTCCCTGCCCCGGCACTTCAAGGTGGCTGGCCAGGCACCGCAGTCCGCGCAGAGCTACTACGACATCAACAAGGACAAACTGTATGTGGCCAAGAGCATATCGCTCATCTGCCAGGCGCCCTACGCCTTCGCCGCCCAGATGTTCCTCAAGAACCTCTACAGATGTCTTCCCCGTCAGCCGGGTGCTGGGATCAGTCTGGAGTCGTACGTGTACAACATACTATACGAGGTGATGCTGCCGCAGCCGGGCAAATCCATACGCGTTTACCTGCCACCCACGGAGCCGCACTTGCCCGCCATTGCTTTAATCCTTCAGCGTCCGCTGCTGGCCACCGAGCTGCCGCTGCTCGACTTTCCACTGCGCCTGCTCTTCAAGTATCTGGGCGTAGAGTGTGTCATTCAGCTGCTGACGTGCGTCCTCTTAGAAAACCAGGTGCTGCTCCGGTCCACAGACTACCAGAGACTCATGATTGTGGGCGAGTGTATCACCTCGCTGCTGTTTCCGTTCGTGTGGCCCCACGTCTACGCCCCCATCCTGCCGGCCGCCCTGCATCACTTCCTCGATGCGCCGGTGCCCTTTGTAATGGGCCTGCACGCCGAGTGCGAGGCGGCGCACAAAATCGGCAGCGAGGCTACCTTGTGCTTTGTGGACATCGACAAGAAGCACATCCAGCTGCCCGAGGAGCTGCCTGTCTTCCCACACAAGCTTGACTTTATGGCCGAAATCGGCTCGGTGCTGGATAAGTTTGAGATCGAGGGAGCCCGCGACCAGGAATCTGGTATCAGAAATGGCTATGGATGTCGCGGAGCGGGAGGAGGCGTCGGTGGCCCGGTGGGCGGTGGCGGTGTTGGAGCCTGCGGAGCTGATGCAATGATCTCTAGCTGCACCCTTCCCACGGGCCTGCAGGCGGCGCGACGGAGCAAGGAGCGCTTTCAGCAGTTGCAGGAGACGGTCTACACGTTGTCGGGATCACCCGGCGGTGGTGGTGGTGGTGTCGTGGAGTATCAGCCGCTAATAGCGCATCCGTCGCGTATTGACCACGTGCCGCGCATCGCTGACTTCCTGCGCAGAAAGGGAGGCATCCGGGGCAGCCAGGGAGCTAACTCCCCCGTGGGCAGTCCCACCGTCTCGCTTTCCTCCTCGCCGGTGGGCGTATACCACGATATAGACGCCGTGGATGCCACTATGCCAGCATCCACGCGTCGCGGGGAGAAGCCAAAGTTGAGTGCCGTGGATCAGTACTACCAAGACCTGCGCATCAACAGCTCGGTGCGAGAGATCTTCCTCAATCGGTTCGTCCACATGTTTCACGCCTACGAGTACTTCGTGATCTATCCGAATCAAGCTCGGGACGAGTGGATCTCCAACCGCGAGACGCTGCAGAACTTTGACAAGTCCTCGTTCCTGTCCGACCAGCCGGAGCATCATCGGGCCTTCCTCTCGCGCTTTCTCGAATCTCAAATGTTTGCCACGCTTATCGACAATAAGATCCTGGCCATGTGGGAGCCGCAGCCGGATGAGCAGCTCCAGCTATTTGACCAGCGGGTCAAGCTTCTGAGGTGAGTCGAAGTCAGTCCACAATTGGCCTTGAAATATCATAGTAAATATATCATATCAGGCGACGTCACGGGGAGAACATGATTGCCGCCACCAGCTACGAGCCGTGCGTTCTGAGCCAGGACTCACAGCAGGGCTTCGAGAAGCGGCTGAACTGCATCGACATTGAGGTGACGCCGCCCAGCGAGATCCTGGCCAACCGGGCGGCCTACTTCCGCAGCTTTCCGCTGCTGGAGAAGGGCGTGCTCAACCAGGAGTGCGCCTCGAGGTAGTTGCTTTAGTTGCTTCCCCACAACACAGCCCCCTAGTTAGACTAGATAGAGCACGTCCTGCCCTCCTACCGATCCCGATTCTCCAGCTAACCCCCGCACTACTCATCTAATAACAAGACATAGGAAAAGAAATGTACCTTGTACTGTGTACCTCATTCGATATTACCTAAGTGTTAGTTATAGACACACCATTACCACATAGACACCTAGCCGTACTTGACTCCGTATTGTATGTGTATCTCCTCCCACACCTTCTCGGATATGTCCGCATCCTGCAAGGGATAATCCCCGTTTTGTTTGATCCTTTTTAGTGAGAATTTAATAATAAATTCAGCATTCTCTAAACTGTTAACCGAGACTCTTCTTCGTTTTCGTTTTGGTTCCGTTTTATCCCGCACCGCATGCACCCGCTCTCCTCCGCCCACAGCTCACCGCCTGCTACTCCTGTTCCCTCAGCTCCTCCTGCCACATCCGCTAACCCCTTGCCTCCCCCTCGGAGTCCCCACTAATCCACAGTCTCTTTATTCTCGTTCAAAATTCAAACTAAAACTAAAACTCAAACCGAAAACTTCAAAACTCATCCGCGCTAACCTCCGAATCATCCAAAAAACAACCCTCCTTCGCCTATAAATCCGCAAACGCATCCCGAACAGAGGCAACAGCCTGCGGCGGGTGAAGAACGGCAACAAGTGGCGGGCCAGGGAGATCTCGCTGGACCAGAAGCCAACCACCGGTGGCTCCTCGAATGCCCTCAATCGGCTCTCGGCCAACCTGACCACGGCGGATGTGAGTCCGGCTTTGATTGCCCAGGCCAATTGGACGTTTGTGGAGCGTCTGCTGAAGGTGAGTCATGTCCTTGAGGGGGAAATAGATCCCAAAAATAACTTAAAGTAATTCACAGGACATCAAGTCGAAGACCAAGCGCATGCTACTCGAAAAGATGGGCAACGAGGCTGTGGCCTTGGGCCTCAAGGGCGACGGCATCGAGGAGAACACTTTGATAGCCAGCATGTGCGATCTGCTGGAGAAGATTTGGTCCCATGGCCTGCAGAATAAGCAGGGCAAGTCCGCCCTGTGGGCCCATCTTCAGGCCTACCTTGAGATGCAGGAGGCGCGTGGTGCTGGCGACACTGGAGCAGGGGGAGCGGGAGCAGAGCAGTCACTGGCTGTGTCCAGCAGCAGTCCTGGCAGCAAGATGACCATTGCCACAGCCTCGCCGGCCCTGGCCTGGAATGCCATGCGCAAGCGGATGGACTGTAAGTGGGAAGAAATCAAGGTGAAGAAGGCTCCTAATTAAACTCTAAATTATCCCGGCAGATCTTTCTACATTCCAAACGGATTTTGACACTCCGCCGAGTCCCAATCGCAGCCGGTCGCGGGATCGCAACAAGTTCGTCGGCCTGGAGCAGCTGTGTCCCCTGCCGGAGTCCCTGGAGTTTGATGTGAAGTGAGAAGCACCTTCTGCCCTCTTCTGTGAATCCCCAACTAAGGCAATGATGTGTTTTTCCCCTAGGAACGTGCTCGCCATGGCGGATATTAAAACCCATATTGGCTATACCCGCGCCTGGGTGCGTCTGTCGCTGGAGAAGAAGCTGCTGTCCCGCCATTTCCGCACCCTGCTCTCCGATGAGGCTTTGCTGCGCTCGCTGTACAAGCGCTCGGCCTTCCTGCGTTGCGAGGAGGAGAAGGAGCAGTTTCTTTACCACCTGCTGACCCTCAACACGGTCGACTACTTCAGCTTCACAAACATATACCCCTCAACGAGTAGGTCCCCCGCTAGCTGCCCTCGCTATATGTCGTGCTCATGCTCCTCCTTTCTACCCTTTTTCCTCAACCGCAGAGCTGCCCTATCGCGTCGTGATCTTCCCCTCCCGCAAGTACGGCTCCTACCACACCTCCAGCAATGTCTGGATCATGATTTCGGGCACCATGAACGAAACGCAGCGGGTGCCAGTACCCAAGGGATCCCTGGAGTTTATCTTCCACGTAAGTTGGACTTGCTGTCATACCAATTCCTTTCCCTCTACCTTCTCCCCTTTGCAGTACAAGAACCTGGGCCTGCTGACAACCATGCGCATTGGACACGACAACTCGGGGCCCAGCCACAAGTGGCTGGTGGAGCAGGTGGTGATGCGCAATGAGGTCACCGGCCACACCTACAAGTAAGCAAATAGCAACGGTAACGAAACGTTTGTAACCCATTTCCCTTTCTCTTCAAGATTCCCCTGTGGCCGTTGGCTGGGCCGCGGTGTCGATGACGATTCCACGGAGCGCCTGCTGGTGGGCCAGCGGGCCTCGACGAGCGTCAAGAACGCCGAACTGGTCCCGGGCTCTGACACACGCACTCCGCCGCGCACACGCAGTCCCAGCGTGCAGCGCCAGGAGTCGCTGTCGCCGTCGGAGATCCAGCATCAGCTGGGCAACTGTGTCAACGTGCTGGTCAAGTGGCACTACAAGCCCAGCCGGGACCGGGATGTGGGCACGCTGACCAGCCTGCTGTGCGGGGACGATGGGCTGGTCAAGTGTCTGGAGCAGGTCTTCCTCTGCGGCTTCCGGTCGGCGCGATTCTTTGGACGCAATCTGTACATTTGGGATTACTTTAGCAAGATCAAGGAGCTGTTCGAACAGAATCTGCAGCTGGAGCTGGAGGACTCGGCCTCGAGTCTGGACTCCTCGTTTAGCGGCAGCAGCGGCGGTAGCACCCTGCAGCGCCGTGAAATCTCCGGCATCTGGCGACTGTATGTGCAGCTGATGGACGAGATCAATGGTACGGCGCTCGGCAAAGATGGCAAGTTCCAGCTGCTTATCTGCCTGAGCCTGCGCGAGCATCTGCTGACGCGCCTGATCAAGCCGATGGCCCTCACCAAGGTCACCCACGAGATGTACGAGGAGGAGAGCTTCCTGCGGCGCCGCAACCTGCTCACCTTCCTTATCCAGATTCTGGAGCCGCTGGACGACTGCCACATAGTGCTGGAGAACTCGATCACGCAGGGCATTCGCATACCATCCCAGTGCTAGCTCCATCTCCACTCTTCCCACAATACTCATCATCCCACACGGACATTTTGCAACCAGTGACCTAGAGAATACTCACACCCATACATATGCTCTTGAGGAATCTCGGAACTCTCGAATTCGTTGTTAGCTTTATTTAAGAGCAGATCAGGACCCTCGCCTGACTGCACCCAATTCTAATCCTAGCCACCACTTGCCATTCGATCCGACTGCTTGCCAAGAGGAGCCCGGAGAAGGCCCCCCCAATTGAAGCCAAAGTTGAACACGAGAATTCCTTGCAATCGAATTTCAAAGACATTTATTGTGCAATTAGGAGAAGCGTTTACTACTACAAAGCCAGAATTCTAAAGTGTTGTTCAAAGATCCAAATATATATAGAAAGTACGAAAGCCCAGGGGTGGTCAGTAGCTTTAAGAGCCCTTTTAATAACGTCCTCTCTCCAGTCAATTCCCCCGACTTTTGTTCCAACTTCAATTGTGGCTTCTCGTTTTGTTTTTCATTATTTACCAAAGAATCTTTGTTTTTTTATTAATGAATATATATTTTATTAGGTTTAAGCAGGGGGCTAGGGGAGATCAGTCCCCAGGAAGTGTACATGTTCAAGCTTTATTTTCACTCTACACTACTCAGCCAAAAGTGTTTGTGCAGCTAAAGACAGCTATATGTAATACTTGAGAGACAGACACCGAGGGTCAATAAATATGCAAAAGACATTAATAAAGTTTGATTGTTGTCAAAATTGAAAATAATTTAAGGGGGTCAAGGGGCTGCTGGCTGTTCCAAATCCAAAATAAACAAAGCCAAGGAAGAAGACAATGAGGAATCAAATCAGGATGAGGAGCAGGATCCGGGACAGCACGATGAGGGTGTCAACAAAACCGAGCTGGAACCACTGGAGACGACCTCCAACAGTCCCGTCTAGGAGCTTCAATCGAATTAGCAGTCCCAGTCACAACCAACAGCAGGACTGCAGCGGCGGCGGAGCAGGAGCAGGACTGCCGCGGCGGAGCAGGGCGGCTGCAGCAGAGCAGGGACGCGGCGGCGGAGCAGGGATGCGGCAGCGGAGCAGGCTTATTGCTTAACAAATTTATATATTCTACAAGAGTAGAGCCCACCTTTCTGGTATCTTTTGATTCGTACTGCCTTATGGGGAGGCGTTAATGATCATCGCCGGATCACATTTTGACCTTTTTTTAACTTAATTTGTTACTTGTGGTTTACTAATGTTAAGCTTAAAGTTATAAGATAAAATTCTATATTTAAAAAATCTATAACTCTGCCAAAAATGCCTTAAATTCCATTCGGAAAGTGTTTTTATCTTAGTTTTAATACGTTTAACAAATCTGCATACTCCATTTTTGTTTTTTAAAAATTTAAATTTTGGCCAATTTTCGAGAATTTTAATGATGTAACCCCTTATAAAAAATTGAAAAAATGGCTAAAAAAAAAAAAATGCCCGGACTTGTCTTAAAAGATTCGCCTATTAATGCTGATCAAGAATATATATGGTTTATAGGGTCGGAAATGGATGCTTCACTGAAAAAAATTATAAATTCCCTTCAAGAAGACCGAAAATATTTCAGCTTAATTAATTCAGATTTTAAATGTAAATTGGTATAAATATCACATTCCCCAATTATACATTTTTTGCAAAGAAATGCTTCCATGAATCCCTGAAATATTAGCATTGTAAAGCCTTTAAATCCACAATTATTAATATTATTAGTAAATATTTAGTAAACAATTAAATATCAATAATTATCCATTTAAAGATTTTAAATTTGAATATTTTCCCTTAAATGTGTCTCTGCAGCATTTCCCTCGCTCTTTTTAATTCTACATTTATATTCTGTAATTATTTCCTACTTACTATCCCTGCAAGGACTCTTTCCTAACAAACCAACAAGTTTTATCCTAGCAGGGATTTCCGCGGCGGAGCGGGGACGCGGCGGATGACACCGAGAATTAATAAATATGGGCATTTCCATAATGTCGCACGCGACATTCGTACGCATTCAAATCAAAAAAAAAGTATGGTACATTTAATTTTTTTTATTTTTATAAATGTTAACTTATAGCTCTTGCTTAGGACTATAATTGGTGCAAATGTTGATTTTGAGAGTTTGCTCAATTTTTAGAAAATTAAAAAAAACTGAAGGATTCGCACGCGACAAAAACAGAAGTCACTTTCGCGGCGAGCTGTTTAAACACTGATTTCAACGAAACGGCAGGGACTATTTTAATGAAACAAATTTTAATATATGATGCAATAATGTCACTTTCATATGCTTTAATTTACAAGCAAAAATATAGCGTAGTTTATTTTTTACTTAATTTTAATCATATTCGCACGCGACATGTCGCACGCGACATATTTTTTCATCATACTTTGCATGTAATTTTTACTATTATAAGTAAATTGGAAGAGCATATATCTATTTTATTTCGACTTTTTGCATTCTTCTAGGGATGTTAGTAAACAACAGTCAAAGCATAATGCCTCGGTTTGGATGTAATTAACAAAAGAAAACAGGTCCATTTTTATGATGTTTTTCATCAAAATAATGAAAAATCGTGTTTGCGCGAATATGCATTCGAATATTTCGAAATTTGTTTTAGAATATGATATAGCCCTTCAAATTTAATCAATTGGCCTTTTCCTTATGTTACTATGTTGGAAAAAAAAATTTTTAGAGAAGTTTTAGTGTTTTGGCCGCGGTTGACCTTTCTGTGGAAATGCCCATATGCTAAATAAATTAATAAAGTTCAAGCGATGTAAAAATTAAAAATTAAAGGGGGGGATCTGATGAAATGGAATGGAATGACGATGATCAGAGAAGCCTATTCAATGATTAAACTAAAAAAAATCAAATGAAATAATGAATAAATTAAATAAATTAAAAAAAAAATAAATAAAAGAACAGAATCACGGCACCCGAACAATGCCTGTGACACCAATAAGGAAAATTTAAAAAGTTAAGACAAAATCATGAAATAAATTAAAAAAAAAAAAAATAAAAAGAACAGAAGCACTGCGACCGAGACGGTCGAACAATGAATAAAATTAATGATATGCCTTCATAAGCCAGGTTAATTTTTCCCATCGGCAATGGTGTCAAGGCTTGCTTGGATCGTATATTATCCACTTTCTCCAGAGCCTATTTTGGCGAATTTGAATTCGATAAAAAATGGTTTCCTCGAAAGGTATGGCAGCCCTGTCTGAAGTATGACCAGTTGCTGTGGTGGGGTTGTAGGTTGTAATATCAGATGTGGGCTGAATACCAGCTGTGGTTCGAAAATAAAAAAAATACTGACTTTATTTATGCATACGCATATCGATATATTTATATCACTACTTGGTCACACGCACGCCTACGAATGGGTAAAAAATAAAAGCGGAGTTATAAACAAATTGCTAAGAAACCAAACAACATCGTGTCGTCGCCGTTTCAGTTGTGTCGCGTGTGTGAGTCATTTCAGACAATTGAGTGGAAGACGGCAAGCAAGCAGTCGCAGCGCCAATTATCAGTGCAAAGAAGTGTTCTTCGCGAAGAAAGTGGAAAGTAAGTCGAGAGAGCAAAACCATTACGGGGAATTTTTAATTGGAATGCAGGTCACTACTTCGTTCGCTTCGCTCTTCATGGGGACCAGAAAACATTTACGCCGCCAGAATGACGTGAGCAGTTCGCCCTATGCCTTGCGGAGAGAGCTCTCTCCCTCCCCTCCCCCTTCGCATATGTAGCTTATTTTGGATGCTCAGTTATGTGCGTTTTATTTTTCTTCTTTGATGCGGGCGCCTCTCTTCCTCTGTCCTCAAGGCTTGTTTACATAATCGCCACCCGCCACCCCTGGTGGCCGCCTGGCTCGTGGTTTTGGGGGAGAACGGGAACAGCTGCTTTATCGATTTTGCTCTCTTGGCAGCCGGCAAGACGACGCCATTAATCGGCCGCCACGTCATGCCCGTCGTATGATTTTTTGTGCTCGCACTTGCAACGTTTCGTCGTCTCTCCCAATGACGCGTCATCGGCGGCGGCCGCACTTTGCCCTGATCGTACGATTTCCCCAGCGGCATCACCATCACCGTTATACAAACCTTTTGGGGCAAGTGTTAGTCACGCTTGCTCCACTTTCCATGTGCCTGTTTACCGTTGCGTCGCTCTTTTCCAGCGAACCACAACAGAGAGGCAGAGCCAGACCGGGAGAGCCACTTGCGGATCACACGCACAATCAGCAGTCAGCTGTTTAATGCTCAATGAAATGCGTACTGGTGCGTGGGTGATAGTGGAAGAGGAACAGCAAGACGGCGGGCAGTGCGAAGAGTTGTGCAATATTTTCGGGCCAATCTTATCTGGCTATGGAGCTGAAACTGCGAAAACCACAGAAGACCCTAGTTACCAGACGTGCCGAAAGGCGGTTTATAGTTCCTACTCGCATAGTGAAATGATAGTGCCACCAGCATTTTCTCACGTAATCCTGGCTTCTCTCCGAAGCAGCATCAGCGTCCAGAGAATCATGAATCGAGAAAAAGGCGATCAACTGATCAGTTGACGTCAAGCAGTGGCTTTTTTCGGTGATAAGACCACGCCACAAGGTTATCAATGAACACACACACTTTGTATTCATTCTATATTCTGCTCCCCGATCGCAGCTTATCGATGGCAAAGGCACTCGTAAGATTTAAATAAGTCCCAGGCAGGCAGGTTCTTGTTTTCGAGAGATCTCTTCGGGCGACTGTACTTTCGACCTTTCGCTTTTGGCCAAAAGAAAATCAAAGCGAAACGGACAAGGCAAAAGGCAAACTCCAAATTGCTTTTTCTTCCGCCGTGAGATTCGCCAGAGTTCTTTGGCCTGGTCAGAAAACTTTAAATGCCTCCAACTGAGTATGAGAAAATCACAAACATCTTTATTTTTTGTTTTATTTACTCGGTTCGCACAGAAGAGTTATTTATCAGGCTTTTAGTTCGGTTACCAGGGAGTATGGTGTTACTATAATGATTTTAAAACATTAAGGCTCGAAGTTCTGAAGACCTTCGAAGACCTTCTTTAATTTATTTGCTATTTTAGAAATATATTTGCTATAATTTCATCATACACTATAAATCAATGAATATTTAATTTTCTTGCTGACTATAAATAGAAAATGCATGTACACCAAATTTATACTACATATATAAATAATCTAAGATCACACAAAAGAGTACTAGTTCTGGTATATTTTATGTCTCAAAATCATGCTACTTACTTTTTTAACAAACCTACTTGAGTAGTAATACTCATAATTGTAAAAAATTGTAGTGAAACCCATTAACTGCGTCTCTATTTTATATTTTAAAGTCGTTTTCACTGCATACTTACACACATCTACACTTGTCGGCCTGACCTTCGTCTAGCAAAAATAAACTACTGACAGTTTAAAACGAAAAAGTCCCGTGCTGATAGCGAACTTTGACTGGTTCCGCCACTAACGCGATTTCGTAATCCAAGAGAGATACTTGTGTAGTTTTTTGTTCCAAAGACTTCGTAGTGTCTAGAAATCCCGGGCTGATAACAACGAACGTGGCATTTCATCCCAAACATGTGTACTTCGCCAAGCTGGCAAGATCGGAGTTAGCCATATAGCCATCGTTGTTAGCGTGTTGTATTCCTTTTATCTTTATCAGTTGTGGAACACGGTCCATTTCCGCCAAACGCATTTATCGTGTTCGATAACTCCCGGTTCGAGTGCAGCGGAAGCGCCGCACACGGTACTCACTCGTCCAGGTAGGCCAATCTTATCTATCCACCTGCTTTTAGAGCAATCGATTTTATGGGTCCCACACTTGTCCACCCACACACGCTCCTCTAGATAGGAGCGAGCTCTCTCCGGTATTTGTTTTAGAGGTTTACGCCGATGGTTAAAGACTTCGGCGGCGGCGTAGAGGTCAAAATGACTCGGCGGCGGCGGCGTAGTAGTCAGAAAGAATCGGCGGCGGCGGCGTACAGATTTTTTTCAAATTAAATAAAATTAGTATTATTGTATTATATCAGTTTATAACGCCTTTATTAACAATAACAATAAAATGAACATAAGTGAGTAAATTAATTGGGTAAATGAAATGAAAATAAATAAAAATTAAGTAACAAATAAAAATAAACATAAAAATAGCAGTCTTTTTCCTTGACTTGAATAAGTTTCATTCATAATTCACATAATTAATGTTCAGTTTTCAATTCAGTTCATTTTTATCTCTTCAATTTGTAAATTTAAGTTAAACTTTCTTTGCAAGTGTCGTAATTGTCATGTATAAAAATTACTTTATTTACGTTGTGAGGACTGAGCTGCGACCGTTTCTGCGTAATTGTAAGACCAGCAATAGAAAAAACTCGCTCACTTGGAGTGCTCGTTGCAGGAATACACAACACTTTTTGTGCCAGCATCGAAAGTAAGGGCATTGCAGGTGCCTTTTCCTTCCAAAATGTCAATACGTCTTGACATGAAGATAAGCTTAGGAGTAGATGGCATTCAGCTTCCAAATTGTTATCTTTGGTATTGGTCGAATGCCGTTGAGCAAGCTTTAAGATTTTGCTTGCAGAATGAGACTCTTGCTGCTGATCGCTATCTTGTTCAACATCTCCAATCAGCTCTTTAAACATTTTTAACAAAAAATCGTTTCTTTTTAAACTTTGTTTCTCGCAATACTCCAACACACAATCAAGTGAGTTGAATCGCGGATCTAATAGGGATGCGCAGACTAGTATATCCGATATCGGGAACCTTGAATCAAATCTATTTTTTATATGGCTTTTCATGAGAGTCAAAGCAAGCGGCTCATTGTTCTCAGGTTCTTCCAATATTGAGACGATTTCAGTTCTTATCACTAACGCAAGACTTATTGATGGATACAAATCTCCAGACAAAACGGTAACTGCATCTTTAAATTTTTTTAAGAAGTCGCATAATTTATATAAAAGCTGTGCTTCATTTTCTAATAATATTAAATGAGTCTTATTGCTGCTTGTGAGCAACTTATTTAATGCGGCTCTTTGGCACCCAAGACTGTCTAACATTGTTAACACGCTGTGCCACCTTGTTGGGACCGAGTTCTTAAGTGAAACATTTCTCTTGTCCACCAAACTACTTTGTAAGTCATTAGGGTTGTTAATATTCTTGTAAGTTTGCAAGGGAACATCATCTAACGGGCCAAAATCATCATCGTAGTCGACCCATTCATTATCTTCGGATGCCAGCAGTTCTTCTAAATTGTCGATATTTGACAAAACTTCCTTTTGAAGTTCGTCAGCTTGACATCTCAAAACATGTGTCTTGAATCGTAAGGCACTCACAATATTTTTGCACTTCACAATCAAATTTTTAATTTCCGGCTCTGAATTGTAACCATCAACATTTAGCAAATTATGTAGTCCATGTCCAAGGCAGAAGTGGTTTTTTATACACCCCAAATTAATAGCTTTTTTGATATTGCTGCCTTGGTCGGTTACGACATAATTAGATCCCATTTGCAAATTATACATTTGAGTAACTTCTTCCACCTCTGTTAAAATGTTACTTGCCGTGTGCGATTTTGACAAATATTTTGTTTCCAGCGTTAAATGCTTCATCTCAAAATTCGCTGACAGAAAATGGAAGGTGAACGTTATATAACTTCTTCTTCTATAGTTATCTGTCCACAAGTCGAAAGTTAAGGCAAAATGTTTTTGTCCAGATACTATCCGTGTAACTGCTCGTAAAATGCATTCATACACATCGTCTAGTGCAGTTGTTGACAGCGTTTTGTAGTGTGGAATGTCAGCATCAGTTGCCACAACTCTATATTTTTTTAAAAAGTCTTTAAGTCCACTGTGACAAATTATATGAAATGGTAGCAAATCTCTAGCCATCCACAAAGCTAGCTCTCGTCCCAGCGCCCACTTACTATCTTTTGGAGATATAATTGGCGTCGATTTTTTGAAAAAATTTGATATTGATCCACGTGTAGCCAATGAAGTACTCGGACTGTCGATATCTCGAATGTTGTGTTCATTTTTGAGGTGTCGACTTAAATTCCCTGTGGAACAGTTCGTGGAATACGACTGAATTTTAGCACTGAAACAATTTACAAAATCTTACTTGAATCTTAAAAAAAGGAACTTAATTATTACCATGAAAAGATTGTTCTTTCGTCGTCTTTTTTCTGAACATCCAAACATAATCGGCAGAACACCTTGTCCACTTCAATGCAGTTGTTCTCTAATTGCAATGCGCCGAAAAACTCCCACACTTTGCTCTTTCGATTTGAGTAATGGTTGTGTTTAATTGAGTACATACTCAATGGCTGATCCATCTATTTGTTTAGAGAATATTTAATTAATACATATGTTCCTAACACTAGTAATAGTATTTTAAAACTTACTTTGCATATTTACGCACAAAAAACACAGCTTTAGAAAGTAAACCACACCAAATAGCTGTTCTAGAGATGGGACATAGGGAGATGGGAGATGAGACAATCCTAACGATTAATCGATTATTTATATCGAGTATTTGGCCATTTGTATGATTTATTTATTTTTGTTTTTAAGTTATATTAAGAATAATATCACCGAAGGCCGCGCCGGTGCTACGCCGGTGCCGCACCAGCGGCGCGCCGCGGCGCGCCGTTTTTTTCATAATTCGGCGGCGGCGCGTCAAATAAGGCAAAAATCGGCGGCGGCGGCGGCGGGCGCGGCGGCGTATATGTCTAATTTGTTTACCTTTTGATTCAGCGCTCACTTCGCTGGAGGTGGTTCTTCGTCATCGTTTTCTTTTTTAAATCCAATACAGTGGTCACTAGCAGGCGGGGTATGGAATAATATGGTATTTGAATGGGAATCTTATGCGCTGTTTAAATAATTATAGATAAGAAAATAGTACTGTATCATGCGAAAGAGTTTTGTCACAATCTTAAATCACTTTTAGTTTGTTATCTTAACGTACTATATTTAAACACTTTGATTATGAAAATATAGCTTCCGTTTCAAGTGCAAAAGTCACTACAAGTCCAGGTCCTTGTGTTATCTGTTGTGAAAATAATACATTACTGTCATGACTTTCTAAAAATAATTGATGTTTCAGAGAAGCTTATGTTTTTATTTTTTATGTATGTTACGCTACTCATTTCAAGAAGCAAATTAAAGATTTCTAAGAAGCTTATTTGTTGGAGCGATCACTGTAGATCGTACGACACGAGTGACGTCCATGACGTCGCTCAAAGCTATGAAGGTATATTGTTGTAGATTACCAAAGACTGAAGGCTAAGGAATTTGGCTTGGCAACTGAGAATTAGCATGAATTAGCATCGAGCGGGGATCATAAATTTCACTGGCTTACATCAGCTCCAAGCGGACTCGCAGACGCAGACTCTCTCCTGAGCCTGAACTTGAACTGGAAGCCGGTTCCAGCAGGTGACTCACGGATCCAATTGGACCTTGAACAACCGAAAAGTACACTCCCAAAAATAAACGCAGTGTGTGCACCCCATTTTGGGGTCTCTAAGTGGAATTTCTCTGGCTGATAAGGTAGCGAAAAAAAGCGTATGTGCCAACCAGATATCTGACGTAGGTTCTGAGGGGTGCCAAGAAATATTCCGTATAGATATAAGCAAATATGTGTGACACTATGAATAAACATGAGAGAAATAGACTGTCTGTTTATAAAATTAATTTCGAGCACGCACAGAACAGCTGACCGAGAGCGGCGGAGCGCTCGCTCTTCTCCTCCAGTGCGATTGGGTCATACCCTGGCTCACGTGTCCACCGTCCCCCCATTTGTTTACGTAAAGTGCAGCAGCCGCCGGAACTAGTTCTGGCACTGCCCCCCAGTTGCTGTTGTTGTGTACGTGTCGTCGATTCTATTATTACTTGTTTGTGTGGCTGTTTCTGCTATTGTTTACCGCCTTGCGATGCTTTTTCTGATTTCCCAGAAATTTCTCTGCCGTTCGATGCGCGTGGCTAATAAAACCAGTGGTTTCGGCAATTAAAGCAGAAATCGATTTGGCTGGGGCTCAAACCTTTAGGGGGGAGGAGGGGCGGTAGTGAATCACGTGTTGTCAGCATAAATTTAATGCAACTTTTGTAACTCTTATAAATGAAATAGGAAACGGGGTTGATATTAGATTTCATATGTAAATCCAAACAGTGTCGCCAAATGGCAATTAATCACATTTGTATCATTTTTGTAAATAAAATGTTTCTTGTTTACATGCAAATAAATGCACATAATTATACGATTTTATATTTAGTGTTTATAAAGCTATAAGAAACAGCGTCATTTGGGATTTTATTTATAAAATGTTTAGTAAACAAGTCCATGTCCCAGAGATGGCGAATTTCTTTGAAATATGATTACAGTTTTTCTGTGAACTATATCTTATTCTACAGCTAATCTGGGTTATATTTAATATTTTTTTAAAAATATTTTAAAGGGTAGGAAGTACCCAATATAGCCTTTTTTCCACTTAAATTCTTTGCTTTTTTATATTCCCTAAAATGTGTAAGCATAAAAATCCCATAAATATCTGTTTGTTTAATTAATATTGATATTAGTATAGCTAGTAATTATTCCGCCTTAAATATTGTTTATTAGTAAACAAGATACGCATATTGCGAGTGAAAAAAGAGGAGAACCACCAATTAAATGAACTCGAATAGTGGGGTATTTGTTTATTTTATTCACCATTTAATGAGAGTCAAGCCAGGAATATTAGTAGATCAAAGGTTAATGATCAAGACACTCAAAAGTATCTTAATAAAACCCTTTTTAACATTGAATAAGTGCACTTTAGTATACAATGTTTTTATGGCCTTTTGGGGTTTAACTGGTGCGAGTTGTCAAAAAATAAAATAAACTGAAATCGCAATTGCCTTACTGAACTCTAACCTGTACCTTTAAACATCTCAAAATCTCTTGCAGACCAAAAAATACGCTTGAATCTCCGTGTGTTTTAAAAAAATCGCTAAAACTGCCGCTTCCAAACATTCGCTGCGATGGCCACCTCATCGATACTCGCCAAAAGCACAATTAACAGCACCACATCGCCCCCGGCCACGTCCCCCAGCAGCACAACCAGGAAGCGGACCTACGAGACAGCTATTGCCATGCCCTCGTCGTCGTCCACAGCCACAGCCACCTCGAGCTCCACCACGGCCCCAGAGCCCCAAGAACAGCGCACAAATAGCCCCAGTCTGGCAAAGTCCAAATCTGCACAGCTGGAGAGTGTCCTGGTCGTCGGTGACGGCGCCAGCGAGCCCACCACCGCTGCCACCACGCTGCGGGACAGCACCCGTACCATCTCACAGAGCGATGCTGACGATGGCGGCGAGGCAGCTGCTGCCGAGGACTCGCTGACCACCAACAGCACAGCCCCCTCCACCTCCTTCACGGCGGACTACCTCAGCGACGTCAAGCGGAAGTACGTTCCGCAGCTGCAGCAGACGCCGCCGGCGCCATCTCAGCAGTTCTTTAACGGCAGTGGTGCTTCGGATTTTGCGGTGAGTACAGAACAGCTTGGAAATCTAAATTAGAATTATTTGGGGAGAGCAGGCCTTGAAAATACCAGATGGTTGTGTCCTGAGACCCCTCAAATTCTCAGTTGAATATCAGACAGTTGTTGGGAGTTATATTTTGTACGAACGGAAAAGATATTTAAAATACTGACTAACGATGAGCGACTTGCTCCTGGAGGAGGACTTTGTAGGCCTAAGACTCGTACTCCCCTTTTCACCTGTCACTCATCCCTTTTCGTCTCTCTCCAAGCAGACCATTTGCAAGCCGGCGCCCTTCTCGCACGACGAGGAGGCCATGCTGGAGCGCCAGCGTTGCGACTACACGCAGCGCATCACCTACCAGATGGCCCGCTCCGGACAGACAACGCGTAGGGTGCGCGTCTACGCCGATGGCATCTACGATCTGTTCCACCAGGGCCATGCCCGCCAGCTGATGCAGGCAAAGAACATCTTTCCCAACGTCTACCTCATCGTGGGCGTGTGCAACGACGAGCTGACCCATCGCATGAAGGGTCGCACTGTGATGAACGGCTTCGAGCGCTACGAGGGAGTGCGTCACTGCCGCTACGTTGACGAGGTGAGTTCTTCTTACCTTTGTATGGAACTGGCTTATAAGAACCTTCTTCTGCCCCCCCTAGATTGTCCAAAATGCGCCCTGGACTCTGTCGGACGAGTTCATTGCCGACAATAAGATCGATTTTGTGGCCCACGACGACATTCCGTATGGAACCGATGGCATGGACGACATCTATGGCCCGCTAAAGGCGCGCGGCATGTTCGTTGCCACAGAACGCACCGAGGGTGTGTCCACTTCAGACATTGTGGCGCGGATTGTGAAGGACTACGATCTGTATGTGCGCCGGAACCTGGCCAGAGGCTACTCCGCCAAGGAGCTGAACGTCTCGTTCCTGTCCGAGAAGAAGTTCCGTCTGCAGAACAAGATGGACGAGCTAAAGTCACGCGGCAAGCGGGAGCTGACCAAGGTCAAGGTGGACATCATCACCAAGTGGGAGGAGAAGTCGCGCGAGTTCATAGACACCTTCCTGCTGTTATTCGGGCGCGAGAACCTCAACCATCTGTGGAACGAGTCCAAGGGCAAGCTATTGCAGGCCCTCAGTCCGCCGGGAAGCCCGTCGGGATCGGTGAACGGCGACGACACCGAGGGCGGCGAGGACTACAGCGACACCATTGATGATTACTTGGAGCTGGCCGAGAAGATGACCGGAGAGGGTAATGTTAGCGCCAGCGGAAGCAGTGGCTCACTGAACGGCAAGCAGCGTCAGAAGCGTCCCTCTTTGGCGCGTAGGAGTTACCAGAGCCTCCAGAGCCGCTCGCCCGACGATGATGCGGACGGCGAGGAGGAGGAGGTGGAGTACGAGCGACGCAGCAATTGATTCTAGTGCGGGAAAGACCTACGGCCCGATCTTCTCTCCGTCTGAGATGCTATTGTAAACTGATTTGTTCGGGCCGCACGCCGCTAGATGCCCTGCCGAGGCCCTTCTAGTTACTCTAGCTCTAGATGATGGTACACTGTAATCTTTCCTAGTTTTAGTTGGCACGCGCGCTCCCCCCTCTTCTCCTCTTCTCCCGCACTCGGCACTCAACCACTTTTCCAGATCCTGTAGCTAATTCGGCGATGTGTGCAACGCAGAAAAGACTCATTTTTGTATTAGAGCGGCGGCTGCGGTACCGAAAATATCTAGAAATATTTATATTAAATTATTTCGCATAACATTAGCTCTAAGTTAACACAATCACAAACACAACAACAAGAAACAACACCAAGAAATATTTAAAAGAAAAAACGATTAAACAAAGAAAACAAAAGAAACAGTTGGCAATAGCGGAATTATTGCATAAAAATGCTTTGTTAAATATTTTTTGAGAAATAAACATTGAATCGAAACAAGACCAGAGCATGCTTATGACCACTTTTGATCTTCTCCAAGAGTTCGCCATCAGTCTGGCCACAGCAGTTGCGGAATTCTTTTGCTGCGCCAGCGATGATGAAACCGCTCGCCTTGATTGGAGCCCCCTTTCTATTCTTCACCCATTCACCGGCTGGAAGCGGTTCACTGATTTGTTTAATGGCTCTGCGGTTTATATATAGATGCACAGCTACCATCATCGCCTGATCGGATCGGATCGGGCGAGCCCGTGCCAAGTCAGGCGACACACCACCGCCGCTTCCTATTTGTTTGCGCCTCAATTTGTGGCAATTGAAGAAGATCCGCGTCTGAGACCGAGACCCAGGCCGGGAACACCGCCCGGCCAAGTCAATTGTATTGATTCGCCACCAGTTGCCGCCAATTTATTTATTCGTCGTTAGTGCGCAGTTGGCTTCGTTTCGGACTCAATCCTCCTCAGAGTGGGCCTGGCGTTCTGTGCCGGAATCGTATAAATTTATGTAATCAGTCGTCCGGTTGGAGGCACATTGAGTGGAGGTCTTGCTTGTTTTGTCGCCGTTACTATATATTTCTGTAAATAATGGACAAGATGCCCGAGGAGGAGGATGCGTCCCCGGTGTCGACAGCTCCCGTCACGCCCACATCTCCGCACGAGTTCAAGATGTTGCCGCTGTTCATGGACTTTGAGGATTTTGTAAGTGAAACATGAAATTCAGACCCCAATTGATTCTGATGACCACTCTGCACTGTTCATTCCAGGAAATTTGCAGGCCAGCTCCCTTTTCCTATGATGACAAGGCCATGCTGGAGCGGAAGATGTGCGACTACGCCCGGAAGATCACTTACCAAATGGCCAAGGCCGGACAGACCACCCGCAGGGTGCGTGTCTACGCCGATGGCATCTACGATCTGTTCCATCAGGGCCATGCCCGCCAGTTGATGCAGGCGAAGAACATATTTCCCAACGTCTACCTCATCGTGGGCGTGTGCAACGACGAGCTGACACTCCGGATGAAGGGACGCACGGTCATGAATGGATACGAGCGCTATGAAGCAGTGCGTCACTGCCGATATGTGGATGAGGTGGGGTTCCATTATGGCCATAGAACTCTTTTGTTTTTACAACCTCCTCACCCTCCTGGCAGATCGTTCCAAATGCTCCCTGGTCGCTGACTGACGAGTTCCTCGAGGACAACAAAATTGACTTTGTGGCCCACGACGACATCCCCTACGGAGCTGGTGGCGTCAACGACATCTATGCTCCTCTCAAGGCGCGCGGCATGTTCGTGGCCACGGAGCGTACCGAGGGTGTGTCCACCTCGGACATTGTGGCGCGAATCGTGAAGGATTACGATGTATATGTGCGCCGGAACCTGGCCAGAGGCTACTCCGCCAAGGAGCTGAACGTCTCGTTCCTATCCGAGAAGAAGTTCCGTCTGCAGAACAAGATGGACGAGCTAAAGTCACGCGGCAAGCGGGAGCTGACCAAGGTCAAGGTGGACATCATCACCAAGTGGGAGGAGAAGTCGCGCGAGTTTATTGACGCCTTCCTGCTGCTCTTCGGTAGGGAGAGACTCAATAGCCTGTGGAACGAGTCCAAGGGCAGGATCATCCAGGCCCTCAGTCCACCTGGCAGTCCGAATGGCTCTATCAACGGCGACGACTCTGATGGAAAGGAGCGCGATGACGAGTCCGATGACGAGTACTTGGAGCTCCCCTTGGAGTACGGGGCGGCGGGCAAGCAGGAGCGGAGCGGCTTGACTCGGCGCAGCCGAAATCTGGCTGCCTACGAAGAGGATGCGGAAGCGGAGAAGGACCTAGAGTACGAACGACGCAGCAATTGACGGCTTGCTGCCATTCCAAATTCCATTATTTTTAACCCTTCAAATACGACTGTAAATTAATTGTTTGTAATTGGTTACGAGAAGAAAACAACAACGGCACGACCTCCTCACCCCTCGATTTGTGGGATGGTTCCCGATGCTACAAGGGGTTGTTTAAGTGTTAAATATACTCTTGACAAAGACAAGGTCTGCCCTGGAAACTCCTCCTGCTTTTCTAAGAAGGGAAATCCCGACGTTCTTCCTTGCTTGCTGCCTTTATTGGATTACCTTTCAAATAGCTATGCATATATGTGTAATGTGAATACAAGTGGGGTTAAATAATAGTTTAGTTCAAGGAAATCAAATCCGCTTTTCGTGGTTATTTGAAATAACGTTGAAGTATTCGCATATAAAAAAAAAACACAATCGATTGACCATGATCCTCTTCATGGAGCCCTGTTCATGCCCGTGGCAAACAGCGGCACCATTTTCTTGCCCTTGGCCTTCTTCTGTTTCTTTGACTCTGTCTGAGCAGCTCCGCCGCCCGTCTTCTTCTTCTGATCCAAGGCTCCGACCAATAGCTCCCCCAGTCCCCAATGGCCAACAGCAGATCGCTGTTCGTAATCATCCTCGCTGCTGGGTTGCTTCGGGTTTGGAGTAGTTCGCGGTGGCGGCGGCGGTGGTGCCGAACGACCCCAGGCGCCCACCTGGAAGTCCAGGGATCCGGCAGCACTGCCTGGCGAACCACTGCCAATGGTGGGCCACATATCCTGCTTGGGACTGGCCAGAGTCACGCTCGAGTAGCGGGAGCCACTCTCCTGGCTAATGGCCATAGGCAAGGAGCCACTGGGCGAGGGCAAGGCCTCCTCGAAGCCGCACTACGGACAGACAATCAATTTTTAACAATCAAAATAGAGCTAATCTCAAGGGAAACTCACCGTGGGAAACTCATGGGAGGAGCTTAGGTCCAGGTTGGCTGCACTGGCTATAAGTTTGCCCATCTGGCGGTCATTGATCTCGTTGATGTGCTGCTCTCGCTTGCGCTCCTCGCGATCCCGACGTTGGCGCTCCTTTTTTCGATGCAGGAGATCCTCTAGAGGAGGCACATCGCTTAGCTTATATTTAATAGAAAAACTTATAAGAGGACTCACCCCTGAAGAGCTTGAGTATTCCTCCGGACACAATGGGTGGATGCAGTTCGACTTCCACAACGGAGAACTGGCATGTAAGGGGCAAGTGACCCAGACAGGTGAACTTGCGACGGTGCTCCTCGTCCATGGAGTGCTGTTCCTTCTGCACGATCTGCGCTTCGATCAGCAGCGGACCCAAGTCCAAGGTGCCGTAGCAGGCCTGCAGCATTTTCACGTTCAACGGGTGCAGGTAAATGTTCTGGCCATCGTTCGACTGGTAGAAATAATAGTACTTGTGGCTGCTGGTGTTGCCCGAGGAGCAGCTTATGCTGCTCGATGCCTCGCCCGCCGACGAGATGGAGGCATCGTCCGGCTTCTCAATATCAAACTTGGCTTCGTGATCCTGGGGTGGAAGCTCCACCTCCTCCAGCTCCAACTCTCTGGGATCAGGCTTCTCGAGTCCCAGCTTTTCGCTGCGCTCCTGGAGCGTCACCAGCGCTTGCTGGATGAACACATCCTCCGGGCACGATACATCCGATTCGGCCAGCAGTTCCACACGCTCCCTCTCGATAATGGCGGCCACATCTGCTCTTTTGGCTATTACGAACTTGGAGTACCGCTTGGCCTCCTCGCCGGCGGAGAGGAGTGGGAAACGTTCGATGGCCTCCCCTCCAGCTCCTCCGTGCTTCTCGATGTACATGGAGCCCTTGTGACGTCGCATCAACTGAAAGGTTATGGTGTCGCCCACTTGCAAGTCCCTTTGCTGCTCGATGGTGCAGCTCTTTAGATCGCCAGCGTGAATGGCATCATAGCAGATGGGGCACTTGCGCCAGGTCTTGTCGCTCAGCGAGAGATAGTGCAACAGGCACGGCCAGCAGTAGGCGTGGCCGCATCTGGTGAGCTTGGCTGCCACCGGCGGATAGAGACAGATGGGGCACTGCAGCTCCTCGGTGGTCTGGATGTTGATCTGCTCAATGTAGCTCCAATCGATGAGCTCGTCCGGCGAGCCATTCACCTGGGCCTTGGCCCCCAAGCGAATCACAAACTGGAAGTTGGCCTGCAGGAACTGCTCCTTGTTGTAGCGCTGCTTGCGCAGGCCCAGGCCATGGTTCTGCTGATGCTGATGGTGGTGTCCCCGCTCCAGCTCCCTCGGCACGCAGTGGAAGTTGAGCAGATGGTTCAAATTCTGCTTCTTGCTGCCCTGTGCGTACACAGAGTTCAGTTCATGGTCAAAGTCACCGCTACTACGTGGGTAGCCGGCACTGGCGTAGGCTAGTCGGGTGCCGCCTGAAGCCCAGTCTTCGCCGCGGGATGCGAACGGATCGTTGGCCCCATAGCCACCGCCGCCGCCCCGAGCCCTTGGCCGCTTGTCCACATTGGGACGTAGCTTGGCTGGCTGCTGTTGTTGTTGTGTCTGCTGCTGCTTGGTGCTGCGCTGCTGCTGCTGCTCGTTGCGTGGTGTGGGAAGCTGCTCCCGTCGGCGGTTATTCCGCTGCTTGCTGTTGCTGGCATGTACTTCTGAGGAGAAGAATGAATACCATTGGTTTATGGCACTTTACAGAAGGATGTGGATGCAAGAACTCACCACTGGACTTCCTTTGCGATTCACCAGACGAGGACTTGCCATGATGAGAGGAGGATTGAGGCTGCTTCTTGCTGCTGCTGTTGCTGTTGTTGCTGTCCATCGTAGTGGTTGTAGAACTGAGAGGTGTTGGTGCTGGTATTGGTATTGGTGCTGGTGCTGGGCAGCTGCCAAGAGGCAGCAAACTGCGTCTTGCCTAGGTCTCCACACGGAGTGCGTTGGGCAGAGTATTCTCGTTGCGGATTCATATTTACTGAGCCATGATTATCCAACGGTACGACCAGAAATAATACTTGCGTAATATTTCCAAAAAATCCAATGCGGCTGTCGCGAGGAAGTGCTGGGGTCTCGAGGCGAGTCGAAAGTACCGAAAGCCAAGTACTTTTACTTGCGGATCGTTCACTTTTCTATGTGTGTTAGTTAGTCTATGACTCCGTGTGTTGGTATTGGTTCGTGTCGTATCGTCGTATGGGTGTCTCTGAAAATGCGTGACGTCTGTGGGTCTGTTCGGGGTCTATTCCTGGTCTTTACCGACAATTTTCACTTCCAATAGTACGCTCCCACCGATTCGGTCGGTCACTGCTCGATTTTACGTCTCGAAATCAACGGAATTTTGATGGAAAAACCAAATATTCTTTGGTCGGGAAAAATAGCATCCGCGATGCCCTATGCAAAATGGCTGACTGTGAGTGTTGGAAAGCGCGCTGTCCAGAGATGTGGGTGGACTTGGTCGTGACACAAATCAATTCCCAACAGCAATAATAAATCAAATAAAAATAATTATAATTTCCAGTCGTGAGGAATTTTGGATTTTTTGTTTAATTTCATAGAAAATTGAGCTACATTTTTTGGCAGCCTGCTACTATCGGCAGAAGCAGTGCTGGAAAACGCCAAGCTGTGCATCCAACAGCTGATTTTGTTATCTGGGACGCACTTTGACCGGCCTTTGGAAAAGCTATAACTATGCTAAAGTCAACACCCTAGTCGTTAATCCGACGAAATGGACTTTCGAAATGCCCGTGCCCGGCAGCCGGAGATCGTGCGTTCTGTGCAAAAGGATGCTCGCTATACGAACGAGCTGGCCGAGGACTTTTCCGATGTCCTGCGGCTCACAGGCCCAAGGAATTGGATAAAGTACAACCAGATGTGCCGGCTGCTGGCGGAGCTGAGCTACCACGGCTTCGCGTCGGCCAACAACTTACAAACCCTCGGGGAGGAGTACACAGGGATCATACAGGTGGACGGTAACTACAAGCAGATTCCCAGCAGATTGGTAAGCCCAACATTCAGCTGCGTGCAGATTGGTTTTCATTTTCTTTCCTATACTCTTCCAGTTGCAACTCCTGGCCATCGTCCTTGAGTTTGGTGGTGACTCCTTGTTCCAGCGACTGTTGCAAAAACTGGAACTGTACGTGGCCAACCATGAGGAAATCCGTCCCCAGGCCAAGCAGCAGTTGAAAAAGATCATCCTGCGGGTGAAGCAATCTCCAGGCTATGTTAAGGCCTTGCACAAGTCACTCTTCTACTTGGACGCCAGCAAATATCAGTTGTCCAAGCGCACCACGGGCATCAACTACGTGCTCATCCGCCACTGGTTGCAGCCAGAGTTCTCACTGTACGGCTACAAGATCCTCGGCGTGATCACCTTCCTGCAGGTCACCGTTTCGCTGGCCATCAGTGGCTGGGATGCCTGGCGAGAGCATCGGCGCCAGCAATTGGAGGCGATCAAGCAGGCGGGCAAGAAATTGTTCCTGCAGCGGCGATCAACAAGTGTTAAGGACGCAGATCCGGACTCGGATGCCCCTCAGTGCATTCTTTGCCTGGAGCCGCGATCCCATAGCAGTCTGACGCCCTGCGGTCACATATTTTGCTGGCACTGCCTGCTGGAGTGGCTGGAGGAGCGGGATGAGTGCCCTCTGTGCCGCGAGTCGCTGAAGAAGTCCCAGGTGATCCTGCTACAGAACTATTCCTAGGATTAAGATAGCCCTACTAATGTGTACCTGTAAATGCCATGTATTATTTGAAGACATTTGCTTTGGAATTGATATATATTTTTTACGATTGAACTCACTACAAAATACGGGATCCTTGGCTTTAAGGGAACCCATTTGGTCGGCTTATAACAATGTTTAACAAACTCTGACTTTGTTGCGACACCTTAATCTTATTTTTGTCTGAAAATATCATTGGGAATCCTAAATACTCTTACATCTCGGATAGTCTTAAACATAAACGAAACAAAGGGCTTGAATTAATCAAGGCAAAAGTAATTTAATTATTTAAACAAGGCTCTCTGCTTCAAAGTCCGATGACTCTTAGATCTATGAAGTCGCAGTCCCACTCGCCTTCCTTATAGTTTTGGTGCTGATCTTACTTATCTAGGTATTTACAATACATTCTACCTCTATGATTAAATCAAAATCTAAATTGTCCTAGAGGATATCCAGGTAGACGGTGCGGTTGAATATCTGCTTCCTGCGGCGCGACTCAAAGGCCGATCGAGCCTCCGCCGGCGACTCAAAAGCCACACGGGTATCGCCGGTGGGCTTGCCGTCATCGTTGAACCGCCGAATGATGTCGTCGGGACTGAGTTTGTAGTCGCCGAAGAAGCGCAGGATGTCCTTGAGCTCCGCCTTGAAGGGAACGTTGCGCATGGCCACAACGCAGCCAGGTCGATTGAACTTATCCGAGATTTCTGTCATAATCACTGGGGCAGCAGCTGCGGGAGCCGGACTAGGGGTGAGGGAGCTGGTGCCGCTGATCTGTGGTGGGTCGGGTCGGGCAAATGGATTGAAGTGCTGCTTGCCGGTGGTTGTTGTGGAGGCAGTGGAGCTGCTATTGCTTTCCTGCGACTTTTCCCTCTCCTGGGATCTTTGCTTCTCCACCTGCTGCTGCTGCTGTTGCGGTGGCTGGTCCTGCGGCGGACTACTGATGTCGTTAAACCGACTAGGGCCGCGCCGACGTGATTGCTGTTTCCCCTGACCCTCGCTGGAGCCACCTCCGCGACTTCCGCTTCCACTACCGCCACTGACATTGTTACCTTCTGCCTGTTGCTGCTGCCTGGGACCGTTGCCGCCTGGCAGATAGTCCATGAAGGGCTTGTTCATTCTGTCCGCAATTTCCTGCGGTGTAATGGTAACCACCCGTAGACCCCTGCCCCTGAAACGTCGATTGTGAAACTCCCGGACGGCCTGTTTGGTGCTGGCGGGATCTGAGAACTCCACAATAAACTCACCGGAGCTTTGATTGCGCTCATTGAACAGCTGCTCAATGTGCTCGATGCGCAGTTGCTCCAAGGAGAAGAGCTCCCCGAGATCATTGGCCCGGGTGGCATACTCGCAGTTGTGCACACGGACGAAGACGTCCTCCTGGCGGGGTCGCTGGTTGTCACCTCCTCCTCCTCCGCCTTCTATTCTCTCTGGGCCAATGTTGGGAAAGTTAGGACCATTGCCGTTTGAATTTCCATTGCAGTTCATGTTCATGGCCATGTTGTTGCCCATATTGAAGGGAAAGTTGCCGCCGTTGGGCAGCTGGTGCTGTTGCTGCTGCAGGTTTGGCATGTTGAATGGCATGTTGCCGTTGGCAAAGGGTGACATCATATTGGGATTCATATTCATCTGCTGCTGCTGTTGTTGTTGTTGTTGTTGTTGCTGCTGCTGTTGTTCCTGTGCTTGGCGCCTTCTTGGATCGTTGCTGAGCCTACTTTGCTCCTCCTCCTGCTGCTGCTGCTGTTGCTGCCTTCTCTGCTGATCCTGCAATAGCTCCTCCCTCTGGTCGGCCTCCTCCTTAAGCAGCTGCTCGTTGGCCCGGCGTAGCTTCTCCTTGGCATTCTGCATCTCCTGCAGACTGCTGGGCCTCACCCTCAGCTGCCGGAAACCAATATAGTGACTGGACGTGTCCTCCAGCGCTGACTTCGCATCAGACTCTCTGGCAAACAGGACAAAGGCCACGCATTCGCGACGATTGTTGGGACTGGGGGACAGCTGGATGTCCACCACGGTGTAGTTGGAGGAGAACATCTTCATAATCTCCTGCTCGGTGGTGAGCTGCGGCAGGTCCTCTATGTACAGGACTGTGGTAACAGGAATAGGCATGGGCATGCCTCCTCCTCCTCCTCCTCCCCTATCGCTGTTTCTCTCGCCGCCACCATTGTGGTGATGGCCCCTGCCGCCCCCATCGTGATGATTTCGTTGCTGATTGGCACGCTCCTCCGCCCGCTCGAACTCCTCATCACCCACGGGGGCGATTTGGATCATTCGGTCGCGAAACATGGTGTTGTTACGCTGCACCGCCTTCTGGGCACTGGACACCCGGGAGAACTCCACGTAGGCGACCCCGGTGCGGTTGCCGTTCACCGTCATTATCTTGATGCCGTTGTGGGGAATATACAGGCCCTGAAAGTACTTGCGGATGTCGCTGTACGAGATGCTCGGGCACATGCCACTCATTCGGATGTAACAGGTGTCGGCCACGGCCACGGGTGTGTTCCCCCCGCCGCCACCGACCCCGGCACCACCACCGCCGCCCGGGGAGCTGCCCATGCCCAGAGGCGACACCTTGGCCGGCGTCTGTTGCTGCTGGAGCAGCTGCTGCTGCTGCTGAAAGAGCTGTGGATACATCTGGGCATAGGGATTAACGCTGGCAAAGGCGATGGGCTCGGTGGACTTGGCAGGCTGCTCCATCACCTGGGCCTGGCTGCCGTTGGCCACCTGCTGCAGTGCAGCCATCAGCTGTGGATTGCCACTGGCGTTCGGGGCGAGATTGTAGTTGTTGGTTATGTTGTTGGTGGTGCTGCTGGTGCTAGTGGTGTAGTTCTGCAGCGAGGGCAAGACCGGGGCCACGGGGAGGCCCAGACCTAAGCCCAGACCTGGCGGCAGCTGGACTTGAGGTGGTGCCTGAGCCCAGGGCGAGGGTATCGCAGCGCCTCCCATGTGGGCCAACTTTAACTCCCTTTCTTGGCTATCCTTACGCTCCGGGCGACGCTTGCGACCTCGATCGCGATGATCTCGTTCACGCTCCCGCTCCCATTCTCGATCGCTGTCATCGGAGCTGGAGGAGCGGCTGCGACTGCGACCGCGCCCTGTGACATCGGAAAGCGTGATGCCCGCCTGCTGCTGATAGGCCAGAAAAGAAGGAGCGCCCCCTGTGGCACCTACAGGGACAGCGGCCTTGACCTGCCCCAGAAAGCCGCTCAAGCCACCAATGATCGGCGGCAGGGGGGCTGAAGTGGCAGCTGAGCCTGGCCTAGTGGGAGCCACTGGTATGGGAACAGGCACGGCAATGGGCGCTGGCGTCGTGGCCGCCTTGCGAGCGGTCTCAATAACCTTCTGCATCTCGGCCCGCGAGGAGAGCAGCAGGCGCACCTGGATCTCCATTAGCTTCTCGCGATCTTTTAGCATGGCGCAGCGGGCGTCCTCGTCGGTGCTGTGGACGATGGGTTTTTAGAAATGGGAGAAAGAGAACGAAAGCAACAAATCAGGGGAAGTAATCAGTAAAGGTGGCGGTCAATATACTAAACAGCCGCGCAGTGGCTTCGTCTTCGTTTCTAGGAAGAGTTCCGGTGGTCTCATCCGTGTCCTCTTTAAATGCAGTCAAAATAATAGCACTAAAAATACATTCGATCCATCTATAATGCTTCTTCACAGAACTCGAAAAGGCTTATATTTACATATTTATATTCATTTTTTCGTTACCAACCCAGTTTATGATACTATTCCGATGTGCATAAAATTAAAATTCTGAAAAATTAGCCATACCTCGCTAAATAAAAAAAATATTGGAATAACAAAGGAGTCATAATTTGTATATACTTTCAGGGTATTGTAGTTTTAGTCAGAATGTTGCAACGCAGTTAAGGGATAATTTCTAGATCAGCATTAACAGCCAAGTAGTAAATCTATCCATATCTATTAATATAAATATTTATCCAATTTATTCAATTTTAACGAGAAAGAATTTAACTTCGGTTAGCCCAAGCTTATAAACCTTTGAACTTTGCAAATGGATCAGGGTACCGACTCGAAAAACTATCATAACTAGGTCAAAAATGCATTAATTTTAATTCTGAATGCGTTTCTGTGCTAGTTTTTTAAAGTTTATCAAGTCTGCATACTAATTTAACATTTGAAAAAAAATATATTTTTTTTTTAATTTTAACGATGTAACCCCTTATAAAATTGTGAAAAAATGTCAACATATTTTTTCCCTTCGTACATGGCTAGAAAAACTCCCCTGTTAATGTTGATCAAGAAAATATATGGTTTATAGGGTCGGAAATGACTTCTTCGCTGCGTAGCAAGCTTCTGATTAAAATTATAATACCCTGTAAGGGTATAAAAAGGGGTTAATAAAATTGTAATAAAAAAAAAAATTATTCTTATTTCTTTTCAAATAAATGATTCCTTTTTAATACATTAATTGTCAACGTAACCTTACCTTGGTTTCTGTAATTATTTTTACATAATTACGATCATTTTAATTAAGGGCTTACGCCATTTTTAAGACTGGCATTAAAATGTGTGACAATATTGGCGTAACCAGAGTTTGTCATGGTATGGATTAGATTGGATAATGATGTTACCTTTTGTCTTACTGTATATAGAACCATTCATCCAGACATATGTACTTGCATCCGCTCATCGAAGATAACATTCTGAGTAATTTCTTAGTGCTATTATTTTGACCGCCGCTGTGGAATATTCATGCTTGGAGCGACTCAGGAGAGCCGGCTCAGGTATGCTATAGGTTTACTTATAGATCAGATTGTGGCTAACTACCTGAAAGCGATGAAAGCGTCGCCCATCTCGCCGCCGATAATGTGGACACCGCCCTCGGGGATTGAGAGGCCGGTGAAGAAGTTTCGAATGTCGCGGGCATTTGCCGTCCACGGCAGATTTTGTAACCGAATAATCACACTCATCTTGATCAATCAATTGATTTGACTTGCAATTTATTTCTTTCTTTGTACAGACAGACGACAGATAGTTCGCTGTCTGGCTATCCGCGATCCTCCCGCTTCCACTGGGAGATATGCTTTCACCGATTCTTTAGCTGAACATCAGATGGCCATCGCCCTGGATTCTGATGAGAGTGGTTTTCCGCTGCTTATATTGAATCTGTAAAGAAAATCGGAGACTTATGGAGACTTGTGTGCCAACAGAACAAGATCTTAAAGCTTTTTATCAATATTAATGTCGATTTCTAGCGGAAATCGTTTCTAACTACTTTTTGTTTATACTATAGTAATAATAATTAATTATATGGATATAAATAATATTGGATTTAAAATTTAAATCATTGATTTCTCATTCAGCTCTTTTTCAACATTGGAAATATTAATCGTAACACAGGTTTCCGAATGCCAAGGCTTTGAACAGGCTTATCTTTAATCGGCACATGCTATTATGAACATATTTATTCTGTGTCTCCGATGTAAACTATTTTTCAGTGACAACTTCCTTGCGGGCAAAGCTCTGCTCTGCTCTGCTCCTGATGTTTATCTCGGGTTGATCGCCTCATTGCACACATATGAGAGACTCCACGGACGAAGTGTGGTTTCTCTAGGCAATCTCTGGGCTCTGAGCTGGCTATGGCCAAGACGAGCGCCTGATTTAAGTATTGCGTAAGCCGACCAGTTTCCCACAAGTCTTGCAGCACACCAAGGCTTCCCAGCTCTCAAAAAATATATAAATAAATAAAGGGTCTCACTTACTCTGATGACCTTAATAGGTCCAAGGCCTGATCGAGGCCACAAATAGTGGCCAGAGGACACCCTAACCCTACCTAAGCACATACTGGGTCTGGGAGATCCCCGTTCCCACAGAGCCACATGCTCCACGATCATTAGACCGCTTCAATTTCCTCATTAGACGCACTCAATTAGCTGCCGTTTAGACGACTTTGTTTCCACCGGAGGAGGAGGAGGCGGCGGAATAGCGGGCCGGAGGATCGCCAACTGCTTTCCCAAAACAGAGGTGGAGAAAACCCGTTGATCGTTTTGGACGTAATGGGAAAGCGATTATGCAGCTTTAATTCAATCGTCGATGCTAGTTTTGTGTTTCAAGTCAATGCGATTGGTCTGCCACTGTCGGCATGTTAGTGTTTCGGTGTCAAAGACATCACAGATCCAGCAGGAGTCGGGGTGCCGAGTTGAGCTTCAGGAAACTCGAGCCCAAACTCCTTCCGCCTGGCTATATAAAAAGCATTGTTGGCATCTCCGCTTTGGCAGTAAGAAAATCGAATTGGCCGCGTTACCGTCTCTCCGTCGCCGTCGGTCGTCATCGATCACCGATCATCGTCCTCATCATCCTCAGCAATTATCGCATATCATCGCGCTATCATCGACTTGTCGTCGTTAAACGATCGGATCAATTGGATTGATCGATCGCATGTAATCGGAGAATTAAAGAAATGAAAAAATCCACAACAGTGAGTGATCGCCGAATAAGCCTGGGATTACTCTCGACAGTGTTCCTCGTGTTCGATATAGATCCCATAAGATCTGGGCTCTATAGACTTGTGTGCGATTTTCAGGATAGCAAATTACAGTTTAGTCTTTGTTCTTATCGGATCTATATTTCGTCCAAGCCATTTTTAGATATTAGTATCCATATCCGGGATTCTAGCTTTGGATTAGAGCTTAGCAACTTACTGTTTAGTTTCCTAAGGGATCTTTGCTTTCCTCCACCTTCTCCGCCAAGTTCATATGATAGTTTTTGCATTGTCAACCAGCTCAAGCCCTTTTTTTTCTCTCATTTTCAAAGTTAGAACTTTGCTTATAAAACATAATATATATCACAATGGAAGACTGTAATAGTTGTTTAAATACTATTTTGGGCGGTGGTAATATTAATAAAAGAACTGAATCACTCTAGAACCTTACCAACTTCAAGAGAGATTCGATTATATATATTTTTCCCCGATATTAGGTTCCCAACTAAAGAACAACCTCTTGATCTTGAAACTTGGATAATTAATTAAACAATTATTATAAAACAAGCAGACTTGATAAGGGTAGAATTGAATTTCGAAATATTTCGTTTATAAAAGAGAACCCTTAGGATCTGTAGGAATCACTTTCAGGCCTTACTAACCCAGAAACAGATTCCAACTCAAGATAGAAAGCAACAGAACGAAAAGAATAAATATGAGAAAGATAAATTTTAATGTCTCGCAGCTTTCCCGCTTTCAGAGAATGGCCGCCTTAGGCCTGCTGTTGCTGGTGGGCGTCCATGGGACGACGATAATCAGCATCAAGTACCCGGAGAAGCCCACCGAGGTGGTCGTGAAGCCGCAGCCGGCCAAGCGAGACCTAAGCCTGAGTTATGCGGCCACCAACATTGACTCCAAGGAGGGAACTCGCGTCAAGACCATTACGGTGATCAAAAGCGTGGGTGGGAGCATATCTGCTCCGGAAGAAGCGGCGGCAGCTGCTACATTTGGGGCTCCCACTGGTCACAAGCAGCAGCAGCCGAAGCTGGCGATTGATCCGTTGCTGCACAAGAACCCGGAGTGGGCGAATGCCTTTCGCGATAACTTTGACTCCTATGGAGCACTGCCAGATGTCCCGGACATAGATGACCTGTTCGAGTTCGTGAATCGCAAGAAGCCCGCGGAGGAGAAAAAGCAGGAGGCGACTCCCAGCCAGGCGGAGAAGGTGCCGAAGGAGGAAGCCAAGCCGGCTGAGGAGACCACTACCAAAAAGGCCGTCGCCGTTGAGCAGAGCGAGGGAGAGGACAATGCCAAGGGTAGTAGTGCTACCAGCACTGGAAACATCGACAGCGACGAGGCGGTGGTGGAGAAGATCAAGGGCGATGCCGAGTTGCTGCCGCACATCAAGCAGGCCAACATTCTTCGCCTCCAGGCGGCTCAGGCACGCTCGGGGCTGGGTCTGCGCACCAAAGAGTCCCTGATAAGCGTTAACTACTCAACGCCCATGCACCAGGTGACCCAGTATTTTGACAACTACGTCCAGGCGGTGCCAAATGGCTACGACTACTCCAAGCCCTGCGGCGCCCCTCCGGGTAACAGTATCCAGGTGACCACTCCCTCGGGTCGCACCTACGATATTCCGCAGAGCAATAGTAGCGGCACTGGTGGCGGCAATCATCCGTACCTGGCTCCGTCGCTTACGAAAAAGACGCAGATTCCACCAATCACGGCTCAGCCTCCGGTCCAGCAGCAGCCGCCTCCCAACTACTCCTCCGTGAACTCAATAGTGCCGCCCATAGCACAGCCGCAGCAACCGCAGCAGGGCTTTGCTCCAAATGCGCCTCCGCAGCAGCCCCAGGTAGTGTCACCACCGAATGCAGGCATCCTGCCGCCTGTTGGCTCGGGCGGAGTATCTACCAGCCAGCGTCCCTATGTGGCGCCCAGGCTGCGCAACAATGGCCTGGGCATCAGCCGGGCTCCCGGGAGCAGCAGCACCCCGGGACCGGTTCTCGGTGGCGCTCAGCCCGGCGGAGGAGGATTTGTGGGCGGCAATCCACCCAGTTTCCGCACCAGCATCTTTGGCGGCGGTCCCAATCGTCCCAACACGTTGCGGTCGCGTGGCCTAAAGTATTGAGCTCTAAAAACTAGACCCCGCCCAGTGTGGTCGCAGCAGTAGCGATTAAGGTTAATATTGTAATTATAATTGTAAATCAAAAGTGTCAATTCCTGACTAGCACATATGGAGCTCCTATAGTCCGGACATCCCCAACTCCCTGTTCGGGAATACTTAACATCTTCGATCTCGAAGTTCTCTATTGTTCAGCTGTAGCTGGATCATTGTTCTAAACTAAAACGTATCTCACAAGAGCCCATTATAGTAAAATAATAAATATTTGATTAATACTAAATACGTTTTTGGATAATGACCTATTTAATTTATTACTGGGATTAGTGTTAATTTGTGAACAATGGCTGAAAAAGTTGCTTAGAAACGGAAACATGTAGTATTTATACCAATATATTTTAAACGACTTGTTTTTCACTATCATTATAATTTACAAGCTAAAATAACAATTTGTTAACTCTTCTTTACTTGCAAATTGGTAACCTTTTCGCTGACTTAACATATTCCGAATCAAGCTATATTATTTTGACCTTAACTGTAGAATTTACCGAACCAACAGATATTCGCTTTACAATAAAAAACAAGGCACTTTGTTGATAGCAAAGCCATGCTAGACTGTACTTGGTAACCACTGAGGTAACCACGAAAACACCGAATTTAACGAAGCGGATCACAAAGCATGGCCCGGAATAGCTTGGCACGAATCAATACACACTGTTTTCCACAGATTTTAATTAATATTCACTATTTTCCCGTTCTTTGTTTTGTTTTTTGAGCCCTCGTCCCTTTCGCTGTGTGTGTTGTTGCTGTTGCGTGATTGTTGTTGTTGTTGGCATCTCCGCCGAAGAAGAAGCAAAACGAAGCAGACAGGATAGGTGAGGGGGGCACGTCGCTGCTCGAAGTACGAATACTGATTTTTATTCAATGAACTTTTACTCACCACGAAAACCATATAAAATGCAACTTATTCTGGACAACCAATGCACAAAGACAGGAGGATTCGTTTTGGGACAAACGCCTATATATTTATTTCGACAATCTCTGCAGTTGAACGGCTGAAAATTGGAAATCCTGGCAGCGAAAATACAAACGACGTGTTGTAATTGTTTTTTTTTTTGACAAGTGAAAACAAAATGGCTGAAAGCAGTGTTGCAAGATGGCAACTTGGCTTCCCCTAAAAAATCCCATTCACTCCTGATACTCTAACCATATCTGGTACTCGAACCACGTCTGATGCTATAGCCAGAAACTGAATTCAGATTTTAAAATTTTTTTCTGTATTCATTAAAATTGTATTTAAAACGCAGTTTTCTACATTTAAAAAAACTTTAAAAAATAAAATACGTGTTCTAAAGCGTAAAAGTAAAGCGTCAAAGTTTTACACGTTTACAGAACAACGGTGTCAAATTTTATATGGGAATGTTAAGCTTGGGGTCGAATTCTCGTTTTTGGGGTCGAATTCTCATGTAGAATCTTAAATGTAAGTAAAATGATTTGTTGGGAGAGAATAGAGCGTAACTTTTTTACATTTCAACCCAGTGCAGTGTTGCAAAATGACAACTTGGTTTCCCCTAAAAAATCGCATAGTTGATGATATATCGATATCAAAAGTGGTCAGCGCTGCCAGACTTTTCGGTCTGGCACTGGGATTTTCGCGCCCTATTAGGCGGGAAAAAACAAGCATTCAAAATCCTGACCATAGCAAGGAAGAGCCCTTTAACCGCCGGATCAATTGAACCCTTGACAAATATAAAGGCCTTCAAGAGTCCACTTTGCAACGCTTGTAACACAATACATATTCTTAAAAGTATTTCTTCTCGTTTACTTAATAATTTGACAAACTAAAATTATAAAAGCTGGCCAAAAAATTTGATAATAGAGATCAGGGTTTTCTTGGATTCTTAGTATCCTCGGCTTTCGTCTTAGCTCGTTCTGGCGAAGGCTTAATCTTGTAGAAGCGAGGTTTCTGAGGTAAAATTCTATGGGCATCTCCAGGAACTGTAGCCGGGGGTGCTTTCTTGGCGGCTGGCCCTAGATTCGTTCTATGCGTAGAAACGGGAAATCCCCCTTTGCCAGCAGGCTCAGGCTTCAACTGCTTCTTATCTGACGATTGATTCTTGGTAGGTGGCGTTCCACCTCCCGTGGGACTCGCAGGAGTTTTCTTGGACTCGGAAACAGGAGTGGCAGCTTTACCAGCTGGTGGAGGGTCAGAACGCTTCTTGCCTGGTGATCCACCCTTTTGAGCTGGCGGGCCACCGCCCTTGGGCTTCACCGGCTTCGGCGGATTTTTTTTCAACGAGCCCTGGGTGTCGGCCTTGGCCTGCGCCTGCTGCGCCTTAACGATGCACTCGAGACGCGCCTTGTTCTCCTCAGTCAGCTCGCCAAAGATGCTCTCCACAAAGGCCTTGTACTCCTTGTAGTGCTGCGCCTTGTTGCCAGTCGCCGGTGAGGAGCTGGGGGCGCGCCCATGGTAGGTCACGCAGCGCCTGTCGAGTGGGATTTAATCGGAGATTTATGATAGATCATCCACATTTGGGACTTACGTTTCCTTCTCGTTCTGCAGCAGGGTGGTGTCGAATCGCGGCTGCACGTAGAACCAAGCTCCGCTGTTCTTGTGCTCCTCCTGGGCCCACAGTAGCTCCGCCTTGGGATAGAGCTCCAACTGCTCCGTTATTAGGTCGTATGGGAATGGACAGAGCTGAGGAGCAAATTAGATACGAAGCAAACTAGTGGGAATCTATCACCTACCTGCTCCACCCGAACAATGGCAACGGTGTCCTCCTGCTGGTGGTCATCGCGCTCCTTGAAAAGATCATAATAGACTTTTCCCGAACAGAAAACGAGCTTGGTAACGCAGTCTGGATTTTCGGAGGCGGGCCCGTCCTCGGGGATTAGGCGCTTGAAGCTGCTGCCCTCGTTGAAGTCCTTGAACGGACTGCGGGCCATCGGGTGGCGGAGCACGGACTTGGGCGAGAAGTTGATTAGCGGCTTGCGGAAGCCCATTTTTACTTGCCGCCGCAAACAGTGGAAAAAGTTGGCGGGCGTCGAGAGGTTCGTGATGATCCAGTTGACGTTCATCAGCTGGCGCGCCACAAAGTCACAGTCACAGGTGTCCGGATATATATCCGGATCGTCGTCGCTCATCTGCAGGAAACGCTCCATGCGGCCGGAGGAGTGCTCAGGGCCCATGCCCTCCATGCTGTGGGGCAGCAGCAGCACCACGCCGGACTGGCGCACCCACTTTGACTCGCCGCTGGCGATGAACTGGTCGATGATGCACTGCGCCGTGTTGCAGAAGTCGCCGAACTGACCCTCCCACATCACCAGCGTATTGGGGCTGGCCATCGAGTAGCCGTGCTCAAAGCCCAGCACTGCGCACTCCGAGAGCGAGCTGTTGGAGACGGAGTATTGCGCTTGGTCGGGGTACAAGTGGTTCAGTGGCGTGTACACCACCTTGTCGGCGGTCTGGTGATGCAGGACGTGGTGTCGATGCGAGAACGTGCCTCGCTCCACATCTTGACCGCTCAGGCGCACGTGGACACCCTCCTTCAGCAGCGATCCGAAGGCGAAGACCTCGCCCAGCGACCAGTCCGCCACCTTGTCATCCACCATCTGTTTGCGCTGCGAGAGGATGCGTTGGATGCCCCTGTAGGGCAAACATTAACCATCTGTCTGCTCCCAAACGCATCCTTTGCTTCACTTACTTGTGCGCCTCAAACTTGTGCTCCTGTGGCGGCAAGCTGGAGAACACTGTTCCAATCGTCTTGAGGGTATCCTCGCTGACGCCTGTGGGACTCATCTCGAGGCGATTGCGGCCCTCGAAGAAGGCCGGCCAGGGGGAGTCGAGCCAAGTGGAGTTCTGCGGCAGGAAAGGATTCGGGATAGAACAAAAAACAGCTGTAACGGGGACTCACCTTAATCGTCTTGATGTTCTTCGACTTTGCCCAGGAGTCCTCGCAGATCTTATCGTACTCTGAGACCAATGCCTTGTACTCGCCGTCCGTGATCACACCCTCCTTGATGAGCTTCTCCGCGTAGAGCGTCAGGCAGGGCTTCAGCTTCCGTATGCGCTGGTACATCAGCGGCTGGGTGAACATCGGCTCGTCGCCCTCGTTGTGCCCGTTGCGACGGTAGCCGACGATATCGATGACCACATCCTTCTTGAACTTTGTCCGGTAGTCGGCGGCAATGCGGGCGCACTGGATGCATGCCTCCGGATCGTCAGCGTTGACGTGCAGGATCGGGGCACTCGTCACCTTAGCCACGTCCGTGCAGTAACGCGAGGAGCGGGAGAAGCGCGGGTCCGTAGTGAAGCCCACCTGGTTGTTAGACACGATGTGGATGGTGCCGTAGGTGGTGTAATTGGGCAGGTCAGACAAGTGCATCGACTCGTAGACCACGCCCTGCCCGGAGAAGGAGGCATCTCCGTGAATGATGATGGGCAGCACGGTCTCGCCTTCTGTGTCGCCGCGGTGCTCCATTTCTGCCCGCGCCTTGCCCAGCAGAACTGGGTTCACGTGCTCCAGATGCGAGGGATTTGCCACCACGGTGATGCGCACCATTCTGTTGGTTTGACGGTTCAGCCGCTCCTGGAACACGCCCAGGTGATACTTCACGTCGCCGGCTCCAGGGTCACTCGCCTGGAGGCCATGAAACTGCGCCAGTATATCGGCAATGGGCTTCCGGCAGATGTTGGCCAGGACATTGAGGCGACCTCGATGGGCCATTCCTGCGCAATGGAAAGATATCAATAAGGTGATAAGGATAGCCATGGGTACCCTTATTCACCTATAAAAATGGACTCCACGCCGTCATTAGTGGCCCTATCCACCACCTCCTTGATGACTGGTATCATGATGTCGCATCCCTCCAGGCCGAAACGCTTCTCCGAGGTGAACTTTTTTGCCAGGAAGTTCTCAAAGCCCGTCGCTCGGATCAGGCGCTCCAGGATGAGCTTCTTCTCTTCCTTGCTGCACTCCAGGGCTTTTGGCCTCTCGAGTCGCTCACGTATCCATGTGGTCTTCGTGAGCGACGTTATCTGCATGTATTCGATACCGATGTGTCCGCAGTAGATGCGCTCCAAGCGGTCCAGAATCTCCCTGCAGGCGGTACAGGTACGTGACTCTGCATGGCTTTTCCCCCGGAACTCACCTGAGGGGCAGGAACTGCTCATCGCCGCCGATCATCGTGGAGGAGGGAAGCTTAAACATTGCATTCAAATCGCCTGCAAGAGCAGGGATGGGATGTATTAGCGTTTCGACTGCAGATCAACGCAACTCCTTACCGAAAATGTACGAGTAGTGCTGCCTGAGAACATCCTTTGCGGCTTGCCGCTTGGCGCCGTCTACAGAGGAGCTCTTGTCGGGCCCCACGATTCCCAAGGGATCCAGGTCGGCCGCCAGATGACCGCGCATCTGATAGGCCCGGATGATCGCCTGCACCGTGTGATGGTCGTCGATGTTCTTCCAGTCGCCGGGAGGCGCCGCTGGAGGGGCAGCTGAAGGTGCCGCTGAAACAGACGAACCGCCTTCGGAAGCCGCTCTTTCGCCCGAACGAGCCTTCACCGTGGTCCTGAGCTCCATTGGACGCCGCCTGTACTTCCTGGTGGGCAATGTCTGCACCGGGGTCTTCTTGAAAAGTGAGGGCTCCTTGCCGCTGAAGAACGCATCCCAGGACTACGAAGCACCGCAGAAAGAAATTTCACACTCTGGGGATGTCATTAAATCCGGACCTACCTCATCTACAGACTTGGGGTTGCGCTGCCACTTGCTATATAGGTTCTCGATGTAGGCGGCACTGCTTCCGCTGGCAAAGGAGTCGCGGTCGAAGGTTTTGCCCAGCGTACAGCTAATTTTGAGCCAGCGGTGGCCCCATGTGAGAGGCCTCTTGGCCAACACAAGACCCCTCAGCTGGCTTTTATTCATGCTTGGCTATTTAAGATATTGGTGAACTCGATGAATTTAGAATTTGATGAACTAAAAACAAGTAAAAGTAAAAGACATTCCAACTGGAGTTAATAAATGCCAGGCATAATATGACGGATAGGTTTCGGTTCACGGAGAACGCAATCTGCCTGTTGGCTTGCTTAGTTTATTATTTATTTATTTCCCTAAAAGAGAACAGGTACATAGATTCAAATTTGGCGGTTAAATAAATCTGCCAAATAAAAAAAAACGGTTATAATAATCCTAGACGCAAACCACACTTGCCGTTAGGCGCTGCCAGACGTTTCTTTTTTGGATTTAGTGTGCCCAAATAAATCATTTTGAAACGAAAAATTCTTGGCACAAAATTGGTATTTTTTCAAAAAGAAGGGTTTATCCCTGGGTTGGGTACGGTCACATTGCAACGAAAACAACAACTCCGTAACTCGTAATTTCGATTTATTTTGCTTTCATTCGCTATTTTCACACCCACAATCTGCGAAAATAAGGCCATAACCGTGGCACGCATATTGTGCGTTCTATCAGTGTGTTCGCGCGGTCCAACAAATCCCATTTTTCACGCACGGCCCCGAGCAGAGACGACGTCAGTGGGCGACTGGCGTCAGGTGAAAAAAGAAAAAGAAAGAAAACTGATAATTGCGATTGAAAATTGAAAATTGAACGAGCGTAGTGAAATTAAACGGAATCGGCCACTGTGAAAACGCAGCGCCAAGCGTGGAGAGTTGCATTTAAAAAAGGTAATTAGCGTCCCAATTAAACAGGAGCTACTTCGTTGTGCGAGGGTGATGCGTTGGTATGTGTGTGCAAAAGTTGTTTTCCCTGAAACAGCAAGTTGTAGTGAATTACCCGAATCGATGACGAAATTGCTACGTTGAGCTAAGCGTGTTTCGCGCAGTGTACTAGTGTGTGTTTATTATCTATTCGAGTCCGCATCAATTTTTTTTCCCCTTGATAAGCTAGGTGTGTGACGGAGAGGGGTAACAAACCCTTAGCTGCGCCCTGTCTTCTTCTTCGCTCTACAAAAGGTCGTTGCATATGTTATTTACAATCCATATTTTAACGGACCGAACACCAATTCACCCGCTGAAGCCCCACAAGGTAGCCATCACCCTGCCACCCACCCACCCACTCCACATAATTAGCAACTTCTCTCTGTTTCCTCTTTCAATATGGCTTTTTCCCAGTCTTTCGCCACTTTTGGAGAGTTGCTGCCCCCGTGTAGACTTCTGTTGGCCAATTTCTGTGTATCTCCGCCAGCAGCAACTTGTTGTTGCTTCCTCTTTGTGCAGCTGATTGTGTTTCTCTTTGTTATTTCTTCTCCGCTTCTTCGCCATTTACTTCTGGGTTTCAGTGTCGAAGTGTACGCAAATTCTGTTTGGTTTAACATTTAACGCGTTTTATCAACAACGAGTATTATTAACTTTTGCACGGGTTCGTGACTCATGCCCGTGAATTTGTTGTTATCTGGCGTTACTTCCATGTCACTAATGGGAATGCCCTTGTCACGGAAACTCTGAAATATCCCTTATCAAATTTTTGTAGAAATATTTAAAGCAAATTCTTCTATTGCAAACTATTTAATCATTCTATTGATTCATAAAAAACAAATGTTTACATATAAAATATGTTTTACCCTATTTCTCTGGGTGCAACTATTTAAATTACTCATTCAAAACACAAAAAACAAATTTGCTTTAAAACTGTTCGTATCTATTTCTTGTATTGTTTCAGTTTGGCTCAGTTTTTGCACTTTACTTTGTTATCTTTCACTTTACTAATGAGAAGTGGTATTCACACCTTAGTTTATTTATTTCTATTTTTTTTTTTTTTTTTTTTTGTGAAAACGTCACAAGAATGAGAAACGTCATTTATGTTTTGATTATTCATTATAATTTTTATTAATCTTGATGATCGATTTCAAATTCAATAGAATCTTTTTTCTTTCCCAAATGTATTTTTTTGAAATTTAAAAATGTTTCTTTCCAGGAAACGTAATATGGTTTATTATATTAGAAAAATTTCTATGATTTCATTAAAATTATTAAAATAAAATGAGACCTCATTATTTTTGGAACAGATTTCAATCATTTTTCGGCATAAATTTGTATTTTTACTGTCAGTTTCCTTATCGCTTCCTTCCCGGGCTGACCCAAGAGTCTACTTCAACAGCCACCATATGTTTCCATTACCCTGAAGGCTTTTCAAAACCATTTTGATGTTCTCTTTGGTGTATATCCATAAGCATCATTAGCATCACTGGAGAATACATATGTAAACATATATCTTCGGGATTAGACTAATTCGGCTGCAGCGTTTTACCCTAATGAATTGCATGGAATAAGTCGCATGTGTACCTTATTGTGCTTGCTTAACACTTGTTTATTGATTGCTTGTGGCATTCCCAGCGGGTGAAATCGATATGAAGCATTTAGGAGAGTGACCCTGAGACAAGGTTGGGAAGGAGGTGGCGGCCAGGGCAAACGCTCCTTGGCTACGGCTACGGCAGAGTCCATTATTAATATTGGATTGCGTGATGATCTAATGCGCACATGCTCCCCTCTCTCTCCCCCACACATGCTTCTTTTATATTTTCCACACTTTGCTCCATTTGTTTTTTGTTGGTGTGCCTGCCGCTCCACATTCGCTTTTGTTTCTTTGCTGCTGACCCAATTTGTCCATAACATTGCAACAGTGTTGTCAGCAGTGCCAGAGCAACGAAAAATAAAATAAAAATAAATCCAAGAATTCAGAAAGTCGATCTGCTTTCATAACTAAAACCAAACTATATAAAAACTAAATATGAATGGACTATTATGTCCAACAAATTTGATGAAATTATACTCGATTATATTTATTTATTCTGCACTTTAATATTTGAGCAATATAATATAAAGGTAGCCGAGGGCCCAGCACTGACGTTCTGAAAATTGCTTTCATGTCTGCAAGTTAAATGTCGTTTTTGGAGCAATGTTCGTGTGAAACTCGCGACACGGGAGTGTAAACACAGTTGCCAGTGGCCTAGCTATCTGGCGTTCTAGAGGTTCATTCTAACGCTAATCCCGGTGTCCATTTATTTCGCCTGCAGCATGAGCACAACTGCCGCCAGTCTCATTGAGGCGGCGCTGAATGCCAGCAGTGGCAACGCCACAGCTACGACTGGGACGATTGCGACGACCACAACAGGCAAGCCCAACTACGTGGTGCAGGTGAAGGACGCCCCGATGAACACTCCGCTGGACCCGCTGCTCCACGTGGGCGATGGCATCTTCCTGCAAACCAAGACCGCCCAGGTTCTGGCTGGAGTCTGTGTTTGGGTTGCCCTGTTTATAACCTGTCAACAGGTAAGTTACTTTCAAAATCCATAGAATCCCGATCTAAAATCCAGTTTCATTTATCCTTTGCAGATCTACCAGCATCTGCGCTGGTACACGAATCCGCAGGAGCAGCGCTGGATAGTGCGCATCCTGTTTATCGTGCCCATCTATGCCACCTATTCTTGGATCAGCTTGCTCTTCTTCAACTCGGACAATGTGTACATCTACTTCTTCACAGTTCGCGACTGCTACGAAGGTTGGTTTAACTTTAAACTTTAATACCTGTCACGAGTACATCCTTGCTTCCACACAGCCTTTGTCATCTACAACTTCTTGTCGCTGTGCTACGAGTACCTCGGCGGCGAAGGCAACATCATGTCTGAGATTCGTGGCAAGCCCATCAAGACGTCGTGCCTATATGGCACCTGCTGTTTGAAGGGCAAGACCTACACGATCGGATTTCTGCGCTTTTGCAAGCAGGCCACGCTGCAGTTCTGCCTAGTTAAGCCGCTGGTGGCCTTCATCATCATCTTTCTGCAGGCGTTTGGCCACTACCACGATGGTGATTGGAGGTAATGGAGGTTTATCTTTTATTAAATCGTAAACCACAATCACTTATGGCTTTAAATTGTTGTTCAAAGTTCGCAGCAAGTTAACCTGACCTTTATATATTTAAACCCAATCCCCTTCATTGCAGTGCCGATGGTGGCTACATCTACATCACAATTATCTACAACATCTCCGTATCGCTGGCGCTGTACGGCCTCTATTTGTTCTATTTCGCCACTCGAGATCTGCTTACACCGTTCGAGCCCGTCCTCAAGTTCTGCACAATCAAGTCGGTGATTTTCCTGTCCTTTTGGCAAGGTGTCGGCTTGGCCATCCTGGAGAAGGCCAACGTTATCTCGCCCATCGTGAACGGTGCTGGCACTGTCACCGCCGAGGCGGGTACCGTCTCTGCCGGCTATCAGAACTTCTTCATTTGCATCGAAATGCTGTTTGCCGCCATCGCACTGCGCTATGCATTCCCCTATCAGGTAAGTTGGTGTGTGCTTGCTCCGGAATGCCGGAGTGGGCCAAGATTTGGGTGCTATTTACGATTTCTGGCTTAGATTAGATAGCAGAAATAACAGTCGTTGCTTTTTGGCTTATTTCTGGGGTTTATTAAGAGGTTTTTGTGGGGATGTAATGATGATTTGGCATAAATCTATATTATTAACCCTTCTGTTTCTTCTTTCAGGTCTACGCCCGCAGCTGCATTAGCGACGGTCACGGCAGATCGGTCACCATGCAGTCCATTTCCAGCAGTCTCAAGGTAAGCTCTTCGCTTCGATGGTTTGACTCCAATTTTCAGCTTAAACTCTTTTGCCGCAGGAAACGATGAATCCCAAGGATATTATGACAGACGCTATACACAACTTCCATCCGCAGTATCAGCAGTACACCCAGTACAGCTCAGGTAGGTCCCTCTATTCACTTTTTCGGCCTCTTTCGGCCCCAATTTCTTGCTCTCTTTTTGTGCTCGAGTCTGTCTGTCGCATGTTTCGTTCATCTTATCTTATCTCTGTGTTCTGTTGCGTTCATTTAACGATGCATTATGATGCCCGACTTCCCTTTCCCATATTTTCATTCCATTATCGTTATGTTTTTTCACACTTTTGTTTTTCTTTCCGTTTTTTCTTATCTTTTGCAGAAGTAACCTCGGCGCAGCGTTACGAAAAGCTCTAATAATCAAACTCTAAAGCTAACGAAAAACTCTAGCGATGCTCGCTACTAAACCACTATATTGCAAATCACACACAATTCCACAAATCCAAAGGGGGACGCGATACGTAAACAAAACAAAACGAAGCAAACAAGTGTACTTAGTCTACGGCCTTAGCTTAAATCCCGACCCTATCCCCTCCCTCAAGAACTCCCCGAAGATACATACTAGGCCTTAGTTACTTACGGTACTCACATTACAAGAATGCTGAAAGCTAAACAGAAATTTGCCCTAGTCCTATGTCCATTGTGTTTAGGGATCTGAGAACGCTCTTCGTTTTCTTCGCGTACGTCTGTATTTTTTACGCCTAAGTCTAAGCATTTTTAATGAAACTATTTAAATGTTAGCTCTACAAAAAGAAACCAACAACAACATTAATATACTATAATATATATATAATAATTATATATATACAAAGGTATATATGTAATATAATATATATATATAATATATTATATATATTTTAAAATATTATGTACTTGTAAACAAAGATTTTATTATACTCTACGCAGTCCGGAAGTTTCCTCAAGTTATATTCCCTTCAGCATTTATTTACTCGTTTCCGTTTCGCTCAAAAAAGGTACCAAAAAAAGCAAAGTTTAATTTTCTTTTGTTTTGATTTCTCCTTTGACCCGCTCTTTTTTGTGATAAGCTCTCGTCGTGCTTCTATTTACTTCTGTTTGTAAATGTTAAACCTTAAACCAATTGTATAAAATATCTAAAATATCTAGCAATAAATGTACGATAAGCTTGACGAACTGTTTACATTCTCGCCTCGATTTCTTCGTTGCATGTTTATTGGCCCGTTTGTAACCTATGTGGAGTACCTAAACCTAGATCAAGTTCTAGAAACCAAGATAAATATTCGAATATCAATAATAATTCATACTCAAGCGTTACTTGATCAAGGTATAGATGCTCCGTGGCATGGCATGTTCAAATTGGTTCCTGTACATAGCTTTAATCATAGCTCCCCTCGACACCCGGTTCACGATTAAGTCCATTCCCTCCACTAACAACCCGCACAGGTGGCAAGAACTCGCGCGGCATTCGCGTCTCCAGCTATGATCCCGACGATCCCAACTCTGGAGGAGCTACGCACGCATCGCATCAGGCACCCACCAGCGGGGGATACAACGCGGTGGCCACCGGACCGGGCTCGGGTGCCAACAGTAATAACGGTGGCAGCAATTGCATGGCCTCCAAGACGCTGGGCAACCAGAGGAAGTTCATGCCAGGGGGCCAGCGAGTGGCGACCATAAGCCAGAACTACAACGAGAAGACGATGCTGCTGAGCAGCGATGACGAGTACCAGTAGAGGAGGGAGAGGATGCCCCCATTCTTCCCACCTTATTATTGTTATACCGGTCTCTCGTTTTCGGATTCGTTTCTTATGTTGCCGATTCTTTCGCTTGTACAATAATCTTAAGTACCATTCACAATCTATTAGGCAATTAAAGACATCCTAAGTATGGGGCGAGTGTCAGGATCCGTGAATAAGGGGTCTTGAAAACTGTTTTAGGTTCCAGATTCCTCGTAAATTGTATTACCATTTTGATTAATTTGATGTCTTACCATTTCTAGACAGAATTATTGACAGATCCCCATTTAGGAACCCCTATCGCTTCGCCCCATTGGTATATCCCATATATATTTGTAACTTTACACCGCATATGTAATTTGATTCGCTTCGATTCCATTTCTATCTTGCGTGTAAATTTATCAAATTAAAAACTGTAAAGTGAACCAAAAACTGAACACAAATCAAAAACAAAGCAGTTAAAACCGAACTGCAAACTGCTCTTCTTGCGTCTCACGAACCGTCTACCACAGGCTGCTTCTACAATAAAAACCGCGGGAAGACACCACACAACCGGCAAGGAAAGCTGGAAAAATATATTTATAAGCCAAGGCTAATTTTTAAAGCAAATTTAACACAGTACATTAGCTTAGAGCGAATTTGTTAGGCGAATGAGTGCGAATGGGAATGATTCAGAGATCCACATTCACGCCCCTTCCCGGACACGAGAAATGTATAAAAGAATTTTACCCTGTACAGAGAAGGCGCATCGCAAGTCCAGAACAGTAGTATTTTGATATCTTAGCCAGGCTTCCCGTCAAAATTGCGCGCGTGTCTGGACCAAATGGAGGAAACGAGGAGCACACAATAGGAAAAGTCAAATTATGTATAATTATTCGGGGCGAAAAAAGCGAAGGAGAACCAAAGGCAGTAACGTTTTTATGTACATTTTTCCGTTAATATGAAATGAGAATAAAGTATATGTCATAAATTACACAAAATCCAATAATGTATAAAATGTTTCATGTGTTTCTTTGGCATCTAATTGGGTTAATATAGGTGGAGGGGTTTAATCAATTTGGCGAAAAAAGAAATTAAGATCAACTCTTCAGAATTGCCTTTATATTTTTATACCCTTGCAGGGTATTATAATTTCAGTCAGAAGTTTGCAACGCAGTGAAGGAGTCATTTCCGACCCTATAAACCATATATATTCTTGATCAGCATTAACAGGCGAATCTTTCTAGACATGTCCGGAAGAAATCGATTTTTTTGCCATTTTTGCGAAATTTGATAAATTAAAATTTTTAATTTTGATAAAAAATTGAATTTTCAAAATTTTTAAATGAAGTATGCAGATTCATTAACTGTAGAAAATCTTGCACAGAACAGTTTTCCGATTTAAAATTAATGCTCTTTTGGCCGAGTTATGATAATTTTAAATTTAAAAATGTATAAAAGAAAACAAGAAGTTTTTTAATATAAAAAATCAGATTTTATAATACAAAATAATATTTTTCTAAGTCAAGGAATCATTTCCGACCCCATAAACCATATATATTCTTGATCAGCATTAACAGGCGATTTTTTCTAGACATGTCCGGAAGAAATCGATTTTTTGGCCATTTTTGCGAAATTTGATAAGGGGTTACATCATTAAAATGAGCAAAAATGGCCAAAAATTTTGATTTCTTAAAATTTTAAATTTGGTATGCAGTTTTTTTAAATTAATAAAAACTAACACAAAACTGCTTTCCGAATCGAAATTAATGCATTTTTGGCTTAGTTATGATATATTTTAATTGTTACCTGCAAGGGTATACAAACTTTGGCTGGCCAAAGTTAGTTTTCTTTCTTGTTAAGTGGTACTTTTCCCGAAAATTATATAATTATGATTAAATATTTAAAATATGATAAGAGGTTACATCGTAAAAATTGGTACAAATTGGCTAACGTTTTTAATTTCTACAAATTTTAAATGCAGTATGCAGATTTATTAACCTTTTCAAAACTAACTCAGAACAGTTTTCCGAATTGATTTTAATGCTATTTTGGCTTAGTTATATTTTTAAAATGTGTATTGTCCAAAAAATCATCATACATAAATATTAATTTAAATATTTCAAATATTTCCGGTCTTTTTAAAGAGTTGTTTAGTCGGTGAAGGAAGGGAGTCGTTTCCGACACCATGATTCATATATATTCTTGATCAGCTTTCCAACAACTAAACCATGTTAGCCACAGATCTTGATTTCCAAATATCCCCACACAGTGTACAGAAGTATTTTAAGTCGCAGCTTTTAGGTATTAAACAAATAAATTAAATGCGATTTTTTTTTATAATTTTATACATACATATAATAACCTTTCGAACTGCCAAAATCGAGTCCCAAGAAACGAGCACATTTTCCGTGATTCCCACTTCGAGGTATTTTGATAAGAGCACAATGACGATGACGAACAATGTAAATAGAGGCACCTAAACTAAAGAATATAAGGCAGTGTATATATAGAAGGAAATATATACATTGTTTCGAAAAACAAACCTGATAACGTGGCGCACATAGACACAGCTTAGTGGCAGAGATTTCCGTAGACAGTTGCCATCTGATTTTTGAGCAAAACACACGGAGGATGCTGTCGTCTCACAACTTGGCCATTATCTTGGGTACAGATTTTGTATACGCAACATAGTTAACTATTTTTAAACCGCTGTTGGTTTCCATCATACAGCTTTGCTATTTGGCCACCTGCAAATCCAGTCCATGGTGGGAGCTCGGGTGACCAGCCAAGTACATCGTCGTCCCAATGCCACGCTCTTTACGCCAGCCCTCACGCACGGGGGCACGTACAATCAGTCGGCATATCGGCCGGTTGTCACCAATTTCACCCGAGCCGCCGTTGCGCCCAACTTGTTTGCCCCTGCTAAGAACTACCAACCTGCTTTCCAAGCTCCATCGCCGACTCAGAACCGGACGTTGTTGCAGCACACCCATAACCAAGGTGTTTACGGTGCCACAGGACCAGTCGGAGTGCCTGCACAAACCGGGTACGTTTCAAATGGTTGGGTAGTCAGCAACTATTCGCAGCCAGCTGGCTGGTTCCTGCCCAATACCCCGGCAGTAGTTGGGCTCGGCAGCCATGGAAATGGAACCTTCTACCCAACAAGCAACCAGACAGCCGTCAGTGGGCGTGGAAAGAGCAACAATCCGTATGCAAATCTCTCCATTTGAGCACCGATGATGCCCCCCTCCTGCCAGTTGCCAAAGATCCCATCATCCCAATGATAACACACGGCTGACTTTCATTTTTTCAAACAACAATTTATTGCGCAGTCGAGCTGCTCGCAATCGAATCATCGGTATATAGTGGGGTTGCTCTCCGGTATTCCAGAAGTGTTTAATAAATGTGTATACAAATGATGAAGTTTCCATAGATGGGCTGAGGCTGAGTCAAGGGTGCGGATATTGGGGGGCGGTGATCAGGCCGAACACGGCATCTATCAAGTATATCAGCTTAGAACAATCAGTAAATGGAGCGCCATGGGCATGAGAAGGAAGCGAAGAAGTCGACAGCCCGTCCCCAATGGCTCTGGAATGCAACCGATGATCTTTAACTGAAGAGGATCCCGCGCCGCCGTCCAAGGTTCCCACGCCGCTGTCCGCCGAAAGTCCCACGCCGCAGTCAGTTGCTCCCACGCCGCAGTCCGGGGAATCCCTCGCCGCCGTCAAGTGCTCCCTCGCCGCGGTCTCGCGTCAGCCTCTCCCTCGCCGCCTTCCACGAAGTTCGCTTCCCACGCCGCAGTCAATTCTTGCCGCTGAAGAAACTTCCCAGTCGAATTCTAGTCCTATCCCTAGCGCCCTCGCCTAATCGCCCTAATAATCCCACGTTGAAAAACTGGCTCTCCCACGCCGCAGTCTCCACAAAGGATCCATCGCTGTCGAATATGGAAAATCCCACGTCGCTTGCGGTCCGCTTCAACTCCCACGCCGCCGTCAATCGTTCAAAGGGTCTTGCTCCCACGCCGCCGTCCATTCCATTGAATCGTAAAATCCTCTAACTAATCCAAACAATATCCTCACGAAGGGTCCTCACAGAGAAATGAAATCGAAGTGATAAGCGAATCCTAGTCCAACTGCATCATCGGTGCGAAGAAGGGGTAACAGTGTCTTGAAGCCGCCGGCCAGTGCCGATAACAGCAGAAAATCAGGAAACCATCATCCCAGGGCCGGCCAGTGGTACGAGATCAAACGAGACTTTTGCGAGTCGATGGAAATGGCGAAGAAATGATACCAGTTGCTCCACTCGCAGATTATGTGGGGGGTGATCGATCCAACAGAGAAATCCTCGCCTCAAAAATGAACAAAAGCGTGCGTTCCTACGTCGTCCAGGGTGTGAATTAGGTGAATTTGACCCCATTGAATTGGGTATGAAGTATGAATGCAGAATGGCGGCTCCCTCATCCTCATCCTCCTCCAAGTGTAAGCTCAAAGGTAGCGAAATATTAGGAGGGGACTTGCAAGCATCTCCCACAATTGGCCTCGAAGATAATAGCAGCATACAAACAGCTCGCTCGAAGGCATTGGAATTATTGAAAGCCATCGCACGCTGCTCTCTCGGCTCCCTGCTACAGCTGACTGCCTTGGAATTTGTCCGCATCTGCTCCCTCTCCTCATGATTGCCACGGTTCTTGCTCTAATGAATGGTGCTCCTATTTATTTGGACCCTGGCGCTGCTACTTCTGGAACTCTCTTCGCATTCTTCGGGGTAGTAGAATCGGATCTGCTAGGTTCTTACGTGGTAAAAGTTTACAATAGCATCCAATGGATTTACAATACGTTCAAAAACAAAAACATGGAATAGCTGTACATGGAAATACAGCATCCTGGGACCTGAACTCCGCTCTATACAATTGGCTGCAATGACATGGCTTTAAGGAAACTAAAAACAAAAAAAAGAAATGTAGACTTCGGTCGGCTGTACCGCGGGCGCGTGTCTCTTGGATTCCCTTTGAGACCAACTTAACGAGTAGGCTTTTGAAGGCTCTCTCCTGGCGTTGTAGCCAGACTGAGATTCAGATTCAGACACGGCACGGGTTAGTTAGTCAGTGGAGTTCCTGGAAAGCGAAGGAAGTCGGTCATATACCTTGTTTGTTCATGGCTCGGGGGCCCTGCCTGCCGCTGTCGCTGTACATCGTATTGATTCCCTTTACGATTTCTGTGCTGAAGCGAAGAGCCTTGCCGAGGAGCTCGATTTGGGAGCTCAACTTCTGCAGTAACCACCTCGCAATTGATTCCCTTTTGCGGTTTGTTGATCGGCGGGCCAGGAGTAAGGGCTCAACTGGCGGAGCTAAGACACGACGCATTGGCCGCCTAGCTCGGTCTTCGAACACTAATCGCTTTGATTCCCTTTGCGATGGATATGGGTTTCTCGAATTCTGGGCTACCTACGGAAGGAAAGTACAAGTAAAACGACAACCCTGGTGATGCGACATGCTGCGTGCGTCTCCTGCGCTGTGCTGTGCTCTACTCTGCTTGACTTTGGCTAGGCTGGCTGTCTGTCTGTCTGGACTGACCGATAGTCTCCAACTGCTGCTGCTGCACATCTTCTGATTCGGATTCGATTCGGATGCTTGAACACTAATCGCAGTTGGTTCCCATTTGCGATGAACGACTCTAGCTGCGAGTCGGTTAGCTTCTGCTCTCAACGCTGATCGATCACTGTGCGGCGTTCGCCGATCGCTGAAAGTGACAAGTGATAGTTAGCGGCGCTAGGCGAGGGGTTACCCTGCCCTTGGCGCAGCTGCAGCAGCAGCCCAGTAACAACGACAACTCATCAGCTCACTTCTCAGCGAATACTGGTGGTGGTACGGTGTAGCGGCTTTCGGTCCTAACGCATTTGATTCCCTTTAGCGTGGACCGAACGCACATGTATATCTGTGCGGTGCAATGCAGTACGAACTGGGTTCCTGTAGACGCCCAGCTGCGGCAGGACTGCGCGCCAAGTCTGGTCTCAACGCAGTCGGCAGGCGGCGTTCCGGGCATCGCATCGAAAGGCTGTGTGCTGTGTGAGCACTGCCACGTGATGGGCTAGACACCAGCAGACCCCCTCATCGGCAGGGGAGACTTGACTTGGCTGCAATGTAAAAGCGTTAGGTTTACATCTTCTTACACAATCAGCACGGGCGACGGGACGCCTTCTCTGCCTGTTTGCTTGTGTTCGTGCGTTCGTTCTGCGGCTATACACGATGCTTGCTCGACGTATGTGCTCGTTCGCAGTAGCTGTGGCAGCCGCAGCAAAAATTCGTTCGGTTGTCGTTGCAGTGGCGGCGCAGGCGCTTAGTTCTTTGCCTGCTAGCTAAGAGAAGCCTAACTGGATGGACTTGATGCATCGTTTTGGATTCCCTTTAACGATTTGCAGCAGCACAGCCGTAGACTCGGCCAGCTAGGAGCTGGAGCTGGAGCGACACCGCTTGCCCTCGCTCTCTCGTAATAGCTAAGTCGATGCCCACAGGCACACTCAACTGTGCGACACCGCTGCAAAATGTAAACAAGAAATTTAGGCTGCTAAGCGTTCTCACTCTGGTAAACCGAGGTGTGCAAGTCGAAGAAGGGTCCTACGGCCTCAACGCCCCCAAGCCAACACGTCGTCCGCATCTTGGCCCCGAACAATGCTGGAAAAACATATGTGAGCTGGAACTAGTTGGGTTCAGACCTGACCTGCACTGCGGTTCAATTCGAATTCGTCGTGTTGTATGGATGTTGGACTGCGACGACTGAGTGTTGGTGTTATTGCTTTCAAGTTGGCATTTGATTCCCATTGCCTCAAGAAATTTTGCTACATGTTCTCGAAACGGCCAAGGTGCTTGGAGTCAAGTGTTGTGGCCAATGCATGTCTTGGCACTGGACACTGTCTGTAACGAATACAACAATGAGCCGCTGCTGTTCTTGGTGGGAAAATGAGAAAAGGAAACTTCGGTGGAAAGTGGGTAATGCTTATAGCGTCTGGGTCCCAGCGTTGTCTGAGTATAGCGCTGTTTGGAGTGGTCGAGGGTTCGCAGTTGCCATCGGCTTTGGATGAAAGGAATGGGCAGGCACATTCTACTGCCACATCGCTACAAGACAGAAATAGTTTGTTCGACATACGAAAATTGATTTACATGTGATCAGTGGTGTGCGCAATCTCCTCGCAGCTTTACAGCGTCCACAATTGTGACAAGTACATTTCTATAAAACGAAAGAAAAGGATTTCGATTGCAAATGGCTTAGCGTTTACGATTGCCTTGTTGCTCCTGGTTTGCGCTTGTTTCTTGCTAGCTCAAGTTTCTTGGCCAAGTCTCTTGCCTCTGCATATTCATTCATAAGCGGAAGAAGCTATCGTAGGAGCTCTCCATGTCGAGCATTGCGCTAAAAATAATTTAAACGGGAGCATTTGATCGGATTATGTATCAAAAACGATTTACGCCTGGCGTTCGTCGTCCCAACGATGGTGCTTAGGTATAGACCAAGAACCCAGATTGGGACCCTCCTCCTTAACCGGTCACGCTCCCGCTCTTCCACTTCGCCTTGCTCTTTCATACGGATGCATGCAGGCACCGTTCAACTGCGTTGCATCGCTACAAAAAAAATAAACGGAAAGTGACGCTCGTACGAAGTCTACTAACTCAGTTTCGACGCGTTCTTCTAGACACTTTCAGATTTCTCGGCTGCCTCAACTCCTCAAGACATCCAACTTTTGGAGCGTGGAGAACACTGGCACTCACAGGAACCGTTCAACTGTGACGTGCCGCTACAAAGATTTAGATCGGCCTGGGGCTAGCCCAAAAATTAGGGGGAAAAGGGTTCGAATATGTCTACAAGGGTCCAAATCGTAAGGGGTGAAGCTGAAAGAGTAGAATTTTTCCAAGAAGGTGCGCTAATCGAAGACGGCGACGTCAACCATAGCCCAGTAGAAGTCGAAACAAGAAGAAGTATTCCAAACGGCAGGCATTGAGGAATTCGTGATGTGCGGAACTGGTAGAAAGTTATCTCGACGAGTCATGCTCCAATGGTGTGCTGATTTCGCTGTAAATCTGTTCAAAAGGCAATATTGTGTTCGCAGCTGATATACCAAATACCGTGTATCTGTGTGGATGGGTGTGGTGGTCAGCAACTGCGAAGCGTTCTATGCAGATAGGTGGTGGTAGTTGGTAGTTGCTAGTTGGTGATAGCAGCCCGGCACGGGCACGAGAGCGTCAAACGCAGGTAAGCTGATGAGAGCTGGAGGAGCTGCTGCCGCGCGCATTCCGCCTTGTCCCCATTGTCCTGTCGCTGCCTTGGCTTTGTCAATGGTCAGTCGTGCAGAGGAGACTCGGTGGTGGTTGCTGCTGCTGCTCCTTGCTCCGGCGGCTGTTTGCGGAACTCCCTGCCAGGCGGTAGTGGTGGGGGTGACTCGGACAGACGTGGACTCACTCAGTAACTCGGTAGTAACTCAAGGATTCTTCTTCGCCAGCGACTGACTCTGGCTCTGTTCGTTTTCGTTTTCGGATTCAGTGACGCAGTGCGCAGCGTTTGTTGTCTAGTATTCCGTTCCCCTCAGCGTTGCCATTAACGTTCGAGGAGCAGGAAACTGGAAAACAAAATCGATTATAGATGCGGGTTTATGGCAAGCGGTAGGGGTTTGTTTGGATGTTGCCTAGTAACAAAGTGAATAATAAATAAGGCAGCATTGATTTCAACATTGATTTAATTTAATACAGTATTGTTTATTTTAGCTTAATTCATATCAGTTCTGTATGCTTACTCTACGTACACTTACAGGCTAGCATTCTCGATTACTTTTTACTCTACGTTATTCTAGCAGTTACACTGGCGATTGGCTAAAAGATTCAATGTGAATCAGTAGGTACTACCTCTCCCACAAGTCCCACAAAATCCCAGAAATGGCGATGACGAATTTCACCACAATCGGACAACAACAAAGGTCTGTATATGTAGCTCATCGCGGTGTACACAAAAATAGCCCAAGCGCTCACACACCCATACAGGCACGCGGAGCTTCTGTGTGTGTGTAACGGGAGTCTCTTTGTCTCTGTCTACCCCATTACGCGAGGTTGGGAACGGAAATTTTCGTGTGCGACCTCTACTTTCGCCACAGGTAATAGGACTACGTATGGATGTAACTTAACTAGGTAGAAATAGTATACTGATTTACCAACCGAGTGTGATCCAGGACCAATGGCTCTTTCTGGTGCCGTTTCGTACTGATTTCTGGAGCAGCGTCCATGACTCACACCATCGAATCGAAGGCCGTTGGCTCAGCGTCTTCTTCTCACACTCTTCCAATCCTTCACTCTTTCATTACAATCTATAACAGCCTTGTACATGTTTGCGACTGCAAATGAGAAATTGGTTGTCGTAATAAAACTAGTTTAACAATGAACAAATAAATCTAACTGCGACGAAAAGGGAAATGTTTCGACAGATGTGCACACGACAGTCACGTATACACACACAGCACCACCATATAGTCGTCTCGCTCTAGCTGGCCACAGCAATGGCGCAGCTGTGTTGGTTGTTGTTGTTGCCCGCGTAACTGTTGCTGTGGCTGGGCCCGTTGTCGTTGTTATTGCTACTAAGGCTGCGCATGAAATTGTCGAGGCCACTGAGCTCGCTCCTCCACAAATTATTCTCGACCTCGCGTCGCTCGCACTCCGCCTCCGCCTCTGCCACAGCTTTGGCATTGGCTTCCTGGGAGTCACTGCCGCAGTGCGTCCTGCCGTGGGGCACGAATTTGGTCTGCATTTCTAGCCAGCGACTGAAACGCTCCTGCTGCTTTCTACGCAGTTCATGCTCCGCATGGAGCAACGCCGTCGACAAAATGGCGTTCACGCGCAGGTCGCTGCCAGCGCCACGCAGCTTGCGACGCATTTTCTGGCGCTTCACGCGGAAATTACGCACCCAATCCGTCAGCGTCTTGGGCTCGTTGGCGTCACAGTCGTCGAAGTGCGCGACCGCCACCATTTTATAGATTTACTTTTACTTTGTTCGACGACACGGGGAAATGGTTTGGAATTTTGGTATACACACACACCTTTACTGCTGCTGAGCTGCTGATAATGAACTGCTCCGAAACGTTTCTGTTTTCCGACTGTTTTTCACCAGGGTAACTGTGACGGGCAGGCAGCGGACGCGGCCTTTTATACTCCTCGTTTACACGGTGGCTGCTTCAAAAGTCTGGCAACGCTGCTGCTTCCAATTCACGTATTCATTTGTTTGGCGTAGACCGAATTTAATTTTTATTTAATCAACGAATGCTTTGTGTTATAAAATCAATTGGGCGTTTCTTTTAATATTGTCGTTGCTTGTATCCAGATTTTTGAGATGAAAAGGGGCCCATTTTAAAATTAGGTTTTCACGAACAGATCAAATCCATCGCATAAACCGAGCAAGTGGTCTGGCCACATCGATTTCTCCGCCCCTTCCGCATGAAGTACCTGCGTAAAAATCGAGTTTGTGGCCTTTTGCAGGTAGCAAGGATAACGAAAATACCGCATAAATGAGCCCCAAAGTGTACGGAATAGGTAGTGTACCGTCATAAAACCGATTTCCAAGGACAAGGATGTAAATTGTCATTTAAATGTTCATTTCCAAAATAGGGGTGGACATAATACGATTTATTTCGGTGATTTATCGATGGTTCGGATCAACTATCGCATCGCATTTGCAATGAAAACACTAAATAATACCGAGGAAATAATCATGCAGCTCACATTTTGGCGGGCTTTTTAAAGACGAATAAGCTTTTCCGACGCAAGTACCTCACATTCCGCACGGAGAGGAGCATTTAATGGCGCGCCCCACATTGCCGACACCTGGAGCACTTCTCCCCAAGTGCCGAATGGGGAGATCAGTTCTCCGTGGAACTTCGCAGGCGTCGGTCGCGGATGCAAATAACGGGACACAGAGCGGCAAGATCGCCAATTCGGGCGAGGGCAAGGCTACAAGAGGGAAGCGACTGCGAACGTGAGAAACTAGCACAGAGATTGCCAGCGGTGCGAGGCAAGATATCCAGATTTCCAAATAAACAAATCCGCACAAGTGTGAGGCGCACCACACGATCGCTCTAATTAGGGGCAGAACAGAAGCGAACGGACTTGGAGTCATCATTATTGGCACATCAATGAATTATTGGCGATCCGCTCAGTTTGGCGGATAAGTAATTGACCCTCGGTCAGCGGAGGGCTACGATCGGTTCGGGAGCACTCGGCAGCTGGAGCCAGCCGCGGTCGGGGCGACCGAAAGTTTATTATTGTTTGGGCCACGAGAGTGTAAACAAGGCAGAAGTGGCGACGCGAAGATGGAGAACGTGCGCTTCTCGATAATCGTAAGTGACCTACATGCCCCGGGTCCCAACCCCGCTCTCACCACGAACTCATTGCTTGCTTTGGCAGGAAAACGACCTGAAATGGAACTCAGAAAGCGACCAGGCGGCGGACGTGGACCTGCTGCTGGACAAGCGCAGTATCTCGAGCGAGGCCAACAGCGCGGGGGTGTTTAGTGACGAGGCGCATGAGATATTTGCGCGTCAGCAGCAGAACCAGATACTTTGGGAGCTGGAAGAGATCGAGGAGACGCTGAGTGCGACGCCCAGAGCCAAGCATGTCCTCGATATGGTCAGGTCCGGCTGCTTCCTCGGTAAGTGGACACTAAGAACACCCTCCCCTTCCGTGGTAGTAACTGATGGGTCCCCGCAGAACTCATGGCCGACTCCAGCGACTGCAGTCTGGCCCTGATCTGTTGCTCGGTGTTCGGCAGCGTGGAGAACATCCAGTACCTGCTGAGCCACTACAATGCCGATCCCAATGCGGCCGACAGCCGAGGCCGGACGCCTCTGCATTTCGCCTGCTGTCGCGCCAACGCCCCCATAGCCAAGGTGCTGCTCGACCACGGCTCTGATCCAAATCGCTGGGATGCCAAAAAGGAGGTGACATCGCTGCACTGCGCGGCCAGGTGAGTGGCTAAAGCACATGTGTTGCCCCACTTTTTCACATGTGTGTCCAATTAAACGCTTTTGCTTAGCTCCAAGAGCGTCGAGTGCATCCTCTTGCTGCTGAGACGCAAGGCCAGCATCAACATCGGCATCGAAAAGCGCTCCGCCCTGCATTACGCCATCGATGTGAATGCGGTGGAGTGCGCCGAAATCTTGCTAAAGTACGGAGCTGATCCAAACACTCCGCAGGTCTACACGGAGACGCCTCTGCACACGGCCAGCGCTGCGGGATTCGCAAAGTGCGTGCAGCTGCTCCTCGACCACAACGCCGACGTCCGATCGCAGTTTGGCGAAGGAAAGGTTACGGCCTTGCACTTGGCTGCGGAAAACGACTACGTGGAGTGTGCCCGCCTGCTCCTGGAGCATCATGCCGAGGTAGACTGTCGCAATGCCAGCCATCAGACGCCACTTCACCTGGCCTGCCTCTCGCAGTCCATCGGCACCGTCGATCTCCTCATATCCTATGGGGCCAATGTGAACGCCGTCTATCGGGACGGACGGACGGCCCTGCACGCGGCCATTGTGAAGCAGTCGCGATGCCTGGACTGCTGCAACGCCCTCCTAAAAGCGGGGGCGGATGTGAATAAGGTGGGTCTGAAAACTGAAAGCCAAACGACGAATTTCTTTATGATCGATGTAAAATGTATTATTTCCAAAAGATATTTAATCAGCGCTCCCTACTTGCAGGCTGATAACTACGGATACACTCCGCTCCATATTGCTGCCCTCAACGAGTTCAGTAGCTGTGTGTACACGTTCATTGGCAAGTTTCTTGGAAAGGTTAACCTACTGCAGCTTAGCTAATGCATCACTTTCTTTCCTGATCCGCAGAGCACGGAGCGGATATCACAGCCCGCACCGACGGACACGTCTCGGCGCTGTCCTTCATAGTGCGCCGCACGCCAGAGATAATACCCAAGCTGATGCAGAAACTGGACCGTTCCATAAAAGCCAACGACCACGAAATCGGCGATGTGGACTGCCAGATTAAGCTGGACTTTAGGCTGCTGGTGCCTAGTTCGTCGATGGAGCGCGGCGAGACGGAGCTGCTGCTCTCGCTGATTGAGGTCGGCCAGAAGCGCATCCTGATGCACCCGCTCTGTGAGACGTTTCTCTTCCTCAAGTGGCGTCGCATCCGCAAGTTTTTCCTAATGAGCCTGGCCTACCACACTCTCTTCGTGCTCCTCTTCACGCTCTACGTGATCCGGGTCTTCGTCCGGTGCTGCAAGGAGGGCGAGGAATGCCTGGCGCCGGGCTACGTCTCCACCATTGGATATTTGGTGATAATCCTGAACCTCATCCTGCTGGGCAAGGAGGTTTTTCAGATGGCCCACGGGCTGCATGGGTACGCCAAATACTGGGAAAATTGGCTGCAGTGGACCATTGTCTTTGGAGTGCTGCTGTGCGTCTCGCCCAAGATCCTCCAAACCGGGGATCTGCTGGCGGTGCCCGTCTGGCAGCATCACGTGGCAGCTGTGGTCATCCTGCTCGTCTGGCTGGAGCTGATGATGCTGGTTGGGCGCTTCCCCATCTTTGGCGTTTACGTTCAGATGTTCACCAAAGGTAAGTTTCGAATCCTTAGTGTGCAAACCTCCTGGAAAACGTATCCTTTTAGTGGCCGTCAACTTTGGGAAATTCCTGCTGGCCTACATATGTCTGCTGGTGGCCTTCGGCCTCAGCTTTGCCGTGCTCTTCAACGACTATCCGGCCTTCGAGAACATCCCCTGGACGTTCCTCAAGTCCATCACCATGATGTCCGGCGAGTTGGAGTTTGAGGATATATTTTACGGGGACTACGCCGTTAAGTTTCCCGTCACTGCTCACATCATCTTCCTGTCCTTCGTGCTACTAGTCACCGTCATTCTGACCAACCTTATGGTGGGCCTGGCCGTCAGCGACATCCAGGGCCTGCAGGTCAGCGCAACCCTGGACCGGCTGGTGCGCCAGGCGGAACTGGTCTCGCGTCTGGAGAGCCTCTTCTTTTCGCGCCTGCTGCGGAGTGCGCCGACCAACCTGATCCAGCTGTGCAAGCGGAGCGCCCTTCTGCGCACCTCTCGCGACAAGCTTCAGTTCACCATCCGGCCCAACGATCCCCGGGACAACCAGCTGCCCGAGGACATAAAGGTGAACATTTACAAGCTGGTGGCCGAGCGGCGTGACAGGAACCAGAGTCTACGCCGGCGCCAGTTCGAGAACAACTACAACTTCTTCAGTCGGAGTCTGCAGCGCCAACAGGAGCTGCCCCAGAGGGAGTCTCTGCAACCGGAGCCGATGTTCCCGGTGCCCAACAAGACGCCCCAGAATCTCTTCCACATGCACGAACTGCTACGGCCCCGATCCGCAACCAACGTACCGCAGCAGTTGCGCCAAGAGCAGGAGGGAGCGGTCCAGCTAAAGAACCAGGCCAACGTCCTCAGCGCCGTACAAGCGGAAGTGCAGGCGATCAAGACGCAGCTGGGCGAGCTGGTGGCCAAGTTTGAGCGGTTCTCGGAGAACGCCACCCGCAAGCTAAACTACAGCGCTGACGAGCTGTGCCGCCTGAGGCACCAGCAGCAAGGTCAATCTTCCTCCAACCACCACACACATCGACACCATCGCTGAGGAGGCATCGGAATATATTTAACCCGAACGTAACTTATGATTAAAGCGCCTGTTTCCAGGGATTTCCTAGGTAAGCCACTTGTCATTGCTCTGGTTCCACACGAGCGTGTCCTCGCTGGGCAGCTCTTCGCCTGGGTTTATGCGCGTCCAGGTCTGCGTCATGGGATTGTAGGCAAAGTTCTTCGAGTTGGGTGGCGCCGGAGGAGCGGTTTGGGTAACTAGAGGCGGGCGCGTGATGGGCACAATGTTGGGGTATCCATGGGCAGCACTTGGTTTCTCGTTGTTGCTGATGTACTCCACCTGGGACTTGGGATTCGAGTTCTCCACGGGGAAGCCTAGCACCAGCACCAGCAGGGTGGAGAGCAAGGCAACGAGCGCTGAGGAGGGGCAACGACCAAGTTTAAAGCGAGATTATAAGTGGCCTCCGCCGACTTACTGTGCAAGTGGGCCATCTCTGGATTACAATGTGTAGATCGAAAAACAATGGAAACCAGGGATTATGTGGGATTATTTGTGTGGCAAAGCAACCAAACAGACAGACAATCCGATTGCGACTGTCGCATCGCGAGATTCGGACTGAGCTGGGGTTGGGAGCCGGCCTTTCACACATGACAGAGATACAGATACGAGCGCGGTCTTGAGTGTTTGCGTTGTTTTTTATTTTATTTGCTGACGTCATAGGCCAGACTTACGATTGAGCAAGACGTAATCTTGAAGGTGGATGCTTAGGTCCGGCAAATTCCCTGGTGCACCCGCTGGATATCTGTGGAAGGGGGAGGAGGACCATAAGATCAGGATCAGCTAAAAGCAATGGCTCTTCACTCTTACCCAAGCCACAGCCCACGGCGCAGTTGAACCTGTTCAGATTGTAGTAGTTGTTGTTGTCGCTGCCACAAATGGGGTTATACTCGCTGGTGATGGGACAGGTCTGGAGGCAGGCCAGGTACCGGGGCTCCTGATTGGCTGGGGTAGAAGCAGTGGTGGTGGTGATGGTGCTGCTGGCGTCAGGGACTTGAGGAATCTGAGGACGCAGCCAGGGATTCTGCTGCTGTTGTCCCACCAACCAAGGACGCCGCTCCTCTTGGGAGCCCAGCTGAGGATAGCCTTGGACTACTCCCAGCAACAGGAAGGCCAGGGCTAAATGAGCTAGTAATTAGTTTACTAATTTCGATTCCAATGTCATCTCAAAAACCCACCAAATATTCCAAAGCAATCCATATCAGTCTAGCCGGCTGCGTGCGTTACCCTCCAAAACAAAGGCACTTGTGAAGCCGACCGACAATCGTCGCTTCCTATTTATAAGCCAGAGCCGAAGCTAGCACCCAAACCGATAATCGTAATCAATTCCCGGTGAGAGGGAACCACTCAAAGCAGTTCCTTTGTGCGAGCTAAAACCAGTATTGGGGTTCTCATGGTCAATGCCAATGGAGTTCACCGGGTTCAGTGGACGACTGTTTGTTCGACTGTTGTTTTATTATGTTGGGCATCCTGCAATTTGGTTGATTCTTACAATTTAATGTACATTCCACATACATACGTCGTTTGTCGTTAGTCGTTAGCATCACAGAGTCAATTTTGGCCAGGCGGAGATGATCGCCTGGCCCAATGGTCAGTAATGGTATTCAAAGGGCAGTATAAAGGAGTCGGGATTGTGTGCGTTTATAAGCTGTCTTGCCTCATCGCGAAAACACTCTGCTGCTGGTGTCGCTGCTGCTGCTGTTGGTGTGGTTTCTGCTGCTGCTTCCTCTGGCTGTTGTCGGATCCGCTGGTCTGTTGCTGCTGCTGCTGCTGCTGCTCCTTGTGCGCCTGGGGACGCGGATCGCCCATGGTCAGGACTCCGGTCAGCTTGTTGTCCCAAATCATCAGGCGAATGGGCACCACAGAGAGAAGCTGCAGCTTGTGCGACTGCTTCAGATTGCGCTCCGCAATCAGGATGTAGTTGGGCGCATGCTGCGTGTCCACGAGCACCTTCTGCATCTTGAAGTTTATGCTGATGACATGCCCCGACTCCAGGGTGACCACGTTCATCATGTGCTGGAATATCTCCATGACCACGGCCTTCATGTGGATGACCTGCTTGTTGCGCACGAACCGCTTGAAGAACAGGTTGCCGGAGTCGTCTCCGGCCATTTTGGCGCTGTACTTGCGCTCGTTGGCCAGCTTGGTGAGGGCGTGCAGCTCGTCCGGACTTCGTCCGGGCGGCGGGCAGTAGTTGAGACCGGCTGCCAGCAGGCTGAAATGGAAGAAGGATGCAGATAAGGGCTCTGTTCTGAGAAGTCACTCTGCAGCAATTACCGATGCACCATGATGTCCGGATACCGCCGAATAGGGCTGGTGAAGTGTGTGTAGATCGGAATGGACAGGGCGTAGTGCCAGAGATCCGCCGGCTCCGTTTTGCCTTCGCTGCAGAAGTAGCTGCAAAGGGAAACCAAGGCAGGTGAGCATGGTGAGATGGACCCTATTACTTAAGCAGGAGTGACTTACGTGGCCCTGGCCATGGGCTTCATCAGCAGCTGACTGAGGCAGGCATTCATTGCCACGGGATTGGGCGCCTCGTTGCATAGCCGCACCATGCTCTCCTGGAGCGCCTTCGAGGAGGAGTAGTCCAGCTCGAAGCCCAGGGCCACCAGCTTCTCCCGCAGTGCCTTCAGGGACTTGGTGAGCGGCGGAGGATGGTTGCGCAGCACCGACATGTCGGGGAAGGAGTCGTGTATAAAGCGCGCCACCGCTTGGTTGGCCAGCAACATGAACTCCTCGATCATGCGGTTCGCCTCGCGTTGCTTCTCCACCTCGAACGCCACCGGCTCGCCGCTGATAGGGTCCAGGACGAAGCGCAGCTTGGCGTTGTTGATAGTCAGGGAGCCGTTTTCGAAGCGCACCTTCCGCATGGAGCCGGCGATCTGGTGCAGCAACCGAACTCTCTTCACAATGTCCTTCGCCCCAAAGCCGTTCAAAATGGTCGGAAAGTCGTTGTCGGTGAAGCGCTCTCCGGGATTGTCGATGATCTTCTGGGCATGCTCGTAGGCGAACTGCGTGCACGAGTTGATGACCGTGCGGGCGAAGGTGGGCTTCTCCTGCAGCATGACCCCCTCCCCATTCATTCGCCAGAAGACCGAGAAGGCGAACTTGTCCTCGCCCGGCAGCAGGGAACAGCGCATGCAGAGGGGCTGGGGTAGCATGTGAATCACCTCGTTGACCAAATAAATGGACGTGGATCGCTCCTTGACGATGTTGTCCAGCTCGCTGTCCTCCATGAGGTAGTGCGATACGTCGGATATGTGGACGCCCACCTCGTACTCGTTGTCGGCCAGTTGCTCAATGGAAACGGCGTCGTCCAGGTCGCGTGCCGTCATAGGATCTATGGTAAAGATGCATTTCTTCCGCAGATCCCTCCGCTGAACCAGATCCTCCGCGCTTACGGCCGCTGCCGGCTGGGAGTACATGTCATTGAAGCGCTGTTCAAACGGCTTTATATCCCGGAGACCATTGTGGAAGAGAATCGCCTTCAGCTCGTCCTCCAGGTTACCCACGCGACCCACCGGCTGAATAAGCTCCGCAATGCAGTGCCCGTTGCAGTCCGTCTCGAGGATGTGGGCCAAGTAGAGTAGGCCGGAAACCTCCCCGGGAGGCATAGTGCCGATATGGGCGGCACAGGCGTCCTGTGGTACATAGACCATGGGCACACGCAGGTCGTACGGGCGGAACTTGTAGAAGAGCTGGTCGTCGCAGAGCCTGATGGGGTTCGTGAAAGATATGGTGCCCACGATCTGGCGCAGCTCCGTCTGCTTGGTGATGGCTATGACGAAGGCCTTGGGACAGTTGTCCGAGGAAATAATCACCACGTTGTCTGCGTCGGCGTCAGAGTCTTGCGACTCCGTGTCGTCCGAGAGCTCCTCATCGTCCCCTGGAAGAAGCGAGGCTTGAGGCCATTCCTTATCTCCCGAATCTCACACAGCGACACTTACCCAGGGATATAGACGGCTTGCCGCCCGTGATGCCTCCCGAGGGTAGCGACTCGGACTCGGGCTTTGAACTGCTACCATGCAGCACAAAGGCCCGCACCTTGTCCCCCTCGAAGGCGTAGCGTCGGGCCACTGGCAGGAGAACGATGCCATCCCTTTCGAGGGCCTCACGATCGTTGGACATCGTGATGAAGGCCTGCCTATTGTTCTTGCGGTTCACCCGTATCTCCTCCTCGACGATGCGACCATAGCCAGCCGAAGCGAGGCGCTGGGCGTGCTCCTCCAAGTCGGAGAAGTTGCCGGAGAAGAGCATTTCAGGTGGCAGCGGCTGGTCCGTGCCCACGTAGTGCTGGACTATCTTGTTTATGTACGATCGCATGGCCTGCAGCTCGGTCTTCTGCGACTGGGTGGTGGAGCCCTTTTCGGCGCTGTCGCGTTTCCTGCGATTCCGCTTCCGTCCGCTTCCCTGTCCCGACTGCTGCGGCTGCTTGGCGGAGGCGCTGTTGCTGCTTCCGCTCGAGACCTCAGAATCGTTACGCCTGCGTCCCTCCATTCGCTGCTGCTGTTGCAGCTGCCTCCGGGCCATCTCGCTTCCACCATCTATTCGCTGGGGCAGCTGACGGATCAAGTTCTGAGGCGGCATCCTGGAGGCAGTCCACTCCAGCTGTGAGAGCACCTCGTTCTGACGGATCAGCTGCCCGGCATACGCATTGACCTCCGGGGAGACCACGCTCAGCGCCTTGATCATTTCCTGGAGGGCCTCCACCTCGTTCCTAAGCGTTCGCTTCGACTTCTTGCTGTGACTGGAAGCAGATTGGGCGTTCCCGGGGGCGTTCGGCCGATTCGGATGAATCTGCATGGGCGGCGCATGGCTGGGTGGCGGCTGGGCGGCCATCTGCATCGGCATCGGGTAGGAGGGCATCTGCATGGGCAGGTACTGCATCGGCATGGGTATGGCTATCGGTATGGAGCCAGGTCGGTTGCCAGCCTGCGAGGGACCTGGCAGCATCTCCACAAGCCGAGGCTGCATGAACACAGTGGTAACGGATGCTGTGGCTGTGGATATCGCTGCCGGTTGCCTGCTCGCGGAGGCGGTCATTTCCCACTGCGCCTGCTGCAGCCGAGCGACCAGTCGATGGGAACGCTGGCGGATTTCCTCGAGCTTCAGCAGCTCAAGGGGGGATGCACAGGAGGAGCCCGAGACGGAAACAGAGCCGGAGCCCCGCTCCCTGTCCCTGTCCCTGTCCACGTCGGCGCTTGACGTCTCCGACATGCTCGGCAGGAGTTCAGCTGGTGGTTTGGACAAAATGATCTCTAAAGTATTTGTGGCGCCGCCAGGCTCTGTGCGGGACACCAGAAAGTGGGGGTGGTAAAATTTAAAGGCAAATTGAATATTTTCACGAAATTACACACGAGTGTGACCGTACGCGGCAACTGTCGGATGTTTTAGGCCCTTTTGAAGTGTGACAAGGTGGACGCCAGCTGGCCGGACTGGATAAGTCAAGCGCCGAGATGAACGACGGTAGGTGGTTTTGATTACAGTCTCACATTTACAGACAGAAATTTGAAAGAGAATCCCTTCCGGCAGAGGAAATTATAAAGCAGCGTCTACTGATCGATGGAGACGGCACTGGGGAGGACCGGCGCCTGAACATGCTGCTCAAGCAGCTCCTTAAGTGGGCCAATGGGAAGAACGACTCGCCGGAAACCTGGTAAGCCCGCGCTACCCTCTGCAAGGCAAATCTAAATGCCCATCCCATCCTAGCCAGATCATGCACGACCGCCTGATGGCCCATTTCGCCCAGTGCAAGCTGACTGCGATGAAGAACGTGCAGACGCTGCAGATGATCAACGCCGAGGCGGAGCACTATCGGCAGCTGGTGGGGCAACACGAGGAGAGCATTGGCTTGGCCAAGGAGGAGATCGAGGCCAGCAAGAAGGAGCTGATCACCGCCAAGCAGATTCGCAAGAACAAGATGGAGTACGACCTGCTGGCCTCGCTCATCGAGGAGCAGCCGGACCGCAACGGCACCCAGGGTCAGATTGAGACGATTCGGAAGGACATCGATGTGCTGGTGCAGAAGAAGCTCAAGATGGAGCGCAAGTTCCAGAAGCGCCGCAACGACTTCACCCTGCTTATGTACACCATCCACGAGCTGGAGCAGCAGCTGGAGCAGGAAAACAGCTCCTCATCGTCCTCTTCGTCCTCCAGCGACCACGAAGCGGGCTCCGAGCCGGATCTTGACGACAACGGCATAATGGAGGTCAGCGACGAGGACGACGACCTGGCCAGTATTAGCCCCACCAAGTTCGACGGTGTGCGCGGTGAGCCAAAGATCGCCTCCGCCTCCACAGAGGACTCCAAGGCCATGTCCTTGGAGGAGGATGCTGTGCTGGAGCTGAGCATAGACAAGGACGAGCATGACGTGGATGTGGCAGTGGCCAGTTAGAGGCGAAGAAATTAAATAAAATGCTAAATCTCTGAAATTTATTTTAAAGCCTAGTACTCTGACGAGAAAAACCCGCTGTCTAAATTAGACAGCCCCTATCAATGCCACCTTTTTCCTTCAACTTTCCCTCCATTAGGGGTGTCTAAATAAATCAAATGAATTATTTAGACAGCGCGATATCAGCTGTTTACTATCTTGATCTGGCAACGCCTTTCAATTTTCGCAGGCTTCATTTTCGTCGTCAGAGTACCGAAAAAAACGACGTGTCTAAAAGTTCTTCTTTTTTTTCGACACCGTTTTTTTTATATGGAGTTTGGCCGCTGTCTAAATTTATACAGCGGTTTTTTCTCGTCAGAGTACTAGGCTTGATTTTCGATTTCGAATAATCCCTGCAGCGCCCCTGGCGGCCGCGAAGTAGGTATTCCGCCAGCAGCCTCGTACGGCCACACTGAAGCAACGGCCAAGCAAAAACGAGAAAAAGTTTCGCCAAACCAATTGCGATTCGATTAAAGTAACATTAAACGCGCTTTTCCAGAAGCCTTGCGCCCCAAGTGTTCATCCCCACTTCGCCATGATGACGGACGACAAGAGGTATGTAGGACAAGGCGGCTGATTGCCCCAAGCACATGCTCGTGTGTGTATGTACTGATTCTGGCTTCTGGGGCTCCGATCTCACCCCGCCCCCACTGCACTCCCACACTCCCTTATTTTCCACCTTCCTTCTCCATTTACCCCACCAAGCAGCTACGACTCGAGCAACAGCGAGTCCGAGGAACGCAGGGCCAAGCACAAGAAACCAAAGAAGCACAAAAAACACAAGAAGTCCTCGTCGTCGGGCAAGAGCGAGAAGGAGCGGCATGCCCACAAGAAGAGCAAGAAAGCAAAGAAACGCCTGCACCGCCAAAGCGAGTCCTCCAACGACTCGGACGCGCCCGAGTCCAAGGCCAAGAGTAAGCTGCCAAAGAGCTCTGGGCTGAGCAGCAAGTTCACAGAGATTATGCAGAAGGCCAGTCGCAACGGCGCGGACTTCCGCATCTCCAAGTCCCTGCTGCCCACGGATCCATGCAGCCTTGTGGAGGAGATAACAAAGACCATTCAGAACAAGGTGCTGCCCGTCCTGGAGGTGGCCAGTTCGGGCAGCGAGAGCGATGTGTGAGTATCGATGGCGGTGGATAATCGCTGCCCAGCAGCTGCGACTAATGCTGCGCTTTAATATTCACTGTTTCAGCCCCGTTGATGTGGCCAGTCCGGTCATTGCTCCCATCATAGAGGACGAGCTTAACTTGGAGGACTTGATGCGGCAGAAGGCCCTACTCCAGGCACGCCTGGGCGCCTATATGTCGGACCCAGAGGCGGATGAGAAAGGCGATGCCCACAACCATACGCACCAGCATTCGAAGTCTACGCAGGCCAAGCCGGTGGCCAAGATGGGCACCTCTGCATCGCAGCCCCCGGCCCAAGTCCAGGGCCAGGCTCAGCCGCAGGCGATGGCTACCAGCAAGTCTGCAGCGCCGCTGGCTACTGCAACCAGTAAACATGCTAATAATAAACAGTCTAGCACGCATAACTCAAATGAATCCGATGTTATATTGTTGGATGATTCTAGCGGAGGCCAACGCACGCCCTCGCCCACGCCTGAGAAGCGGAGACGCCACGCATCCCCGTCCCCGGCAGCGCCAAGGAACCGCGTCCGCGATGACGCGGCTCACGGGCGCCGAGAACGACGATCAAGGGAGAGGGAACGAACGCCGCCCCGCCGCCGGGTAGCAGAGCAGCAGCAGCAATTGCAGGCTCCGCCACGCAGTCGCAACCGCAACATGGAGGACTTGCGGCAGGAGATCAACCGTGACAAGCAGAGGGAGCGACGCGAGCACAGCCGAGATCGGGACAGTAACCGGGAAAGAGACCGGGACCGAGACGGTGGCCGACGTGGAGCGGAGAGACAGCAGCAGCCGACCGATGTGCGTGCGGGTCGTGCCCGGGAGCGAGAAGGTCGGCCCAATCGCCAGCGATCGCATAGCCGCAGTAAGTTTGAGTCGGACAGGCGCCGAGAGCGCGAACGGCAGGGCGACAGGGATCGTGGCGGTGTCTTTGAACGTGGCGGCGGACGTGGCGGAGGACGCAGTGGCCCGGACAACGGAGCCGGCGACCGGGACCGCTACAAGGGATCGCTGAGCGAGGGGCAGAAGAAGCATGATAAGGAGAGCAGTGACGAGGACGTCAACCTGGACATAGACATTGACGACGATGACGACGAGGAGCGCATTATTGAGCAGCGTCGCAGGAAGCGCGAGGAACTACTCAAGGTGGGTAAAGGCTGCAGGTCTTGGCTAGGGTTCATCCCATAATTAACTGGCATTTCCCCACAGAAACTAGGCACTGGACATGATTCACCCACGCCTCCCCAGAATTCAAATTCGTACGAGTCCCGCAGCACGTCACCGGGCTCGTCCCAGCGCGAACGTCCCCCTAGGACGCCCACTCCCACGCTCACAAACCCCGAAGTCCAGCTGTTGGACAGCAACCAAAAGAACAGCAGTGGAAAGGAGAAGCGAAATGAGTGGGACATGTTTGCCGAACAGGACGTTGATTCCAATTTCGATGTGAGTCGCAGGCTTGTAAATTTCCCTCCCTCTGCCACTCTCTTGACCAAGTAACCATAACCAATCCTCCTCTGAACAATTAACAGTCACCCAACACGATCGTCCACAACAAACACCAGCACGAGAATCCCGCCCTTACCGATAACTGGGACGATGCAGAGGGCTATTACCGAGTTCGGATCGGCGAGGTGCTGGATAATCGCTACCTGGTGAACGGCTATACGGGCCAGGGCGTCTTCAGCAACGTGGTGAGGGGCCGGGACCAGGCTCGGGGACAGGCCAATGTGGCCATCAAAATCATACGTAACAACGAAATAATGTAAGTAATGTCGATCCTGCCTGGATTTCAGCTCCATATGTGAACTTCGTTTCAATCGCAGGCACAAAACCGGACTCCGAGAGCTGGAAATCCTAAAGAAGCTGAACGACGCCGATCCAGAGGATCGATTTCACTGCCTGCGCCTGTACCGTCACTTCTTTCACAAGCAGGTAACCCCAAGGAGAAGCTTTTCCAGACCAAGTAAGCCTTAGTTTTCGTTCTTTTTTCTCCCTTTCTCTAGCATCTCTGCATGGTTTTCGAGCCGCTGGCTATGAACTTGCGCGAGGTACTCAAGAAGTACGGCAAGAATGTGGGTCTCCACATCAAGGCTGTGCGCAGCTACACCCAGCAGCTGTTTCTCGCCCTGAAGCTGCTGAAGAAGACGGGCATCCTGCATGCGGACATCAAGCCGGACAACATATTGGTGAACGAGAACAACCTGATACTGAAGCTGTGCGATTTTGGGTCCGCCTCGGCCATCAGCGACAACGAAATAACGCCGTACCTGGTGTCGCGCTTCTACCGCTCTCCAGAGATCATTCTGGGCATACCCTATGACTATGGCATCGACACCTGGTCGGCTGGCTGCACCATCTACGAGCTGTACACTGGCAAGATCCTGTTCAGCGGGAAGAGCAACAACCAAATGCTCAAGTTCTTCATGGACGTGAAGGGCAAGATACCGAACCGCATTGTGCGCAAGGGCCAGTTCCGGGAGCAGCATTTCGATCAGAGCTGCAATTTTCTCTACCACGAGATAGACAAGCTCACCGAAAGGGTAAGTGTTGAGGTTTTAAAGCGTGAATGGGGCTGTTCTTTGACCTTTTTCTGTTTCGCAGGAGAAGATTGTTGTTATGCCGGTGGTCAAGCCGTCGCGCAGCTTGCAGCAGGAACTGATTGCCGACCAAAACCTGCCGGACGACCAGCACCGAAAGGTCACTCAACTCAAGGATCTGCTGGAGAACATGTTTGCCTTGGATCCAGCCAAACGGATCTCCCTCAACCAGGCCCTCATTCACCCCTTTATTCAGGAGAAAATGTAAAGGCGACGCTAGCTGAAGATGCCAGCTTAAACGTAATTCTAATTTGCATAGCCCGTAAGACAGTCGATGCGCCCAACTCCCGTACGTTGTATCACACAATCCATATTGAACAATATATCTACTCGTACAGCTGGAACATGTGGAACAGCGTGTGTGTAACGTGCGTGTATATAAGTATTTTAATGCCACTAAAAATTGTATAAAATGCATGTGACCGAACTATTTCTCCCACACAATATACTACTGTATGAAGCTATGCCCAGGCACAGTTTCGTTTCATCTGTTCTGAGAGTATTAACAATGTGTATTACAATTTCAGTGTGCCGCTGATCACGGAAGAACCTTTCCATGTGGCCAACGCAATCGGTAATAATTTACAAACATGAACTAGCAGAGGAGAGAGATTCCCTCGAGCCTCATACGTCCCTCCGATTATGGCTTATAATGGCAGTTAAAACTCAATATTTTCTTAGGAACCAACGGTTTTTTATTACAACAGTCTAATGATCATAAATAATTACTTTACATTATTATTATTATTTCAAAATATGTGTAGCTGTCCTTACCAGGAACAGAATAAAGACTTCGGCTTGTCGAAGAAAGCATCAATCAGGCACATGGCTTCAACTGTCCGACTACCTGTCACAGTTGGAGCCTCTCCTCCAAACTCACTAAACATTAATGTCCTATTTTCTCTAAACTTCCAGCTTCGTTCTTTCATCGGTGACTGCAAGGGTCGATTGCCTTTCGCTGCCTCTCGTGAGCTGGCAATTTGGTAATTACCAAGTGGGGGAAGGTGATCCTCAGGTGAGTCCTATTCTTCTTAATCTCGCTGTGTAAACACACGCACGTACTAATGCTGGTTCAATAACAGTCTTTAATTGACGGCATCCGAGTCCAGGTCGTCGTTGGGCATTGGCAGAGCCAGGGCTTCCTGAAGGGTCTCGCTCGAGCACAGGCTGTGCAGCTCGGGGGGCCGCAGCTCGCTTTTCAGCAAGCACTTGATTCTCTTGGGCTTCCAGTTGTTGCCAGCATAGGGGTCCCGCAGCAGGCCGAAGGCGCACTCGAACACTCCAACGCTGCTCTCGGCTGAGTGCAGGGTACCGCAGCAGAGCACCACGACCTGACCGTACGCATCCATGCGACCCTGAATGCCGGCGTGCGTTAAGTTTGGATTAAAGTGAAAGCCGAACTGCTGCTTGGCGCCGGTTAACGAGGCCAGCACTTCTGCGGCCGTCGTGCATTCCAGCTCATTGATCCCGTCGCTGGCCATGATGGTCAGATGTAGGGTCGCGTCCGTCCAGAGGTCCACAAGGCTGAGACTGTTGGCATTGAAGCGTTCAAAGAACCATTCGCCAAACTTTCGGGCAATCGCGTGAATGGGAAAGTCCTCCTCGCTACGGATTGCAGCGGCGGAGACAACAGCCTGGCTGGCGGACGGGGAAGAACTCTGGGTAGCATTTTGGTCCCAGTAGTTGATCACTTTGGTCACTAGGTCCGGCTTGGTGAAATCGGTGGCTAGGTCTGGCACTCTTGCAGTCAAGTACTTGAACAGCATTTCCCTGGTAATCGCGCGCTTCGACAGCAGTATGTAAATGTCCGGAAGGTGTGCCACTAGGAGTCCAAGGGCTTCTGTAAGTACACAAATATCAACTAGAGATCTTCTGGATTGGCTATAGCCTCACTGTCAAACTTACCCTCTGGATCATCGATCTTGCAAACATTTTTGGTAGTTGCTTTGGCCAGCTGGACCAAGACCGACGAATTCCTCTCGTTCAGAAGAAGATCCTGGAGGCCCGTCTTGTGCTGCTCAGAAATGGGCATGGTCCAAGGCAATCCCCGCCTGTTATTTGCCAACTTTTACGTTCTATTAAAATGTTTGTTTTTATCAATCAGTGTGACCACACCTATGAAAACGGTAAATATTTCGATGTGAATGTTAAATTATGCGGGGATTATTCGCGAACTTGTAATACATTCATTTCCGAGTATACAAAGCTTACTCCCAACTTTAAACTTGCTGAAATTGGTAGACCATTTGCTTATTTTAGAATAAAGCCTAGTACTCTGACGAGAAAAACCCGCTGTCTAAATTAGACAGCGGAATCGCTGTTTATTTCGCTACCGAGCTAGTGTGACCAAAAAAATTAAGGAAATTCCATGAAAATGTACTTTTTATGGCGTTTAAGGATTTTCCTTGGTCACACTGGACAGCTGTTTGTAAACAAATATTCAAAAAAAATATTAAAAATATTAATAAATATGGCATTAAAATGTCCTTTGTGGGTTAAATTCCATATTATGGGCTTCCCCTTGACAGCCCCTATCAATGCCACCTTTTTCCTTCAACTTTCCCTCCATTAGGGGTGTCTAAATAAATCAAATGAATTATTTAGACAGCGCGATATCAGCTGTTTACTATCTTGATCTGGCAACGCCTTTCAATTTTCGCAGGCTTCATTTTCGTCGTCAGAGTACCGAAAAAAACGACGTGTCTAAAAGTTCTTCTTCTTTTTTTTCGATACCGTTTTTTTTATATGGAGTTTGGCCGCTGTCTAAATTTATACAGCGGTTTTTTCTCGTCAGAGTACTAGGCTTAAAGCTCTTTAAAAAAAACCACATCCAATATTATAAAGTCAAAAAGCTCTACGTGAACTTTGTCTGTTCGTGATTTAACTGCGGCATAAACCCTGCTTTCGCTCACCTGCTGTAAACATTCGCAGTAAATATTTACTCTTTGGAACGGAACGAGTTTTCTACGCCGATTAGCTCAGAGAGGCTCGCTCTCCTTATCTCTTATCGCACAATTTCCGTCGAATATGTCGACAAGATTCCAATAGCTAATTTAGTGTCGACGCAACTGGCGAGAGCGCGCATAGCATAGGCATCTGTGTTTTACTATTGAGTGTGAGTGTGTGTGACCTCTGGACTACAGTCGGGCCATGGATTCCCCCACTTCCGAGACGACCCCGCCTCCCGCACCGGTGACTGGTCCCTTCGTGGGCGCCATTGACGAGGGCACCACCTCCGCCCGCTTCATCATATTCCGCGCTGGCACCGACGAGATCGTTTGCTACCACCAGATTGAGGTGGAGTCGATTTTCCAGAAGGAAGGATGGTGCGAGCAGGACCCCATGGCCATCGTGAACACCGTCAACGAGTGTATTGCCGGAGCCTGCATGAAGCTGGTCGCCGTGGGAGGCAAAGTGGAGGTACTGTCTCAGGGTGACTATTTATTATTTTGTTATATGTATATCAAATCACATGGAAAAGGAAGGCGGGATGTGGGAGAGCTAGCTACAGTCCAGCAGGAACGTCCGGTACCCCTGCGCCTCCGCGATCCTCTCGTCAATTGTGCGCGGCGGCTTCTCCTCCGCACGCTCGTCCAGCTTCACGTAGATCTGGTCGTTGTGGCCAAAGTCTCCGTGCCGGCGCGGCATAACATGGAAGTGAACGTGGGGCACGGTTTGTCCAGCCTCTGCACCATCCTGCACCGTGACGGTGGCCGAAGTGGTCTGGTAGATCTTCTCCAGCATCCGCTGCACCATGCACACAGTGGTAAACATGTCCGCCATCTCAGCGCAATTAAGGCCACACAGGCGAGGAGTCACACGCTTCGTGGACACCAGGACATGCCCCTCCACCACGCAGCGGAGGTTGGTGAAGGCGAAGCAGTGCTCCGACTCGTAGAATATTGTGCGTTTGTCCACAATGTTATTGGCAAAGGCTCGATCCTCGGTCGGCTCCTGACTGCGGACGTTGTAGGCCGTTAAGCTATAAAGATCATGCCGGCGGTGCTCGAAGCACGGCATGCTCTGGTACAGAGTCTCCAGCTGTCCGAGATCTATTTCCGCTGTGCCGATGCCCAATTCCTGCTCGCCGCCACAATCGGCCAGCACCTTGCCCCAAGGACTGACGATCATGCTGTGGCCCCAGCTCTGGCGTTTCTGGTTGTGCCAGCCCTGCTGGGCCGCGGCCACCACGAAGCACTGCGTCTCGATTGCCCTGGCCCGCAGCAGGATCTCCCAGTGCGCCTTTCCCGTGGCGTAGGTGAAGGCGGCCGGATAGGTGAGCAGTTGGGCTCCTAGCTTCCGCAGCAGCACAGCTGGTTCGGCGAATCGCAGGTCATAGCAGATCTGGAGGCCGATCCTACCGGCAGGTGTGGCCACAGGGCGCCCTAAGCGCTCGCCTGGCGTCACGGTGTCGGACTCACGCAGTCGTATCTCCTTGGTGGTGGCGTCAAACAGGTGCATTTTCCTGTAGACAGACGCCACCTCCCCCTTTCCGTTGACAAGGACGTGGGCGTTGTAGATCTTTCCCTGTTCGTTCCGCTCGTGCAGGCCGCCGAACGAGAGCCACATATCGTTGCACCTGGCCAGCTCGCGGTACTGTGCCATCAGCTCGCCGTCTAGCCGCTCCGACAGCTCCAAGGTCTGTGCACGGTTCTCGCCCACAAAGTCACAGCACTCGGGCAGGAAGAGCATGCAGGCGTTACGGGCCTTGGCCAGGGTAACCAGCTCCTTCACCTGGCAGAGATTGGCGGCCTTGTCGCTGGTGGACCGCATCTGGCCCACGGCAATGGTGGCACTTTGAACCCTTTGGCTCTCCGCCGACAAAGACATCCCACGTATTTGTACTTGTACGGTGCGGACAATACTGCGTCGGGCGATTCTGGCTAGAGTTGACATTGAGAAGGGCCGACGACGGACACGAAATTCCGGGACAGGTTACGTCGCTCACTAGATGGTTCGTTATCATAGACCTCTCCCACTTGTTTACTGCCTACGGCCTTCTCCCCCCCCTTCGCGCTTCACTGTGAATGACAAGTGTGGTCCCTGGTCAGTGTGTGCACACCCTCAAAAGCGAAAATTAAGTTTCAATATTTCCGTTATATTTCTGACTTGGAATTTCTGTTTCGTTCCAGGACATCATAACGATCGGAATCACCAACCAGCGCGAGTCGACTGTGGTCTGGGACCGGATTTCAGGCCAGCCACTGGTAAACGCCATCATCTGGCTGGACAACCGGACCACCAGCACTGTGGAGGAGCTACTGGAGACGATTCCCAACAATGCCAGGAACATTAACTACCTACGGCCGCTGTGCGGTCTGCCCCTGTCCCCGTACTTTTCGGGCGTGAAGCTGCGCTGGCTGCGGGACAACGTCCCGGTGGTCAGCCAGGCAATGGAGAAGGGCACCGCCATGTTCGGGACCATCGACACCTGGCTGATGTACAACCTTACGGGCGGCAAAGAGGGGGGCGTCCACAAGACAGATGTGACCAACGCCTCGCGAACGATGCTAATGAACATCGAAACGCTGCAGTGGGATCCGAATCTGCTCAAGTTCTTTGGCCTGCCCAAGAGCATCCTGCCGGAGATCTGCTCGAGCGCCGAGTTCTACGGCAACATTGCGCAGGGTGTGCTCAAGGGCATAAGCATCAGCTCCGACTTGGGCGATCAGCAGGCAGCTCTTGTGGGTCAGCAGTGCCTGTCCAAGGGCCAGGCCAAGGCCACCTATGGCACAGGTTGCTTCCTGCTCTATAACACCGGCCCCTCCATCGTCCACTCCCAGCACGGGCTCCTAACCACCGTTGGCTACCAGCTGGGGCGAAAAGCCACGCCCTTCTACGCTCTCGAGGGCAGTGTTTCCATTGCCGGCGCCGCCTTCAACTGGCTGCGGGACAACATGAACATCATTCAGAACTCGGGGCAGATCGAGGCCATGGCCAGCACCGTGGACAACTCCCTAGACGTGTACTTTGTGCCGGCGTTTAATGGCCTTTACGCCCCCTATTGGAACCAGGACGCTCGCGGTGTAATCTGCGGCCTCAGCGAGGAGACCACGAGCGAACACATTGTGCGGGCCACGCTGGAGGCGGTTTGCTTCCAGGTCCGGGACATTCTCGATTCCATGCACAAGGACTGCAAGATACCGCTGGCCAAGCTCATGGTGGACGGGGGCATGACTGTGAACAATCTCTTTTTGCAGCTGCAGTCGGACCTCGTGGGGATTCAGGTGCTACGTGCCAAGATCGCCGAGACGACTGCTTTGGTTAGTATTGAGAATTTACTAAACAGTTGCAGCTTTTCTTAATTCGATCATTTCAGGGCGCTGCCATGGCTGCCTACAAGGCCGTCGAGGGTCGCTACTCCATGGAGGCACCGCTCTCCAAGTCTGGGCCCCGTGAAGCCATCAAGCCGTCGATTAATTCCACCGAGCGGAATCTCCGCTACCAGAAGTGGAAAATGGCCATCGAGCGCTCTCTGAACTGGGAGACTTCTTCCCTGCCGCAAGGCGAGCGCGAGGCTTTTGATGGAGCGTAGTTCCAGATTGACTCAGCCGTGCCGCTGGAGGTACCTTTGTGTTGGACATTTCTGTTTTTTATTGCATATATATAAAAGTGTTGATGAAAATCGTAGAAAGGGTTTTTGCTGTGCGCGCTGCTGCTGCTGCTCTGGCAGTGTGTTCCACCTTTCCCGAGGTCTTCTCTTTGCTCTAAACGTTCTCGTCGACGATGCCGGCGGCACCGGCACCCGCCGCCTGAGCCAAGTCGTTGAGCATCACAACCCCGCCCGCCGCCTCGTCGACAGCGACTACAACCGCTGGGCCCATCACTGGAGCGGCGGCTGGGGCCGCACCAGGAGCCAGCTCTACGTTATTGGGATGCGGATTGACCACTGCAATGGGCGGAATTGGGTTGCCGCCTGAAAACCAAATGGGGATTTAACGCCTCTCTTCTTTCAACTGGGTTGCTTACGCACTTGCGTCCAATTCCAAGGGAGGATCGGCATTGGCCTCAGCGAGATTTGTCACGGACTTTGATTTTACACACTGGAAGTCCACATGGCGGCTCTTCGCCTCCTCCTTCTCCCAGGACATGTGAATGAACGGGCGCTGCACATAGCTGTAGATCACCTCGGCCCGTCCGCCGGGGCGCCTCCGGATCTTCTCCTTGTGAGTGGGATAGCCCTCGATACCGCAGCGGATCTTCTTCAGGCCGCGGTCCTTCATCACCTGCTTGGCCACATCGCGGTTCTCGATGTACTTGAAGAAGCGATGCATGGCAGTGCTGTGAACAGCTGTATTTAAAACGTTATTTGCTGATCCTGCAGCGATCAATGCCTCGGGAACTTACTCTGACAGTATTCCTCGCCCATTTGCGGCGGAAACTCCTCGTCCCAGTCGACCATATCGTCCTCGAGCAGCACGACTACGTGGCATTCGCGATCCCCGCGCTGGGCCGAGGCCACCATCAGCGGCAGGATAAGGTCCTCGAGGAAGAGCTCGAACTGCTGGCGCGCTCCTTCGTTGCTGAGCTCGTGGAGAAGGCCTCCTTTTTGTCGAAGACAACAGAAGGCATGTTACAAGGGAAGAGAGCAGAGGTGGCCACAACTAAGGTTCGCCCAGGCAGGAGCAGCTCGCGGTATACTCACTTAGATTCTGGCAGCGCACGGTGGTGGCGTCAAAGGGAATAAGCAGATAGTCGCAGGCCTCTTTCAGTTCCGGCACCGACACCGTCGGCGGGCAGCGAATCACACCACTCTTGTAGTACTCAAGGATCGCGCGGAACACCAGGTGTGAGATGCCGTCGGCCACGTCGTACTCACCGCGCTCGTTGGCGTGTGCAAACTGAAAGCCGGAGCCGAACATGGTACCCAGCATGGTGGTGGGATGGGCTGTCAGGAGCGACTGCTCGACTGTGAAGCGCACTCCGTCCACCAGCATCGAGATCCTCTCTGGCGGCGCCGGCAGACGGCCTCCTGCTCCCGCCGAAGCCATCGCCTGGCAGCTCGTGGATGCGGCTCCACCTGGCGACTTGCCGTCCTGCTTGGGAACGGCTCCGCCGCCGCAAGAAATGTTCGGCCGATTGAGTCGGCTGCGGTTCTTAAGGATGCGCCTTCTCCGCTCCTCGGCCGCCTCGAGATTCTCTTCGCTGCTGTCGCTGCTGTACGTGTCCTGCTTCTGGGGCTGCTGCTTGTTGTTGCTGTTGCTACTGCTGCTATTGGAGTTGGGAGTGGTTGACATGTTTGTTGCGTTTGCTTTCTCGGCCCCAAGTCGCAGTATTCAATATCTCTAAACACCGCTCCACTCCGCCCACTTCCCGCTTCCTACTGTGAAACTGAGACAAAGACGACAACCTGGCGGACGAGTGAGGTCACAAAACACATTAGCGAGGCGCAATTGGAAGCCGAGGGCCCTTATCGCTGTCGAATAACAAATACCTTTGTGCGAATTGGATTTTTACATATAAATTTTACTATTACAACTTTGTTCTAGTGCTGGCAAAACGTCGGAGCACTATCGATACTATCGACAGTGTTGCCAGATGAAAATTTGGCTCTCCCCCTAAAAAATCGCATAAAATTGAAATTTCCCCCTAAAAAATCCAGTTTTCCCCCTAAATTTAAAAAATCAGTTAATCTCATAAATATAAGGAAGAAACATATTTTTGTTAGTTAATTTTAATGTTTTTTTATACATATGCATCGATAACATTTTCTGAAAACTCGGCATGGAAACCTCTTTGTTCACAAAAAGTTTCAAAAGTTGTTGCAATTGGTGGGTAAATCATAAATTCTACAATGTTTTTTAAAAACATAGTGTTAATACAAGTTTAAAAAAAACCCTAAACTTTCCCCCTAAAAATTCTTCCCCCCTAAAATTCCCCCTAGGACATCAAAAAACCTTATTTTGAAGATTTTGGATGCCTATACCACCTATAGACACACTTCGGGGAATTTGCTCTTTGTTAGAGAAAAATCATTAGAAAAACTAAAATTCCTTGTCATTTAATTCATTTAAATTTAGTGCGGATAAATTCTGACGCAATCTGTGCCTTTTCCTGTTGTACAACAGCCAAAATAGTTGGTAAATGTTCCATTTCAAATTTGCAACTGCCAATTCGACAGTCTTTGTTTACGTTTTCATGAGCCCACAGCTGATCGATCAGCTGTTCGGATGCCAGATGCACTTTGACGCTCTGTGGGAACACGAGTTTCGCATCTGCGAAAAATCCCAAACGTTCCTCACAGATGCGCTGTGTGGGAAGACCGTATAAATCTAGGGGGAAAACCCCTAACCTGGGAACACTGACTATCGATAGTGGAAAACATCGACTTAAATCTGTCGTTGCCACTTTTTCTAGCCCCGACTGCACAGCTGTTTTCTCTACGCGGTGGCAACTCCCTAACAAATGCACGTGTAAAACAAAACAGAAATGGTAAGGAAATAACTCGCCGCTTTTAAATAATATTAAATGCCGTTTCCCCCCGCTTGCAGCGCAAAAAACAAGCTGATGAAATACCAGGGTTTCCCTCGCTGGACAATGGCGGCGGCAGCGGTGATCGGGGCGACGACATCCTCCGGAGCAAGCCCAAGTCAAAGAAAAGCGGCGGCTTTCAGTCCATGGGCCTGGGCTTTGAGCTGATCAAGGGCATCACAAAGCGGGGCTACAAGGTGCCCACGCCCATCCAACGCAAGACTATTCCTCTGATCCTGGAGGGCCGGGACGTGGTGGCCATGGCCAAGACTGGCTCCGGAAAGACGGCCTGCTTCCTGATTCCCCTCTTTGAGAAGCTGCAGCGGCGGGAGCCCACCAAGGGCGCCCGTGCCCTCATCCTATCGCCCACGCGCGAGCTGGCGGTGCAGACGTACAAGTTTATCAAGGAGCTTGGCCGCTTCATGGAGCTAAAGACCATCCTGGTGCTGGGAGGCGACTCTATGGATTCGCAGTTCTCGGCCATTCACACGTGCCCCGATGTGATCGTGGCCACACCTGGCCGCTTCCTCCACTTGTGTGTGGAAATGGACCTAAAGCTGAACTCTATAGGTGAGTGATTTTCGCGTTTTTTGAAGCTAGTTTTTCACCCAAGCTATTTCTATCGTTTCCCAGAGTACGTGGTCTTCGACGAAGCTGATCGTTTGTTCGAGATGGGTTTCGGCGAGCAGCTGAACGAGACTCTGCACCGGCTGCCCTCCTCCCGGCAAATGGTCATGTTTTCCGCCACGCTGCCCAAGTTGCTGGTGGATTTTGCTCGCGCGGGCCTCAACGACCCGGTTCTCATACGCCTGGACGTAGAGTCCAAGCTGCCGGATGCCCTGGCTCTGAAGTTCCTCTACTGCCGGCCCGACGACCGCTACACAGCGCTCGTGGTGCTTTTGAAGTATGTGATCCCGCAGGACTCGCAGACCGTGGTGTTTGCCGGCACTCAGCACCATGTGGAGTTGATTTCGTACATCCTCACCGAGGCAGGCATCTCCAACACATCGGTGTACTCCAGTCTGGATCCGGCAGCTCGTAAAATCAATACCGCCAAGTTCGTGAGCAAGAAGGTGTCGGTTCTGATCGTCACGGATGTGGCAGCCCGCGGCATTGACATTCCCAGCCTAGACTACGTGGTCAATCTTCACTTTCCGGGCAAGCCGAAGCTGTTTGTGCATCGCGTCGGCCGCTGTGCGAGAGCAGGCCGCACTGGCACCGCCTACTCCATCTTCTCCACGGATGATACAGCCCATCTCCTGGATCTACACCTGTTCCTCAACCGGCCTTTCAACATCAATGACAGCTCGGCCATGGGGACCATTCCGCAGGACCTGCTCGAGGAGGAGCACCTCACAGTGACCGATATCAAGAAGAGTCATCATATTGTAAGTCTTCCAAGCAACTGTTCACATGTGTAGCTTATTTACCGCTTGGAATAATTGCAGTCTGGAGTGTTGCGCACCAGTGAGAATGCCTACAAGAAATACCTAAGCTCGCGTCCAGTGGCCTCCACGGATGCCAATGCACGAGTGAAGAAGATCAAGTTCTTTGCGCTGAAACCCTTGGAAGACTTCTTCACAGCCGCTCCTGCCCTCGCCCAGGCCGCCGAGGTCAATGGGCAGTCTACAGAATCCCAGGCGGAGGTGGCTGCAGCTGAGCGCAAGTTGCAGGAGGAGAAGCATGATATACTGGTCAAGATGCGTAGTTTCCGGCCAGGCGGTGTAAGTTGTACCTCATCAGGTGTCCTTAAAAGGAAGCTTGCTTATCCCTTACTCTTTTTCAGACCGTTTTTGAACTCAACACCACGCAAAAATCGACCCAATTTCTGGTTATGAAGGAGAAGCGAAGCCAACACGCGGATGTTATTCAAAAGTTTAGGAAGCAGCGAGCTGATGAGGACCTAGACGAGGCGATAAAGGAGGCCGAGACCCAGAGGCCCAGTTCCACCCGAATGCCCACCGCCGACGAGGAAGCCATTAGCAGTACCTTCAACAAAGTCGTGGCGCCCAAAAGGCTCCAAAACATGGACGCCCTGTACAAGGATAAGCCCAAGAAGAAGAAGCGTAAGACCAACGCCAAGGACGATGAGCACTACGTGCCGTACCAGTCGGCCGACAAGCACACAGAGGATGGCCTGGCTATCAACACGTTTGAGCGTCAGGCCCAGAATGCCGAGTTTTCGGTTTCCGACCGCAACTCTTCGCAGGAGGTGAAGCACAAGCCGGGCCTGAAGAAGTGGGACCGCATCAAGAAGAAAATGGTGTCCGTGCAAGATCCTCGAGCCAACAAGATCCGCACCGAGTCCGGCGCCTGGATTCCAGCCTCCTTCAAGACGGGCCGCTACAACGAGTGGAAGGAGAAGTCCAAGATCGAGGACCAGCTGCAGCGCGAGAACGCGGATAGTGACGACGACAAGTTCAGGCCTCTGAGCCACGCCCAGCGCTATCCCGTCAGCCGCCATGCGCGTCACAATGTGAAGCTTGAGCTGAAGAAGCGGCTCAGCGGAAATGATAAGGAGATGCGGCGACCCGAGCAGATTGTAAAGTCCCGCATGCGCCTGGAGTTCATCAAGAAGCGCAACGAGGATAATGCGGAGAAGAAGGCCGAAAATCGCAAGCGCAGCATGCGGAAGAACCAGCGACCCAAGGCTCAAGCAACTGGTGGGCCCAGAAAGCGCAAGTAGTAGTCAGGTGAGTACAGTTTCTGACCATTATTAGGGTTAAGTTGGGGACAAATTGGGTCACATCAACCGAACTGCCCTCTCGCACGCAGGACTCCCCAGCTACCTTGGCCTTTCCTCCTGTAATTCTAACGCCAAATGGGCCTTGTTTATAGAGTTGTAGTTTTAGTTTAGGCGGCTACCTGAACTGAGCTCCAGAGTGAGGGAGGTCGGCATCTGGCAAAGCAACAAGCTACGATTGCCGAACCCTTGTCTGTCAAGCAAAGCCATTACCGCGGATCAAGGCTCAAGTCAATTTTCACTTTTCCCTCGTAATTTATGAAGTGTTTGAAATGGAACAAACAGATGGAGGAGGAAATGCATGTTTTGTGAAGGCCCTTGAGCACGCACGTGTCCTACCCCGCTGGTTAAGTCGCGTCAGACAGAAATTAAAAGTCAAAAAAAGCCAGTGACAAGCTTGTATTTTTCGTGTGTCTAAAGTGAAATTGAATAGCCACCGCCCCTGCGCACCCTGGCCTCTTTTCGAACATGACCCAAATAGGACTCGGAACAAGCGGTTTGACCTATGTGCGTGCTTCTGGCTAACTCACGGGGTGTGTTCACCACGTGCAGAAGGCAGGCCAGCGTTTCGGGAAAGGTACTACGAGCACGCTCAGGCCTGGCTTTGGGCGCACCCCGCCTGCGATGACACGCACATCCTGTGCGTGCCTTAAGCAAACAGTCTGCACCCCGGGAAGCGACCCTTGTTCGGCTGCCTGCGAAGGACAACTGTGTGTGTTAATCCATCTCTTTCGGCCTACGAATTGATCCTCAAACTAACCACCACCGAGACAATGGTAATTGTCATGGCCCGCAGAATTGGCCAGCAGCTCGAGAGTCACGTTATTGGGTGGTTTTACACTTTAATGGGAAGCGAATTGGTCTTTAATCGTGTCTAGGATGCGCACAAGGCACCCCCATTAGCTTTCCTAACATTAATTTAACTATTTGCTTACTGCATGCCTACTGTTCTCTGATTGTGTATTATTTTCCCCCTCTCATCCACAGAGATCTTCTGATTAATCGCCTTCCCCCAACGAGACACTCAAAATATTTGTTCAGCAGGCACTGGCGCTGCACCCGAGGGGCTCAACCGTGCCTAAGAACTGCTCTTTGGACTTGGATTTCGGAAAGTGTTTTGATAAAAATACACGATGAAATGTGTGAAGTACGACATTTTTGAATGGGCTGGGGAACGGGAGAGAAACCCCAATAAGTGGAGCGGCAGGCCATAAACAAAATTTAATTCCAAGGAGGGAAATCTCCCTTTTTAGGTCCAAAAATACACTGACAGCGCGCCCATATGGTGGCCATCTAGGACCGTGGGATTCCCCCTGGACCAATATCGCTGTCTTTTAAGCTGCTGCTGCTGCACCAACCGAATGCGGTGCATTCCCAGCCACATGTGCGTGGGGCCGGAGGAACACCCATTCGCTTAACGGCTTCTGCCACTTCATTTTCGCACTTCGAGGGGTGCCCAAAATAGATCTCGCCCCCATGTGTGCCGAGATGTTTCCAAGAACTTGCTTTCCAGCTTGCCTCAGCCATCTGAGCAATCTGCCCGTTGCATAAGGCACGACATCGCTGTGGATTGGAGCTGGAATTGGACCATCCAAAGCGATCTGTTTCTTCCTATCTCCTTCAGTTTGTTAAATGGCAGAGGCATCTCTTTTCCACTTTTCAGCCACTTGAGCGGGCTGCTGCTCTGATGCCGACGACGAGCTCCGCTCTTGACCTGTCATAGATGCGGGTTCGTGCGAGGCGATGGCGCATATGTTTACAATCAGAAATCATTTGTGCGCGGAATGTGTAAATGCTCAGCACTCTCCCTCCGTCGTCTTTCGTCCAACGCCTAACCCAGTGAGTACAGATACATTTCCATATATTTATATTCTTGGAATGAAATGCTGCATTCTGTGCTCCCTGTGAAAACTTTTGTGGAGTGGCTATTGCGTCTACGTCATCAGCGGAATTTCTCAACGATGACATCATTTCACTTCACAACTTAGCTGGGGGTTGGCTGGCCAAGTGCCGGCGCCATGCATCCCAAAGCCCCGTGGCAGTGGATCAAACCCCAGTGATTCCGCTGTTTCATGGGAAAATTTGAACCCTTCGTCATTAATGCTGTCTGACTAGCCGCCGCCCCCAAGCAAGTCATCCGCAATCAGTTTAATCAGCTTCCAGCTCAAAGGCAATGTGTGAACGAAAAAGCAAGAGCTGGGGGAGAATTATGGGAAATCCATTTGCCTTTTACCCCGGCTGTGCTGAGTTTCAAAATATGTTTTTGGGGCTTCTGTGTGGCATTACATTCTCTTCAAAATATGTAATATAGCGCTGTTTAAAAACACTTTTCGATTTTATTATAATTTCTAGGCATATGTCTCTCGGCTTTAGAACTATTAATACAAGTACTGGATATACAGAAATATCAACAGATAACATGCGATACAGATTATGATGGACTGCTTCAAGGGCTCTGACTGCCACTTCTCTCTCTCTGCGTCCGGATGACAGACGTCTTGTGCGGACGATGATATCTGGGGAAAGCCAATCCAAGTCAATCAAGTAAGTGCTGGGGGAGAGAGAAGGGTCCCGGTCCCGGTCCCAGTCCCACTCCCGGTCGAAACCAATTGCAGCGGCGGCATGCAGCTCAATTTACATCGCTCACTTGCGGCGACCAATTTACAGATTGTTGAACTCACGCAATGCCGAGTCCGAGTCCGTTCCAGCTGGGCCGAAGGGTCTTATCTCTGGCCCGAGATCTCAATCGAAATCTCTTGGCAGACCGGGTCGGGTCTCTTGTGTGCGTTTCTTTGCGCTGTCTAATTCGGGACGCTCAGACAATTGCACAATTTAGTGAAGAATGCGTCTAAGCGTCACTTAAAAACGCATTACTCAATTGATGTGTCCTCCAGATGCACACAAATATGGAGCCGGGCTGGAAATCTGACCAGGGGGAAGATCGTATAGTAAGATGCAGTAGCTGACAGAAAATTCCAATGGAATGCTTAGAAAGCAAGGAAAATTCGGAGATAACGATTTCATTTTTATGTAAAGAATTTAAAAATTCAAATGACTATGCATTTTGGCGCTCTTCATGAGAAACAATCGATTAATATTCTGTTACTCCCATTCTGGTTGTAGTATCAGATGTGATTCGATTACGGATTTAGGATTTAGGGATTTTTTAGGGGCAAACTAAACTAGAAAATCGCTAGCCAGAGGGCCGCTCTCGTTTTAACAGAAAATTCTGTTACTCTCATTCTGGGGAATTCCATAGACAAAATTCTGTTAGCCTCTCATTAACAGAAAATTCTGTTAACTTGAAATTCAGAGTGACCAAGAGAAAATATCAAAAAATACCAAATAAAAATATCGCGATTTCGATATCATTTTCAGGAAAAATATCGATGTTCTTCCACCTCTAGGAGAGCTCTGTTAACAGAAATTCTGTTACTGCGATTCCATAGACAAAATTCTGTTACTGCGATTCCATAGACAAAATTCTGTTACCCTCTCATTAACAGAAAATTCTGTTAACTTGAAATTCAGAGTGACCAAGGAGAAAATATAAAAATACATCAAAAAATTCCGAGATTTATTTGGGATTTCACGAATAAATACATCATCATTTTACATCACACTAAAAAAAAAAACTCGATCGCGTCGGACGTGCCTGGGTCTCGTCGCGTAATTTGTTTTTGTAGTGGAATACAAAGAAAGCAGAGGGATAAACAAATCGTAACTGTCGCGGCAGTGCATAAACGCAACGTAAATACACTAGAGAAGTGCTCCAGCAGCCGCAGCCTGCCTTTCCTGTGTACCCTTGTATATACACACTGTATGGGCGCGTCTCTTTTTGTTCCTTCGTGAGTGTGTGTGTATGTCTGACGTCGCTGTGTCTCGTCTCTCGCCCTCTCGGCCAGCCAAAGCAGATCACAATCCGCGCGCCAGTTCGTTTATTTAATAGCAACCATAGATTGGCGACGAAACAAGGAATACGCTGGCCAAATATTGAAACAAGTGTCGCCGAATTGTGATTTCTCGTCTTCCAACGCGTCGGGCAAATTTTCACACGCATACACAGCCAGCCACTACACACTCACACTGGCAAACGCGGAGGAGAACCGAAACGAGATTTTGCAAGTCGCGTCCCAGTATTGGTGTCCGCAGTGTGGCTGTGGTGGTGCAGTGCTTGTGCAACTACGATACTCAATTGTTTATTGCTGGGCATAGCTGGAAACCCAAGCCCAAACAGAGCCGCGGAGGAGAGTGCAGGCCAAAGCAAGGCAAAGCAACAATAGTTATGCGAGCTCATTAAGGTGTCGCAGCGGCCTTTCCACCTGCCCCAGCGTTCGCGTTCGCGTCAGTGTCTGTGACTGCGACTGTGTGCACGAGTGAATCGCAGTGATAATAATAGGAATTTCTTTTCGAGCTGTTTGTGATTTCCAACGCGAAAGAAAAGCCACAAGTGAAAGCAGTAGCGAACCCTACTTATCTGCGCTAATTGCCACCGTCTCAGTCTCCGATGCTGCCAGCAGCAGCTCATCAATAGTGGATTACGTCGATACTGGATACCCGAGGACACTGTGAGGTGAGTCCCAGGGTCTCCTCCGTATTGAATGGACGCGGGGCGCGTGATAAGGGCATTAATCACCATTCTGTTGCTTCTGTTTTTGTGTCTGCTTCGTATCAGCTTCGTGCTCGTGCCCGCCCTTCTTTTGCTGTTTTGTTTTGTTCCGTCCCTGTTTCTTGCTGTCGCTATTCTCTGCTCGGTTCTCCCTTTTTGTTTACTGTTTACTGTACTCCAGGCGCGTTGTCGTGTGGGCTTCCTTCCGCCCGTCACAGGCAATCTCCTGTTCATCAGTTGCACTCTGGATATACTGTGAATGCAGTTAGGCGTGCCAGATAGAATAATTTTCTTAAAGTGCTTTAAATTGTATAGATAATATACATATATTTTTTGTGAGGAAGGACAAATTAATTTTTTGGCAGCAATTTTTTGAATGAACATTTCGTATATGTCGGAGATAAATTCTGGGAAGAACGCTTCTCTTAAGAAGCGTTGCGCTAGGCATAGCAGCAGAGACGAGAGCAGTCTGAATTCGGGGAAGTACGCTTTTTCTAAGAAGCGCATCGCGAGGCATAGCAGCAGAGACGAGCGCAGTCTCTGCTGGCGAGTGAGGTCCGTTGTCGCGCTACCGAAAGTCATAGGAGAGAAAGAGAGGTATATAGATCAACTGAATTAAGAACGTTGACAGAAGATATAAATGGATGGAGAGAAGGGAGTGGAAGTTTAGTTTGGTTTGGTAACGATCGGCAACGGAACTCGCTGTGCTACCGCGCGAGGATATGAATATGGACGAAACTATCGCGCCTCTGACATCAGAAGTGGGATCGGCTCCGCCACCTGAACAAAGCCCGATCCAATATATGGCCGCGTTGGAGGAACAAAACAGAAATTTAATGGAAATAATAAAAACCATGCAGACACCAAAAGCACCGGCGTCGGACGGGAAGACAACGCATGTGACACTGCCCAAGTTCAATCCCGATGGTGCTGGAGCGGATGCATCAGCTTGGTGCACGACGACTGATTTGATTTTCGCAGACAACATCGTTGAAGGCAGCGCACTAGTGATCACTCTCAGCAAGGCGCTGGAAGGCAGTGCCTCTCAATGGCTCTCCCAGATATGCTTCGCCGGCATCACTTGGACTCAATTCAAGGAATTATTCATCCAACGATTCGTGGGCATTGAGACAACGGCTGCTGCAGTGATGAACGTTCTTAACGGGCGTCCCAAGTCCGGAGAGAGCTATGCTGAGTATGGCAGCCGCATAGTCACCCTACTACTGTCCAAGTGGAAGGCTAAGGATATGGAGGAGATTGCTGTGTCAATTGCTTTAGCTCACATGGCACAAATCGACAATAATTTGTTGCGTTGTGTTTTTACCACCAATGTGTCAACGCGTAATGAGCTACATCGGCAGCTGCAGGCGTACGCATTCAACAAACGCAAACACGAACCGGATGAATACTCGGAGAGGAAAAAACTACAGCAGCTGAAGTGCCATTTTTGTGGAAAAGTGGGACACGAGTATGCCCAATGCCGTGCTCGAATGGAAAAGGTACACGAAAAAGGAAAGATGTACAATGGAGGCAGCGGTTCCGAAGCGAAGGATCGTCCAAACATTAGATGCTTCAGATGCGACGAAGTTGGACATGTGGCCTCTGTGTGTCCCAAAGGTCGTACTCATGGAATGGACAAGGAGAAGCGCGTAGACATCCTTACGTCAAATAGACGAGAGTAAAGGTTTGGTTAATCAGATGGGTGAGCCAATTCTTATTTTGTGTTTGTTTTGCTAAAAAAAAAAAAAAAAAAAAAAAAAAAATTAAATGGAATTATCCAATCAAATTGTTGGAAGAAGAAATAAATAATTTAGCCTTCTTAAGAGGAGTTTGCGACAATATTGTGGAGAGCAATTAGTTGGAGAATTATAGGAAGAATTCCAAGGTGACTTTGTGTCCCAAAGTGGGAAATTATATGTGGACGGCATCAGGGAATGCTCGTCGGAAGTGGTTTGTGGACGGCATCAGGGAATGTGCGTCGAAAATAGTAGTGGACGGCATCAGGGAATGTGCGTCGGAAGTGGCATGTGGACGGCATCAGGGAATATGCGTCGGAAGTGGCATGTGGACGGCATCAGGGAATGTGCGTCGGAAGTGGTATGTGGACGGCATCAGGGAATGTGCGTCGGTGTCCCGGAGTGGAACATATGTAGAATGTGGACGGCATCAGGGAATGTGCGTCGGTGTCCCGGAATGGGAAATGATATGTGGACGGCATTGGAGGATGTGCGTCGGAGATACTATGTGGACGGCATCAGGGAATGTGCGTCGGAAATAGTATGAGGACGGCATCAGGGAATGTGCGTCGGTGTCCCTGAGTGGAACTTATGTAGAGTGTGGACGGCATCAGGGAATGCGCGTCGGTGTTCCGGAGTGGAACATAGAATGTGGACGGCATCGGGAGATGTGCGTCAGTGTCCCACTAGAGGAAATGTTGTAGCAGTATGACAGCTGTCTCGCAGGGACGAGAAGTGTTATGGCGGAGGTCTTGGTGACCTGGTAATGTTGATGAAGAAGAAAATTATGTAACAGAAAATTACAATTTTTGAAGTTGCATGGAGTTACAGTGGAGCCACTGTAGCTCTATTTGAGTTTGTGAAGAGAAATTGAAAGTGTATGTTTATTGGTTGAGTCAGAATTAGCTATTGGTTGGAAAGTGACTCAATTATTGGTTAACTGAATAAGAGAATATAAGGAAAAGAAAAAGCATTGAATGAATCAAAGTTAGGAAAAGAATAAGAAAGTTATTGTGATTTATTCCTTTTGATTTATGTGGTTAATGCCGAGCTCAACACACAGGGACGTGTGGTAGGTCAGGAAGGCCGTGTCGGAGATAAATTCTGGGAAGAACGCTTCTCTTAAGAAGCGTTGCGCTAGGCATAGCAGCAGAGACGAGAGCAGTCTGAATTCGGGGAAGTACGCTTTTTCTAAGAAGCGCATCGCGAGGCATAGCAGCAGAGACGAGCGCAGTCTCTGCTGGCGAGTGAGGTCCGTTGTCGCGCTACCGAAAGTCATAGGAGAGAAAGAGAGGTATATAGATCAACTGAATTAAGAACGTTGACAGAAGATATAAATGGATGGAGAGAAGGGAGTGGAAGTTTAGTTTGGTTTGGTAACGATCGGCAACGGAACTCGCTGTGCTACCGCGCGAGGATATGAATATGGACGAAACTATCGCGCCTCTGACATATATATTGACGGCAAAATACACTTTGATTTAGGAACACCCATAGTCCACAAATACACCATTATTTCGGGCTTAGAATCGTGAATAACTAAATGCGTTGGCAGTGCCAATGAAGTAAATAGAAAAAATGCATGCATCAGACGCGGAAGTCTGACATTTGGGCAAAGTGACTCGCCTGCCTGCCGCCAGTTTAGATTAGTTTCTATGCTTAAAATGCTCCTCCTCCACGGAGGAGTGTATTTTGCGTCCGTTCGATCGACGCCTATCAGCCAGTTTCATCAGGTACAGGTGCGATGCCTTGGCTGATTAGCTCCTAAGCCAGCCTTTGAGATTGCGAAACTCGGTTGCATTCAGTTTAATCCAAGGCAATCGGCAATCAGGTCTGAAACATAGCCACTGTGTCGTTGAACTCTCCGGAGAACACCAGGCAAATCCAATCCCATGCCAGTAATAGTGCGAGTGCGTGGCCACGCAGAGAGCGAGTGCGAATGCCGAAGTGTAAAAAGTGTAAACAAGCTGGGGAAACAACGGAAACAAAGAGTGGAGCAGACAGTGGAACCCGTTGTTCTGCCCCATTCCGCCTTCCCTCCGCGCTCTCCGTTCCGCAGACCCACTGAGCTGAGCTTAGCTGGGCTTGTCTTCGATTCGCGGCTCTCGGAATCCGATTTCGATTCAAGCTCCGCGGTGTTTGGCATTGCGCTCGTTTTCGTTTCGCTCCAAAAAGGTGTTCCCCAGGTGCGACGGGACTCGCAGGCGGCTAAGCTAGCAACTAGAAAGGCTTTCCACATGGCAATGCAGCCAATGCTGGATAGGAGGAGCCTCGCGGCCAGGGCAATTAAAGTGTAATTACTCTTTCGAGAGGCGATAACTGTGACATAAGCTGTACGCTGTCAATCCGACTGCCGCATGCCGATGCCGAAGCCGCTGCAGGTTGCGTCGGCAGACGCTTGCCAAATAGTGAGTTAGTTAACCACGGCAGCCGCCGAGTGGAAACATGCGCCGCATCCAAAACGGGAATTTGACTGCGGGCCAGAAGCCAACCAGTTTGGATGGGTTTCCGATCACTAATAATGACAAGCTCAAGCGGTTCGTCAGCTCGAAACTAGTTGATGCTGGAGCCGCCGAGCGTTGCTATTTTTGTTTCGCCATTGCCGCTGTCGGTGGCTGCTTTGCTTTTGTTTGTGCAGCAAGCGGAAATTAAAATTGATAAATAATTTATTGACAAACAGAAAGTGAGTTGTCGAGAAAAGGGGGTCCAGATAAGGCATTTTGTTCACTATCTGTCCCGGCGCTCCATTGAGCATTCTCGGGCCAGCGGGAATGGCGTCCAGGTCCCTTTCCGAGCTTCTAGAATATGACTACTGTCTGGCCCATGCTGGAGACAAATGAAGGTAGCGACGGGACAAACCTGCAAATCTGCTCTTTGTCTTTTGTTTGGGTGACGTAATGAGTTCCAAAATGCGAGTTCCATTCCACTTGCTATTTATTGGTAGAGTATAAAAACTACATAATTTAAAGAACCATCAATCAGGCACGAAGGCAATAAATGTAAAAGGTATAATTTGAACACTGAGAAAGACCGGAAGTACTTGCTCTGGCTCCGATCCTCTTCCACTGGCGAATGGCCACTGGCATTTCGGCAAAATGCGAAAAGTGAAAGTGGTGACAGAGTATTTGTTTGCATATTCCCATTCACAACAGCCCACGCTCTTTGGAGCTTAGGTTGCGCAAGGCAGTAACAGTGTGCAGGTGCCAATCCGCTAAACCTAGCTCGGTGGCAGGTGGCAACATGTGTAGGTTCTTTAACATGACTCCAAGTTGGTGCAAAAATGAGAAAATTGCGAACAGAAGACCCAAAGAAGATTTTTGAAAGTGTGTCTTTGGCTGGCCACCAGGTGAACAAACGACACCACCAGGTGCTCCGGGATTGTACCGTGCCTACCCTCTCTACTTGCGTTTACGGCGTTTTGGATTGGGACGTTTGTCGTAGATGGGACGGCGAACAGCAGCTGGTTGCCGCTGACCCCGCTGACTACGGCGCACCAACTGTCGACGCCGAGCAGCTCGTCGCTTGCGGGCGACTCTGGCCAAGATGCGCTGGAATAATGGGAAAGGCTAAGCTGCAGTTACTCTATGGTTCACTGGCACCTTACTTGTGGCTCGAACTTGCGCTTCTGGGCATCGCTTAGCGCATTCCATACGGTGAGGCCCACCCGGAGCAAGCGGCGGAGGCTGTAGTTCGGATACATAGTACGTTTAAGGAAGCGCAGGAAGTTGAGGTACGGAAGCGGAGCCACCATACCCGGCGTGTCAACGACATCGCCGGCCCGAATCTTCCGACGCTTTAGCGATGCCATAAAGCACAAAGCAGAAGGACTTGGATAGCCTGCAGGAACGGTTTCTTGATCAGATTGTACAGAATAATCCACGCTATAAAGCCCAGCTGTACCGACATGTCCGTGGGTGGGCAGAGTGCTGATTCGACTACAGAGTTGATTGGAGAGCTCAAGGCTGCTTGGATTCCTATTTTCTAACGCACCTTTGGGAGCTATGTCACAGCACAAAAGCCACACATGTATACCCAATCGAAATATGCATCTCATCGACAGATCTCGGCGCTAACCCACACCGAACGCCAAATGGCAGCGCCCGTATATAGACACATTATCTGCGCACAACGCCCACAAATTCATCATGACTTATTTAAGGCCCGAGCCGACTGTGTCTTCGGCTTCGGCTTCTCCTGCCCCGCGCTAACAGTCGGTGATCATTTATTCATGCCCGAGTGAATGGGATCTGCTTTCGAGAGTCACTGATAAGGCGCATTGTGCATCCGTCCGGCCAAAGTCCAGGCAGTGTGTGCACGCATTCTGAGACGCAAATAAGTTTTATTTTTAGGCCCCTGATCGAGTACAACTGTGCTCGGTCGGAAGTGATTAACTTATGAGAAAGATGCTCCCGCCGTGAGCGAACCACTTCCGCATGGCTTTGAGCTTCTCTTTGCTGTTACGCTTCTTTCTAAAATCCAGATAATAATAAGACACGAAACATCATTATGGGAAATCACTTTCGCTAGTCGCAGAACTTTCGTTAATGGTTAAATGCAAACTTTTCCCCTTTAATTGTGTGCTGTGATCTTAAAAGTGGCTTTAATTACTTTCAATTTCCAATTGGGGAAAATATTAAAAGAGATATCTACGCAAGGGTTTGGTGTGGAATCGACTGGAACGCTGTAGTGGGCGATGCGAGCCCTGCTTTTCCTCCGCCCCCAAGAGCCACCCAATCGGTTGTGTAACCCGACTTTCCCTCGGTCGCCGAGAGATGAGAAACGGCCATTAGGCTAGGCTTTCCCCCTTGCACTCCAAGTGCGCCGAAGTTTCGCCGTCTCGCCGTCCGCTCCTTAATGCAACGGAAAATTAATGTTGTGTGACAACGCCGCTCATAATGGATACGGATTGTCTCCGGAGCCCGGACCCTCGCTGCAGCTGCTGGTAGCTGGCGGAACTACGTGGGAAAGCTATAGATGCTCGTTGGGCGTAGATCATTTGGCTGCGATGTAGTCCATTCGGGTTTCCCTGCGCTGATTGCCCAAAACTGCTCAATTTCACCTCGCTGCAGTTAGCATCGAGTCCGTAAAGTACTACTCAGGCCAGCCCCATTGGGAGTTTGGGCCAAGGCAAGTGGATGTGCCCATTTATGCATTATAATTAACTGATTTTGGAGACATGTGAACACGAGTTCGCAGCGAAGTGACCGCGGCCGCCGACCGCTTGTCACTTTTGAGGGTACTCTTGCACTTGATTGTGAAGTTAAAACAAGATAAGTCCATAACCGAGAGCAAAGCCAGACGTCAAAGGTGGAAAACTGGTCTCGGGAGATTAGATAATTTGTAATGTAAATACAGTCATAAAATTGCCCTATTCTTTAAGGGAATACAACCGCTTTTCCCTGGGTCCAACGAACGGAGTTCATCGCAATAGTTTCTTATATGTGCTACTCAGATCCAAAGGAGTTTTAGACATGCATTCACAGTCAACGTGATTGTTCGCCTTGACCGGGACGGTTTGATTTCAATGTATTTCGATTCGACTTGTCTTGGCTTGGCTGTATTCGGTTCGCTTTAGTTCTACGGCGGCGACTCTGATCGTATTTTATTTTCGAAAAGTTATTCAACTAAGCACGAGCGAGTGCTGTCTTGCTTGTCTGATTGGGACGACCTTGATAGCGGCGCTCAAGCTAGCTCGCTCGCTCACTCGCTCATGCTTGTATCTTGGAGGGAGCCTGCTTGAAGCGGTGGCAAACTCACGAGCGTGTATCTGCTCCCAGCTGCGTATGTATCTAGCTATCTATTTGACTAACTGCGATTCGTCTCGAGCAGTTTGCGGTTTATTAACCGCATAGCAGCGGAATGTGAAACTCTAGATTCACTGCAGCAGTCGAGTGTAATCTCCGTAACGGTTGCTGCGGCTGTGGTTGGACTCCCAGTGTAAAAGCCACCTATGGCTGAAGCTCAAAAGGACCGCATTTCATCTTAAATTTGTTCAAAAGCTAAAGTAATAATTCGGAGGCACATTTCCGGTGCACCCTAGCTTTTTATTTGGACGCTAAACTAGTCCAAGTTGCACAGCTAAACCTGGCTCCACAGCTTTCTTTCCGCGAAACCGCCAGCAAGAGAGCTGGAATGCTGTGCCACCGACTCCAGGTGCAGTTCATGATCGAGTGGCGTGCCATTCACCAATTGCTAGCACTGGCTTTGCTCGAACTTAAGACTGGAGGATAAATGGGAGGAGCACTAGTGTGTCGACGAGTATCTTGCTGATTTCGTCGATTGCTGTGCTAATTTTGAAGCAAAATATTTCCATGTATAAAGCGATATTAATCGAACGACCTTTGCCATGGAAAAACGCTCGCTTGCAGTTACCCAAAACCTATCAAACTGTTGCGTTAGCCACCTACCCCTAGCTGACAAACACACCTCTTACTATATTCAAAAAATTCATTCAACTTCGTTTTATTTATTTTAACGAAAGATAGTCATGTTCTGGCACAAGCAAAGTGTACTCACGGGTTCGTATCTATAGGATGCGCCCGGAGGGAGTTGTACACATCGACTCCACTTTTCCTTTATTTTCCCAGCAGCCACGCCCTGCGCCTGCGCTTCCGAGCCGAGCAGCAGCCATTAAATTTGATTAACAGAAGGGAGTTGCTCGGCCCCGTTCTTAAAGCTGGTCGGTAGCCCGTTCCTGCTCCAATTGAACAAATGCTTGGTGCAGCCAGCAGCCCTCTCGCCATTTATGGTTTGTGGGAAAGAGTTGAGCTAGATGGAAGAGCAAGTGCCGCCTGCGTGCCCAGGAAACTGCCATTTTTGCACGTGGGTGTGATAGTCTTGCAGAGACCGCTGTGCGTCTGCTGTCGAAACAAACTGCATGCAGCTCGACTTGAGTCCGGGCTATGTAGAACATAAAATAATAATTGCGTATTTTTGTGGAGCAGTGGAAGGCGGAGGAGCAGGCACGACATGAAGCATGAAATTGCGGAGAAACTCTCGCCTGAAAGAGCTACTGCGTTCTTGATTCTAGCATCGGAATTATGCTGGAAATGCGACCGACCACATGGGCAATCTGTGATTAAGCTGCAGCTGCGGTCGCTGCAATTGAAAGTCTTAAATTCGCAGTCAATTAAAGCGGCATTATTGAGAGATCTGCCGTTGCCCCCAGAGTTCGTTGGCAGCCCCAAAGCACACTCTGCGATATGCGATATACATAATGCTAGCTGTCCGCTGCCCGTGCTCTTGGCATTTGTCTAACGAAAACACTACAAGATTGCCGAAAAGTCGATATGCAGCGCAGCTGTGAGCTGTGGTTTCTGCATATTGCAGCTGCTGGGCTGCAGCTGAAGATGGAGTCAAATTCGGATGCGGGTTCCAGGCCGCTGCTGGGAAAGAGCTGAGGTAAACAAAGCACACTACTGCACAGTATTTTCCTTGACTAGCTGTGACTAGCAATTGTGTCTGCTCGACTAGATAAGAGTTATCTTTTCGCCAAGTTTCATCTTCCTGACTTGCACTTGTTGCCTTGGTTGTTGGGATTAAATAGCTCATAGGAAAATCCACAAATCAGCCAGTTTTGGCCAGTCTAAAAACTTATTGGCTTCAAATAGCCATCAACCAGTCTCTGCACAGAAGCCAATTATGGACGGGCATTCGTGGTTGTTGCTTTTATTTGGTAAACCAGTTTATTATTACGACGGCGACACTCACTTCCGCTGGGGCCAGTCGAGAACTAGCAGGAGGACCCGATGTAGAACTGAAATTCGAATTACTGCATCAGTTTTTTTTTTAGCTTTTCCGTTGCTCACTCTCCCGCATCTGTATGCAATTACTGTGTTGTTTGAAGGGGAAAACTCGTTTTTCTCCATGGCATGTATGGAGATGGGACCTCTGATTGATTGCAGGTCGTGGTTGACGGACTGCCTGTCCGCCTGGGCGTGGCTCACCGCCAGATAAATCCACAAGGGGAAGTCCGCAGCTCCTTTGAATAACCAGGCCAGCTTAGATCTTTTTTTATGCTACACGCGCCTCACGAATTCCTTGTTTGTTTTCGTTAATTGCCATTGAACCCTGTGACCTGCATGAGACCCAAGCAGTAATGTAATCAAAGAGCTTCTAACCAACGGCTCAGAAAGAGCACATTCCGAGATTTTCTTCATTCTTTTAGTTACTGTGTTCAGAGGGCGTTCTCTGAGCAGTCCAATAAAAATACTTTTTGTTTATGTGAATCCAAAGGTGGCAGCCGGAATGCTCGGGTCGAATGCCTGTTCCGCCAGCATTTTGGACCTCTCGGTGGAGCGTGGTCGACCGACAAGGCCGAACAGCAGTCACACGACCAGAACAATTGGTGGATTGTGCAATCCACCGCAAGAGTCGAAGCCGGAGAACAAGTGTAAAACTTGTTTCGGAAGGTAATAACCAACCAGTTGAAGCACAGCCCAGATTTGGCTGCAGTTATGCAGTGTTTAGTGACTGTCGAAGGACTTGCAACCCCTCTCGGGACACTTTCCCACACTCGGTGTGAAATTCGAGTATACTGTGTCAAGTGGAGTCGCCTTATCGGGTTACGCTGATCTCATCCCTTGGCCCAAGTGGATGGATACAGTTAAAGAGGCTCCTAAAAAGCAGTGCAGTGCTGGGGAATCCATGAAACCATTTACTTGTTTACCCACGCTGCTGAGGCGCTTGGAAGAATTATTTTTAGTGCGTCCGCATTCTTCAGCCTGTGTCCATTCAGGCGGCCAAAGTTATACAATTTTAATTATTACAGCACTCGGGCATGTGCGTGTGCGTGTGATCCGAATGACTATCGTTCATCGGCCCGTCCGGAATGCCAAGAGAATGTTCTCGCCCAGCTGGGAGTGCCAGTGGCCGGCGATTTGCACGTGGTGTCGTGAGGAATGCCTTCAAAGGTTACTAAAAAAAAGGCGCACCAATTCTTTGGTTGCGGTTGCTTCTTGCCTTTTTATTAAATAAATTAATGAGTCCGGAAAGAGACTGGTACAATCTAATTGATCGGAGTGAGTAGTAGATAAGAACGGATGTGAATCACCAGCGTGAATTCGTTTCTGGGGTGCAGAAAGATGGGCATTGCACGTAATTGGGGTCAGGTCACAAACTCATGAAATTTAAATGACTGAATGCCAGTCCAACATCCGTGCGGAGTGGGGGAGAGTGCAGGGGTGTCGTGGGAATATGTAAAAAGGATGCTGAGCGATGGGGCCAACGATGATAAGGCATAAAAGAGGTGGCCAACCCAGCCCAGCCCAGGTGCTGCCACAGATTGCACTGTTCCCACGTTCCACTTTCCACTTTCGGCAGTTTGAAAAGTAAAGAGAAGCCCTGCTAAATGTCAATAGTCTAAAGGGGAATGTCTTTTGTCCGCTCGTTCGTGGCACACAGTCTAAATGGGTCAAGGCAACGCGCAACTAAAACTACGACTGCCATTTACTAGCGCTCTTGGTAAGGTCAGCAGTGCAATGCCCCAGCAGTATTTGAGACCACTTCGCCATGTCTTTAAATAAAGAATGATTATTCAAGTTGATCGTCCGGACCATGTATTTTTATTTTCTGCTGCTTACGACACAGCGCAATATGTATGGGCGGGTACATGGATATGTTTGTGTGTATCTAGAGGAAAATAAAATACACACAAGTCGGCGACACAATGCCGTATTCCGAGAAGGACCGCCAAGGACACTTTCACTCGTTTCCAGCCTATTTTTATAGGCCCAGGCGCCGCTCTGGTGTTAGGATGTGGGCAATATTCTCGGGAAATCAAAAGGAAATCGCTTCATAGCTTGGTGAACTTAATTTCGGGAATTGCATGAATGGGGAATGCGACGGTTCGCTGCTTCAATTGATAGAAACTTACTAATTGACACCAATTTCTGTTTATCTTTGCAGCCACACGACAATAACAGCAACTGAATATGAGGGCCACCACTTGCTCCGTGCCAATGAGCACTGGCAACCGGCTGGATAGCTGAGTAGCCGACTCCCAGCGAACATGACTCTGAGCGAAACTCTTCACTCCAGAGCCCGTAGTCCGTAGCTACAATGGAACATCAAGCAATTCCAAGGTTGTGCCACACAGACCAGCGTATCTAGCCACTTAAGTCTTAAGTCTACTCGAGAAAATAAGGAAGCCAGGAGGCCCTCCCAGCCGCACCTCATCACAGCAATCAACATGAACTCCGTCATATCCGCATTTAAGGGAAAGAAGAGCAGCTCGGCGAGCAGCAATACGCCGAACGGGGCAGCCAACGGCGCTGTGTCCGGGGAGACCAAGCAGACCAACGCCGGAGGCCTGAGCATCAGCATAGCCAGTGTTGGCGGAGGCGTGGCCAAAATGAAGCCGGTGGCCCAGAGCAGCGGCTACCAGTACCTGCGGCACATACGCGAGATTGAGACGGCCAACAAGTTGCTCTCGCCCGTCGTTGTGGTAGCGGAAGATCGGCCGGCCAGTAAAGTGGGCTCAGGCCCGCCAGTGACAGCCGTAACCGTCGGAGTCGATGTCGTAGACCACTGCTTGCCGCACCCAGTGCGATTGTCCAGCACCGAGGCGCTCTCAGACTTTAATATGAACGGAAAGGCCATGGCAACTGGCGAAAATGCGAACCTCGAGGCGACGGAGTCCTGGAACTGCCCCCAGATGCCGCCAGCTGCGACGACAGATGACGATGACCTGTCCGAGCACTCGGCAGCCGCCTGTACGAGCACCAGCAGCTCCAGCGAGCACAGCAACAGCACCGTGGTGCATAGTCCAACGGTGGCAGAGTGCACCTCCGCCTCGGTATCCGGATCAGCGTCAACCTGCGCATCGATGAGCCATCCCAGCCCAAGTTTGAGTCTGCACAGCTCCTCGTCCGTCACCTGCGGCATGAGCAGTCCACACAGCCAGTCGTCGCTGGCCATTACCTGCGAGCCGCATTCAACCTCCACAACCACCCTGTCCTCGCTGGGATCGGACGGAGGCAACGGAAATGCTAACGGCAACTACATACCCGCCTTCCTGATGGCCGCCCCAGTCACGTTGCCCATCGGTGGCCAAATGCCCACAACGGTTCCGGGCGCCAGCTCTGCTGCCAGCACGCCAAAGCACACGCGGTACTCCAAGCCACGTCTCAGTCTGAGCCGCGTCTTCAACCACTCGATGCCCTCGGTGCACGGCCGGCCCAATCTCAGCGTAGCGCAATCTGGGGACGGGACTCCAGCGACAGCCGCCGGAGGGGCTGCAAATCCCCCGAAGCGCATATCCACGCACCAAAGAAACCTGAGTCTGGATTTCAGGTGAGTCCCTCTCGATACACAAAGTCCCAGAAGCAATGCTTCTGAGTTCTCAGAGTCCCGCGATGTCTAGGGTCTAGGGGGAAAAGGGTGCAATGACTCCAGTTGGTGCCTCCATGGGTTGTCTATCGACGTACTTACCAAGTGCTTTAGCAGTGTAAGGCAAGGCGGAAGGGCGACGCCGTTTTGCTTCGCACGCAAACAGGCGGACGGCGCCTAGCAAATTACCCGCCTTCAGCTATGGGTGTGTGTCCCGCAAACTGGAGCCACCGCAATGGCGTCAAAGCGTTCAGCCTGTCGTGCCACACATCATTTGGCATGCAAGCAGTCAAGCGACGGGTCTGGATAGGCTATCTCTTCCCTCCTCCGCTTCCCGAGATCCATGATAAACTGTGCAACACGCAGGCGCGTCAGTCTCGACAGCGTGATTTTTCGTTTGCATTTCCATTGCAAAGCCATTCTTTGGTACAGGGATTACCCTCGACGGACGTCCTTGTATTCGGCGGATACAGCAAAATTTCATCAGTTTTGCATTGAACTTTGCTGGCTTCGACGTCGGATGGTTTATTTGGGTCGCTCCGGGTCCGTTTTTGAGGCCCTGTGCGGCACCTAAGCTGCCGCCGCACTCGAAAATGTAAATAATCTCTGGAATAATGCACACTGGCTATGCATTTTGCGTTGTGCTCATGGAATTCTATGTTAGAGCACACGAAACGTGCACTTGACTCGCATTTTGTGGCAGATTTGCGAAAAATAAATCAACAATGTGTGCCGAGCTCTCCTTCCATTTCCCATTTTAATACCCTTTCCAGGGGGTTCAATTCGTGCAATCCAGTGAAGGAGACGTTTTCGACCCTATAAAGTGTATATATTCTTGATCAGCATCAACAGGCGAATCTTTCTAGACATGTCCGGAAGAAATCGATTTTTTGGCCATTTTTGCGAAATCTGATAAGGGGTTACATCATCAAAATGAGCAAAAATGGCCAAAAATTTTGATTTCTTAAAATTTTAAATTTGGTATGCAGTTTTTTTAAATTAATAAAAACTAACACAAAACTGCTTTCCGAATCGAAATTAATGCATTTTTGGCTTAGTTATGATATATTTTAATTGTTGCCTGCAAGGGTATACAAACTTTGGCTGGCCAAAGTTAGCTTTCTTTCTTGTTTCATATTCATGTTCCCTGGTAAATGCTGTAAATAAACAAGTCAGCACAGTAGATACTTATATGCATGTGGCACAAGCGGAAAAATTGAATATGCATCGCACTGACAGTCGACCGGAGGAGGGGATTCACAGGAGTATTCCGCCCAAGGCTCAATCTCCCTCGCCTCTTTGTCCTGTTAGCTCTACAGACTCTTCTTTAATCAATCTAATTGAATGGGAATGGGCTTGAGATCTGCGGTCATTCATCTGAACTTAATCGATTGGAATGCAACTGAAATATGTGAGGTTGTCTTTCGCTTGGCCCCAGGTGTCGGAGCGCTCAGATCTGCTCGCATTAGGATAATTGCCCATAAAGAGACAAAGGCGCTCTCTGACTGCCAAATAATGTGGTTCTGTCCTGACCTGACCCCACAGTGGGTGACTATATCCTGCTAAACAGCGACGAAAAATGTTGTCTGGTTCCACTTGCTGGTTCCTGGTTCCTGTGTGTGTATGTACCCTTGTTTGTGGCCTGTGGGTGGGTTTGCCTGCCAATGACGTGCCACACCCTGTCTTTGCTGTGTGCGTGCGCCGGCACCGCACCTCTCCTCTTCTCTCTTTTGCGGTTGTAGAGCTGGCTCACCCTATGCCACCTTGGCGTAGGCGGCATGGTTGGGAGAAGCACCCTCCCTCCGGCAATATTTAATTTCGTTAGCTTTCCGCTTCCTTCAGCCGCTCCCCCGGAATTACTTCTTTGTAGCGATGAACCTTTGTCCACGCGGAGTTCAAAGGCACTTGATATGAGAGCTAAGAAAACTAAGAAGTCGAATAAAATGGTATATTACTCTTCATCCCCCGCTGGAGTGCTGTTGCTGCTGCTGCACCCGCATGCCAAATGAAAGTGGAAACGCTTTTCCTGGCTTTGTACGCGCCACAAGTAGAGCAGAGCCGTGATGCTATTGATGACACTTAATGCAAGCGACGAGTGATGAATGGCCAGCGCAAGCTGGTGCGCACACACAGGAGCAGGAACAGGAAGAGGAACAGTGGCTTGGTCAACAAACTTTACGAGGCAATAGCACTCGGGAACTGATTATCCGAGGGAGAATCCCAGGGGGAGGAAGAAGGAGTCGTTGACCTCTCTGGGGTTAGCAATGAATTGCAAATAGTGGCGAGTAGTGCTGCAGCAAATATTCTATCTTGGCGCGCGGAATTTCCGTTCAGCTCCTGGGCGAGGTTGTTGCTTTTTAAGCTGTATTTACGTAAAGCCTGATACGTGATGGGCGTACCTGGTGTTGGGGGTAATAAGCAGCCAGGTCGGAACGGAAGCTCGAAGGGAACGGGAACCGGGGACGGAGCCGTAACAAATGAATGCGTAAATAATTGACACAACGAGACAACTAATGTTGCCTGGTATTTGGTATGGAATTTGCCTGGAATTTGCACACCAGTCGGGTGGGTGCACACACGCCTTGCTTGCAATCTCGACAACAACAGCCACATGCCAGACTCTCCACTGGGTCTCGATTTAGCCATCGCCGGCAGATGGGAGCACGACAAGCGACCTGCATGCGAAATGAGATGGCGCGAATGTTGGCACGACACCAGCTAATCGATCAGTCGGGGCAGGAGACCCTCCTCCGTTCGCACCATGTCTGACATGACCATAGAATGCAGCGTCAATCGGTCGGTCGGAATAACAGCAGAGGGAATCTTCCATTTTAGTTGTGTTATTCCACTGTGCCGTCACAGATTATTGAACCCTGAGCAGTGGGTTGGGCGGGTGCAAAGCGCACCTGTGAAGGTCGCGGCCCTATCCCTTCGTTAGCGTTGCTATTATCAGACTTTCATGCTTATCGCGATACTGATACCAGCGTTCGCGTAATAGTAGATACTCTGCCGGCGATAAGGCGAGATAACCACTTTCAGATCCACCCTCGGAAGCTTTTGCCGGAAAAGAGACGGACCCTCGGATTCCGACTCCGACTCTCAGAGCTTTGGCTCAAAGCCGCGAGCTCAAGCAGCGACCAGCTGTCAACAAAGGCCCCTAACCCGAACCCGAAAGCTGCTCGATTAGTCAGCCATTGTGGGCCGAGCACTCGGCACTCGCGTAGCTTTTTCGCCGTGGATTCTCGCTGCTACTGCCCCCCGGCTCCGTCTTTGCCCCTTTACTACTACTATCCCCCGCTATCCGCCACTGGGCATTCCGTCCGGTCAGATGTGTTGGTGAGAGTAGCCCGTACTCGGGCTTCTTTATGTTTCACGCGCATTGTTTTCAGTCGTATGTATATTTCCGTGGCCTGTGAATGTTGCTAATTGAATTTAAGGGAATGGGAATCGGAATCGGAGCCACAATCGGTGCTGGCAAGGTTTTATTATCTATTTAAATCGTTCGGAATCCGGACGATATGATAACTGCGACATTGCGTAGAAGTGAGTGGGCGCTAAGTGTATGGAACGGGGGGAGTTCCACCGCAACAGATGCATTGATTTTTCACTACCCCCCTAATCCGTGTTCCGTCTCTTGCAGATCCATGGGTATACTGCTGCCGCCCGTCTCGCAGGTGACCAATACGCGCATCAATCATACTCAGCACCACCGGAACCGAAGCCTGGACAGCGCCCTGCAACGCATCCCAGAGGTGAGTCCAAGTCCCACTCCCAATCACGTCCGCAACTCACCCACACCTACAGCCTGGAAAGTTTCCAAGTCTATCTGCTGGTGCGGCTGTCCGTGTGTGCGCTGTTTATTTATATTTTTATCGTTGCGTCGCTGGCATTGTTATTTAGTTTTGCACTTGCTCTAGAGCCAAGTGCTCGTATGTGTACCTTTGCTGTTATCGGGAGCAACAGAGCGCAGCTCTGACACTCACTTATCACTGGTCTTCCTTGCAGGTCGAAGTGTCATCTCCAAATGCCGAGAGCGAGAACACGTTCTGCTCCCCGTCCATTCTCGGTGCGAATATGTGCTCGAAAATTGCCACCACAGCAGCAAGTGTGACGGCAGCCCTTTCCCCACCAGCCCTACCAGCGCCGGCCTTGATGTCCGTGGCCAGCTCGACGCCAGCGTCCACGCCCACGACTGCCACGAAGGGTCATATCCTGTCCTCGCATCCAGTGGCGAAGCAGTCGGCTTGTAGGCCCAGTGCCGTTGGTAAGTTATAGTCGTCCTTAAGCGTCCTAGTGAGTCACCACTCACCTCTATGTATGCTTTCCTTTCCATTGAAGTCGAGTCCTGTCCCACGCTGCGGATGCGCCCCAAGTCCAGCGAGTCGGTGGCAGTCAATGGACAGGAGATTATTGGTGGCATCGTGAGCGGTTCCACTAACAGCGGTGGCGGCAGCAGCAGCAACAATAGCTGCAGCAGCGCCGGCAGCAGCAAGAAGCGGGAGGATCTCACCAGTCTCGGGTCGGACGACTCTGGTAAGTTATCGATCAGTTGTGGCCTTGGCTTTGCTGTAGAAGCAACAATGTGGAAAACATATCATTCATACACCGTATCCTCCCTGCAGGCATCATCTGTGGCTCGGAGTCGGACCAAATATCCCTGAATCGCATATGCCACTCACACGAATCGCTCGACTCGGGCGAGATGGATGCGGATGCCGACGCGGATGCCGATGCCGAAGAGTGCGTGGATCTTATGGAGACGACATCCATCGACGAGGAGTACAACGACCATCTGTGCTTCTACTCATCCCCAGCCGCCCAGGCTAGCTCCGCCCTGGACTGTGGCACCCTGCGACCCTCGCGCAAGGCAAAGCGACAGGCTCATCCTCCCCAGGAGGGGCAGAGAGGAGGGGATAACGACACTGAAGTCGATGACAGGACCCGGTACCGCGTTATGAACATGTCCCAAGCAGCCATCAATGTGGAACTGGGTGCAGCTCCAAACGAAATCGAACCGGTGGTGTACGACCAGGACAAAGAAGTCAGCCAGGAACAGGTTACGGACGCGGAGTCATCCGTTGTCACAGCAGAAGTACCCACTCTTGCAGCGGCTACGCCTTCAGCCACCCCCACCCCGACTGCCACGCCCACGCCGACGGAGAGCACCAAGAACGACCAGGTGCTCTTCAAAAACTTCTTCGGAGCCACAAAGAATGCCATCTTCCGCACGGCCCAAAGCATCATCGAGAACCACGAGAAGAAGAACGCAGCCAAGCAAAAAGAGCAGCCGGATCAAGCGTCTGTAGTGCCGCTTGCGAATGGGCCCAGCTCTAGTAGCCCATCGCCGCAGGACCAGGTCAAGTCGCCCACGGATATTTCCAAGAAAAAGGAATTCTTCAGCCTGCTCACGTCGAATTCTAGTAAAAAGGCAGCAGCCGCTGCAGCAGCGGCGGCTGCGAACTCAGCTGCCAACACACCCGTGGCCACGCCCACCGAGTCGGTGGACTCGAAGAGCCCACAGCTGGCGGACACAGCTGGTGATGTGAAGGCCAACGAGCATGTGCGCACGCTCAACCTGCGTCTTCCCGGAGCCGACAGCGATGTCGCTGCCAGCGAGACAGCACTCTCCAAGTGTTCCTCCATCAATTCACTGCACAAGCTGAAGCTGCCGGTTCCCGGTGTCGTCAAGTACTTCATCAGCGAGCGAACCTCGGACATGCTTCAGAAGCCGGAGAAGGGCCAGAGCGGGCTGTTGCGGTTCTTCGAGTCGCCGGTGTTTAACATACACTTTGCCGTGCACTACCTGTTCTACTCGAAGGAGCCGGGCGTGCTCAGCTTTATTGGCAACAAGATCTTCAGCTTTCCCGACCAGGAGGTCGACCTGTACATACCGCAGCTGATTGTCATGTACATCCAGATGGACGAACTGGCCGAGGTGCTGGACCCGTACTTGACCATCCGCTGCCGCAAGTCTGTGGACTTCTCGCTCAAGTGTCTGTGGCTCCTCGAGGCCTACAACTACCAAGTGGACTCGCTGGGTAACTCGCACAGCGGCTCCCGCAAGTCCAAGCTGGCGCTGATGAAGGAGATATTTTCAAAAAGGGAGCAGAAGCAGGCCCAGAACGGCGGCGCAGAGCCGAAATCGATAGTGGCCTACGCCAAGAAGACGCACCACCGCTCCCAGTCCGACGCCACGGTGCTGCTAGCAGAATCGCGCTCCCCGCACACCCTCAGTATATCTCACCGTATGTACCAGCAGCCGCCGTACACTACTCAGACCCTGCCCACCACTCCCGCCAAGCTGTGTCTCGGGGATCTGACCTCGGGCCACGCCTTCGACAACGGCTGCACCTGCTTCGAGACGGTGCGCGGCCAGGTGAATGGTCTGCTCGGCCAGCGGACTCTTTGCAGCTGCGGCGCTCCGAAGACTGCGCCCCAGAAGGAGTTCATGCGGGCGCTGATGAACGTTGGCAAGAACCTCACTTCGCTGCCGTCCAAGGCGGAAAAGACCTCGGCACTGCGGATGTTCCTCAACCTGATCAACAAGAATCTGCCCGCCAGAGTCTGGCTGCCGCTCTACTCGGACATACCCCACCACGTCGTTCGCATTACAGAGGAGAAGACCGCTGTGCTCAACTCGAAGGATAAGACGCCTTACATCATCTACGTGGAGGTGGTGGAGGTCTCCGACATCTACACGTCCCCGCTGATACCCAAGATGATGCCGTCGCTGAGGCACACGAAGAGCGAGGAGCATCTGGAAGGTTCCTGCCTCAACTCGCACCAGCACCTAAGCTGCAGCCGTACCTCCAGCTGCAGCAGCAGCCAGCAGGGCTCCAGTTGTCGGAGGAAACGAGCGGCGGCGGAAGGAGGCGACGCTGGCGGATGTGGAGATGCTGGAACACACAATTGTTGTGTGCCTTCTTTAGGAGGGCTTCAGCTCCATGAGGATGATGTGTGGTCGCAGGAGGATGACGAAATAACGGCGCAGTACCTAAACATGCGCAAGCTGAGCGAGCGGGACACCATCTCGCAAATGTCGCTGGACTCGTGCGATTCGCGGGACCAAGGTGAGTGCGAGAGGGACTGCAGGTGCAGGTTTAAGATTATCTAACAATTTCCTGAAATTTTCATTTCAGGACCACCGGTTGTCTTCAACATTGGTGATGTGCGTTCACGACACTGCAGCAACCTGAGCTGCGAGAACACCAAGTCGTTCAGCAACGATCCCGAAGATCCCTCGGCAGCAGCCCTAAAGGTTTGTACTGCCCTTGACCCTGCTGAACTTTGGCTATAACACTTTATCATCTACAGGAGCCTTGGCACGAAAAGGAGAAGCTCATTCGGGAGTCCTCGCCCTACGGTCATCTATCGAACTGGCGGCTGCTGTCGGCCATCGTCAAGTGCGGCGATGATCTGCGCCAGGAACTAATGGCCACCCAGTTGCTGCAGGTAATTATTCGTACTAGTAACCTTCGAATTGGCTCCTCAACAGATGTTCTCCCTTGCAGATGTTCAAGATCATTTGGCAGGAGGAGCAAGTGGACCTCTGGGTGCGACCCTACAAGATCGTCTGTCTGTCGAACGACAGTGGACTCATTGAGCCCATCCTCAACACGGTGTCCTTGCATCAAATCAAGAAGAACTCCAACAAGTCCCTGAGGGATTACTTCATCGACGAGTACGGCACACCAACGGGCGAGACTTTCCGCCGGGCGCAAAAGAACTTTGTTCAGAGCTGTGCCGCCTACTGCCTCATTTCGTATTTGCTGCAAGTCAAGGATAGGTAAGCGTATATATAATATAACGACCAAGAAAGTGTGTTCACCTCAAGTTGTATATGTGCAGGCATAATGGCAATATACTCTTCCATTCGGACGGGCACATCATACACATTGACTTTGGCTTCATCCTGAGCATATCGCCAAAGAATCTGGGTAGGTATAACCCCGCGAATCTCAACGTTCCCCCAAGCTAATAGATGGCTGCTTACAGGTTTCGAGCAGTCGCCGTTTAAGCTCACCCCGGAGTTCGTCGAAGTCATGGGAGGCACCAGCTCGGAGCACTGGCGGGAGTTCAACAGGCTCTTGCTGGTCGGCATGATGTCTGCCCGAAAGCATATGGATCGTATAATCAACTTTGTGGAGATCATGCGCAGCAGTAAGTTTCTCGACTACTTCAGTCAAGTCCTCTCCATAAACCCTCTAATTTTGGCTCATTTGCAGATGCTCATTTGCCGTGCTTTAAGAATGGATGCTCCGGAACCGTGCAGAATCTCCGCAAACGCTTTCATATGAATTTAACCGAGCAGGAAATGGAACGAAAGGTGGAGCAGCTGGTGCAGGACTCCCTGAAGAGTCTGTCGACGAAACTGTACGATGGTTACCAGTACTACACGAATGGCATATTGTGAGAGCGGTTTTTTATGAAGATCTAAAAGGGTGTAATAAGCAGATGCTGGTAGCCAAAACTAAGGACTGACTTTTTTCTAAAGGAATTATTGTATATTATATATAATATTTGTGTAATTATCAGCGACAAACAAACAAAAAAAAAAAAAAATACTAAAAAAACAAAAAGAATGAAATTGTACCAAACCCAAATCTGTTATCGTAGCTTAAATCGTTCGTTGTATGCGTTTGCATTGTTGAATTAGCGTAAAGTGTATGTTGTCTAGATTCTAAGGAGCAATCTGTAAATGTTTTGCATATAATTTTAGACTGTCTGAGTGAGAGAACCGCGAGTGTCGTCGGTCTGTTATTCCATTTCGAACTTCATCATCTGCTTGTAAATACGATTTCCAAGAACCAGGCCTACATTTTGATAATTCTTTCGGTTGCTACGCTTGGCACTTGGCTATTAAATTAAATATCCCCATCTAAATTTTATACTCTGGCGCTTTGTAATTTAACCATTCAGTCTACTAATAATTACAGCATCTAATTCCACTATTTAGCCGTAAGCATAGGGTTAAGCGTTGCTGCAGCTTACATTTTTATTACAGCAATATAATCGTTAAGCAGATCCCTTTGATTCAACAAATTTACGTCTTTTTAACCAGATTATGCCGCGAGAGTACATACAAAAGCATACACGAAACGTTCAAATCGCCGTCAAATTCATTTGTATTTGCCTATCTAACTATCTATCTATTATATAGTAAACTAAACCTAATAATTTTCCAACTTAATATACTTATACTTGTAAGCTATGGCAGTGGAGGAGGGAGGCGGAGCAAATCAAAGCATACGAAACAGTACTAAAACAGATAAACAAATAGCTAGGCACTGAAAGTGAACAATTTCAAGTTTGTAAAAAGGATCGAAGGAGGACTACCTTGCATATAGTACGTGTAAGTTAGGCTGCACTCAAACATTAGCTACAAGTATTTCAAAATGTAAATGCATATTTCTACACACTTTATTAAGTAAACATAAAATAAATAAAAAGAGCATATTGATATACAACCAAAAACACGAGCGTTGTCATGGCAAAGGGACCTCACATCCCCACACCCATCGATCAAACACACTCAGTAAAAAGTCTTGGTCTTGGCAAGCGAGATGGATCCGGCGAAAGTAATTGGAAAACTGTGAGTACAATAAATGGATATTGTGCTGGAATACTGATGAAACTTTCAGGAAGGAGCAGGTGCGCATGGAGCACAAGGCACGACGCAACTATCCAAAGGTGTGGGCTCAAGTTGCGGGCCAAAAAACCAACAGTTTTTATCACCAAGCTGAGATAGATTCCCATTTGGGGGACCAGCTAAAACTTCAAGGTAAGTTGCCGGATGCCTCGTCTAGAATTCCTCCCCCTAAAAACCAGGATTTGCGTAGGATTGTGTCCCATTCAGCACAACAATGAGGGCGAATCGCGGTTCGTGTCCCCAGAGATGTATCAGAATCTCCTTTCCGTTTGTCGATGCGGCCGAACCCGGCAGGGTGCTCATATGGGAAAGTGCTTGCAGAGAACTTTGAGTCCGGACTACACACAGTCCTCGGCGACAAGGGACACGGATCAGCCAGGCGGCGATCAGGGGTCACCCTTGCAGAATGTCCCGCGCACCTCGAACTGTAAGTTAAAACTCTGATTGGACACGAGCTTCCAATACTAATGAAGCTACTTGTAGCTAGCATTGGCTTCCTGGCATTCACCACGGACTATCGAAAGCTGGAACGGTCGATGCAGTACGTTTCGCCGGCCTACTCCATGGCAGGGCCGCGAATCACAGCGGTGCCCTACAACAATATCATTATCGGCTAAGCGGAGCATCTAATCTGTTGTGGTATTGCCCAGTCGGCTGACTCAAGAGCAGCGGGATTTTCTGGCTGTTTCATCTCAGCTTATCGCAAACAATAAACCGAAACCGATGGCCGTCATCATAGAACTGGAATTTCCAGAGCGGCTTTTTCTGAAACCTGTATTTTGTTGTCTTAAATGCAGCTGATTTTGCGAAAAAGGTGCTTACCTTTAGTTCCACTTAGGCATTGGTCCAGGTTAAACGCTTACTAGTCCCATTGAAGATGTCCGCTCACTGGCTATCGGTCTTACTCCTGGCCTGCACAACCCAGTTGGGTGCTGGCCAAGAGGGTCTCGTATTCGAAACTACGACAGCTCGCTCCCCCACACCAGCTCCAATCGCGTCTGCCAGCAACTCCAACCTGGTGCTTGTCAACAATGTACTAGTGCGTGGGGGGATTACGCCCTTTGTAACCGCTCCGCCTCCGACGCAAGCTTTCCTGGACTGCTTCGGTCGCTGTCCCACGACGCCGGAGTACAGACCCATTTGTGGCAGTAATATGCAGCTCTACCTCAATGAGCAGAAGTTCAATTGCGCTCGCTTCTGCGGGGCTGGTGAGTTTTAAGTCGATCCTGAGATTTGCTTTTGCCTGCTGCCCCCTTCAATTGCCAATATTTCTAGACATTCAAATAGTTCGACGCGGAAGTTGCGAAGGACTCTTTCCAATGACGCGCGGTTGACACTTGGCCATTCCCACAGCGGCAACGTACTCTGCATTCTAAAAAAAACTGTTAAAATATACACTACATACACTGTTTCTGCTCGATCTATACCATTTTAGATACCCTTTCATAGAATAATAATTAATATTTATTATAGCTTTTTTTTTATAAAATAAGGCGCCATTGTGTGCCCTCGCTGGACGACTTAAAATGCCTTTTAAAGTAGAAAACTAACTATCCGCGACCGCGGTCAACGGTTGCCACTTCTTGTTGTTACTTTTAGGTTTAAACAATTAAATTAATACGGTGTTGTTACAAAATGTTATGAAATTAACAAATGCTCTTAACGATAGATGATTAACTTCTTAGTTTAGCGTCTAGCTTAACCTATTCTTGAACTGTGTTCCCATTAGCGATGTGCGGACCAAAGGTGCGGACGTAGCCGGCAGTGGCGCCGCCGCCCAAACGGTTTGCTATGTGCTAGTGTATTTACAGTAAACATAACTTAGCTCTGGCTACAGGTCGTCCACGTACTCCATCTCCGCCTCCGAGTCCCGAATCAGCACCAGCTGCTCCAGCCTATCAATGCGCCTCAGCATCTCCTCCTTTTCCCGCTGAAAAGTGTCCACCCGCCGGCGCAGATCCTCGTTTTGCCGTCGCAGCTCATGCAACTGCCGGCAAATCTCCGAGGACGTCAGCAACGGCATCACATTGGGCGCCTTTGCCGAGGGCAATTTTAGTGTGCTGCCGCCCGAAGCTTTAACGGCTGCCACCCCGTTGTTCGTGTGCCCCTGTCCCGATGCTATTGTGGGCGAGGGTCGCAGCTGTATCGTCTGCACGGTGCCCACTTGTCCCCTTAGACTCGCGGACGCTGGACTACTGTTTACAGGTGGAACAGCAGTTTCAATGCCGTGCTGCGACTCGTCTAAGCCTGTAGTGGGCTCCATGGTTTTCGGAAGGGAGGGAAGCTTCAGCTGTAAGTTGAAGAGATTTTATAAACTTGCCTTTAACCAAACACAATACCCACCTGTCGGGACTGCAGAGGGCGCATATTAAGCAGCTTGGTGCCATCCGGAAGCTGACGAACCATTCCAGAGCTGCAGAAGGGAGCGAACAATGCAAGAGATTTATAAATATTTACGTAGAAATGGCATATAGTTACCTTGCCATTGATGCAGGTATTTTCTGAACCGACTTTGGCTGACTGTCCGATCCGCAGAGCTTCTTAAAATCAGTCAACGAGATTATGCGTATATTCTGTTCGAAGAGAGATCATTTAAAGTATGTGCAAGTGGAAAGAGTAAAGGGTTCTTGCTACCTTGTTTTTGGAAACCCCCGAAGGACTCGACGCTGGCGTCTCTTTCTGCTTGATGACATTCATTCGAATCTTCTGAGGCGGCGAGTTACTGATATTTGGTCGCAGAGCCACACCCGGTACCTTTCTGGCACTGCCGTTCACGAATTCACGCTTCCCGCTCAGACCGGCCTTCGTCTCGTGCAGCAGCATGCGCCCACCTTCGGAGAGTATAAGTTGGCGTCCGTTCTGCAGGGCAGTGTTCAGCATTTCCTTGGAGGCCTGATCATCGTTTTCCTCCATCATATCCGCAATTCCGTGCGTCTTCAGCATGTTTAATGCCGAGTTTCCCAGCACATTGGTATCTGCAAGAAGCAATTTATATACTTTTACGTCTTGGTGGCCTCTAACTATTGAGCTTACGCCCTCGGAGGGTCTCCAGGACATCCATTCGTTCCTCCACAGACATTTCGCTCTCGTCTTGGCCTTTCATGGTTTCCGGTTCATCCATTATGGAGTTGACAGCGTCGCTGGTTTCCTTCTGCGAATCATTGGTAAATTTTAATTGTTCACTGGAGAATTTAGAGATTTCTACAGGCTAAGGAAAGGAAAATTCTTTGCTTGCAAAAATTTCGTGGTAGCAAAATATAATAAGGTGCCAAACGTGCCAGAATTCAGAAACATATGCATGTCTACGGCTACTAAAAGGGGTAATAAAACAAGGATGTCTGAGGTACATACTCTGCTATTATGCGATTTTATCTGGAGTTCGATAAGCGCAGGGCAGCCGAAGACAAAAAGTCGAACAAGAATTAGTATAATACCGACACAGAAACTATCAAGTCACAAACTAAATCCCGAGGCAAGAAAATGCCATATAAAGTCCTTACCTCCGACTCGTCACTGAACTTTTTGGTGGCCTGTGCCTGCCGCGCCATCTCTAGCTCCGCCAGCACATCCGCCTGCTCTGTGTACACGGCCAGACCGATTGCCGTTTTGCCGAATTTTGAAACACACGTAACGTCCGCCTGGTTTTTAAGCAGCATGCGCACAATGCCCTTGTGCCTCTTCTCAACGGCCCAGTGGAGCGGCGTCATGCGGAGCTGGCCAGAAAAAACAGTCGGGTTACTCTTCGAGATCCACTAATCTCAAACGGAATACTCTTACCATGTCGCGGGAGTTCACACTGCACTTGAGCGCCAGCAGCAGGCTGACCACCCGCTCGTGGCCATAGTAACAGGCCAGGTGGAGCGGCGTCCGGTCCACCTTCGTCTTAGCATCCATGTTGATGCCTCCCTGCAGTAGGATCTCGCAGATCTCCAGCTGATTGTTCATGGCGGCAAAGTGGAGCGCCGACATACCCAGCCAGTCTGAGGCAAACGGCGCTCCGTGGGCCAGTGCCGTCTTCACGCCAGCCACATCGCTGTCCCTGGCGTACTGGAGCAGTTGCTTGCCCAGGTCCACGCATGTGGCGGCCACCAGCAGGTTGCCCTTCTTCTGCTGCACCTCGCCTTCCGTGCGCTGAAAGACGATCGCTCTTGAGTTGGGGCTTCTAAGCAGCGGTTCTACTCACAATCTCATAGTGCATCAGGTGTGCTTTGGGGTGCTCCATCGGATACACATTTCCGTCCGCGCGGAGGGTGGCCACGACTTTGCTAGCACTGTTCTGGCTGTGCATCTTGGCAAGCGAACACTTTCAGCAGCTGCTTGAGGCCCCAGATAGCATTACGGCAGTCAGTTTGGTGGATGCAAGCCAATCCGCGTTGTAAAAACAAGCCAAGCTTCGGGATAAATTAAATGTTTATGTTTTTGGAACTAGTTAGAGAAAGCACTAGTGCTATTTCGATGGGAATCGATGGGTATCGATAAGTCGATAGTACATTATTTGGAGACAAAAACCAGTTGGCAGCCCTGCTTCCATGGTCCAAAGGGGCGCTAAATTCGAAATTTATTCATTAACTTAACGCAGCAGTTGCTGTTAATGTTTAAAGGAAGCCCCACGAAACCCAATTTTTGAATGAATACCCAGATATTGACTTGGATAAATATATATATTTATTTATTTGGCATATGGAGCATATTTGTGGTTGCTAAGTGTATACGGATGTGTTTTTCGTTTCCGGTCAAGGGTCCGAGCAGCGGGTCATCCTTTTTGACTTGTTTTTGAAACGTGTGTACGCTTTTCTAATATAAATTGCTCAGTCGCACTCGACGCTTGCCATTTTTGTACAATTGTGTTTGGCGAAACGCTTTAATTATTATTTATTTATTATTTGTATTTTTATTATCATGTTTTTCTGATTAAAACTTAACAAATTGGTGCGGTCAATGGGGGGGCAAAGGGGTAAACAGGTTAGTTCTCCTTAGTTTTTCATTAACAATTGGATTTTTTAGACCTCATTCCGATCAGAAATACTTTACTTTATATTCGTGTTAATTTTTACAGGGGAAAATCTCAATCTCAACCAAAAGGTTTAATTTTTTTTGGCAAAATCTATTTAATAGTAAATTGCTTTATGAATTTATATATGTATATATATTACGATTAACTTATACTGGCTCTTTAAAACATTTAACTAATCCTTGCCAACAGCTTAGGCAACAATTTAAATGCTAATGGGTACACATACGAGTTTCTCTTTAGAAAAAATTAAATTCGCTCAATTATTCTGTTGCATTTGCTGTTTGTGTGTGAGAATGTTAACATTTGCTACTCTTTAGATTTTTCGATTTGTGTTCAAATTGACAATCAACCAATTTCCATATGGTACAATATTGTTATAATATTTGCTGTTCCTTTATTGATAGTTTGCTACTTTTCTTTCTTATTATTTCTTAATATGCTTCTGCTTCTTCCTTCCGTTTCCGGTTTAACTGTGAATACATGCCATTGGGAATTGGCCAAACAAAAACAGTAACAAACTCTATTTCCAATACACGTTAATACAAAGAGAATGCACTCATTCTACTTAAAATGTGTCGTATTCAAAGTAACTACAAACGTTTTCTAAACGCCTATCAATATCGTTTCTGTGGGTAGTTTTCTATTCAGCTTGTGAAGGAGGAGTAGGAGGAGAAACGGAAATCTTCAAGTGCTTGGCGGATGTTGTTTATTATCGACTTATCACGTAACCTAGAATTACAAGTATGGACAGGTAATAGGGTTTTTAGACTAGCAGTCGCATTGAAATGCCAGAAGTATACAATATTCATGTTTCTGATATTCGTAAAATCTTCGTAAATCTATTTAAAAACAAAAACGAAATCAAATTTATATTGAACGAAAAGATAACACTAACGTAAACGTAAACGTAAACATAAACGTATAAACGTTAACTCATCCGAAGGCAACACCCACTCGACCTGCTACGATTAAAGGCAATTTAATATTATTGTAACAAATATTTTATACCATATATGGTGTGCCGTGTATGAGTTATAGCTCTCCCTACCCCCAGCTTGTTTAGGCGTACGAGCTGTCCACGGCGTTGGCCTCGTCGTCGGCTGCAGCCAGCTCCATGGCCGCCACTCGGGCCTCTGTGAGAGTTGCGTCAGCATCGAAGCTGGGCTTGTGAGTCGGCGACTGACTCGGAGTGCAGTTGGTGCTCTTTGGCTTGCGGAACCATTTGCCGAAGGGACGTCTTCCCAGCGAACCCGTCGTCGATGTGGTCGACAGCATCTGCGAGTTGTCTGCACTGGATGATATGCCGTCCCGGGACAGTGACTTTTTGGGCAGAGTCTCGCACAAGCGGGAAGTTGACTTGGCCGGTGACTCCGGCACTGAGCTCTCCCCACTGGCGGAGGTGGCCCCGGCAGTGGCGTCGAAGTCTTGCGCCTCGTAATCCGATTGGTCGGAGAAGTCCCCACATCGCTCCTCGTAATTGTACTCGAAGCCAGCCATCTCCTGCACGTACAGGGGCTTCCCGCCGAACTGACGCTCCAGGGCAAGGGTGCTCAGGAAGCGATGCTTCCGGTTCGCCGACCGGAAGCTGAAGTCGTACCACTTCTGGCGAGCCTCGCAGTAGATGCGCAGGGAGTTCTTGATAGTGTGTCCAAACATCTTGCCGTCTCTAACGTTCACGACGCGGCAGCGGTCCAGGAAAATGCGACCCTTGTATATGAAGTGGCTGCGCTTGATGATGTCCCGCTTGCAGTAGACCAGCTGGTTGTCGAACAGGAACAGAGTGCAGCTGCTGTTCCACAGATTCTGCTTCTGTCGCGTGGCGTCAACCTGCAGGAAAAAGCGAGCGCTGTGCAGATGCAGCGGCGGTCCCTTGAAGTTCTGGAAGCTGGCCTGGTGCCTGGCAATCGTCTCGCTGTGGCGTTTCCCCTCATTGACCGCCTCTGTAATGCCGCGCATGGCTTCCAGCGCCTGATTGACAATGTCGCGAGAATCGGGTATGTCCAGTTCACTGACTTCCAGCTGCTCGTAGTCGGTGGCAAGCGGCTTGGCAGCGTCTACCTCATCTCCCGACTCCCGAGTCTCGCCCTCTAGCGCCGTCTTGATGATCTCGTTGAGGTGCAGGGGGTAGCGGCAGATGCGCTGCACGGGTGCCAGGAGATGGGCGGAGAGCGGAAGTTCTGCCAGGTTCTCAGACTCGCGGCAGCTGTGGGTGCAAAAACCTGGGTTAGTAGAAGATTCTGTGGGAAAGCCTTGGTTTAACTTACTTCTCCAAGATAGTGCGTGCGTCCTTGACGCGATCGTAGGACTCGAGTTCGATTAGGGCCCGGGGATAGGCGTTGCAATAAGTGGAATAGCAGAGGAAACCTTTGTGCTGGCGGGTGAAAGATAGTAAGTTTTATTCATGATTTGGAATAAGCTAACTTTAGCTGTTTCGCCATAAGAGTAATTAACCTTAAGACTATTTGTTATCCTTACCATTTTGAGAAACACCTTGGCTATCTGGTTTTGCTCAATTCCTCGCCTTAGGGCCTCGAGAAACTTGCGCTGGAACTTGTAGATGGCCGTTATGTTGGAGAAGATCAGCTGAATACTGTTTGGCGAGAATATGTCGATGCGCTTGCTCATGGCCGGCAGATATCTAAAGTGGGAATAAGGAATAAAGTTGGGTTGCCGATCGATTCGATTTTTTGAAAGAGAATATTATCTTACCCATCACAAATGGCAGCCAGCAGCTTGACATAGTTGGCCTCCGTTTCGAGCAGTTCCCGTACAGCACTTCGGCGCAGGATTGTGTTGTGGTTCAACTGGATGTCCACACTGGGTGCACTCAGTGGGGTTGGAGGCGACTCAATGACTATTAGGGTGACGTTGCTCTTGTCCGTCGTTACGGTGACATCCGCATCCTCGCCGTACGCATCAACAGTTAGAGGTATAGAAGATTCAGATTCACCTCCCCCACAGGCTCCCTCACCGTGCGCCTGCTCCGCTTCCACGTTACCCTCTGCCTCTGCCTCCGCTTCTGCATCGGCAGCAGCTGCTCTGTGCTCGTTGAAAAAGATGTCCGTCTCTGGACAGTGAATAATGCGCACAAACTCCTTGGGGAACCAGCCCAGCTCGGGATCCAGTATATCCTCCACGAGATTGGTGTCCTCCTTCTTAATGCGTCCGAACCACCAGGGTCCAACCTCCTTGCGCAATATTTCAATGAGCATTCCCCGCTCCAAGCCCAGCTCCTGCGGCCCTGCGGCCGTGAAATTGTACAGAACTTCCGCGTAGATGTTGGGGTAGTAGCTGACAGCTGGGGAACAAAGGGACAACAGCACATTAGTCTGGTCTGCCCGACCACAACCTAATTGAACCTAATTGAGTGGTCCACAAGCTACATACCTTCATCGTGCGATGTGACACTGTCGCTGTCGCTGTCCTCCAGCTCCGGGCGCCCCATGCCGTATGTCTCCAGGCCGTTGGGCTGGCTCAGAGATCGCGTGGGCAGAGACTCGGGTGCCTCGCGTTCCACTCTGCCAGACTCTCCCCCAATGTTGAGGTGCTTGGCATTCCTGGACTTCAGGGCCAGGGGGCCGAGCAGGCTGCTCGCCTTGGCCGAGTTGGTGCGTCGTATGGCTCTGATCTTGGACTCGGCGCCACTTGATGAAGTTCCGTTGACGGAAACGGAAATGGCAGCTCCAGCTCCGCTGGCCGCCAGTGCCCGGGAGTACTGCTCATCCTGCTCCAGCTCGATTTGAATGCCCGAGTCACCGGAGTTGCACTTGTCACGCCGGTTGAACTTGGTCTTGCGACGCTCCTTGGAGGTGCGCCAGATGAGGGGCCCGAATCGGTACTTGCCAGAGCTGGCATCGCCTCCCTCCGGACCAGATTCACTGCTGACTGTTGGCGCCGCCGCAGCGGGGGCTGTGATGGATACGGTCGGCGTGGTTGGCGACGACTTGGTCTTTGGCACATTGGTGCTCGTGGCTGATGGCAGCGGAGTGATGTGCAGTTGGTTCTTGCTGTTGAAGTTGTTCAGGGTGCGCTTGAACATCTGCAGAACGCCCAGGCCACCACCGACTACACTAACACCTCCATTTCCGCCGCTGTTGTTGCTGCTGCTGTTGCCTGTGACAGCAGTGGTGGTTGTCATATCCGCGGCGCTTTCCTCTGGCTTCTGTGGCGGCGGCACCGCGAGTGGTTCTGTCAGCGTGGGACTGGAAACGGCCCGCATCTGCTGCGCCTGCAAGAAAGAAGTTGCTCCATTACTATTGTTCCCCAACACCGCACAGTCTAGTAAATCATCTAGCCCCGGAATAACTGCCCCTGGCCTTGCCCTGACTGCAACTGACGCTTACGTAGTGCTTCGCTGGCGACCCTAGGCGGCTCCTTCTCACCAGAAACCACAAATATCTTATCATTGCACAGCTTTGTTTATGCCCGTATTGACCGGGTTTTGTATTGTATTATTAACAGCAGTGATACCTGGTGACTGTGACTGTGTCTGTGGCTGTGGCTATGCCTGTGTGTGGAATTTGTCACAAGAATTTCAACTTAACCGGAGAGCGATAGTGTCAGGGGGGGTTCGCGTTCATGATGACGAAATAAGGTTTATTACGCTGTTGTTTTGGTGGTAATGGTTGCGATTGGGGGGTAGGGAGGTGAGTTAAGGGACGGTCTTGTATTGAAAACTGCAAAAATCGAACCGAAAATGAAATGGCAGGCGCACAGCTACAGACACACGTGGGCGATGGTGGTGGTGGGGTGGTATGATGTCTCCAATTTTATCGGGCTTTACTTTTCGTTTGACAATCAAATTGATATGAGCAGCAAATGTACTCAGTCGGAAGCGGGATCGGAGGAGGCGAGGGGCCACCTACTTATCACACCGATAATGGCTGATATACAGGGCTGACCTGGAGCCGGCGAGGTCTCCACTTGTAGCTCCGCTCGCCAGGCATCGAGTCGTCGGGCGGCATGCTGAAGTCCATCCGTCCCCTGGCGGATTGCGACACACTGCCGGGGCCGGCATCAAAGTCCCAGAACTTAATCAGGCCATAGGTGTCCATGAGAGTGGGTATTATCAGCTTCTTCATAGCTCCTCCGCGGCTAAGCGGCCAGATCCCGACCACACAGTCAGCACGGGCAGCACAGCACAGGCAGGTGTAACCGAGCGAAGCGATAACTAATAACTGATTGCCGCAGCGAGACTTGCAAATGCGAACCGCGAGCACTGACGAGTGCTGGGTGCCGGTGTCGTCGCCCCGGTCGTGAGTGGACGGCCGGCCCATTGTAGTGGAGATATTGCATTAAGGGTCATGAAAGGCCTCGAGATCGAATCCATATGCGAGTGCCATTGTCGGGCGTCTGGATTGAAGTGGCTTGATTAGATTAGCGCAAGAATGATCCAGGAGGAGGAGGAGCAGCAGCAGCACGAGCCACTGCCACTTGGCCCATCTGTTGCTGTCTTTTGTTCGTTGTGGCCGGGCTAGGTCAAGCTATTGTCTGCGACCTCGCCATCGCCATTGCACCTTGGCCAATGTCACTCTGCTGGCTTTGTCTTGCGTGATTAGTTTTCATCCTACGTCACCAGTGCTTCCTTCTGGAACAATGGCCGGACTCTAAGCGGCTTATCACTGCCCCCAACCTAATGTCCTGGTCTCTTAAGCAATTAAAATGGTGCCGGGATTTAGCCATCAGCAGAAGGGATTGTTTAGTTCCTCTTCAGTGGTACATTAATCAATCCTGCTTCATCGGGAGCCCCTCTTTAGGATACTCTTTCCTCCTATTTATGGTTTCGAAGAGATGCAGCCACTTTTATGCACAACACAACAAATCCAGCACATTTAATTCTATTTGCTTTAACTGAGCGATCCAAAAGTGAATCTAATGTCACGAACAGAGACCTCAGCTCACCTCCGGTTGAAAAACATTTAAAGTTTTATTTATGAGCGCAATGAACCCAGACTACGGCCAATGTAAACACAAGACTAGGAAGCAGAGGGATAAGCCTATAATACGACTACGGCTTCGTTTTTCTCCTCAAGTGATTTAAAAACACATTTCGACAGCGGCATTTGCATAGGGAAGGCATTAGGGACTTGAGCGAACAGGACCTAATGGTGGCTAACAACAGGGAAGAACCAGGAACGGGGAAAAACAGACGCGGCCGGAAACATGTGTTCTCTAGGCATATAGTGTCCCTTGAATTTAATGAGCTGTCAGAGTACTTAGAGCCTTCGTCCTTGAGCTTCCATTACCGCTTTAGCAGGAACCCTTCCATTTGGTGGCCACAAAATTAAATTGGCATCACCCTCCTCCTCCTCCTCCTCCTCCTGGCAGAGATCACATTTCGGGTTCATCCGCAGCGTTCCCTTACGGGCTTCAGTAGCGGCCAAGTCAGCCATGACTTCCAACTCCGTTTTCGAGTGCGGTTGGACAGGAGTGGGGAGTAGTTAGTGAGAAAGTCCCTATTGACACAAACGATGGTATGTCTTGCGGTTGGAGTGTTGATGGCTGGTAATCGGATAGGCGAAGCTGTAACATTTCTTATATAAAATATCATAGAAACATCTTAGAGGGGTCTGCAGAGAGTATTGAACTCTTGCCACCTTGCTGCAGGGTGCACGTTGCCTCCCAAGTGCATTTTAAGAGAAAGTGGCCCTGGCGTAAGCTTTATTCCGATCGTTAAGTTCCGTTTAATTAGCGTAGCTGCGGCTGTAAATCTTTTAGGGGTTCGAGTTTGGCAGCTGAAAACTTTACAAAAACTGCGTACGTTTTATGGGGGAGCAGCAGCTTTACAGCTCAAGAGCAGGAATGACACAGAGGCAGGCAGGGCGATAAACAGAACTGCAGTTAAAACGTTGCCACCCTAAAAGCATTCCAAGTGCATCATGTTCCTCGATGCTCTTGCTGCTTGGCCGTGACCTCTCGGCCCCCTGAAAGCACCACAAATATCCTCAAGAGCAGCGTGTGACAAAATCTAAACATTTGTATACGAATCGCAGCTGTTGCAGCCGCTCGACCGAAATAAATCAATTTAAATTCTGAGGCAGGGGAAACGACAGCTGTCCGGGGTAACGCGATCCCATCGAACTCGAGACCTCCTGATTGTCACTATCATCATTGTGCATCTGGACATGGATACCGCGATATACTTGGCTAGAAACCCTCACCCGTATGTCAATATTAGTTGCTTGTTAATATTTCCCTTTCTCGAGAACCAAAATTAACCCGAATTTCCGCCTGTTACGTACCAAGCCGTTCCTTATTGCTTGATTTCCGGTATTTGGCATTCTGAAAATAGACAAAATATACAAAATTCTGTTTAGTAAAGGATCTCCTTCTGTTGAGTAGCACAGTAGCGCTTCCCGCTGAGAGTTATGTAAAATTTAGCGCCGCCGATCAGGTACTTTGGTTGGCTGACCTCGCGAAATGTTTCATAATCCCAAAATGTTTGCTCATTAGTCGCCACTGGCGAAGGGGTGCAATTTAGCGAATTCAAAGAAATCTAGTTTTGTTGTGACCCAAGGTAGCTACTGGCTGAGTTTGCGTGTGAAAATGTGGTGCTGCTTGGTAGTTAAGGCAGGTAAATGACTTGGAAAATGCCGAAAAAGGATTTTCTTACTGCCGGAGAAGGTAAGCCTAAAGCAAACTGCGCAAACCGAATCTAAAGCAAACTTGGCCAATTCCATTTCCGTATGCTTATTGTAAGCAAACACCATGAATTCTGGGAATTCCAGGCATACAGGGAAAACAAACAGCCCATCAAAACGACCCTTAAAGACCGGGAAAGACCCGGGGATGTGCGGGGTATGGCCTTAGGAATCAACAGGACGCACTCACACGGAGTGAGGCGAAGGCCCAGACAGAGAAAGATGCAAGAAGCGCATAGTTTGCGCCTGCGGTGACTGCCGGCCTATACCTTCCCCGAGCACCGAGGGTGTTTTCTGTGTCCGTAACAAAAAACGGATTAAATCTGGTATGCGTGAAGGAATGCAGTTCTGGAAGGAAACGTTCTGGCTCTAGGCTAGGCCCCAAAGGTGCGTCCTTGGAGCCGCAATGGTAGACATTGCCTTTGATGTACTGCTAAAGATTATTAATGGGCGGTCTGATTGAGATCCTCCGATTGCAGAGACCAATTGAGCAGCATCTGCATTGCTCTAGTTCTCAAGTTCCTCTCCCTTCCTTGAGTTAGCTCACCGTTGCAGGGTCCTAAAGCGCTGACCCTCCACCCCGGCAGACCGCTTTTTCCTGGGCGTATTCTGCCGGTAGACTGGTGTGGATTTAATACCGTAACTTTTACTTGTTTTATTCTTGTTCATTTTGGTATTGGTTTCCACTTTTGCGGCGAGATGGGGTACACTAAACTGAGTTAGGTCGGAGCGTAAGTGGTATGTGACCATAATCAAACTGTTAAACTGCTTTGCATTCTATATAATCCGGATATAGCTTCGAAAGACTTCCGCCGAGTGCGTACGTGCGTGCGTTTCGATCGAGTTTCGGTTCAGACTGATCCTCGCCGAGTCAGTCGCACACACTCGGGGTTCGTTGTTGGTTTTCCAGCTGCTCAACTGCTCATTCCACTCAAAATAGGGGAAGGACTTTGAGTGAGAGTGTTGCCCTGTTGCTATGGTGGTGGAAGAGCCAGGGTTCAGCAGCATCTGCCTATTTGAGGCATCGCGTCCAGCTGCTGCTGCTGAGGCTCAAGACCGAAAATGAGCTCAACTGCGGCAGGTCGACTCAAAAAGGATAACAATGAGTCGGTGGAGAGAAGGCAAGGAAACATCTGCCGCTCCAGGCCAAAAACCGGTTTCGAATCCTGACAGCTCTTCCTTCACTGCTGGCGTGTGGACAAAAATAATAAAAAAATGATTCACCAGGCCGTGCTATATTCTTGAAATGAGAATATCTTATTCGTTCAAGAGTTTAGTGGTGCACAGCACTCCTGACAAGTACTCCAACGTATGACGAGATTTTCCACCACCGGAAAACGCGGAAACCAGCCAACATTGAAAGCTGATATGTCACCGGAAATACAAGCGGCGCCTCTTAATAGGAACTTGTAAGCAATGCGGGAAAATGGGGCACAGGATGTTCGGACACTTGAAATATTCAGGATCAGCTGGCGCAGGTGCTGAGATTTGTGGCTACAACAGACAGCAAACACAAACCAAAACAAGGCCAGCCGGCTTGACCTTATCTCCCCCATAACAGCGTCCCAAGGTTGCGCCACGATATTGAAACAAATTCACCCAGTAATCTGCATATAGACTGGGAGCTGGAAGCTCAACTAAGCAAGGTGCAATAGCAGAAGCAGAAGCAGAGGCAGCAACTGGAACTGCAACTCGAATGCAAACCGGTTTCTGCGACTCGGACAGGTAGTTGCAACGCGATGAACCACCACTACTACCTGGGCAGGAAAGGCGCAAAATGCTATTCGCAATAAGACCAAGAGCTGTACCTCAGCACTTACACTTTTTAGAGAACCACATGGGGAGCGTGGCTAAACTGGGCGATATACGGATTTCCACTAAATAGTCACGTTGTGCGAGAACGCCTGCATGGTCAGGCCTAGTGCAAATTGGCTTAATTTATCACCGGATCAAATTGAGAGGCATAAAATTATTATTGAACAAACAAGGCGCATTGCATCCTCTTCCAAGTAATGATTGAGACTAAAAAATGTAAGGGGAATCAGGTAAGGGTTCTAAAACCAAAGAGAAACACTTGGAAACTGCTTCAATGAAATCAGAATAATCGGTTTGTGATCAGGCTCTGTGGAAATACCAAACACAAAAGGCAGAACGCACACGTCGCGTCCCCTGTAATTATTGGGACAACAAGAATTTTTCAACTAACCGTACTCCAAACATGCCGCCGCCAAGCAGCGACAATAGAAAGGTATAGAGGAGCGGCACAGTTTTATCCAGAAAGTATCACAGACCCACAAAGTACGGGATGACTGGCCGGCTGTCAGCTGCACAGCGGGAAATGAATTCGAATTCGGCAGAACCCTGGGCCACAAAAAGGGCATTATGTTGCTAGTTTTGAATCAGTGCGAGGCTCTGTATTACAGAATGGCAGACAGGTTTATCAAAGCAAGAAAAAATCGTAATGTCTCCGTAAAACATCAAGACATTGCAGCCATCAACCCCACGATAAAACTTAAAGAGGCCTCATTTCATCAGGCCATCAGGGGGAGCAGCGCGAGTGAAGTGCATTACGGATATGCTAGTAGGAAGGGCATCTGCGTGTGTGCATATTTATAAAACTCGTCGCAGGCAGTGGGAGGAAACGTGGCTGCCGCTTCAATTGAAGCCTGGATGAAGGGGTGCAAGTGGAGGAAGGTGACTCCTCCTGGTCTCGGTGAAATAATGCAGAAATTATAATGAATGGATGAGAGGCAGTCACATCTGGATTGCCACGGCTACGCAAGTGCCTGGCAAATATAGAAATGACTCATGAATTACTCTCCACAAACACAATTCGTCGCCTCGTGATATTTCGTCACTAAAACAACAATCTACGGCTGTAATTTTTTTTTAAATTATTCTCAGCATTTAATGGCCCAATTCTGGTTTCCCTCTAGTAGTAGTCGTTAAGAATAGAGGCAGTCAAGAGTGAACAGGGCCCGAACATGCAATAATTCTCGCCAGCGACGAAGATGATGGTGACTTTGAAGTGGGTTTTTGTTACAAATTTGACTGTATAATTAAGAAAGGCCGAGGAGGAACAGGAAGAAAGAGAGGCGCAGATAGAGGAAGTAGGGAAAGAATTCAAGCACGCATGTGTCTGAGAACCAACGAGGTGAGCATGCAATTCCCAACTCCGACATGCCCTGATTGCCAAGGAGCTGATGGGGGTTTGGCCCAGAACCGGAGACTTTCTGTGCCGCCGTCGTTTCTATTAATTATTATATTTTATTGTATACATATTAAGTTAGTAAAGTGAGTGGGTTGCATGATTTACTGTTTGGAAATCCGCATCTGAACGATTCGAACAGGCAGTCTATGTGGTTATCCGTCTATGCTTTCTATCGCTTCAAAGTGCGGTAACTTAATAAGTTTTTACACTGACAAAAAGGGAACGATTTCCACCATTTCCGTAATTGTTACAATTTATGAATCGGAATCTGAATCAGTGTGTGTGCCTTAGCATATTGAATTGCATCTGGCTTAACACAGAGAGAGAGAGAGAGAGAGAGAGAGTGTATGTAATTACGCAAAAGTAGGCACATTTGTCGCGCAATTCAACTTTCCAATGAATCCCTACCGGACCTGATACAGCGCCGGCGCAACGAACTCGATGATCTCACCCCACGCCCCTTTGGGCTGAAATAAAATGAAACGGACTATTAAAAACTTAATTCATTTGCTAATGACTTTGGCATGTCTTTCCGCAGTCTTGGAACTCATTATGCGAAGGAAAGCTCAGCCAGTTACAGGCAACTTAACTGATAAGGGGACTCATTGGGTGGCATTGGTAGCTGATTACGGACAGATCAAGAGAGGATTTCTAGCTTTAAAAAATAAACAAAATCAAAGCCAGGCAAGCTTCCTTATCTCCGCTATAAACTGAGACCGAATTCCACGCAGTAAGGCCAGCTTACGTAATGAATCTCACCAGACTTTGCTCTGAACCTCAAGGTAGGTACTTCTCAATCCAAGGGAGTGACGACATGCCCCAGACTGGGTAAACTGAAAGTGCATTCACCTGCGTACCAAAAACCATGTTCAGACTACTAATTTCAAATGTATCCACTCGCGAGGAGCGGGAGAGAAGACACGCCCAACCTTTTCCGGAGAACGCAAGCGCAACAGGCTACAAATTCTTAGATTGTAAACCACAAAACAGACAAGCGCCCGAAATAGGAGTTCGAAGACGATGGTAATGATCGTTTCGTAAATACAATAGACAGAAACAATAACCGATGGCAGATGCACACCGACCGAGGAGGGGGCACGCGCGGCAGCTGGGCAACTTGTTTGTTTACCGATGGCAGAGGCCAGAAATAGGAATAGATCTGGTTTTGGGTTGATAGATGCTTTGGACATTGATGGACTTCTAGGAGTATGGTAAATGGGTTTCAAGGAACTTTAAGCAACTTCAAGAACTTCGTTACATTTTAATTTCAAGTATAGAGCAGGTGAGTGAGGCAGATCTTTTCTTTTTCTTAACGAGTCGTTGGGTTCAAATTGGAAATGACTTTCGGATAAAGGCATGCGTGATGTGGCAATGACTCAGACATTGCCTCATGTACACGGAAATACCGAGGAAAACTGCAGCAGCGGTTTTTTGATTTGAAAGCGAAAGTCTTTTCCCCATACACTTTAAATCTTTTTTGTGTTGTAAATACATGGTTAATGGATGGTATGACTTGATTTATAGCTCAAATGGCAAGGCACATACTCTTAATAGAAGCTGCTCTACAATGTAAGCCTAAAGTCTCCCATCTTAACTTATAAACTATTTAGATAATTTTCTATCTCTATTTATTTCACTTCTATGACTTGTCGTGATCTGCAACTTCCATGAAAAAGATCTAAAAGACTAGCTTAATAGCAAGAATTACTAATGACAGGCAATTAAAGTGGCTTGGCTTTACTTTGATTTTTTAATGACTTTTTTTCCTCAGATTCCGACTCGGACTCGGGAGACCTGGTTGGTGAGCACGAACAGCACCGGGCTCACCAAGCGTCAACAGAAACTGAAATCATCTGATTATTTTCAATTCCGGCCGAGGTTTCGCAGATGTCTTCGTGCCGCCCCGTGCTTCAGTTTTCAGTTTTGTGTTTTTAATTTCCGTAAACTGGGATAAGGTGTCGCTCGACCGAAATTCCATTTCGCTAAACAAAGCAACTAATTACCGGCCCAAAGCATGGATGTTGAAGTTCTCCAAGCACAATGAAGGAGAGTAGTCGAAGCATTGGATACCCCACCTTGCCAGATTCCCTAGGAAGATGTGAGACATTATGCCTGGGGTAGGGAAAAATAATAATGAAAAGCAGGAATCCAGTTTTGCCGCTGATTAATGACAGACACGAAGGTAACTAATTAACCAAGGAGATGTGCTTAATGACCGGCCAGGGGGAGGACCACCTACCCACCCACCCTCGGGCCGTGAATAATATTAATTAATATCCCATTAGCAGGGAGTCGCCCCTGCCCAAACGCCTACGCCAACGCATTGTAAATGCATTTTTGGCCTGAAAATGTCAAGGAGCTCACTTGGTTGCAAACTCTGTTTGGCGGAGCATCTGAATTCTAACTAACAGCCAGATACGCCGTCAGCTGTCAGAGCTGCTTTCCTCCAGTGACAAGTTCTCCAACTGCCAGGGAACGTAACGAGCTCTGCGCTCCTCCCCTTTGGGGCTGTGGCTGCAGGCAACGTTCATTGCATTTTTAGCCTTAATGTCTTATTTACACAACGAGAACTTGGGCTGCAAAACTTTATTGTTTGCGGGCTGGCGGGCTGCCCGCCCTGCTGCACTTGTTTTGATTTGCCGGCTGCCACTGCCACTGCCAGTGAAATGGAAATGGAAATGAAAACGAACTGGAAACCCAGCGCATTCGGCACCAGCACCAAGCACCAAACAACGCATGGTCAGCAGATGTGGCTGTTGCCTTAGCTCTATAACTTTCCCCGGGCCAACGCTGCATGGGGAATCTTATATGTAACATAATTAAACATTATTTTATCCAAATGCTTTCGTGCCCAAAAATACGACTTTCCACTGCGAGCTGGTGAGCTGTGCGGAGCTGCCGCCGCGCTGTCAATATATTTTACGAGCGGCAAACATTTCACTCAATTGTGAAACCTGGCTGCACACCGTGGAAATGAGTGGTAATATGTGTTAATCTAGGCTACAACAACCCAGGGAGTGGCAGTGGGCCTTCCTCCTTCTACACCCATGTATTACACGAGGCTGTTGCTCCTTCGCAAACAGAGATTTACGCAACGGGTTTGGGAAAAGAGCTACATAGCTGGTGGCTGACGAGCTTATTATTTAACGCACAAGCAGCTCAGGCACTCGACAATGATATCGGATGGGAAATGCAGTTAATCACACCCTGTCCTGGTGCAGTCATTATGCACAATTTCTGCGATTTGATAGTGGAGAAAATGCAGAGTTGTCATTGCAGCTGACGTACAATTATAAACCCGAATGGGTGAACTTAGTATTAGTAGAAGCACAGTGTATTAGAAATAAATTAACACCAGATATTAAGATAGGAGGGAATAACTTCATTAATAAACCATTAAAAAAAACATATTAAAAACCATGTTAAGGCCTGATTTCAATTTCGAAACATAACTCAACACTGTAATTACTTTTTAGTTGTCTGCAGAGAAGTTTATCTTGGGGATACGAAGTGATAAGCACAAGACTAGTCACGTACTTTTATAGAATTGAGTGTACACCTTTTGGTTGATACGACAGCCTTCCGCAATCTGCTTTACAATGTTATCGTTGTCATCATTGCGAGACTTATGTGTGACTGACTAATAACGTGAATGGTCTATGTCTCGGTTAGGAATCAGTTTAAAAACCTATGGGCAATAGCTATAACTTTAATTGTTCAAAGTCACAGGTATCCATTTAATAATAAACTCTTTTTTATAAACCAAATACTCTGTGTGGCAAAGGTAGTTGGACAAGTTCGTCTGTATTTCTACGTTTTATCTTGTCCTCGCTCACTCTTAGAAGTCGGTAGATTTCTGTACGAGTAAATAGGGTCAGCCAAACAAACATTGAGAAAATATAACGAGCATGACCTGATTGCACGTGTGTATGTACACATGTATTTCTAGTTTCCGCTCACAGCTGCTTGAGGGTAGAAAAATCTACCTATAAAACTATTTTATCAGAAGCTATATCTTGTTATACAAATACATAGCGCTTCTCTCATATCCCTTATTATTTCGTCAACTTGTTTTGGTCATTGCATAAGATAAAGTCCCAGCATAAATTGGTTCGACTGACTACTGCCACTTATTATGTGACAGTGAAAGATTTAGTTGTTGACAACCGTCGTCCATAAATGGTGCATCGCCACGACAAGTTCGATCGGAATGCCGACCAGGCTGAGGAGTCCTCATGTGACGCAATGGAATTTCAACTTTAAAGTGATTGGGTGGCTGTTCTCTTCTATATTCGGAGTCGTCATAACTTGTGGTCTCTCCAATCTTTCTACGAAACTGTAATCTTTGCCTTACATTGCGCATTTATTTGCCTTCAAACCCAAGATAAAGATATTAACAAGAAAAAATGTTTTAATCGGGAGCCTCGCCCTTGAGTTACCCGGTACTCAAGAAACACCAAACATCTGATTCAGAAGTTTTAAAATAAAATAAAACAAGAACATATAATAACATATATAATAAGTAAACTAATAATTACAGATTTCTCCTAAACCCAAAGTATTTTCATGCTAGAATCCTAGAAGGTCCCTTCAGAACTGGTGATGACGTGCATTCAGCATACCCTTGGTATCTACAAGTACAAGGTATAAAGGCCACAAAAACCAGCGAAAATGCTCGACGCCATGACAACATTAAGCAGAGCAAGTTTTTGCATACACTTCTAAAAATAGGCAGTCGTCGCAGATTGTAGGGAACTCGTAGAACATTTACCCCAAAATAAGTCGGAAAAGGCAAAAGAATCAAAAGTGCCGGGGACAGGGAACCCAGTTGAACGTGATGGAAATCCCTGAGCAGAAGCAGGCGGCCTCTGTGAGTCCTGTGACGCCTCAACAGGTCACGGGAAATTATCTACGGCTGATTAGACGGTAAACAGGCCAAGAGGAAGAGGGAGAAGTCAACAGGCAGGACTAACTGGTCAATGGACCGCGAAATTAACTGCGTTAAAACGGATAAAGGCGGGGGAGAGGGAGAAGATACAATAGAAACCTATGCAGTCAATTAACTTCTTTTTCGTCAACTTACATCTCCGAGGCATCCTCTTGGCAGTTGTCCTCTGCAGTTCCATTGCACTCCCCCACAGAGGCTGCTTCTGGCGGCGAGTCCTCCTCGGGCAGGAGATACCATTTCGTTTGGGAGCCGCGACTGGCGTACACATCTCCGCCGCCGCCGCCAGAGTCCCTCAATTGCGCCGTAGCGAGGGCCGGCTGCTCCTCGGCCACGACATCGAACTCCGTGGCCGAAGCACGCCCACTATCGGATCCCGCGACGCCACCGGGTGCCACCGTCTCCCCGGCAACGCCAACGGCTTCGTCTCCGGGGCCGAAGTCATCGTCGCGCCCCTGCTGCAGTGCAGCCTGCGCGGTCCTGGGCAAACTCATTGCCGTTGTAGACATTTTCGCTGCTTTGCGTAATAAACTGTGCCGAGCGGGTCGGCGTTATTGATTTTCGCTTATGGTTCCTTCTTATTTAGATGCGCTATTTGCGCGGTTGCCCAAGCGTTCACACATTTTGGCTTCTGCCCAAGCGTTCCCGAGAATGCCAGCAAACACCTATACACCCACACACAGAATACACAGATACACACACGCACGGACGCCCACTGGCAAAGCGGCCGGCAGCAGCGGGACTTTTTGATGATTGTTGCTTTCTGTTCTCTTCGCAATTGCACGGATCTCGAAAATAATTGACGACACTGGGACACCTTTGGCGCTATTAGCGCGCTTTCATAGCTCAGGATTTGTGTAATCGCTGGAAATCGCAGAAATGATGCCAAACAGCTGAGCCAACACACAATTTCATTCGCGGGGGTGGAACGGCGCGCGCACCTTTGCTACAAATGCATTTTCCAACTTTCCGATTTCCGAGCGGCGCGTCTGCTTCGGTCGAGTTTTTTTTGTTTATGTTTTTTTTATTTTTTAGCAGTGATGCCACTCTTTCTGAGTATACTTATTGCACCGTGGTGAATATAAAAACAGCTGTGTTGAAATGTAAGAGGCAACAACAATAAGCCATGGCGCCCGTAAGGGACTAGTGCGAGAGAAGAGTGCAGATATATGAGCTGCTTTAAGTGAAGAGTGGATATTACCCTTGGCGCGCTTTTTGAAACTGCGATAAATGATGGTTGGTTAACTCTATTGGATAAATATTTACACTTTTTTGATTCAATTTAAAGATTAAAGTGTAGCACAAAAAAACAAGATTCCACAACATGGTTTTTGTACATTTGTACTTCGAAATTCTGTTATAACAACGAGTTTTCACATTCGCCATAAAACTATTGTATAATTTACAAAACTAATAAACATGTTGGTGAGATCTGATAATGTTGTATAGTTTATAAATAATATAATCAAGTTAATTTTTTTGGATTATTTTAAATTTAAATCATCTGAAACCTGGCGTTTTAAAGCCGCCCAAAGGTATGCAACAATTTCCGACATTCCTATAAATCAGTTTGTCTATCCATAATTATTATGGCTACTTTTAAATATTAAAGTTTAAATAACTATTTTTGTATAATATGGTAAATATCATTTTTACGTAAAATATAAAAATTAAATACTTTTTTTTTTATCGGTTATTAACAACAAAAATATGTAAATTAATTACCTTTCTTCTTGTTTTAGAGGGAGTTGTGTATTTGTATACAAGTCTAATGTATAATAATTTAAGACAAAAGTTTCAAATTTTCCAATTTGTTACTCTATAAATCATATATATTCATGATCCATGTATTTCTGCAACGTAATTATACCTTTGCTTTCCAAACAAACCCTTTTATATTGTTGCAAATTCTATATTTCACCCTGTTGTAAGGTTTAAATTCTTTTAAATAAAAGCAAAGATTAGAGACTCTTATTCTCAAGTCCATTCCATCGTCATTCTTTCTCCCTCCTATTCTTAAATTCTCCAAAATACTAAAATATATATATTAGCCTGGGTGAGGGAATAGTCTTTAAGAAGCTTTTCAAAGAGACTAATTTACAGACGTTCCGTGACAAAAGCAATCTCTGTCAATACTGCTCACCGGTTTTACTTAGCTATTGCTTCTGGAGGATGCCTGCCGGCGGCACGAAAGCACGCTCTCGCACACACACGCTAGTCCGCGCCCACAGGCAGGCAGGCAGATTCATTGCTTATTTATGGAGAGCCAGGCAGGGGGCAGGAGGATGCGTGAGGTGAAGAGGGGGAGAGTGAAACGATGTTCAAATCTGTGTCTATAGACGAGTCGAGCAGTGGGTCGCTGAACTCGGTGGCAGGACATGGCAGGAGGAGGTGGAAGCTGGGGCTAGTTCCACCGGCTGTTTATTTGTTTGACAATAAGGAGGCGCAGACTCTACTGGGTCCCTTTTGACTGGGCCAGTGTGTGTTCCTGCTGCCAGGAAGTGGTCTCGGTCGATATAAACACAATTGCCAGCATTATAAGCCAACGCCTGACACCATACTGGCTGGCATTGGGTCACCTGGGGAGGGCCATGAATATAATTGAACATCGATCTATTAAAGGCTAATGAACAGTGACAGTAACAGCATTTTTGTACTTCCGAATTTAGCTGGCTCCCAGCGCTAATTGAAATATCCAAAAATAAAATACACAAAGCGAATGAAAAAGTCTCACCCGTCAATCCCACATCTCCGTGGCGGTGGCAAGGACCTACTGCGTCCCTTTCTCCTTTTGCGACACTTGTTTCCCTCGTTTCCTTCGACTTGGCCATCGCTCTGGCTGCTCCTGAAAAGGGAAAATATCATATTGATGACTATTATCCATTATTGACAGTATCCAAGCTCATTCCGCTGTCGCCACTCATTTTCATTGTTATCTGTCATGTTTAATGGTACTTGGAAGGCCCCAGCTGCGTGGCATCCCCTGCCGGAGCTTGTCAATCGCTAATGGCTTGGCCAGTTGAAGCCATTAGCAGGAGAAGGAGGAGGAAGAGCAGGGTATCCTAGGAGCAATCTGTCTCTTTGGAAGTTAAAAAGCAAAACTCACCTGAGCGCAATATCCTCCTCGGCCGCTACCTTTTCGAATTCGTCCTTCTCTTGCTCCGTCTGCTGTGGAGGATGAGGAGTGCTGGCCATGCCGCTGCACAAGAAGGTCCACGATGGATTGGAAACTCTCGCCTCAACGACTCGTTGGACACACGCTTTCGGGCTTTTGTTAACGGCCACTGAGACAACGTGGGGCTGCAGCTCCACCTGGGTCTGTTCCCTCTTGACCAGCCCGGTTGCACTTCCTTCCTGGCAAGCCGCGCACCGGGGCCAATAGTCGCAGGTATCTAAGGTTTTGGAGCAGCTCTTGGTGGTGGCCGTTGAGGGGAATAACTCTGTGGTGTTGCTAAAAAACCACACGAGATGCGTAAGCTACACACAGCACAGACACGGGCTTTTATGTCACAAGCTTTAGTAATTTCCTTTAACCAGAAGAACTAGTGAAGGGGGTGGGTTCTGGATATCCCATATACCTTTTTAGCTACTCCTTCTACGGTTGATTTATGTTAGTACGTGCCTCAAAATAAATACAGGAAGAGTAAGGAGTAAGGCCGCCTCCACCGCAGAGTTAATAAATTCGGTTAGTTCATAGATTAGTTGGTATGCATAAGCAGTCTTTACGCACGGGTGCTGGCTCTGGTCGGGTTAGTAGTACCTTGGTTCGAGGAGGATTGGGGGCCTGGGCCCTTGTGCATATTAGTTCGAGGAATAGGTTGGTACAAAGTTAGCTTAGCAGGGATTCGAATTCGGATTCGGTTTGCTCGCCGAAAGCTGTCAACGTGTCGGAGCTAGTACCTGCTGCTGCGCGGCTGGGTTGCTGCCTGTCTGTAAATGTAATCACCACCCACTCCCACCGCCATCTCCAGGGTCAGGTCGTCCCGCGATCCTGGACTCTGGCGTAGGGATCGCTGTGGCTTTAGCACCGTGGTCGGGTGTTCGTAGATGCGCGTTTCGTTGCTCATAAAGTTGAGCTCGCTGTTGCCCCCGGAGTTGATGGTCTCCCGGTTGCGAAGCATCACGGGCAGCTCATAGTCGCTGCTGTCCCCCCGCCTAAAGTTCATTATCGGCGACTTGCGTAGCATATCGTAGGTTAACTCATGGTCGCACAGCCGTGTCCCGTAGCTCTGGGGACTGCCGGTCTGGCGCGACGCCTGGTGGAGATTGTTAGACGAGGATCCTGAGGACTGGGGCGAACGCGAGGCGGCGCTGTGCTCCACGGGAGAGTTGGACTTGCGCAGACGGGAGGACGAGGGGTGACTGGTATCAGCAGCAGGCTGAAGGAAGCGCAGGCTTCCGTTGTTATTGTTGAGCACTGCCTCGCGATAGTCGTCGTCGAAGGAGCGCGACTCCCTTTCCACCCGCAAATTCTGGTTGCTCCCGCTGTCCCCACCGCTGCCACTTGTGTGAGCGGAGCGCGCTGATCCCTTAGAGCCACCACTGCGATTGTAGTTGCTGTAATCGAAGTCAAAGGAGCGTGCCTTGTCCGCCTCGCTCTGCCGTACTCTCACAGAAGTGCTGGACGAAGCCGGAGCTGGAGAAGCTCGAATGGTGGGCGGAAAGACGCCTCCACCAACTGGCAGCCGGGATTGCTGATATGTTCCGGCGGAAGCCTGATGTTGCTGCTGGACGGAGACAGCACCCAAATTAACAATCGACTTGTGGGTTCGATTTGGAGAGCGCTCGCTCAGCTGCAAAGATCTGCAAGAAAGCACCTATGTGGTCGTGGTCTGAAGGATCATCATCCTTAAACCTACCTGGAGCGGCGAATGCGATGCTCCTGTTCCGCCTGCTTGGCAGCCATGGCCCGCCGGTGACTGCTCGAGCTGCTTGCGGGACCGGCAACCGAGGCTGTGACAGTTGAGCTGGTGCTGGCATTGAGCGGCTCATGGGAATCGCCGCCACTGTAGCTAGAGCTGGAGGAACTGCGTGATATGTTGGGGGGCGTCTTGTCCTTGCGGGCCTCCAACGTGTTGCTTCTGGAGCCAGAGTTCTGGCGAGAGCCAGCACTCAGCGATAACTGCGACCCCTTCTTGCGTCGCTCCTCGGGAGTCAAGGATCTGGATTCGGGGGTCAGAGAGCGCTGCTTCCTCAAGCTGGTGGATGAACTGTGCGACTCGTTCCGATCGGGCGTTAAAGAGCGCTGACGCTGCATCTTGAACGGGGAGATGCTGACAGTACTGGCACCAGCCTTGGGAAACTTGTGAGTGCCGGCAGACAAGAACTCACTCAAACCGCCGTCCTCGTTGTCCACCTCATCATTGGAGAGATCTGTGAAATAAATTGTGATTTAGATGTGAGTCCGGTTGTGACCACCAAATAAGACTCTAATTTATTTCATTTATTTGCCTCCTGATGGGGCATTGCAATTTGCCTAATCATGGGACATTAATCGGCCTCGCAAAAAGTGGATACTAGTTACTACTATGCACAGGGACAGCAGGAGAGATTGGTCAATGACATGGGTAACGACTTACCTGATCTCGCTCCGCTGTCACAAGAGTTGAGCCGCTGGCTCTTGGACGTATCAAAGCTGCGAAAGCGCGACACTCCCACGCTGGGGGCCGCAGGATGCTGAACCAGAGGTCCTGCGCTGCCCACCCGACTGAATTGGGACTTGCGTGAACGTCCCAGGGCATGGGTCTTAGCCCGCTCTGCGGTCCGTTCGTGGCGGGAGCGGGGCGAGTATTTGGCCTGACTGCCTGTTGCTGCGGCAACGCTGTAGACAGGCGGCGCCTCCTTCACAGCGGCATTCAAATAAGCTGTCGTCTGCGCTATGTGTGGATTCAGATACTTGGGCGAGTTGTCTCGGCTGCGCAGGGAACCACTGCTGCCGCCGCCGCTTTCCCGCTTCGTTAGGTAGTTGGGGGAGTTTCCCGTCAGGGTGCTAAAGTTTGGCGACCGTTCCCGCTGCCCAGCCAGCACGGCCAGGTTGAGGGGACGCTCTGACAGGTTGCCATCGAAGCTGCGAGAGAAGGTCTCCACATAGTTGTCCGGAGGCTGCGGTCGACGCGTGTCGTACTCGAAGCTGCGAGAGAAGACCATGCCTTTGACGGACACGTTGGCCGGATGTTGGCCAACCAACTGGGTCTGGGACTGGAGCGGCACAGGCAGGGGTAGCGGAGGTCCTTGGGAACGCATTGGCTTCAGACGCACACTGCGGCTATTGTCCTGGAAAGCGGGCGGTGGCGACAAAATCGGTGTGATGGGTGAGTCCAAGTCGTTGGGGCTTTTGACTGGGAGAAAGCCTGGTCTCTCGTTGAGAATATTGGCCAGCTGGGGATCGATAATCCGATAGCCCGGCCGCAAGGCAGCCTCCCGCGATGAGTAGCCACCCAAACGCGCCTCGTTCCTCTGTATTAACTCCTCCACCTTGGAGCCGACAAACTTGGGCTCAGAAATGCCCATGCCGGATGGTGGCTGCTGGTGCTGCTGAACGAACGATTGGCGGGCCAGGTCCGAGCGCCGTCCGTGGTCCATGGGAACACCGCGAATGGCAGGACGGCCGCCACCATTCTGCTGGCCGTAGTTCAGCCGGCGATAGCCCTCGCAGTTGTCATCCTTGCCAGAGCCACGCTTCGTGTTGACCTGCACCCAGCCGGACTTGTTGAGGAATATCTCCTCCTTTGTGGTGCCCGGTGACATGGAGTTTCGGCCATGGAAATGCTCTCCGAACAGATAGGTGGGGACTCCGTTCGAGCCAGCCGTTAGATGGGAGGCCGCAGAGCTCCCATTGGCACTCCCGCCACCCATGTGGTGATAGTGCATCCTGCGCGCCTCCAGCTTCTCGTTAAAGCTGCGGTTCGACGCCTCGAGACTTTCGCGCCTCTTGGCGACGTATTGCTGGAAAGCGGAGAGGTGCGGCGGTGCCTGTGATGCCTGCTGCTGTTGCTGCTGACGTTGCTGCTTCTGGGCCGATGTGTTCTTTTTCGGCGTGCTTATCTCTGATGCGTTCTTTTGGGACTCTGGAGTGACGGCTCGCTGTCGGGTCTTGAGTGGCTGCTGGACTGCTGCTTCGGGCGACTCGGTGACATCTTCGACGGCTTCATGACGCTGCTGTTGCTGCTGCTGACGCTGCTGCAGATGCTTCGAGGGACTGGTGCGGGAGCGGGTGCGTCGACGCTTTGGCAGAGCTGGCAGCGGGAGAGTGCTAACGTCTAGTTTCTCGAGTGTCGAGGACGAGAGCTCGTCGTTCTGGGACTCCCGAGTGATGGAGTCGCGTGTCAGGTGACTGTCGTCCGATTGTGCCTCGCTAGAGTCGAGGCAGGCGTAGTCCTGACGTGTCAGTGCTCTGGGCTGTGCTGGATTCCCCGAGGCTGCCGCAGATACGGGTGCATCTGTGTCGGGTGTCGGTTCACTGCAAGAGATGAGCAATTTTCTGTAGAGCTTTTCAAGCCACACCTAGTATTTCTACGCGTGGACCGGAATATCTGCTATTTACATTCCTAGAAACTGCATTTTTAATTGGTTGATAAAAGGATTTTAAAAAATCAATCTTATAAGTAGTTAATAAATCTTAAAAGTCTCTACTTTGAGCCCTGCTTTGAGATGGTCTGCCAGCTCTAGTGGACATAGCTTCTCACATTGAATTGGCTATTGAAAGCCCTTATCTGATTGAGCCCTAATACTACACAGCAAAGACCTGCCCTGCTGGCGGCCCTAATGGCTAGGATAATCGACACAGAGTGCCGGTGGTGCTCGAACAACGGTTCAATGTCCGGGAACATGGTTCAGCACTCGCCTGAACTCGTTGACATCTGCACAAATGCAGTAGCTAACGCCGGCAGTGCAGTCTGCGAATGTAAGTGCTTTGCCTTGTTGCTGCCACTGCGGCTTACTGACAGCGGCAGGATGGTGGCAGTGTGCTCTGCTGATACAATATTCATCCGCCGAAAAACCCACAGTTTGTGGACCCTCTGACTATTCTGGCCTGGCTACTCATGCCTAACGCTGGCCAAGATCGACCCGAAGGCTGCCAAAAGCCATCCAAACTTGACCCTGAAACGTACACAGTGGGTAAGTGGCAAGAAAATCTCTTTCCATGTGACGCAGTGCGTGAGCGTGTGTGTGGGAAAAAATGTGGCTGAACGAGTTGCAGAACGAGATACAAATGCACAAATACCTACATTTATTTTTACGAGCATGCAGCCCATGCTCGGATTGCAGGGTATGAGGTGGGTGTCATCAGGGACGATAAGCAGCACAGCTTGACTTTAAATTAGGGTAACTAGTCTGGCCAATACATGGGCGAAAAAGTGTCTGTGACAGCTTTTCGTAGAGAAGGGCAATAACCGTCTGCTGCTGCTGCAGGAACTTTATCTACTTTACATGCCAGCTAATACCGCTCCAGATGGGCACTTCCGGGAGCGAGCTCCAACACCAAGTTAAGCTCCCTTCCGTCTCAACGCTTGTATCTTTCAAGTAGGTTCGATTTTTGAAATGACACCTAATAGGCCGGAATATAATAAAGCGAAGATGCCACTACTCGAAAGGCTCAGAACCTAAATCCAAAGAAAGCTCTTCAGCTTCAGCCGCCCCACGCTGCCGCTTTTGGCATACGAATATAATCACCTAAAAACTTGTCATTCCAAAATGGTCAACGGCCAACAACAAACTCAATATTTATTTCGGTTCGTTGCCTCGGCCTCTCAAATGCTGTTGCCTGTGTGGGCGTCACATCTTTTAGTCCAATTTGGGAAGCGATGGCATTTATTGGATATGGACCACGCTGAGTCTTAAGAGAGTTGCTTGGGCACTAAGTTCTTGTGGCCCGACGTCTCGCAATTCAATGTATCACTTTTTAATACTACACCGGGGTCCCAGGTATCGATCCACAATGGTTGCATTTTATACTCTGGCAGGAGGGTTTATACTTTTAATGCATTTTTGGATTAGTTATGATCGTTTTTAAATGTAAACTGCAAGGGTATGCAAACATCGTGTAGTTGGCCTCATTTCTTGCTAAAGGGTATTTTCCTTCCGGACTTCCTTATTCGTTTAACCCTATAGCAGAGAGCAGACAATCAGCAAACAATAAAATGAGATTCACAACTCGTTTGGTTATATTCAGAAATCTTGGAGTGCGTGGGAAATGCCAAGATTCTCGACAGCCTACGAAAATATTTGAATTCGTCACAAGTTGGCCTGACTTGACTCAGTAAATACGTTGAAAGATACTCAATAAACTGTAATATTTCATATTCCAGCTAGACAGGCTTTGAAATATTTGTAATACTTCAAACACAAACCGGAAAGGAGGGCTAGAAAGTGTGTTCGAGTAAAAGGACATCGCCGCCACTGGCATAAACAGGAAGTGTGAGCCACTCTCTCGAAATAAAGCGCTAATTACATACCGCTTACCCGGGCACACACTTGCTCGCGGGGCGAGTTTTTATTTCTGCAAGCTCTCTCGGATAATTTCTGCGTGTTTGCACTCATAATTTTGCCATTAAATATGCATAGAGGCATGCCTGGGACTGTGTCTTTAACTCAAATTAGTTTAATGGCCGTGCTTTCATTACCGAGTGATCAAAAGTTGATCAGCCTCTTAATTGCAATTTAATATAATTATGAATATTAAGAAAAGCAGGCATTAAATGGTAGAATTTTCAACCTGCTAAACTTTTTTTAAGACCCAGAATTTATAGATAATATTAGTTATTCTTTTTGAAACTGTGCAGAATGTAAGGGTATACTTTAAATATTATTATTATCGATAGAGCCATCGTTGGCTTTACACCTCTAGTGCAATGTACCAAGTGAAAGTTAGGTAAGTGAACAATGTGGCCTCTCGCTAAGGAATTTTACTCTTACTCCGATTTGAATTATTCGTACGCAGCCTCAGAGATGAAAGCCATTTGCCTTCTAAAACTTCAGCTGGCTGATGATTCGATCTTTGTACAAGCACGTACATAGGTAACATCCAAGAGGACGAAAGTTTCCATTAAAAAATGTTTGCTCGCTGTCTATTGCCGGTTTGGATATCGTAAATAAAAATAAAAATAAAAATGCACAGAAACTCCACAGCACATGGTATGCATTGCTCATAAAACTGGTTTTCAATCACTTTAGGCCGCACTTGTCTTCGCCGGAGCGGAGCAGAGCAGAGCGCGCAGGACGATGCTGAGGACGGGTACTAGCAAATCGATTGCATTATCTCTCGCATACCTGTTAGTCAACTTGCACTTTCGACTGGGGCCAGAGTCAGAGTCAGCTAGCCATTTTACTAGCCAAGCTAGTAGAAGCTGAGCCGCTTCTTCGGGCCCCGCGATGTGGTAACGTTGGGTAAACTGCAGCGGCATTGACTAAAAGCCAATGACCAAATGAAGTTGTGGCCATAGGAAACAAGTTTCACATTTTCCATACCATATTTGCAAGCGCACAGCACCGTCCGCACATCGTGTTCGTAATGATCGGGCTTCATAATTATCGGCTGACTGCATGCAATTTGCACTGCTTCAATTGCAAAATGCCAGTTAACTTTTATTGTTTGTCGGCCCAAAAGGTTTTGAAGGTCGTCCCGAATTTTGCAAAATACTTTGCCGAAATTTAACCGAACGCACTCGAACTCGGCGGCGGCGAATAGGTTTCTGATTTGATTTGTCGTTGGCCCTGGTTTCGATTTCGATTTCTCACTTGTCTGAGCTCTTGCAGAGCACCACGAACTGAACTTGTTTTCAATTAGCCGTGCTTGAAATACACGCGTTTAATTGAAAAGCTATAGCTAAGCCATCTCGGCCGACTCGAAAAAAGGCATTTCTCAGGCGGAACAAATGTTTTTTTCCTACATTTTGTAACGCACACATCGAGGCGTCGTTAAACAAGGATGACATGAAATTATTATTTTCTCCTTGTTTTCCAGTTACAAACAATTCAGCCAGACTGCGGTTGTGTGTTGTGTGGAACACAATGCGTGGAACACACACAAGTGTATAGGTAAATGATTGAATACCAGCACAGAGCTGGGAAACAAAGGACAAAATTGATTTATGTAGGCCGGTCTCGTATTGAGGGGGGGGACTGCTCTTTGCGGAAATTATTGATTGCCGAATTTTTTTATTGAAGCAGGGACATGGGAAAGCGAGCAGCCTATTATTACAATCTAATAAATGTAATGCAAGCTCGTGTGTCACAGGATACGCTCAATATAAATGATTAAATTAAACTGACCCTGGGCAATTGTTCTTTTATCAAAAGTATGCTCTTAAATCGATTGGCTGCAGGTGCTGTCGCCCAAGATGTTTACTCTTGGTTAATATACTACAGTCGCTTCTGTCATAAGGAGGTTATTTCCCTTGTTTACCCTTGTCAAAAGCAACTCATTGCCGTTCGGTAATCAAGTTGCTGAAGTTCCACCAGCTGGTGACAGTTCACATCCTGAGGCCATACTTCTGCGAATCGCACTCGTCGATTAATCACAAGACATCGAGGGCGCCTGGAGCCAAGTCATTCCTAAGCAAGGAGGTATTTAATGAGTCCCCCCCAGCCCTTTGATGGGCTGGCGCTTAATTATAGCACCTCTCCCAATCAAATTTTCAAAGTCGCGGTACTGCACTTGTTTTTAGAAGCAAAAAATATATAGATAGTATTGTAAGGACTTTAAGAATCTTATCTGCTCACTGGTCAATGGAGTCGTGGGGTCCAAATCGTAGGGGGGAGAAAGCAGCTGGGCCCACCTTCGCTTCACGGCAGTCGCATTAAAGTTTGAAGTTCGGACTCCAATTCCGAGGAGAGGCCAACACAAGGTAGCACCAAATGTGGCGCAAAGCAGCACTCTCAGGAGCTGCTGCGCACTCAATTTCACTCTCGTGGAATGCAAATAAATTCACTAGCCTAATTAACGCACTCTAAAACTAAAAGTTGAGTGTGTACGGACGTTGAATATGTTTTAGGCTTTAGACTTCACTGTTTGAATACATCCATTCGACCCGGGGACACTTTAGTTTCGCGGAGCACACAAGAAAAGTGAAGCGAATGTGTATTTTTTGCATGCCTACTGAGTGGCCATCGCGATTGCACTCGGAGGGAAAGAAGGAACAACAAGTGTTCCTCTGCCACTACTGTTGACACTTGAATTTGCACCTCCGTTTCCGTTTCCTCTTCCGTGCGGAATAAAGTTCAAGTTCTTGGCTATTTAGCTACACATTTAAGGCTGGTTGGGAGCAAATACCTGTGCGATACCGCTGGCGCTGCGCTGTCGCTATCCGTGTTGCCAACCGTCTTGCGACTGAATCTGAGCTCGGCTGCGCTGTTGCTGGCGATGTTGGTGAGGCTCGTGTTGCCAGCGTTGGTGTTGTTGGTTGTTGTGGGGAGCCCGACTCCGATGTCGGATGTTGCTGGTTGCCCCTCTGAACATATCGCAGCAACATGTTGGCTGGGGGCCTTCTTGTCGTGTTTTGTTTTGCTTCTTTTTTCGTATTCCTCTTTCAAAGTCGAGCCCGTGGCTTCGGGCGGCTTAGGGGAAGGCGGAGATGGAGACGGAGGCCGGGAGTTCAGACCCAGTTGGCTCTCTGCTGCAGGGAGCAGCGTCGAAGGGGGCGGCCTGTCCTCCTCAGCTGGGCTTCGATGCTTCTTTGTGGACTCCGCATCGTCGCTGCCAATATTGATGACATTCCCTTCCGGTCTGCCCGCGATGGCCGACGGCGCAGGCTCAGCAGGAGGCGGGGACAGAATATCCTCGACAGAGTGCGCCATTTCGCTGTCAGTGGCGGCCTTGCCTTGATTCCCGTTAGCAATGGTGTCCGCCAGCGCCTGTGTAGCTGTCGCCATGTCGGACGGGCCCTATAAGAGAATCATTTAATTAAAATCTTTGTTGTCTTCACTTTCACATGATGTAAAAATATACCTCCCATATACTATGTAGCTCAATGAACTCAATTTAATTATTACATGTTGAGTGGTTTGTGCCCCTTCTGGGTATTTGTATTAAAAACCAAATTAAATGAATACACATTCTTCATATAAAGTTAGATTAAAATAGTCGCGTATTAAGATTAAACTTAAAATAATAACAATGACAGAAATATTCAAATATAGTTGGATTAAAATAGTTTTTGCATTAAAAACCAAATTAAAATTGATCAAATTATTCAAATATAGTTAGATTACCAAGACCAAATTAAGGCTGATGAAATTCTTAATATATAATTGGACTTAAATAGTCAAATTAAGATTGATATTAAAATATTCGCGTATTTAGGGGTGAGTAAAAGTTAATACAGGATTATACAACGATTAATAACATATACAGGCCTGTTCTAGTTTCCACTTCCGCAAAATTTATTCGGATTCGGATTTCCCTGACCTGTTCTAGTATTCACTTCCGCAAAATTCTTACGGATTCGTATTTCCCTCTGTTAAGTCTCTGTTAATTTGCAGGCGAAACGTTCGGAAACTTTCAGTGTGCCATTTGGCCGGCGGATTCAAATCCGCAAAATCAGAAATTAATTATTTTAAAATACAATGCGCTTATGAAAATTACAAATGTTAATTTTATTTTATTCCTTGAAGTTTTAAGAACATTATTGAGTAATGGAATTAATTAATACTAACATACTTGATTTATAAATAATTATTTTGTGGGTGCACCTTAAAATCGGTTCGATTCTAACCTTCAACATTATTGCACAGCCGCCGCAGCTGTTTCGTATTTGAGAGGGACTATTTAAGGGTTGTCAGCGTACAAAAAAATAAGCGGTGGAATATGTTTCACGTTAATTTTAAACAATCGTTGTACTAATTGGTCTTTTATTATAAGAACTATTATTAACCTATGCTAAAAAAATAGTTTTGTTCAAAATATCACCAAAATTATTGTACAAACTGTGCGTGATGTGAAGGGTATTTTTTTCCTTGACCTCAGCAACTCTTTTATGAGGTGCATTTTACAGCACTATCTGTAAAAAATTTCACAACACTGCCTAAGAACACCTAACTAACACCCGCAATTTAATTTCAATAATTTCAACCATTTAAGTAAAAATAACGCTCAAAAGTTTATTTAATTGACAATTTCTATTAGGAGGAAGCATAGAAATCAAGCGCAGGTTGAGATTTTCATCTTATTTATGGAAAAAATGATATTGCCAGAGGCAACACAAAGGCTGAATTGGGACGGGCAAAACAGATGACAACCGCATAAGTTTTTCAATACTTCTTATCGAACTTTTCCAGTACTACGCCGAAAACAGATGACTGAAGTTTTAAATATTTCAAATTAACATTTTACAGCCAAGAATGCTTGTACCTTTAATTTTATGTAATTACGTACTTAGGTTGGACGACAAAATCGTATTAGCCCGGTATTGACAAAACTCAGGCAAAATACACGCGTTTGTCTATACCGGCCAGCTGATATTCCTTGGGAACAAAAGGCACCAGGGGGAAATATTACAAAAGGTCCCTAAACTAACAAGGGAAATCGCTTATGTTAAAGGGAAATCCGCAAATGTTATCAAATTCACTTCCGAGTGGAAACTAGAACAGGCCTGATAATAGACAAAGTAAGCTTAAAATAAGAAAGACAGGACTCTGGCCACACTGAAGTCGCGCCAGGGCCTATATAAAGCGGGCCACGGCCCTGGAGGAATCACTTAGCAGCCGACTGCGATTGGGTCGAGTTAACCTCCCCAGTAGTTAGCAGCGAAGTCACTTTTTGGGAACTCTGGTTCCTATTTATAAATCGTAGTTAGTCTCATAATCGCATAATCCTCTAGCGTTCTACTCTGGGACGGGGTCGGAATCTCTTACAGCAACCACGCCTGAACCAAATAAATATGTATATCTGCACAGACCCTGGACGTCCCGCTGACTACCCGTGGACGACAGGACGTTACAAAATTTGGGGATAAAACTTAATGTTTTTGGTTTATTTTGCTCTCAGTAAATGCTTGTCGATGTTGGCTTTTCTGCGCGATTTTTTTCTTTTTAGAGTGGCTACGGGGTTTTGTAATACGAAATCCCAATAATACCGAATATTAAAGTTAGGAAAATTTTGAGCCTTTTTTTGTTTTAAATTTTTTTTTTTCTTAAATTCAAAATAAAACTTTAAACATATATGCATATATCTATGGAAAGGTAATATTACAAGCTTTAAGATACAATTTTTTATCCTGCATATTTGTCTTTATCTACACCTTCAACTCGCGACATTTTTCCGAAAAAAAGAGCAATATTTGCAAAACTGACGCTTGGGAATTTCACAATGTGCTTTCAGAGGTGCATGTGGCATCTTATCGATAAATTTCCTTTTCGATTGAATGCAGCAGTGTTGCCAGATGAAAATTTGGCTCTCCCCCTAAAAAATCGCCAAAAGTTGAAATTTCCCCCTAAAAAATGCAGTTTTCCCCCTAAATTAAAAAAATCAGTTAATTTCATAAATATAAGGACGAAACATATTTTTGTTAGTTAATTTTAATGTTTTTTTATACATATGCATCGATAATTTTTTCTGAAAACTCGGCATGGAAACCTCTTTGTTCACAAAAAGTTTCAAAAGTTGTTGCAATTGTTGGGTAAATCATAAATTCTACAATGTTTTTTTAAAACATAGTATTAATACAAGTTAAAAAAAAACCCTAAACTTTCCCCCTAAAAATTCTTCCCCCCTAAAATTCCCACTAGTACATCAAAAAACCCCTAAATCTAGGGGGAAAACCCCTAACCTGGGAACACTGGAATGCAGAAAGGATTGGTAATCGAAACATCGATGATTGAGAGGATCAGTTATCGCTGATGTGCCATCTCTATTGAAATATCAAATTGGACGCGAATCATAAACGGGGCAAATTAAATTGTGAATTGAAAGTTATAAAAAGTGCCGGTTGTTGGAAACGTGTTTTCCAGCTTAAGAAGATCACCGCCTTCGCCACGCGTATATAATTACAGCCCAAAGTCCCTGTCCAAATTCCCACGCCGCCTACGTTCTTCGTATTTACACATACACACAATCGGTAAGTACAGCCATTTGCATTTTTCCTTACGTTATTAACATAACTTAAATTATTAAGTCCTTACGTACTTGAGCTTATTTCGCATATATAATATATTTCGAAATATATATAGGGGAGAGTGGGGTTAGGTGAACCACGGGGATAGATGGACCACTACAAATATTTCACCATCTGTCATGATTTGGTGCGCCATCTTATGTATGTTGCTTACTTAGTCCATATTCTAACCTCACACCCACGCACAGTCGCGTCAAACGATTGTTGTCGTTTTTATCGCTAATCGAAGTTTGTATCGCCGTTTGCAGCTTCAATTGTGACCTAACGTTTTCTTGAAAAAATTTTATCGTGCTTCGCCAGTGGCATTGAACTTTATAAAATTGTATTTTATCGTAAGTAGACGCAAATTATGATATTTTCACGGATGGCTCACGCAGTTTAAATATTTCATATTTTCTTCAAATCACTTCTAATTGGCTAATGACTTGTGGGGATACATGAACCACCAGGACTTACGAGGGTACCCAAAGGCTAAAACACGAAAACAGACGACTCGGGGAAGAAAACGAGGAAGGAGTACCATTGCTACAGACTCACCGCAGAAAAATTGATCGCGGAAAAACGCAATCAGAAAACTCAAGAAAAAAGAAAGAATAAAAACAAAAATAAGAATAAATAGCAATATTGTAATGTTTGATTTCATGCTGTAGAGGTGAAATGTTTATATTCGAACAGAAAGAAGGCATGCACAAAGAAATAAATTACATTTTTTTTATACAATTGCAGTTTTTGTGCTATTCTGATAGGTGGTTCAACTATCCCCACGGGTGGGGATACCTGAACCATTCAAGACAAAAATTTGGAAAGCAAATAAACTTTATAAAACAAAAGATAGTATTTTTGCATAATACTTAATATCCAAGGAATGTGGGCTCTTTTAGATTTCTATATACAGCAGACCCTAAGTCGAATTGTTCAGACATAATAATGTTAATAAAAAAAAGTGGTTCACCTATCCCCACTCTCCCCTACATATTTTTTAATGGGAAAATATATGTAGCTTACCTTTATCGAACGATCACTGGCCTCTGAGGGCAATATGCCACCGCCAGAGTCCTCGCTACGGGCGTCGTAGAACACGTCGTTGTCGTCCATCTCCGCTGCACTCATGCTGCACTCCGCCGTGGGAGGACTTTCTGGTACTTTAGGCGGAACCAAAGCTGCCTCCGGCACTGGCTTTGGCTGAACTGAACTCAATTTCTTTGCAGATTGCTCGCTAGCTTCTGCCTCCATGCTTCGCGACTTGGTATCGTCTTGAAGACCCTCCATATTCGCCTTCAGCTCTTGGAGGTCCGAGTAGGTAGCTGGCGAGGGCGGTGGAGGGGCCGGAATGTCCTTGCGGCGCAGGCTGGGACCGGGTGTATTCTGATGCGTCTTTGACCCGCTTGTGCGATGATGTCGCTTGGTCGGCAACGGTTCTTCCACGGCAACATTCAAGTGCTTAGCCCCGCCGCGATCTCCGGTTTCTCCAGCATCGGAGACCCCGGCGGACCTGGGCTTCGGTGCCAGCTTGGGGCTAAACGCGCCCGTCTCCGCCACTATCTTGCTGTGCCTTTTGGGAATCGTCCCCGTTGAAGAAGCAACGAGTCGATCCAAGGAAGGATACTCTCTTCGGCCACTGGGCTGGCTCTTGCGCTGGCTCGGCGTAGGGTCTCCTGGAAAATAGCAATTGGCATTGTGTTTACGTGGAAAATTGGATTATATCACTTA